TAGCTCGAGAAGAAATCCAAACTTGTGATTTTTTGAGCGTGATCTGTGCTCGTTTGGGCAGTAAAAGGCGGTGGAGGGTGGCAGATGCCGACTAACTTTTTTAGTTTTTTTACCCCACTATCTGATAACCTTTAATACCTAATAATATGTGCCCCTCATTGTAGGGAAGAGAAGGGAAGAGATGGTAAATGATGAGGAGGGGAGGTTTCGAGTGAATGGTTATTGAATACTTTCGTCCATCCTTTCGTTTTTCGTATTTGATATCCCTAATGATCTATATCTTGGTACAAGATACCAATAATCAAAGCGGAAATCAATCTCTACTGAGTACTTATTAATAGGCAAATTCATTTTATTTCCGCTTGGGACGCATGAGATTAACTTCTCTCCATCCAATCTATCTGTTCTCTGCACTTATCTACCAATACGTAGACTTTCCTTCCACTTCCACCCATCAACGAGAGTTCATTATTAATAAACCATCAATCCACTAACTGACTTTCAATCACAAGTCCTAGCCAAAGAAAGAAATGCAAAACCATTGCTCAACCATGCCATGCCATGTGATCGAGTAATCAAGCAATCTATCACCGCCGCCTTCGCGTCGACACTGTTTTCCCCCTTTCATCAACTCTCTCTACATCTCTAAAAACTCCCTGTTCCAGCATCCCCCACCTAGGAAACCATCTCCACCAATCCCACCAAAACCAAGTCCCCTGACCCGTAACCGCCGCTACAGAATTAGTAACGACAGAGCCCTCATTTCTCTCTCTAGCATTCCCATTCCTAGCAGAAAAGAGACTAAAGTAATGATTTAGGCGTCGACTTCTTCTGTCCTACAGTAGATTTCAAGCCCGAGGTTTGGATAGCTAATGTTGGATCATACATTCTTCCCTTAATCCACTCGTCGAGTTGCTCATCGTTCATGCCGCGGATAGCAGGTTCACGATCGAAATTGAATTGTTGAGCTGCGCGAATCACTTGGCGAGCAACGATGACGCTTACTTCGCGGATACGGTTGAGTTTAGGGTAGAGACGACCGGAAGATATTTCGGAAGGGGTGAGGGAGGTGCTGAGGGCTTCGGCTGAGGCATAGATCTGTGGTTTTGTTAGTTTGATGTTGTAAGATTTATGGAGGGATGAATAGATGTGAAAACTTACCATTTCTTGATTGATGCATGAGGTTTTGCAAAGAATTGATCCAAGTCCGATACCTGGGAAAACATACATATTGCTAAGAACTCATTAGTATCCATACCCCACGATGCGGTAACGTCAATACTTACTTTCCTTGCCCAGCAGAATATGTCTTGTCATCATGAACATAATCCGGGAATGGACTTCCACTAGCAAACAAAGCTCGACAATCTGTCCATTTCATAGCTTCCTCGAATGTACATTCAGCTTGACTAGAAGGATTTGACAATGGAAATATAATGGGGTTCTTGTTTAACTTTGCCATTTTCTTAACAATGGATTCATCGAAAATTCCTCGGATGGTGGATAAACCCATCAAGATTGTAGGCTTAACATATTCGACCACTTCCGGCAGAGTTTTGAATTGTTTTCCCTCGTTATCATCACGAGAAAAGTAGACCTTATGCTCGGCCAATTTATCACCTCTATCATTTGTGATCAGACCCTAAGGAAGTTAGCTTTGGGGTTTCATAACGGACGAGAAGAATAAATACCTTGGTATCCACAAACCAAAAGCAACGACGAGCCTCATCTTCAGTCAATCCCTCCTTTCGGAAGAATTCTACAATTTGTTGAGCAACGCCTACACCAGCGCTACCTGCGCCCATGAAAACAGCTCTTTGATCTTTAGCAGGAATACCTGTTCGGCGTAAAGCATTAATGATACCTGCCAGAATAACCGCACCAGTACCTTGAATATCATCATTGAAGCAAGGATACTGGTTTTGATATTTTGCGAGAGATTGGAATGGATTTTTGAAATCCTCATATTGAACGATGATCCTACCCACAAATTAGTAAAAATGTTCTCACCCAAGTTATGAACAACATACCCGGGCCAAATTTTATTCAAGGCTACCATTAACTCCTCCATAAACTCAGCTTCCTCCTTGGAAGAAACCCTCTTCATACGATTTCCCATATATAACGGATCATTAAGGAACGTCTCATTATTAGTCCCAAGATCCAGAGTAATTGGTAAAGTCTTGGAAGGATGAATACCAGCACAACCAGTATATAATGACAATTTACCAACTGGAATACCCATACCATTAACACCAAGATCACCCAAACCAAGAATGCGAGAACCGTCAGTAACAACTGTCATCTCAACTTCAGGTTGACGCCAATTACTGAGAATTTCTGCTAGGTTGCCTCGATCATGGTAGGAAAGATATAAACCTATTCTGTCAGATTTTTGTGCTGGAATTTCAGAAAGAAAATCGAAATACCTTCGGGCTGTTGGTAAATCTCTGACCATCTCAAACAAGCCTCTCCAACGGTCGGTGTATATATCAATGGCGTGATATCCTACCACAACTGTCAACTAATATTCATCCGCAATTCCAACCATTTTCCTCATCTCCCCCCTTCCAAAAACAAAGATACAAGAAACCTACCGTCAAATGCTCCTGCACCAATCGATAAAACAAATGCACATTATTATTCCTCAAATTACTGAGGTACATATATTTCTCAATGGGACTAGTCTTTGCCTTCAATTGCTTAAGACCTGTTATCCACATCAGTACATCTTCCAACAACAAAACAAAACAAAACATCCCCAAATATCAAAACTCACATCTCTGAGTCTGCAGCGCATAGCTTTCCACATTAGGAGGAACAAGTCCCAATGTTTTGTTTTGTCTTCTCACTTCCAACGAATGTGAGGTATCGGGATGTATACTATATCCCCTAAATATTAGTAAATCATTATCTTCCCATTAATTAACCCTCATGATTTTCAAGCCCCCAAACCCCCCTCAATCCCTCCAAACACCCAAAAAAGAGAACAAAAAATCATGACTCACGTCTGTCCAAATTTACTCATCTTAACCACCCGCGTAACAATATCTCGAGAAGAAGAAGAAGAAGAAGAATAATTCCCAGGTAAACCCGCAGTAACAAAAGCAGAATCAACAAGAATATGCGAATTTAAAGAACCAGGAATACTATCCGAATCCAGAAGATCCTCGTCCAATAAATCCTGATGTTTTGCAGCAGCTCCCGAAGCCGTAGAGAGATGAGATTTGTAGGCGGGGAAAGAGCATAGCCCTGCCCCAATACCACGGGTTCGCTTCTGCAAACACACCCTGAAAAGTCGTATGCCTCGGTTCATTTTGCTGCTTGCTTGTTTGTTTGATTACACGCTGTTTACTATTTATTTACCTAGGTATGTAGGTAAGGTAAGGTAAAATGAATGGGTCTTCAATTTCAGGGAAATAAATGGGGGCTTTTTGTTGAGGATTTTTTGATAGGATAGGGGAATTGAAAAGGGATTTTGATATTAAAGAAAGTCGGATTGGTGAAAATTTCAATTTTGCTTGTAGGGGGAAAAAAATATGTATCATAGGTAGGGAGTTGAATATGACTCGGATGGATTGAGTGGGTCAAGGTCGTGTATATACGGGTGGAAAGTAATTTAATATCACTTCCTCTTTTATAAATTCAAAACCAAGTCATGTCGGAAGGTTGAGGAAGGAAGGCACGATATAACTCCTTTCCAATATCACATTGTTCTTTCAGTTTTTCTCTTTTATTATCAAAATGTTATACATATATTCTCAATTGGCCAATCAAAACTTGATGATGCATCCGCATTTTCTCACCGGATTCCCCAGCTTTGAATTTTTGGAGGGGAAGTCCGGGGAAGATCATCAGGTGATCTCAACAGAATGGGTCCCGAATATTTAAGGAGGCGCATGGCCGTGTCAGATAAAAGAAGCAACCCGTGTCTCAGGCTCCGAACAAAAGATCTCTTCTCTTTTCCTGAGAACTCGATTCTTTCTGTTCTTTTCCCTTCAATTTGACGTGCCCGAGCTTTACTTGCATCCAAGGTGTGTCCGAAGTCGGAGCTATTGATGCTATCTGATTATTCACTGCTGCATCAAGCCCATATCGATCAACTCAGAATTCACAGCACATCGTCCAAAACGGATTCAGGTGCATCTCCTGCAGCAATATTCATACCGTTCATCTGCACTGTGTTATTCGCGACATGAGAATCATGTGCCGTTTGTCGATTAAATGCATTGCGCCATTCGACAAATTCATCAGAAAGGATCCCTCCATGCCCCTCCACTTCTTCAGTTTTGAACACCTCGATGGCCATAGACTTTTCTCTCCTTCGGATCTTCCATACACCATCGCCAATGACTGTAGCTTTCAGAACTATAGTTGTTAGTCAAGTGAGAAGGGAATAAACTTGTGCACTCACATTCGAGGAATCGATTTGCAAAGTTGATACACATATCTCCATCCCATGAATTATTGCCCCTTTTCTTTACCATCCCAGGTATCTGTGCCGTGTTGATTCGTTCAATGCTTTGAAGAATTCCATCAGGGCTTCGTTTTCCAACTATAATGTGAGGAACTCCAAGCAAGAATGATTGAAGCCAGAATTTCAAAAGTTTTTTCTCAAAGTTCTGTTCATCTCCTCGATGTCTAGGAGTCACGGTAGTTTTCAGCTCAATCCACTCAGTGGATTTTCCATCTTCAGATTTCGAGCCTTTGTATACTGCCGAAACCTGTTAGGCTAGAATAATTGAAAGGCAAGCTTTGGACATACTTCCATCGACCTCTCCGCCAATAACTAAACAGTTCCTCCCGATCTTTGTTTTTACAATTGAGCAGTACTGGGCATGGTTATTGACAATCTCATTATCTCGATTTTCGATATAATCTCGAGAGGTTTCTGACCAAGGCCTGGGCATAAGGCATAAAGTTTCAAATTTATATCCTATCTTCGGTCAATAAAAGTGATAGAAACGCATTCCGGATACCTCAGACTTACCCCAGAAACTCATTGCATCACCTGAAGGCCTTCCTGGTTGAGGTCGCTGTCGTGCATCTTGTCTAGCTCTAGTCTTTACTTTATACTGGTGATCCTCCTCAATAAAGCTGGAAACATTAGCCTTATGCTCAAAAAACAATGTATCGTCAAGCATACACAGTCCCCTTTACCTGAATTAGTCCTAAAAATCCATAAAGCTCACTCATTACTCACTCACCTCAAAACACGTAGCATTCATTTGAAACCCATCTCTAGAATCAAATAAACTAGCTATAATCTATAAATCGCTCATCAGCACTTCCTTAGTTCCGTACTTCTCAAGGCAAACGGACCTTTGTCATCATTCCCCTCCAAGTAATAACATCCGCCTCCGTCTTAACATTGGTCACTTTCTCCTTTTCTATCAAGGCCCTCAACAACGAATCTAGATGTTCATCTTTCGAGTCATCATGTTTGCGGAATGTTTCAAATCCCCTATTCAAATCCGTTCCTAAATCAGGTGGATAATACCATCGAATTGAGGAATCATCTAAACGGAATTCATGACTGTCATCATAAGAGAAATGTGCGATTTCCTATTTCCGAACTTTAGTTTAAAGACAAATAGTGATTAGATAGGCGGACCACGTACCTGCGGTCTTGTAATCGCAGTATTACCCGCATCACGAGTTCGCTCAAATTGAGCAAGAGGAAGAGTGTTGAATTCGTGTGTATGATGATGCGTGTGCTTATGGATGTTCATGATGAAATGATATTTATGGAAATAATTAATCTAAAGATAATCAAATATAAAATTTAACAAACCGATCAATATCGAATAATCCACAAATGAATTTGATCAAAAAATCGTGATGTAGGTATTATTAATTAGGTATCAGGTGTTGTCAGGAGACAGAAGTCAAAAGTCTAGACGTGACATTCGCTTGGGACAATACTAGCCTTTGCATAAATTAACTCCTCCGATTCGTTCAAATGATCCCCGCCCATGTTCCCCGCTAATATTTCAATGTAACAATATCTTCAGCCTTATGACGGACAACAATTTAATGTTTACTTTTTGACATGGGCTGTATTACTATTCCGAAATTTGGTATCACAGTATTAGCATCCGTGACATTCTTCTCTTGAATATACATACATACACTCTATACCTCCTATCATTTTTTTAAACACACCGTCTCTCTACAACCTACAAACAAGCAAATCCGCACACCTCGATACAAATCAAAACCTCCTACAACACCTAAACAGACAACTATCTACCATCCACCACATCAACCCAGCATGCCGGAACGCCGCAACCCCTCCAGCTCCAATGCGCCCACCCGCCCCTCAGTCCGACGCAACCTCTTCCCCTCGCACCTCCGAACCTCACATACGGCATCCTCGACCACAACCCCCACGCATCCCTCTCACCCCTCCCATCCTATTCCTCCTCTACCGCGCCGACCCACTACCTCCTCAACTAGCACATCCGCCGAAACACTACGATTAGATCACGCACATAGCTACCATTCTCATTCCAACTCCCACGATCGCGATTTAAATACCAATCCGTTTCCTCATCATGGTCATGCTAGTAGAAATGGTAGTAGGAATCATAGCAGTATTTCTTTTGATGGGACGACAGATATAGTAATGAGGGATAAAAATGGAGATTTTGATATTGCGAGTATGATGTTAGGAGGGGGGATGGATAATGGAGGGGGATTGTTTGGGGGTGAGGATGAGGATATGATTGGGATTGAGGGGGAGGAGGAGAGTAAGTTTTTTATTTAATTTCTTTTTGAGGTTTGAGTATAGGAGGTTGAGGGAGAGATTAGATAAAAAGAAGAGTTTCTATGATCTATTAAGGAAATGCTAATACATATGAAAATAGAAGAACGGCAGCGTCTAAACGAATCGATAAAACATCATCAACGCGATCGCAATCGTGCACCGAGTGAACCTGCTGGTAAGTTTAATATCCTATCCATTTTATACGTCTTACACAGTGGCTCCCCTTTTCAATCATCATATACGCAAATAATCAAAGTTGCACAAGTATAACACTAACAAATAATTCAATATCTAGAATTACTAGAAGCAGTACGCAACAGTCTACGTGCCAAAACCGCGGCCCTCTCGGAAGATAATTGGATGTTTGAAGCGGAAAATGAAGGGGTTATTCGGTGATAAAGGAGTGACTGCTGCTAAATCGAAACGTCTAATGATATGCGATGCAGAAATCTGTAAATGAGGAAAGGAAAGGAGTTTATATTGGATATTGTATGCAGACGGAAAGTTGCTGGGCGGGCATTCTTGGAATATCTGGAGTATTAGACAAATTTGTTTGACACGGCGTAGAAGATGGAAAATGCATGGAAAGGAAATTGGTATACCGTGGGTTGATCCTACAAATTGTGGCTAGTTTTAGGAGTCCTGGAATTGGTATCTATTGAATCTTTCTCCAAATTTGTACGACTGAACAGTGTGAATTCATCTCCCCATTCCCATTAACCCCTCAAGCAATACACAACCCTCTAATCCAAACCCTCCGCCACCGGTGCCGCTCCCGTCTGTCCAATCCTCCTAGCTCCCTGTTGCTGCTGACCACCGCCCATCCCACCCCCAAACATACTCCCCATCATATCCAACAACGGATTTCCCTGTCTCGGTCTCTGAATCCCAAAATACATCTCCGCAATCCCTAAGAGTGCCTCATCCCACAACTCCCCCGTATCCTTCATATGTCCCGCATATTTCTTCGTCAACTGTTTAAAATCCAACGAATTCCCCTTCTGCACCGCCACCAGTAGTAATCCCAAAAAATTCAGCAGCGGAATAGATGGATAAATCTTAATATCCTGATTCCCACCCTCCCCCAATTCCTGCACCGTCAACCCCGTATTATCCCCCCTCAACCTCTCCCCAAATATCCCCAAACTCTTCCGCGCATCCCGTACATTCCCTACCAATAAGTACGGCAACACAGCTCGACTAGCATACAGTGCCGCAGTATGACTCTCATCCTCTCTATACCATTCATACTCCATTTTCGCGAGTACTTCCGCAGAATCCTTTGTCCCAAGCACCAAATGTCTCTCCGCATCATAGACTTCCCCCTCCTCAGCCAACAACCCCCCAACCACATGATGCAACTCCGGATCTCCAGCCGGATACAAAGAGGTCTTCGAACTCCACGCTACCATCTCGGTAATAAATCGTTTGCGCGAGGGTTCCTCTGGGGAAAATGCCCGCAGGAGTGTAAACAGACGGCCTTTGGATGCAGAGTCGCAGGTCAAGGAGGAGAGATTGTAGACTTCGAGTAAAAAGAGGGCGAGATCGCCACCGGAGCCGCCTTGCGAGGCTTGCAGGAGGGAGTGTGATACATTGTATAGGATGTCGGTTGCGGCGGGGTAGTTTTGTGATTTTATGTACCGGGAGGCGACGACGCGGGTTTGTTGGTGCGCTTCGTAGTAGTTTCCTTCGGTTGTTCTAGGCGGGGGGTGTGGGTTAGTTTTTTTTGTGATTGGGGAGGAAGGTTTTTGAGAGTCTTGGGATGAGGGGACGACGAACTTTTCCTGCAGCCGCGCAATGATCTTGTCGATTTTCGAGGACATTTTGCACGCGTAGTTTTCAAAATACCTTAGTACCCGCAATCAATCTGTGAAATTTTCGATATCTGATTGAAGTATTGCGCACCGCAATGTGATGGTAGTTAAAGAGTACCTAAGTAGCTTAAGATGAAGTGGGATGAGAAGAGAAGCTCGGAACACTGGTGGTGGTGGGAATTAAGCTGTGACGTGGTGGTACCGAGCAGAGGCGGGGGCGAGACATTTTTTTTTTTAAAGAAAGCCTTCGAGCTAAAATCACAAGTCAGAAATGATAATAGGTGATAATTCAGTCAGTACCTAGAAAAACATCAAATTATAAAATAAATTAGAAATATATATATCTTACAAACTGACAGACTCAGTTATTTACTATAAAATAAAGTCATATCTGATACTACCTAGGTACCTAGGTAAGGTTAGGTATGTAAGTAATTTCAAACCAAAGCTATCCTATTCTATCCTATTCCTCCTACCACTAATATTATAATATTATCTCCAAGGTGTTCAAGCTCCCGGTGAACTTATATTTAGATCAAAGCTCACCGGGTGCGCATTTTGCAATAATTAGTCATTTATTTATATAGGCCACCGCCTGTTCAGGAAATTTTACATGAAGATGAGGAAGACTTATAGGATTTCAGTTTGCATATTGACAGAGAACGAGCTTTACGTTTCGAGACTCCTCAGATGATAAAGTCGTAGCAAGCTCATATAGATATTAAAGTCAAACACTACAATCAATCACGACAAGGAACCACATCCAAAAGTCATCAAATCATCAAATCATCAAATCATCAAATCATCAAATCATCAAATCATCAAATCATCAAATCATCACAATCAAAAGCATCCAGAAAAAGATAGGTAAAACCAACGATAAAATTTGCTAATAAACCCAGCGTATCATTTAAAGAAACCACCGAATTCCTAAAGATCATAATTCCATTCCCGTCACCTTTTCACCTTATCACTTATCACATAATAAACATTTTGATAATATCCCCAAATCAAATGACCCTGAAAACTTCCCATGAAAATAGTAAATATTCAGCATTATGTGCATACAACTAGTAACGCTAGAGATCTATTAGTATATTTTGATTTGAAGATGGGGAAGTATGTCTTACAGGAGGAACGGGTGGACCTCCACCTGGTCTGTATTGTTGTTGGCCGGGATAAGCACCACCTGGGGGAGGAGCACCATATTGGCCTTGTTGAGGATATTGTCCCTGTTGGGGTGGAGGAGGATATTGACCTTGTTGTGGAGGGTATCCACCAGGTTGTTGTTGTCCGTAGCCCTGAGGAGGAGGAGCACCATATTGGCCTTGTGGTGGCTGTCCATATTGACCTGGAGGTGGTTGAGGACGGCTTCCAGATTCATCCTTGGTATCGTAAGAAGAATCAATGGCACCAACCAAAAGCTTCAACAACCACAAATCAGGAGTCAATTCGGTTCCTGGATTGGTTCGGGCCATTTCATCTTGTTCGGCTTCGAAGTTGGATGTACAGTCAATCAAATCTCCGATACTTTTGTCATCATCGAGTTTCTTCAAGAATTCGGTAGCCTGCTTGTCGTTACCGACTTGTGCAAATTGATAAGAAATGGCTTGTTTGCCATATTGAGTACGTGCGAGCTCGGCTGAGGAGTTCTTAACAACTTGGAAAACTTCATCTTGGTTATCTGGTTGTCCATCGGTAATAACGATAACCAAAACTGGTTTTTGAAGTGCATTGGATCTCGCCTTGCTCATGATCAATGGCTCAACAACCTTATTCCTGAGTTGTGCACCCAATGGAGTCAATCCCTTGAAATTGACGCGTTGGACAAGTTGCTCGACTTCTGGCTCGGAGCGGATGTGATTGCCTTGAACTTCACTGTTGATGAAGCGAACTTCGATTCCATCGGCGTCGAACAAAGATCCAGCATAAGCAGCTCTTCCCAATACAAGCTTCATGTCATCGATACGGCTACCATTCTCCTGGAAAATCATAGAACCACTGTCATCTTCATAGCGTTAGTATTTATGAGAACTAAAGGATTCTGCAAACATACCAACGAAGAGAATAATATCGAATAAAGCAAGCTTTACGATATCAGCACCCAATTCCTTGGGTACATTCCAGGCTTGACATAGTTGATCGATTTTTTGAGGAGCAACGGCGCAGATCTGATCAAGTATTTGAGGGTTTCTGAAGAAATTACCCAAGTTCTTCTCCTGGATAGTCTGCATAAGGGATTGTTTCACTGCTTGAGGAGGGATCGAGCTTCCACCAGGGACGTAACCCAAAGGTCCAGAACGGGGTGGAGCTCCTCCCTGTTGTGGTGGTGGGCCGCCTGGGTAGGCTTGATAAGGCTGACCTGTTTGAGATTGTGTTAGTGGATTTCCAGCATCTTGTCCATACTGCGAAGGAGGAGAAAATGGTTGTGCCGGCGAAAGAGGTTGGGACTGTGGGTTCGGTGGGTATTGTTGATATGGCTGCTGATATGGTTGCTGATATGGTTGATTTTGTTGATATTGCTGAGGGGGTGGTTGAAACTGCCCATATTGTTGGTATTGTTGTGGAGGGGGTGGAGGCGGAGGCTGTCCATATGGTTGATTATACTGATTGTATTGTTGTTGCGGCGGCGGCGGCGGGGGTGTGGGATGTCCATATGACTGAGGATGCGGAGATGTAGGAGGTTGTCCGTAAGGAGATGGTGAAGACTGTCCACCGTACGGTGATGGCGGAGGTTGTCCATAAGGAGATGGCGACGATTGTCCATATGAAGGATATTGCGGATTGGGGGATGGGGATGGATGCACAGGTGAGGAAGTCTGACCTTGACCTTGACCATATTGAGGTTGACCGCCAGTTGGCTAGATTAATATCAGCAAACAGTCATTTTGAAGCAAATATCGAGAATCTGCAAAGAGAAGAAAACATACATATGGTGGCTGACCAGGAGCACCTCCCATTTGCGCCTGTTGCGCAGCTGCCATCTTTGAAGCTAGCTGTTCCCCCGGATACATATTAGTATTTGGTCTTCCGTACATCTTGATTATATATAAACTAAAGACTTTAAAAGCTTACCCCCATTATTTCGAAGTAAGATTTTAAGAGTCTTTTGGGTTGAATTAGAAAAGGTTCGGGAAAGAGAGGATTCGTGAGATGTTTAAATAAGTTATGAAAGGTGCTAAATAAAGGTGTTGTCGTGTACTTCTGTATGTTTGGATAATGAATTGGATAATAAAAAGTAAGGTAAGATGTAAATGGTGCTTGCTGGGGCATAGCTCAAGGGATGGTGGGGTGATGATATAATAATTATTACTGTTGTTGATGACGCACGCAGGGATGCACACAGCCTTGTCAGTCACTCCCAGTGAATTAATTGGGCCATTTTCATGTTTTCTTTAACTTGTTCAACGTATGACTGGAGTCTTTGGGCCTTGGCATGTATTCACCTTTCAAGGCCGTTTTAGTTGTTTTTGTCGTCTGCCATGTGTGCTTGGGAGAAGTGGGCTGTGCCTTATATTGGTGTAAACTTAAATAGCTGATGTAATACGAGTGATACGAGTATATGGGCGCATGTAGCTCATTATACGAGCTATTTGATTTGATGCATCTCATTGTATGCAAAAGACTTTGATTGTAAACATTTGGATTCACAGCATCAAAATTATGGTCCAGGGGCTAAGAGGGGTCAATACACTGACGTTGCCGAGCTATTAGTGGGGTTTAGCCTTCATTTCTCCGTCGGACCATTGCGAAAGACTCCAGTGTAATAGATTGGCCTAACCATAATAATAAGGATCTGCTTCGTTGGCTTTTTGATTCAATTCATAAAAATATGTCGTAGAATTTGTTCATATGTGTCTGGAAACATTTTCTCGTGGTTATCATTCTTCGAAGTGCACTCGGCGATTCAATGTAGTATAGCTACACATTATTCATTTGTGTGAAGCTACCCCTCTATAAGCAATGTAACAATGCAGCATAGCCCGACTTTTACCTTGCGGGAAGGGGAAGCCTATCATACCAAAAAATGTAACAGGCCAATCACAAACTTTACTGAGAAAGTAGCACATTCGACAGCCAAAATAATTACTTGGTCGGAAATAAATAATATCTAAAGTATCAATCAATCCATTATAAGATCGATGAATCATCACGAGAAGGTGTAAGTGGGACTAAATCATCTTCATCACCATGCAATAACCCTCTGCGCTCTCCTCTACCTTCTTCTCTTGCAAGTCCCGTGTCCAGACTCATATCATCCTGCCCATTTGTTCTCCTAGTCTCTTCTGCACCATTCAATATGTACCAGATGTCTTTTTTGGTTAACAGTCCCTGTAATACACCTCGATCGCAGTAAAGAATATATCGAACACCCAATTTCTGGAAATAGTTCGCCGTGATGAGAAGGTTTGATCGTGAAGGTAAAGTAATAGGGGTTTGGTCCATCCATGGTCGGAGGTCAAGTGTTGTTCGTGGATCCGCAAATGGTTGATGTGAAAAGAATGCTTCTGTTTCAGGCCGGAGTGATCGAGGTGCTTGTGTAGATATCTTGAGGTTATACTGAAGTTCTGCTCGGGATATATATCCTAACAATATAGCTTCCCTGGGATCCGAGATCACAGGAAAGCCGCGATATGGATGACTCGCCAAAACATTTGTTAGAGATTCAATGGTATGACCGGTAGCGGTGAGCACGACAAGATCTTCAATCCGAGTCATGATTTGCCGAACCGATATATCAGGTATTGGCGTCTCATCACTATTATCCAAGAATGGATATTCATTCAAGTGAATCCAACTTTCGTAAATGCCACGCTTCCCGAAAGCATCACCGACCCATTTGCTGATCATGACAGCAATCATAATTGGTAAAACATAAGTCAGAGCTCCGGTGAGCTCAAACATAATAACAACGATCGAAACAGTCATCCTGGTTACACCACCCAATGCTGCAGCGGCTCCAATTATCGCATATGTACCAGGAGTAATACATGGCATGTCTGGCTCGCAAGATGAGAATGCAAAAAATTTGGGGAAATTGTGAACCCATATTTCTACGAGAATGCCAACGGCACGACCAAAGAGCGCTCCAACTGCCATTGAAGGTAAAATGATCCCTGCGGGAACTTGCAGCCCGAATGTCATCGATGCTAAGAAGAAACCAAGTACAGCTGCAAATAGTAATAAAAATATTGTTCCAATAGTAGCAGCTCCAGTTTTGCACAATCCGAATTGGTCGTCGGTAAGCTTTGAACACTCGGCAAATAAGGAGAAAACTAGCTCAGACGACTGAGTTCGCATGTAAAGATTTGGGTAGTTGATTAGGGCGGTCAAGGTGGCAACAATCATAACCTGTGTTATTGGACCCGGAAGCCATCTAGCAGTCTTTTTCCATTGAAAAATGCTTGTATTGACTTTAATAAAGAGACCGCCGTAAATTCCCTACTTCACGTTAGACTATGCGGAGGCACTTTCACGAGGGATACTTACCCCTAAAATACCTAGAAAAGCATAAGGTATCATCTCAAATCCATGCCAGGCGGTACTATAAGTAACCTGATATAACACAAGCTTTCCACTCCTGAAAGGATCAAATGCCTGTAAAGTCACGGCAGCTGTCATGGCACAGACAAAACTTTGCCACATGGTTTTGTCGGGAAAATAGTACGACAGTTGCTAAGCTCCTTTAGTAATTGAACGTTATGATCATCGGAAGTGCGTACCTCTAGACTAAAGAGTACACCACCAATGGGTGAGCCAAAGGCAACTGATATACCAGCAGCTGCGGCCGCTGAGAGTACCTCACGTTTTCGAGCTGAAAATAAAATTAGACACTGATCAAACTTTGAACCTCAAAAAGTATACATACCTTCGTTACCATTGATGTTGACGAATAACTTCATAAATACATTGGCACAACAACATGCTACATGTACAAGTGGACCTTCTTTGCCGAGCCACATTCCAGATGCGACTGATAGGCACTATATAGATCAGTATCCAATCGAGATATATGTTAGACGAGGCTCACCAGTCCGAGGGACTTGATAACTAATGTCCAGATCCCCATAAAACGCCGAATTACAAAGCCCCCTAATATAGTTTTGATCTCAGGGATCCCACTATGCTTCGCATATAAGGCATATTCCTTCACCAACACACTTGAAATAAAAGCAAAAGATAACTACTACACGTCAGTAATCATATCTGGGATGATTTATGGGTTGAACCTACTGAAAACAATATAAAAAAGAAATACTCTATGAACCATTTTCCACCCGCCGAGCGAACGTTCGACGCCACACTCCACGGTACCCAATCACGACACTGCGCAATACTGTCATATCCATAGCAGCAGAAGAATTTATTTAGGTAGAAATGACCTCCATCCTCTCCAGCCCGACAATATCCCGTCTTTAAATCTGCTAGGAAATCCGTGGCAATATCTATTCCGGCTGCAAATGTCCCTGCCGCCAGTCCTGTCAAAACAAGGACTATCCATATCTGACTTGCATCCAAAAGCTGTTGTACATATCCAATCAATCCTGTTGCTCTAGAGTATAATATCCGTAGCCTTTGTCGTTCTTTCGTGTATTCAAAGATCCAATCAATAGCTGTCATATCTTCGTATCCAACCCGCCGACCAGGCCCTTCAGCATACCAGTCCAACGGCGCTCCATCTTTAGGCGCAGGACTATGTTGTGAAGTACTCCCTATTGGGTATGCTCGACCGTTTCCTTGGCTTGGTGTGCTTCCTCTAGGTGATCGTGTATTATGCCGCGACTGGGATTCGGTTCCCAATTTGGCGAATGCAGATAGGAATTTCGAGGTCGCAGGCTGTTTCTCTTTGCGCTTAAATGACAATTTATGCGCGTCGTCTTCATCGAGTGGATCGTCTGCAAGAACAACCTGGGGGTCATCGTTATCGCTGTCTTCGGCTGAGGGATGATTTGATAAACTGTGACTCGATAACGAATTGGACTTTTGCGGAGTTGGAAAGTAACCCGCAGATGAGCTGGCCATCTTTATACCTTCGATAAGCAACTGTGCATCTTCTGCGATAATGATACACTTGCGATAGCTTGAATGTTGAATCTAGGCTTCGAGAGATCCTTCGGATCAATATTTTGCCGAGTTTCCTGACTAAACCTATCTAAGTATTGACTAATAACTTAACCCCAGTTCGTTTACTCATCCAAGTTACCAAAGACGTTGAATTTCATGTCGAAGTTAGAGATATTTTTCTAGCACATTTTTTTTAAAGTAATACTCTGGCATTATCATGACAGAATCAAAAGTCGCTGGTGGCTCAAGTTCTGAGCCAACGGGTCTCACCAGCCCTGGCGCAACTTTTGAAAAAATGAAGGACCTGTTGAAGGCGAAAGACGACACTTCCAGGTTCGTAGGACTTGCTCTCCTTAAATCCGTTCTTGACAACGAACAGCAGCTCGTCAACAATATAGAACGACTACAAATACTTTGGGAATCAATATCTTCAAAATTCTTGGATCGGCTACTGCGAGCTCAACTTGGTGGAAATGTTGACAAGTCCCAAGCGAAAGATATGGTAGATCTCGCAGTAGCTGTACTACATACATTCTCAATACTATTACCAGAAAATATACGAAGAGAACCACAGCTTACTCGAAGAATAGGACCACTGGTCAAAGCTCTGGTCCAAAGGTAAGCCCCAGCTTTCCGGCTATAAATCACGTGCTAATCCCAACCAGTTCCCCTGAAACGACACAGCTCATTCTTCAAACGCTGTTGACTATAGTCAGTCAAGCAGAGGGCTCTTTAGAACTTTTAAAAGTCGAGGATCTGTCTTCGTTGACAGAAATAGCGCCACAATACCCTCTTGTCCTGGACATCTTCAATTATACTTGGGCAAATGGTTCTACAATAAATACTGAAGTGCAAGCTGTCCATGAAAGTATCAATAGAGTGATTCCAAATCTGCTTGTAGTATTCAAAGGAACTGACGCTGTCACATTTTTAACATTTACTGCAAGTTTTATACCGAAACTGTCTTCAGAAGTATGTATGAATATTCCCTTCTAGACCCTGAGTCTAACACATTTTAGGCACTTCCACGTAATCCAAAATGGCTTAAATCTATAACAACCTTGCTACGAGATTTGGTCAACAGGAAACCCACACTTATTGGTAGAACTGCATATACTCAAGCAGCAGCAGCATTACTCCAAGCATACCCTGCGACCTGTCCCTCGTTGTTATTTAGCAATGAATCTCTGCATACTTCGGATAAGACCGACAATAGCAAGCCATTTTCTTATCTATTTGTAAATCTTTTATTGATTGACTTGCGATCCTCTTTTCCATCTCTCTTGGCCAAATTGAATAATAGTGATTATTCAGCTATCTCACAGCGGTTGGCGGCTGCATTCGATGTTATATCAAGTTTCATCGGATATCTTGTACGGAGTCTCGATGAAGACTCCAATACCTCCAACATGACCCCAGATTTAATGTTAAAATTGCGCAAAGATATCGCTGAGACAATGTCTTTAGCAATCGAGTATCTCCGAGATAGGTGGGATGCATCTATTGCTGGGGCTTCCGGATTGCATCCGTCTGCACGTTCTGGAACGGCTGCCACATCTGAAGGGACAAGACTTACTTTAACCTGGGACTCTATGAAAGACAACGTTACTGCTGATCCTCTGATTCTCGCTAGTATCAGAGCGTTGGCCATATGGACCCGCGAGGATGAAAATGAAAATTTACGAAAAGAAAGTGCTGGTATGATGGATATGTTCATTGAATTATACAAATTACGTAACAAGGACGAACCTGATTTCAGATATCCAGTATTACTGGCGCTTGAGGGTATAATGACTACCGAGGATGGCGTGGAGGCTTTCTTGAACCAGGATGGATGGCAAGTCGTCTCTGAAGACCTCGCGAGTATTGTCAGTAAAAGTACCGATATCTCAAGCACCAATAACTATTCCATCATCACCTCGGAAGCAGCAAGAGGTCTCCAAATCGTAAGGGTTCTACTCGCTGTTATCGATGAAGAGTCTACATCATATATAAAACAGGAATGGTTAACTATATTCTCAACCACATCTTCCATGCAACTTCCCTCCTCCACGTCACCCTCTGTGGTTATTGAGCTACATATCGCCATGCTTCAGTTATCCACAGCATTATTATCAAAAGCAGGAGATAGCATGCAGAAGCGTTACGCGAATGATCAAAAATCTCTAGTCAGAATAGTGCAGCAACTAGAGGTTGTAGTTGGAGAGATGGAAGATAAGGGAGAGGCAGCTGAATTCAAGGAGTTACTGTCGGATGTGGTGTTGGATTTGAAAAATTTGGGAGGGCGTTAAATCAATTGTCCAATTGAGAAGAGCTTTGGAAAGAGCATAATCTATATGGTATGTACAAGTTGGTATCATATTAGCTATATTATTTTGGAAATTTTCCTAGTAACAGCATGTGTTTTGACTCATATTCATCCTCCTGTTGCTCCAAGGATTTTGATTCAGCCATAAATTATCTCTAGTTGCAACCATCTAAGTTTAAAGTAAATCCCCATGGATTCCTCATGAGTTGCAAGAGACAAAACTCGTTTGAGGGATAAAATCTCAAAATGTGCACTCTCGTTCTATCGGGGACTTTTGGCAGAGGTATTTCAGGATGGGAGTACGATAGGCAACCTTAGTAAGATGGAGAACGTAAGGTATACTGATAACGGATACCGGGACATGATCCCGGTGATCGCTCTTGATTATGTGCTCATGGCTATCTATATCCTTGATATATATATTTGTGTATTTTGTGTGACCAGAAGTTTGATGTGACGCTTGATAGGACTGTTTGATGAGATTTAAGAAACTTTGTCAGTAGATGAGATGAGTAAGGGGGAGGTGAGAGCGAACGGATTGAAGCTAATAATGTCTGATTAAAGCACTCATTTCTATCTATGCCTTTGGTATAAGGATTTGGGTCACGAGCAGGAGATATATATTATGACGTGCTGATTTGAATACCCGTAGATCGATATCGATATTCCATATCCCAAAAAACCACAAAACAAACAGATCCCACATCCATACCACATCAACCTCTCGGATCTCGCCGTTAATGCATCATCGAAAAAAGACACGTCAAATCCAAGCACAAAGCTCATGATACCAAAACGGCAAAAGAATCCCTATTCATATATCATATTGTGGCAAGATCATGATAAACTTCCTCGGTACGAGACACAAGGCTCGGATGATTGCAGCTGGTATACTATTATATGTATATTCCCGTAGCAAAAGATCATCACCACGTGAGGATCTTTCACTATGGGAAGGAAGCGGGAATATGACGAAACTGAAGAATTGTTCAGTATCGGTACCGTTTTTGCTGTCATGGGGTTAGAAAAGAGATATGGAGCTGAGCTGATAAGTTGAGTTGATCTTGTGTTGTACATCGTTAACCTTCGTATCCTAAGCAATGCGCTTGCTGTGCTCGCGTCTCAAGCTGGTAGGCTAAGATGTAATTTTGATACGTATCATTGTCGGCTACTACAATTCTGTGGATGTGTGTGAGGTATGGATACTGCTAAATTGTGCGTATATAACGGCGGTGAAGTATAATAGCAATATTACTGCTGTGTTTCTAACTTGAAAATCCTGCCAGGAAGATATATTTCCGCATCGAAGGGAACATCAAAATAAGTAAGATCTTATTAAATTCTGTTTTGCGCAGTTATCCGAGAGATTGACTGCTTGTGTACTCTTGTGAGACTTCCACAATACGATGATCACCTCGAATACTTTGACACTTTGACACTCTGAACACAACGGCTCTCTGATTAAAACATCTTGCATGTGAAAAATGTAATGTACTGTCATATAAATAAAGTGAAATCTTCACTTGGAGATAGAGATCATTTCAAAAATACCACCGTCAGTACGTACCACCATAATCACATGAACCTAAAAAATGCATCTCCGAAAATTCCTCGCTGTTCTCTTCTCCCTTGCCGTCGTTGGACTTTCAACTCCAGTAGTATCAAAAGGTATATAGAAAAACCTCTCCTATCCCCCTATCCACGAAACAGCTCAACAAACCCTCAAACCAAAGCCCTCCAAAATCCTCAACAAACAACTCACTCACTCACAAAAAAAAAACAGAACAACCCCCCAACACTACCCACAACAACATCAAACCCATCCCCACAATTCCAACCCAAGCCCAAACCCCACCCAAAGCCCAAGAACCTTCCCAACTCACCAATAAAAACACCATCCAAAGTATCCAAACCAGCAATACAATAATCGAAGGATCACTCAATCGCAAAACTATTGATGAGTCTCTACTGGGGATTATTCTCGAGCTCCCTACAACACAAACACGTGTGATGGAGTGGAAGAAACGGGGTGATGAGACGGTGGTTTGGGTTCAGCCGCCCCCGACTTCGAAGATGCATCCTCCTGTGTGAGTGACAGTTTTGCGATCGTTTGGTTTACTGGTTTTGGGGGCGATTTTGTGGGGGATTTTTGCGAGTTGGGGTGGTATGCTGGGGGAGGGGAGACGGGATTTATGTGGTGGAATGAACGGGGTTGGAGGGATGGGTTGTGGTGTTGTGATATGATTATTGCGACTTGGAGATGTTTGATGGATGTTGTGTTTGCGGAGTATTCGATTATATTAACAGTCTACTGTTATTTAAAAAATCATAAATGGAATACTTCAAAACGAATCACAAAATATCAATTAAAAAAAACATTATTAGCATAATATCTTTAACTTTTTCCATACTTCCTTAGCATTGCTAGCAATGATACCAGACGTATGCACGTGTAAAACTATTCCGAGCAGTACCTAGAATGATATACATGACTTTCTAGAAGTTCCTAGATATCAACATAAAACAGAAGCTCCTTTTTTTCTTGAGGGTGATGCAATACCTAGCAATAACCATAACTTCGTCTCAAGACGGATAAATCTCGAATCCCCATTGCAACTTATTAAGAGCAGGTATACATAGATCAAACTTTGCAAGAATTCTCAGCATTATGAGATGAGGTGCACTGCTTCAACTTTGACCCCGTTCCACATATATTAAAACTTTTACCTTGGACATACAGTACATGAGTTTGACTGGATGTCTTTTTATATGGACATGGAGACGTTTTTAAATCGATGCGTGTTTGTCGATGTCTATTGTTTGAAATCCAGCTCTTGTCTTGATAAAATAACTCAAAACAACAACGCCAATTTATCCTCAAACCCTGGTTTCCTCATCAGTTCTTTACAAAGTAGTAGTGATTGAGATATCAAAATGTATTCTCACGTGTAAAAACCCCTTTTACATCCACAGTAAAAATATTGAAATTCATCATATTACAATCATTATCATCCGGCAACCTTCCATCTAATGTCATACCCAGGGTATCCACTCATCCCACTCATCGCACTCATCCAACCCTCATAAACGCCTCGCTGAAATAATGACAGTCTATGAAATATTGTACAACTTCTTTTCTCTTCGCTAGATGTAACCCATTTTAGTCTTCCCTTAAAGGAAAACCTATCTAGCTCAGAACGAAAGTACCACCCATCTAACTCCGATCCAAATCCGCCTTTCGGAAACCCGCCAAAACCTTCTGCCCCGTCCCTTTCTTCTGCGATGGCACCCCATCTCCTCTTCTCGCCACAGGCTGAGGATAAGTCGGCTGAGCTACCGATGGATTTTCTTGTACAGGCTGTAGCGCTGCACTACCTTTCCTGCTCGACCTTTTGTCCTTCGAAGAGGTAGAACCCGCTCTATTCGGTGAGTCCACATGTGTACTCGAACTCGAACTCCTCTCCTCCACCGGTAAACTAGGCTGTCTATGATCCTCTCCTTTACCCAACAACTTCTTGGGTAAACTCGGTACACTCTTCCAACTTTTCTTAATCTCCTCATTTTCTTCCCTCTCCTTTTCTTCTTCTCTCCTCTTTCGTATTTCCGGATCAATCTCTCCTCTTTCTTCCGCTTCTTTGAGTTTTCGCGTATTGATAGTTTCGACGACTTCGGATGTAAGTTCTTGTTTCATCATTCTTTCTATCACTTCGTGTTTGCGTGTACGTTTGTCACCGATGGATATTAGTACTCCACCCATGATGTTGCAGGTTATACTAAAGCAGAGAATGACGGTCGTGAGAGCGAATGGTCGATGCTGGTAGGGGATTCCCCATGTGCATGCTCCCAACGTGATTTGCAGGCAAGAATGTAAATCGAGTAAGATGACAACAGCGAAGAGCAGTTTGAGGGGAAATGCATAATGAGTCTCTGTTTCGTGGGGCTTGTAGAAGGTGTGACTTTTAGAGAATTTTCGCTCGTGGAATTCGAGGACGCTTTGTTCTTCTGGAGATAGAACCGTATACTCGTAATTTGGCTGTACTTCTGTTTGATTGCGAGCTATCATCATGTCGGCATATTTCTTTGGTATGCGTGGCGCGATTCTACGTGCGAAACTTTTGGGCATTCGGCGGGCACACAGACTCTCAATATCAACCTGAGGAGGTGAAGCGATATCCTCCTTGCGTTGCTCCGGGAGATCATTATGATCCCATAATTCGGGCAGGCCGAGCTTTTCGCGACGTTTCCAAGTTTTACGGTGGTAATGTGCTATGTAGGCCATATGGTATGTATCGACAGCACGAAATGGGGCTAAGCCATCACCGATGATTGCGAAAAGAGCGACTAGTACGTTATCGACAACGTTGACTATGTAAGCTTTTCGGGAACCTAGAGAAATCCAACCGATGAGGAAGAGTACCCAGGCTGCACCGAATAGCGTAATCAAGGTTGCATAGACTGTGATAAACAGTCCCAAAGCTGCGAAATTATCGTTAGTCAGAAAACTTAGGTACCAGATCAAAGAGTTAACTTACGTCTGCGAACATATTGCTTGAAACCTTTCAGTGAACGCTTAAACTTTGCTCTTCGAGAATGTAGCTGATGTCTAACACCATCATCTAGCTCGTCAACCTCAGCTGGTGTCCAACCAACAAGCCTTTCTCCATCAGGTAGAACAGCGTATTGTAGCTTCGGCGGCTTCCATGTATCATCATCCACTCCTTTTTCTGGACTTCTTAGATTCTTCAACTTTGCCTTGATCCTATCAATAGTGCGTACTTCTCCAGAGCCGTTTGAAAGTCTATATGTAGGCTGACGATTGACAATACCTCCCATTTGAGGTACGAAAAGAGAGTTCTGAACATTGGTAAGGGTAGAAAGCGTAGATATTTCTGGGTCTGCAATGGGTCAGTCTACTTCCTAAGCAACCAGTCTCATCGCACATGCCTACAACGTCCAACAAATCCACCATATCAGGGTCATATTCATGCTCGTAAGACTCGTGCTGTGTAGAGTATTCTCCGCGACCAAAAAGTGACCGAAAGCGATTGGTAAATGCATTTCCTTGAGATGGAAGAGGCTGCGTTGATGCTCCAGTGGCAGATTGTTCAGGCAGTCCTGCACGGCTATGCTGTGTGCTTCCACGAGTTGGTGAGTCAGCATTGTATTTCTCTGAAAGGTCCCTTGGTGAGGACCCCTTTCGTGACTCTGCATTCGAAGCGTCACGATGAATTCTAATGGTCGGACGTTGATGTGTGCCCAAAACCGACTTGACTTTCCTACCAACTGCTATTATTGGATTCTCCGTTGTCGACGAAGAGGGAGAGGATTGTGACGAGCCTTGCTGAGCCATTTTTTCAACCGTTAATTTTTGTTCCAGGAATGAAGAATTGGTAGAATTGTCAAAGATGCACGGGCTGGAAACTCCAATATCTATAAGAGAAGCACAGTATCTACTCCAAGAGTAGAAAACGGTCACTTATTCCAGTCAAAAGAGATATGCAATCGATTATCAAGATGATTATAAGGGATCAATATCAGGGTCCTATGTACATGAAGTGTATTACGCAGGGGTGCGTCCCTGTTTTGGGTGCCGATGTCATTTTGCAGATAAATTTGTAGTGAATTTTGCGGTGCGACAGCAACATCCTTGGGACGATCTGTTGGCGACGCCAAAGAGAAAACTTGGAACAGGATTCGTGGATGGCATGGCTACCTAGCTCTGATTGGCGGAAATCCACCAAAATGTGGGAGCGAAAAGCAGGTTTCTAGAGTTAAAAATATAAGATTGATGAGAGAAAAAAAGCGAAATCCGTAAGCAAACAATTGTGAACATATAGATAAATATATATTCATACCTAGATATATACGAGTACAACTATTAACATATAGTTAAAGCAATTTCCGATATTCCAAAGGAGTCGTACATACTGTTGTAAATAAGAATGGAAAGTTTGAATCAAAATCTAAAAGGTTGGAGCAATAGAGTTATAGAATAAGTCTATTTGCTTACTAATCGTGCGCAAGCTCCAACTGTCACTTTGCGAATCAAAAGACATTCAACCACATTCGATCAGTATATAAAAATAGCATTTCTTTAGTAAGTCTAGTACTCTACTTTCCGGCCACCTGTTACGAGGTTTGCCGTCTAGATCACGTGGAAGTGCTCTAGGCTCTCGAGGTGGTTTATAACTAGGCGTCAAGCAGGGACTTAAAGTAATGACAATAATGCAATTCGTAACTAATAGTAGAGTATACTAAATGATTGATCTTGAGCACGAAGCTCTATACAAAGGAAATCCATCTTGGTTATATAGACCTTCATGCTAATCGTCCCCTTGGTCCCCTCGGTCCCTTCGATCAAGAGACCGAGGGGATCGAAGGGACCATGTGATTACATAATTGGTCACATGATACGAGATCCGAAGCCGTCGTAACATATAAATATTTGAAAAAAATTTATAGTTTATTTTTACTTATTTTTGTTGAAAAGTTGTTGAAGATTTTTAAGATTTTCAAATTTGTATATAAATGTTACCAGGTTTGCCGTCTAGATCATGTGGAAGTGCTCTAGGCTCTTGAGGTGGTTTATAACTAGGCGTCAAGCAGGGACTTAAAGTAATGACAATAATGCAATTCGTAACTAATAGTAGAATATACTAAATGATTGATCTTGAGCACAAAGCTCTATACAAAGGAAATCCGTCATGATTATATAGACCTTCGTACTATACATCCCATCGCCTCCCATTATATCCCACTGCCTATAGTTGAGTGATTCTAGGTGGGACAATATTGGGTCATGTGACCATGAGCTTAGTCACCTGAGTAGCTGTTAGGATTGGTCGTAACAAAAAGGTGGCCGGAAAGTAGGGTACTAGACTTAACTTTCAAGGAAAACAAAATGACTTTCCCCTTTTTTATTTTGCTTTGCCCTTCGCTAAGAATGCGAAGCATTCAAAATTAGTAGGAGATGTTCAATCTGATTTCAGCAGTAGAAGCAATGTTTCTCTCCATGCATGACAATTTACAACTTGCAAAGCTATAGCTCCCACCCCCCCTCCCCCCCCCCCTTCCCCACCTCCCCAAAGAAAGATTTCGCTAATATTGGTATATTTATCGCCAGTTGCACAAATATACGTCGCATCTCCCCAGATTCAGAAATCTATTTATTTTCCCTTTTCTTTTCTTAGCTCATAATTGACATTTCGAGGACATTTGAAGACATTTGGAAATTACACCGGAAGTTAACAGTAATGTTGACGATAAGATTTGGACGATTGTCAGCTTCTCTTCTTGAAATTGTTGAAGCGGAAATCCGATGTTGTTGCACCTATTTTTTTGTTTGCGTTTCTTAGTTATCCCCAAAAAGTCTATGCGCCCATGCTTGTGTGCTTGTGGACGAAGATTTATGCAGGGAAAAGCACTATGGAAGGCTGAGTTTGCTATTTCCATGGACCTCTATAGCTCCAGACGTACTCAAATTCATAGAGCAATGGCTTCTGAAAGTTGTTTGGGCAAGAGCCCAAAGTCGTAAAGGCTTCGCGTCGTATTTACCCCCTTGTTATCTATGCTCGGAAGCGCTCATATCAGAGGTTGTGTTACCTTTTGCAAAATGATGTCCCAAGTACTTGGTGCTGAATACATTGTGACCGTAAGTATTTGCTCAGAACAAGGCTTACAAGTTCTTCTGAGACACCTACTAAGTACAATGACCCATCATGTATAGCGCACAGCAACAGTCTCAATTCGACAATTTTCCGGTAAGCTCCTGCAGAACAAAGCATATGTTGCCCTCAAGGGTAACCTCACCGTACAAGACTCAAGCAATACTTCCGCAAATCCAATCGTTTCTTCTAGACGGCTATCTCAACATTCTTATACGCAACTCACAATGAATTCCATGTATCAAGCTACATCTACTACCATTAATACAAGTTGAAGGTATATCAACCTTGTTCATTTGTTTACTGTACAATCTATCCCTATTCTTCAGATGCATCTCCAATACACAGGCACATGAAAATCTCTGATGTTGGGAAAGATTGAAGCTTTGTCCAGCCAGCCATTGTCGGGATTCATCCTATTGGCGCTAATGACATGGGACTGCATATCAAAGTCATCAGTACCCTGAAACTATGGAGTTTTACGCCCCATGGACGTGTTTCCCATCCTAAAAACGTTTCACTAAATGCTTTTTCCATTGTAAAGTGTATTAGAGCTCATCTTGGTACCGCACATATCGTCGATGCAATGCCATTACTATGGTTTCAAGTAAATAAGGTTACTTGTACATGATGACTGTGCCTGAAAACTTCTAGAACTCGAAATATTCACAAGGAAAATATGTTATCCAGATGCATAAAGACATTCCCCCTCCGATGCTTCAGTCAAACGCCCCATACAAGAGGGAACGTTCGAGTAGAAGATAATAACTCTAGTCTCACCAAGAACACTACATTCTGGTGATTTCGCACCAAATCATATCATTGCTATCATGCATGGTACAACCTCCTACCTTCCAAAAATCTATATCTAAGTTCTCATCCATCTTAAATTGAACCATTTTAGTGCCCACCGACGACGTCACCGCCATCTGATTCGGCTTTACTAGCATCCTCCTCGTAATTGTATCTATATACCATGCGCAGATAATAAAATTTGGCTCCAGGTACACGAGAAAACCCTTAAATTACCTCAAAGTCAAAGGAAATTAAATAATCACACTTCAGAGCCTGGATTTACTAGAAGCTACCCCTCAAAGTTTAGCAAAACGCTACCAAGTCTTCACCATGGTTATTCTGGCTTTAATAATTGGCGCGCAAGAATCCTCTTCGGATGTACCGAGCCTGGTCTAGTGGGCCAGTAAGCAAGCATCTGACAACACTATCGTAAATCGATGCAACGAATTGAGAAACGGCGGATTCCACAAATGGATGGATTATATATTGCGACATGGGACCCTGTTACCATTTTACACGGATGACTTATCGCATTATATCACTAAATGATCATGAATCATGAGATGGTAGCTGCTACAAGCAAGGAGAGATGCATTTGTGGATGGGAATGGGATGAAGTTGATCTTATCAACCGAGCGATGATGTGCAATAGGAAGTATATGTATCTCCGCAAGTGGCAAGGTAATGTTAGACGAGATGGAAGCTCACGGAGTAGATAATATGAGGGACAGAGTAAGATTTTATATTTACATCCATTGAACTAACTATCTGAGTGCCCTTCAGTGTAACATTCTCAAAGAATATTGGGAGACAAAGTGACCTCCCATTGATTCCATCGCCATCTAATGGTGCACAGTAGCCGGACCCGATCTTTGCAAGGTCTTAGGCAACAAAGGCTGAATAGTCTTCAACCAAACGGTCTCGTACAATCTATATCCAATTAGCACATGAATCCTCAATCAACTCCAAAAAAATAGGAGAAAACTTACCCAGGACTTCCATCACCAGCCAAACTTCCCGGTTCCAAACTTCCCCACTGTGCCGAATCCGCACAGCACGGAGAATTAGCTCCCCAGAAAGGTCCTGCGGCCCAGGCCGTCCATCCAATATACACATCATTCGCCGCCATGTAGTTAATCATGCCTGAAATATATGGTTCGCACTCTGTGCCGTTTGCGCCACCAAATTCGGTAATCATGGCTTTGAGCTTGTAGGTTTGGAGCCAGGAGGTAAGAGCGGCGAGATTTGATGAAGCGGGTGAGGAGCAGAGGGAATGGCCGCCGGAAAAGTCAGAGTCGAGGTATTCGTGGATGTCCATGGCGGTGTTGTTGAGGGGGTCTTGGAGGGTTTGTAGAAGCGCGCTTGAGGGGTCGCTGCCTTGGGTCCAGGCGTGTCCTCCTGTCCATGAGTTACCTGGTGCTAGGATCCTGTGTTTTGTTAGTATTGTTACCAACTATTGGGTTGATGAGGGTGCTACTGACAAGTTCTTGGCGCCGGCTTTGCGAATGGCGGTAATGGCGGCTTGATTGTTCTTTACTACTAAGCTTGTGGCCATATCGTGGGGCTAGCACTTTCGTTAGTCTCGAATATTTTCTTCCGTGTAATAGAAAGTATAAGGAGAGGCCATGGAGACGGAGCATGGATAGTATAAGAAAACTGACCTCGTTCATCAGCGCAAAAATAACATTCTGGTTGTTCTTGAATCTTTTTGCCAATTCTCCCCAGAATGCACCAAATTGTGCAGTGGTGGCAGCCTTTGCATCGGTGGTGTCACCTATTATAGATCCAGAGTATGGTTGTGAAGATGGATCATTATAGCGCATATAATTATGAGGATCCAAGATAGCGTAGGATGATTTGGTTTGAGTGATGTAGTTAATTGCATCTGCGTAGTAAGAGTAATGCTGTTCTATATGTTAGCTCGGCTGATGATGAGGGAGGAGATGATTGAGAAACTTACGGTTTCGTTGAAGGTAGAGCCTAAGCCTGTGGCAAGAGGGCACATTCGCTCCAGTAGGAATGCTACACGGAACAAGTTTGCCTAAAAAGCTGTTAGTTATCGCTTTTAGTTCACAACTAAACTACTCCTCTGTTGAGCCATTAGAGATAGAGTCGGTAGTTGAACGCACCTTGTTCTGGTCAACGTAGATGTCAATTGCGGATTTGTTGATGAATTCATAATCTCGACCAAATGTTCCCGGCAATCCTGTTCCTACAGTACCTGATCCACCTATTTCCATGTTAGTATCTTTGAATCTCGAACATCCAAACCTTCTAACGCCAACTTTCTATGCTCGAATGTGAAATTTGACATTATTCAAGGAACACATACTGTAGACTCCAAACTCTCCACCACTTTCAGCAACTCCTGCATAGTATATGGTAGCGCTTGCCGAAGTTGCGAGGACTCCAACCGTGGAGATGAGACTCTTGAAAAGCATGGCTATCAATTTGTCACTGTAAACATAAAAGGAAAGCAGAATGAGCTTCAGAAAAAGAATGAGCTTCAACCAGAGTGCCTATATACACAGATACATAAATAGACTAAGGGAAACAACTCCCATGTTGCCGATTCATCCATAATCAAGGTAACATCTCGGTAGATTGACGTACTCCGAGACATCCTTGTACCCCAGTCGCCCTCCATATATCGCGGTGAAATATCCAAATGGTCAGGAACATTCTTGACGAGATAGGTCAATGGAGAATCCATCATGACAACCTGTAGACAGGGGATAATCGGAGGCTCGGCCCGGATATATATAACCAATTTGTGGGGACCCCGCACGGGACATTACGCTCCGCTGTCAAAAGTCTCAGACATTGGGTAAAACGTCTAGCCGATGAACCCGGGGTAATACTGAAGAAATGAAGCTTCGCTGATCATGCGGAGGCCTACTTTGAACAGCAATAACCAGAACAGAATGTCCTGGATGATATTTTGCGGGTTGTTCGAGAGTCCTCCAGTCGAACGACTCGAACGACCGACTTAAAAGTCGTTCGAGCTTTGCAGATAACCCCATACAGATGAAACGTTTCCAGCATACTCTGTATCTTCAATAACTTGCCAGCAGATATCCCCGCCTTTTCCCCGGTGTTTTTAAAATCACCTCATATGTAACCCTAGACATATCCCCGCAAACTCAACATGGATCTTGCCTCCCAGACGGCGTATCTCTGCCGACTATATATTGTGCCAAGCAGTCAAGCACTCAAGGCCGAGGTTTCATCGCTCCTTCATTAATTGGTAATCTGCTGTCGAAGATATCAAAATCATGATTCCGTTCGAGCGGAAGAGTTGTCTGTGGCGAAATCGCTGTAATCTGCCTGGCAAAGCGCTTGCTTGTAAAGTACGAAAGTATGTTCCTTTGTGATAATCATTTATGGTAGAGTTTTCAGATTTAGAGACGCCGACTCAACAGTTGGCCCACGACAAACGAAAAGTGGGATTCAAGCTAGGTTTCGCTAGATGTGGCTTGACCAACTTTAATTTTGACCACGATGTTTCATGTTTCATATAAAGGTCAAACAAAACTTTGCGAAAGATTACTAATCTTTACCAGCCGAAACATGTTCTTCAATTCCAGGTCTAGGGGCTCCAAACCCAAATCGACATCGATCTAATATCGGAACTCTACGCCTTTTCTGCGCGAGAGAAATGATGTCCGAGAGGAATTCTAGGCTATAGGTTAGTGCATACGATAATCATAACAATTTCTAATTTACATGAGCCAATTATTATAGAAATATTTCTATGCTAATCAACGATATTATCATATATCCCAGGCCGTAATGGAACGACGAAATAAATGCTTAGTGAAATATCTTGATGCCATTACTCATCTCAAACCATCATATACTACAACAAACTGATGAACAAGACTCAACAGGAATCAATTATACACGAAAACAAAACAAACACCCAAAGAGACCAAAGAGCGAATAATTACAATCCCTCATCTTTTCCTTCTGCGTCATCCTCGTGATTACCCCCTCATCTCCTCCATCCCCAAGTCAAACACCTTGTCTTTCCCTCTCATGATTATGAATATAGCCCGAGAATCCCCACATACTACTAGTCTTCCTCAACTTATTTGAATGCTGCCTCGTTCCCTCTTGTGCCGTCATGAATTCGAAACTTTCCGGCCTCTTCCAAATCCCAAGCTCATTATCTCTCTCCCCTTTCTCGCCCTTCTTAACACTCCACTTATCAACACCTTTAAGGGCCTTTGATGCCTCTTTCCACGCATGTTCATCCTCAAATTCTTGTTCTACTTGTCTCCAAAGATCTACATAAATACTCACGTCTTTATCCCATGTCCCCTTTCTCCAGTAAACTCTCTTCAATAACTCAAGTTGTGCAATAGCAATGACGCATACTTCATTACTGGGCAATTCATCTCCAGCATCAGAGACGGTACTGCGGAGAATATCTTCATGGATACGCATTGCTTTTGTGAGATTAGGATTTGGAGACGAGGTATAGAATGCAGATAACAGGTTTTGCATTTCGAGGGTAGTGGGATCGAGTGCTCCCCAGACACGACGGACGTTGTAGCACATGTCTTCGAGGAGATGAATGGCTTGTTCTTGGTGGTTGCTGGAGAATTGCGTTTCGACAAGGAGACGACCGATGTGAACGATTGTCGCAGAGGACCAGGACGGTTGTGAGTGGCGGGAGTTCCACAGTTGAGTGAGAAGCCACTGCGATTAATGTTAGCAGAGAGAAAGGGAAAGAAGGGGATGATGCTTACCTCGAGTGATTCTAAATCTTGTGTTTCTCCAAGCAAGCCACATGCAGTATTGAGCTGTTCGATTGGTAAATCCACAATTTGAAGCTTGCCGGCACGCAAGCGCTTGATGATTTGTTTCATGATAGATCCAGACAAAGCCACCGACGAGGTACGAAGCTGAGGATCTTTCTTTAGCTTAGTTTCACTACTAACCAAGACATGGGCTAATCGTAGACCCATGTCTACCTTGAGCAGAGTGTCGTAGCCCCCATAGAACTTCTGGAAGAAGTCGACATATCCAGCAAGTTCTTGTGCCTCTGTAAATTTGCTTTTGTCCATGTAAGCACTTGTTGCATCGATACCTGCTTGTAGGATGGAGATTTCGGCTTCACCATCATTGAGGTTGACAAGAACAATGTGCAAGAACTCGCGAAGGATGTGGCTACACAAGTTCTTCTTGACTTCTAGGTTGGTTGCAAAGTATTCCAGAACTGATTTATCGGCAATCTCAAGTCCCGCGTCATCTTCTACCTCTTTCAAAAAAGCGAGGAGTCTGGAAGCATATGAGAGGACAGTTGTGAAGAACATCTTCTGCGCGATCGATCGCTGGTACATTTGGTACAAAAAGGCTTCCATGAATAGACCAGCCATCATCGATGAGTAGAGCTCTTTTCTTCCGGTGATGGTTGACTCAAAAGAAACAAAGAAAACCCAGGTATGGCTCTCGAGCTTGATCTTGGGGTCCATTTCTAGGTTAGAGTGAGCAAATATCGCTTGTGTGCGAACTTGGTTCATTAATCTCTTTGCTTCGGATTCCAATCCCGCATTCCTATAAATTGTTGCAAGTGTCGCTGCTGAGTCTGACAGTATTTGAGAATTCTTCTCAGACTTGAGAATTTCTATAACCGAAACCTGAAGAGTTTGTTGAGCCTCAGTGGTCGCTTCTGGCTTATCTTGCGTTGCCAACGCCTTGGTCAAATGTCCAAGCCAAAGTAGCGTATAACGATGGGCATATCCTTTCTCCGTATAGAACTTGTTGAACTCCTGTCTGTATAAAGCAATAGCTTTCGTGGACGTGGAGAGTTTAGAGATGGAGTAGAGATGAGGTAGACGCTTCTTGGCAGCAAGCACAGCTTGGAGGGTCGTCTCCGTGATTTGCCCCTTTGGAGCTTCATGAGCCTTGGAGTCGGCGTCCTCATACATGGATATAGCATCTTCACGATACTGCTCACTATGCTCATCAAGCTCAGCGACTTGGAGTGTGGACTTAATCGTGACCTCTTCGTGGACGCCGTAGAATGTCACACATGCTTTGCGGAAGTCAACAGCCAGGTGGCGTAAAAGAGTATGGTGCGTTTCTGAGGCTTGTCTAACGACACGGACATATCTCTGATACAGATCTTCGGCAAAATCTGATTTAATCTCGTATTCTTTTCCATGCTTCACAAGCATCTGCCAGAGAGAACTACATATTTTTTGAGCAAGCACGTACTGGCGTTGTTGCTCATAGATAACGCAAAGTTTTGAAGCCGCCCGAAGCGCATCTTTGTGACAGATTTCCGTGTTCCCATTGCCCAAGTTGACATGTATGGTGCGATACGCAGTTTCTGCCTCTGTGATATTGTAGATTTGCATGCTTAAACCACCCAACAGATACAAAGTCTTGATCGTCCATGTATGTGTCTTACCATGTCTCTTTTCAATTTCATGGTGAAGATCCCGATAAACAATGATGAGTTTGGCAGTCATAGAATGTGACTCGTAGAAATCGATGAGTTTGTTAGATGTCGATTCCAAGAGTTCATCTGAGGTCTCTGTAGTTGCTATGACGGCGTATAGAATTTTTCGATAGGTAACCTCTGCCAAATCAATCTGGCGTAGCTTAGAGTGTGCGAAGGCTAATCGATCGAGCAGCTCTAAAATCTCCGCAGCCAAATTGGTTGGTAAAGATACATTGACGTTGTTACCTGAAAATGATGGCCAAATTCGAAGCAAAGTCGAGTTCGTCACTTGGGTTATCTCGGACCATCGCTGCTCTGAGTAGTAAGTAGAACATAAGGACGTAGCTTGGCGTATCGTGGTAGCATCGATTGTCTTGGTGGTTTTATTGACGATAGTTCTTTCGAAAACCTCACGAACGGTCGTGATATCCCATGTAGTTTCTTCAGTCTTTGTCTCAGTGATCTGGGTTAGGCTCTTAGAGACAGATATGGCCTCCGTTGATTCCTGCCTGCCGTTTCTGACGTAATATTCCCAGAGATTACTAAAAACCAGACGAGCTGCTGCCACCGACCCAATACTTCGCAAGTGATCACCTACCAATTTAGTATGCTTGATCAAAGTAGTAGATTGAATGTCACTATGTTCGAGGTCAATGTGAATACCTCGAAGTATAATCTCTGCTTCAACTGTTCTCTGTTCTCGTCTTAAAAATTCGACATAGCGGAGAGCAACTTCAATCTTCTTCTCTTGGATGGAGACGTCATAAGTTTGTGTCAAACTTGTCAAGCTTTGCCAAAGATTAATCAGTATCTCCTCCGTTTTGACGGTGTTTTTCTCCTTTTCGCACTTTTCAATCATGGCCCATGATAATTCGAGACGCTTTGTATCGGCTGCACTCATTTTCCGAACACTGATTTCGTATTCTTGTTCTAGAGTACTGGTATACTGGTCCACCTTGGAGATTTCAGTCGAGCTCCTTGAAATGATTTCCCACGATTTAATAGTCTGTGGGGCTGATTTTCCATAAACCGTTACATTCAACTCGTATGTGTATTTTTGCCATTCAGAGACCTTGGATGTCTGGTGGGTAGAAACGTAAATCTGTATAAGAGACTCCGCATATGTTATGGTTCCTTGGCTGACTGAATTGGTGGATCTCTGCACCTTAATGATGTACTCAAGAAGCTCAGTTTTTCGTACAAGAACCTCATTCTTCTCGGTAATAGTAATTGAAGACGTTCTTTCAATGTATTGTTGGGCACACTTGAAGGCAATCGATGAAACATGAAGGGCTTCCGCTAGCTTCCATGCATCATAGTAATGCTCCACGTTTGAAGAAGTACTAATATGGCCCAATCGCGCAATATTGAGTAGAGTTTGAAGCACAGACGCTGAAGTCCCACCAAGCACCAATTTTCGTACGGATAGAGCCAACTGCAATTTACTCAGAGCGTCTTCAAGTGGAAATTGGTACTCCCAGCAGGATCCTTCGAACATTGACAAAAGGACGGAATCGGGAAAGCAGGTTTTAAACCCAGGTGTAAGCTTTTGCTGTGCTCCTTCATTCAAAGGAGATGCAGCCAAGTGCACTATCCAATATCTGGAGGCATATTGAATGAATTCATATTTTTGAAATAATTCATCTAAATCCTCTTCAGAAATGGTGGTAAACGTTAATTGAGCCGAGCGCCTGGTGAGAGTGGCTTTGACATAAGCCAAAGATCTCAGTGCCAAGTCATAATGGGCTTCTTTGATGTGAAAGGGAAAGGCGCCAGTGTTCTTGTAATCTAAAATCGACATTGATCTTTGAGTGATGTTTTGCTTCACAAGATCATGAGAGAATCGGGCAAAGCCATCATCCATTTTAATCAATGGCCCAACGGCAGCGGTAATATCATCTTCAGTACGGGTTACTCTCTGGACATGCTGACAAGATCCGGTATCAATCTCGAGTAGTTGTTTGACTTCACTGATGAGCAAAGGACGCTCGCTTGCCAGGAGCCAAGCAAGAATTGATTTTGTGTCCCGATCCTTGAGGTCAATAGAGGACATAATGATGTCGAGCAACTTCCCTAGATCCTTGGGAAGAGTATCCAACCGCTTCATTATGGACTCTAATGTCTGTTCTTTCTTGAGAATCTCGACTGCGTTTTGAGTCCATACATATGAACCATTAGCTGCCTGCAAAAGCTTCGCTGTAACCAAAGCAGATTCTCTCTGGCTCAGGTTCATTGTTGAGAATAGAAGCGACTCAATGAAGTATTGCAAATCTTGAGTTGTATGCTGAGCACTGATTGAAAGCTGAGAACAGTCTCCTGGAATTGGTTTGTTGAGAGGTCGAGAGAATATGATGCATTTAGTGTTCTTATGTTTGGAAACAATAGTCCTCAATCTCTCCAGTAGGACGAGTCCATTACCTTCACCGCCATGCACTTGCTCGAAACCATCAATAACGACTGTCTGGCCACGGTCCGTTCGAAGACTCTGACCTAAAGCAGCCCACAGCGAGTCTTCAACTTTGGTGTTCGAATTTCCTTGGATATGCAACTCATATGCGTGAAACAATTCCTTATACAAAGCTTTATCACCAGCACTGAGCTGAAGCATTTGTAGCAAGAGTCCTTTGACGATGCTGAGAGTCGATAACTCTGTCTTCAAGGCTCCATCTAGAACGCGTCAGTAATCATCATATCAAAAGACATGAAAGGACATACCAATGGTATAGCGAATCACCTCAGTCGCTCGGCGACCTTTGAAGGCTTGGAGTCTTTCAACAACCCACTCGGAAAGCACGGACTTCCCTGAGCCAGCGGGTCCAGTTATCATAAAAAGATTCTTTCCGCCTCGTAGAAATTCTCCCAAGGGTCTATCAAACCATTCACATGTGAAATCAGCTCTTGATCCATGGGTGCGGCGAGTAGTTGCAAGGATTCGTGTAACTCGATCGTGCGGAGTCAGAAAGTTTCTCACAGCCTCCACAGAATCGTCTGAGTGAAGATTATCAGTAATGAGTTTAAACATTCTTTTAGGTCCAGCTTACCTCCAGGCTCAGCTAGGCGTTCGAGTCTAGTTGACCAGATCTTATCTACAAAGCGATCGCTGTGCATGAAGAATTCATCTGTGCTTTGGCCAAACATTTCATCGAAGGCACGGATACTGAAATTCGAGTCTACTTGCTGAATTAGCTTCCATATATTTTTAGATACTAGAGAGGAGCTCACCATGTTGTCGTCTGGTGTAATGTATCGTGACACCAGTTACAAGTTTCAGTAGGTCTGCGTAACAAGTCACCAATACGGTTTGTAGCTCTTCAATTGTGTGTAGAAGTTCATGGTGACGTACGAGGAAGCCTAGTGTGAGACTGCAATTGTAAAGCACGCCAAATATCTTTTCGAGAATGGGAACGAATTTTGGGCCCATCTGAACACAAATGGTCAGTACTTTGCTTTTTTAGATGTGGAGAATGTTAAGACAAACCTCCAGCAATATTTTACAGCTTGCATATATGATGTTCGTTGCTTGCTCACTCTGTGCTGTGAAAGAGGAAACCTCTTCACTGTATGTAGAGACCTGACCGGTAAAGAACTCTGCCCATTTCAATATCTTATCCCAGCGGCTACCATGATGTGGCATCTGTGATAATCGAATAGTAGCCACAAAGTCAAAGAAGCCTTCTATAGATTTGCAGCTGTGAAGAAACTTCTCGGAACTTTGCCCGAGCTCAGATCGATACAATTTGATAACTTTTTGGGTTGTATCCTGAAGTAGGGGTGTTTGAAAATAATCACTCCCCGTCATGCTGCGTTGGTCAAAGCTTGGTAATGGCGTATAGTCTTGAGAGCCATATAACTTTGTAAAGTGAGGTCCATTGGATAGCTGTCGCTGTTTAAGAGGGGATAAGGGCCTGTTGTGTATTGCTGACGGAGGCATGTTGGCGGATATTGCCTTCAAAGAGCTTCGATCTGAACCTCTTCTGGTTTGTTCTAGCTAGAGCTTTATGTATGGACTGAGGTTGAAGATGGTCTTAAATATTTCGTAAATTGAGACTCCTAGAGCAATAGAAGTTTGAGCATTCTAATGTTCTTATTCGAAGCAATGTGGAACCTTTAATCGAACCTGTCTCACTCAAGTGAAGAGCTACGGCGTGTATATCCACTCGCGAATGGAGAACAATGGCGTGCAAATATTTATATGTAAGAAAATGTAAATTTGAAGCGACGGGACCTAGCGGAAATGAACTATTTGTACTTGGCTAGGTGATGGTGCATCATGTTTTCGAGCTAACGTGCCCCCTATCATCTCGGAAACACCGAGTCTCGATGATATTTGTGATACAACATCATTCTTGAGATCGCGGAATGAGTGGGAGTAGAAGGTCAAGACCCTAGAAGAAAACTGTGATAGGAGTTTCGTCGGCGAGCTCAAAAAACTGCTGGCTATAAAGCTCCATGCCATCAATGATACCATTACTTCACGAGCCATAGCTAATACAGATTTCAGCTCAAGGAGAAATTCAGTGATTGGCAGGAAACACGTCCAAAATGTGACTATCACCCACACGGGGAGCGTTGATGCCGGGTTAAACAGAAGGGACAGCATGGTAGGAAGAACAATCCACAAACATTATATCGGGATTTCCGAAGATAACGTCCAGACATATTGGAGTAAAAATCAACACCACTGGGAATGTTGACACAAGGCTGAGCTATAGAGCCAGCCCATGGTATGATCAATCCATCGTTCAATGCTGAGTCGAATTAAGATGAAGTATCAACGTCGAGTATTGAAAACATGGAACAAAAAGGTAGTAGCGTTAGCTATTGGATAAATTATCGCGCATTCCCCCGGTGGGCCACTCAGCCAGCCACAACTTCAGCACGGTGGATTTGTGGCGTTCCGAAAGGGGACTCCAGGAACTCAAAAGTCTGATATATATTGACTCTTCGTACATTCTATCAATGAGGATTCAATTCAAAGTATTCCCATACTAACTATAATTGTGCCACGGAGATATCCATATGTGCAATACTACTGGAAAGACTTAAATTAATCCGTCTCTGTATCTTTTGTTTCATGCGGCTTCGTATGAGTAGTTTAATGGGGAAGCCATTCCACTCATCGAATAATATCGCGCTTATGATTGAGGCATTCGCTTGCTTGATCTTCATGGAAGGCATCATTGGGACATGTTGTCGAGGGATATCTATGAAGGGTCCAACTGAAGATTTAAGCTACCCCAGAATGCCACTAAGCCAGAAGCGGCCTAACTCTTCTGCTTTAACCAGGTCCAGATCTATTATGGGATCTAAATAGTGAGACGCAGATGGTTAACAACTAGTTCAATTTTTAGATGTGGCTGGGTGGATTCTTTCAATAATGTTTGCTTAGAAGCTTCAGCGGACAATTCGATCTAGAGTGTCTCTATACGCGTATGTTATTTCAGATTAGCCCTTATCATCGTTATCAGATCACAAAAAAGCCTAACCAATAATCGCCCGAACACATTCTAAACTCCCTTCCTCTATTTATTGGCCAGATATTTGTCTATTCGTCTACGGAAGGAGCTAACGTCTGTCTATTTGTCTGAGTTTAAGTTAATTAGCGCCTACCACATCCCCACCAACTACCCAGCTCTTCGGGAAGACGTATTCAAAAACATATGAGATGAGAGAGATTCCAAGCCTTCCGATCGCTTATACATTAGCACCACAAGAGTTCGGTGCTATCACAAAGTCTAGCCAATAGACATTCATTTATTAACCTCCGCTCCTTGACAACTCCTTCTCATCTCCAACTATCTTCAGTCCTAGACTCCCAGATTAATAAACCCCGCTCCTTCCACAATCCTCTAATCAGCTAACCCAACACCCACCTTCCAATCTAGCGATATCACTCCACAGACAAAATCCCCATCCTCAGGATAAGCCTCCGCACAATGAATATTAGACTCAAAGTATCTCCAAATAAGTCATCAAACCCATTAGCGACGAATTTCAACGGCCAGCGTAGTACTTACAGCCTGACCCATTGATCCAGAAACCCAAAACGGATCATCGCGCTATGGATAATGCTTAAAAGGAAATAAGATGATCGTAAAGAGGACTTTCAAAATTGTAAGATCTTAACTTGCACTAGAGAATTTCTGGAAGTGTATTCAGCTGCAGGGGTGGGTGTACAGCTATTCCACTTTAGTTCGTCTATGGAACACAAAGATCCTAAATGAATGCGATCTATTTTGAGTGAAAAGACATATAGAAACTCCCCGACAGAGCGATAGTGCATAGACAATAAGACCCTGCATATCCAAAATATCCCGCGAAACTATACGTAGTGTCACCAACAGACTAGTAATAAATTATGCAGTAGCACGCGGCAAGATGCAAGATGCATACTACAGTGAAAAGAATGTGGAGTTTCATTTCTCCCAAATGGGACAGTCGAGGAATATTGATAAAACGATAGGTTAATCATTAGGATGATGGAGTGGAAATCTAGATTTTCCTTCTCACACTGCTGTATGGAAATAATTTACTTGAATTAATTGATTAAGCATCCTGTAAAATTCGGAAAATAAAAGGTCCCGCAAATTGTAGATAGAGTGGTAAGGTAAGTATAGCGAGCAAATAGCCCATGGAAATTGAATGTCAATTTGATCGTTGCGCTGAATGCCTCGCTCACATCTCGATAGTGCAAGTTCCTATTTGGGAAGACTCGGGAGGACCGCATGTGGAGGCGGAACTATCAGGAATTCTCCTAATTTCCGACGTGCTTAGATGTAACTAGTATGACAGTGATATGTCTCACATCTTGCATTGAACAAGGCATGAGCTTTATCCCTAGGATATGCGGGGGCGTTAATCAATGAAAATATGAAGCACATAGGCTTGATATAAAAAATATATGATGGTAAAAAGATTATGGTAGTAGTATTAAATTCTGCCTCGAACCTACAACAGTAGCTAACCCAGCAAGCTATGTATGTACTCCATTGCTTATCCTAGCATATACTCCAAAAAATCCTGTACTCCAATCCAAAACACCCAAACGGAATCAAGGCCACATACATTTTGCCGAGTCCAGATAGCTCTCCCTGACACCATAGAGACTACTTAGATCATCGGCATAAATATCCTCGTGCAATTTTTGCTTCAACAGTGCAGATTCATGTCTTTTCAACATTACGTTCCACGAAAACATTGAATGTCCTACGCCGGCAAAATATTCTCCTCGCAAAACCACAAGGTAGTCGATCAAAGCTCTCTGATCCCATCTTAGATGAGAGAGCTCCTCTCGCTCATGCTCTTTCAAAAGATCTTCTTTGTGAGTAACGTCGATTCCATGACCCTTGGCCTCAATTGCGAGCTTGTGGGTAGAATCAATATCGCCAGATGCAGCATAAATAAGTGGCGTTTTCATTGACTTAGCCAGTGCAATATATGCTTCAGCTTGACCATCATAGTGCGTGAATGGAGCTGCAGTGACATGTCGTTTTGCGATGCCTTCTGAAATTTCTTCTGGCTCGGTTTTCAAATGTACGCCCAGGAATGACGGGGTAACAATTGTTGAGCTAACGTTAAGTGGTACATCGTACCAGCTGGACATTTGGCGCAAAGTTGAGGTTGCGAGTCGACGAACATCGGGTCGGAATTTCAAAATCTTTCCAAACTCATGAGCAAATACATGACCGTCGGCATGAGTTGGATATTGAAGATTGGATTGTTCGAGATCCACAACAATTGGTATCGAAGTTGGTGTTGGCGCCATCCATTTTTGAATCCAATCATTCAATTTACTTTGCCATTCCTCTGGATGTTCCAATCCACTGCTTGGCCGGTTGATAAATAAGCTCTCAGGCTGGAGCCCGCGCCTTCTCCCATTAACTGTTTGTTCCATATGATCAATGACCTTCAATTCAGGACATGACATTTTCAAAGATTTTTTGAAATGGTGCGCATCAAACATATAATCCATCCCTTTCCAACCAAGCCCATGTCGTTTTCCCATATGTGATCCATCCCCATCCTCGCTTGGCATCATGTTCATTCCCTCAATATCTTCCCTCAGCTTAATATTTGGCATAACCAAGCTACCACCTGCACCAATCGCATATCGCACACAATTCAGTATCGAATTTCGCACATGCCCAACTCCTCCTTGGTTACTGTCGCATGTAAATATGATGCTGGAGTTCCATGTTTGTGTCGCGCAAACTGCTCTCATAACCTCGGAATTGACGTGTGGGAAATCGAACACGTCGTGCTGATCCAAGGTAGGAGGGGGAGTATGTGCTCGAGAGCCATCGGGGCTAGCATTCCAGATGATATACGTAGGTATAACACGAGGACGATCAAAAGCGTACCAAAGCCATGCCAGTCCTAGGGAAAAGCCTGCTAAGGCGGCATATTTGCGATTAATACCAGTTAGAAGCTGCATTTTTCTCGCAATTTGTATAGCGATATTCGAGTAAAAAAATGAAGGGAAAACATCTCCAAGGTCGACATTTTGAGTGAGTCTGAAGTTGTGCTTTGATCTTGGTGGCTCAGGGAGAGACTGTGCGAAGTGTGTTTTAAAGATGATGTTTGGACTTCGTGATGACCAATCACAAGCAGGCACGCTTTGGCTTAAAACATCAATGAAGTTATCAAAACCACTCTGAGGAGTATATTCTTTGTTTTTGCTTATTGTTTCTGAGTTTCAGACTCCGTAGAATATCTTCAAGTGGCATCATGTAATAATTGTAGGGGCTCCAGGTGGAGTTTCTGGCTGTCAGGGAAGCTTCCCGTGACGAGCCTGCAGCTTACCGGGGATCTTGTAAGCTTGATCCAACTGCTCACGCTTTTTATCCTATCTGACATTAATTGAGATCCTTAAAGTATTTATTATACAATCTTTAGCATATATGATTCATTAACATAAAACTCCATACAAGTATTTAACTTTCATTGTGATCCCGGACTTATCACTTACAAGCATGAATAATTTCGAAGTGTCAACCCTTGCATTGCTCAATATTCATAGCCATGTCATCGTTAATTGACAAATTAACCAAAATTTTATTCAATCAACTCTGTGAAGGCATAATCAAACCCATTGGATATCAAGAAACATCATCCAAACACATAATCTAGTATCTATGTAACTACTCAACAACCCATCCCTTCCCTCTAACCTTCTTCTGAACCACCTTCCTAGCCGGCAATGGCCATCCTAAACCACCGGAACCCTCCGCCCTTAAATAAGGCACCACCCAGCACTCTCTCATTTCACCTTCTGCTTCTGCATTTTTGCCAGCGTTCTTCTCCTTAACCATCACCTCCTTAATCGGCTTCCCATACTCCAAAAGACTCGTTCCCTTTGCCAAACTCGCCAACTGCCCTCCAGTAACATCCGTCAAACTATGCATTCTAGTTTTCTGTCTCTTCCTCGATCCATCTGCATTGACGTCCTCGGCGGGTTTCTGCAAATACGAGTAGATGATGTATTCAGGACATTCATTTGGGGAGAGATGAGATAAGGGGGAGGCAGGGTGGATATAGACTGCCTTGTCTTGTTCTTGGTCTTCGTCATTGTGTTTGTTGGGAGTACGAAGATGGGAAGGGAAGAGTGTGATATAAGGGACGTCGATTGCTCGCTTAGGTTTTCTGTAGGCTTCAATTTGTGTTGGGGATAAATCTGCTCGGATGGCTACATGATCGATGAATCCTGCCGCGACCATTTGTTTAAGCGCTTTGACCTGTTTAGCAGAAGGTGGAGCCAATTTCTCTTCATATTTCAATGCCGCGAATGCCGGAATATTAGTGCGCAATAGATCTGTGATTTGACGACGCAATTGCGAAATTTCCTTGAGAGTTTTATAGCGGACATAGTGAGACGTACACCATGCCTCTGTGGGTTCGTGTGCGAATTCACCAACCGCCTGAAGGAGTTTGATGGCATCAGACCTATCGTCAAGGAAACAAAATGATTGATGAACTTTGTTGAATTGACGACGGAGATTTGCACGTGCGTCTTGTTCGATCTTCTCGGCAGTAGTAAGGTACAAGTCTTCGTCCTCGCGGGGAGCGGCGGCTGGAATGACTTGGTTTTCTGGAATGAAAATATCGGCAGCAGAGAGACCAGCTACAAGTGCGATTGTGTAGGGAAGACAATCGTGTAGATGTCCAACCAGAAGGATACGAGAAAACCGTGGTGAAAGTGGGAATATAGACATGGTGGAACCTGTTGGGGTTATTTGACCCGATGGCGAAATTGCAGAGAGATAAGTGAGGAGTTTCTCGGAGCTCGCAAGACTTTGTCGATCCGGGGGAGTTGGGAACGGGAAATTAACAACGTGTTGCAAATTCATCGATTTGAGTTGCAGCACCACACCTTCAATGGGCATGCGTAATATTTCTGGCTCCGCAAACTCCTCGAAATCTCTTTCATAAACAGCTGATGAATAGAATCGATAACAATGTCCTGGACCAGTACGTCCAGCACGACCTGCACGTTGACTTGCACTAGCTTTACTGATCCATCCGACCTCAAAACTTTGTACGCCAGTGGTCTTGTCGTATTTACGTTCCTTTGATCTTCCACAGTCGAAAACATAACGAATACCAGGAATTGTGAGAGATGTTTCAGCAACGTTAGTGGCCAAAACAATCAATCGTGAACCGTCAGGAGGTGGTTCGAAAACCCTCAATTGTTCTTTTGTAGGTAGTAGGGAATATAGTGGCAATATATGCATCTTTGAAGGCCCTGTGTCCGCTTCTTCTCCGATATCAAAATCTTCCTCGTCATTAAATGTAACTTCGTCATCGTCATCGACATAATCGTCATTAGTAGTGTCCATAGTTTCACCAAAATCGATATCTTCGGCTTCGACTGGTGCATCTTTTCCGGATATGCGGACTTGTGGTCCTGCTGTAGTAGAACCTATCTTGAATGCTTCTTTTAATTTCTTACTGAGATGTGTGATTTCATTTTGACCGGTTAAAAATACCAGGATTCCCCCTGGTGGAAGTTTTCGATGACCCTTACTAATCTTTCGGAATGCTTCTTCGACATAATCATGATGTGTCCTTCGGGCAAAATGAGTAGTGACTGGATATTGTCTACCCTCGGCTTGAAGTACCGGTGGAGGATTAGCAAACAATGTCTTGTTCTCTGTGAAATCTGTAATTCGTAGAGTAGCAGACATAATGATGAGTTTCAATGGTTTGATAGATGAGTCTTCTAAAGCCATTTCCTCTCTTAACTTTACCACTCTACTAAGCATACCGATTAAGATATCGGTATTCACGCTCCTCTCGTGAGCTTCATCGATAACAATGGCGGAGTACTTTCGCAGAGCAATATCTTGTGCTACTTCTCTCAATAGTACACCATCCGTCATGAACTTTATAGCAGTGTCTGAACTTACTGTTCCCTCGAATCGAATTTGGTAGGCAACTCGCTTACCATGATCAGCAAGCTCATCACCTACTCGTTTTGCCATACTAACGGCCGCAACTCTTCGAGGTTGTGTGACTCCGATCATTCCAGGATTGGGAGAGTCTTTAGTACCATAACCAGCTTCATATAAGAACTGAGGTACCTGAGTAGTTTTTCCGGAACCAGTAGCACCATACACAACCACTAGATTATTATTATGAATTGCTTCCATAATCTTCTGTTCCTCAGCTACAACTGGCAGTTTAAGTCTGACGTCTTGTATACTTGATGGTCTTTCCACAGAAACACTAAATGCCTTCCGTGATAAATTGGTAGTAGGTTGTAGTTCCAGTGGTAAAGGATCTTGTTCCAAAGGTCGAGGTTCGAATCCTTCTATTTTTGGTGTTTCTGTCGCATTTGGAATATTTGATGATGGTTCATAACCATAAGCTTCATTTACTTGCTGAGTTGCCCAGGCTTTAAATGCAGATGAGCGTTCCTGTTTCCTCGAGGTATTGTCCTCATCTTCGTCTTCCTCACTGCTCCCGTCGCTATCGTCTTCATCACTGTCTTCATCCGATGATCCTCTTTCATTGTCATCTTCCATGTCATTTCCAAGCTTCGATTGAAGAGCTCCCTCCTTGCTTTCTCCAAAAATGGCCATAATATTCTTTAGTAACTGGGCATGTTCTGGGTCGCTTGCCTCATCACTTGCCTCATCGCTGTCTTCATCGCTGTCTTCACCGTCTCCATCTGATGATCCTTCCTCAATACTATCTTCTGATTCGCCACCTTCATTTTCTTCAGCAAAAATGCCCGTAAGACGTTTCAGTAATTCAGCACGTTTTGGGTCGCTTGTATCATCCGGCGCATTCGAATCCTCAGAGTCCTCATCAGATTTCATCTCTTCATCACTATCAACCTCTGATCCCGAAGAAAATCCTTCCCATTCTGGTTCCGCGGCCGGAGCTTGTGGCTTCAACGATATCCTCGACTTAACACCTCCTCGCCTTTGCCTCTTTTGTATCACCGGTTTTCCGTCATCGTCTACCTCAAGTGGTCTCTTTAAACCTGTGCACACGCCAAATTGTAATGTTTGCGCAGGTACCTTTGAGGCCGGAGCGATAGGTAGCGTTGTCACAGTGCCTTGGAATAGTGCGCCTTCCTTCTTGTGTTCGGTTTGATCGTCTTCTTCTTCACTGCTCTCACTTTCCATCTCTCTAACGGTTCTCTTTTCAAAAAGGAGTTCTTCTCCATCTCCATCAATATCAATTCCTCTCTCCCGCTCCTTTAGGGCTCGAGCCAATCTTTCCCTCCTAGTTAATGAGCCCTGGCCCAATTTCTTACTGCTCTCGTACAATCCTCCCTCCTCTTTCCGCTTGGATAATTTCTCAATTAATATCCTATTTTCGTCCTTCCTAAGCTTCGTCTCAATATATTTCTCTAGTCTCTTGGCCTTCTTTCCACTAATTTTATTATCCCCTGCCAACTCCTCCCTCAGTTTCTGCTTCTTTTCTTCATGAGCGGATTTCGAGGAGGGAAGAATCTCTGTCGCATTAGAGTCGACCAGGTTTTCAGACTCATTTGTCTTATTTCTCGCAAGCACTTTGTGCTTTCGCTGTCGAGGTGTAAATTTTGGAGGCATCTTCAATTCTCGATCCTCAATTGAATGTAGAAAGTTTGATCTGTTGAAAACGATAATTATGGCATTTTTTGAGCTTTTGCGATTCTGGTCGGGAACTTTTTTTTGCCGGATTGTTCACCGTCTTTGAACTTTCTTTATAAATGGATCCGTTAAATTGCGGGGCAACGAAAGGTCACACAGGCTCCACCGGGGAATTCTGCTATAATTCGTGCGCTCACAGCTCATCCACCGAGTAAATAACCTGGCCCTGTTAAGATTCATCAGTTCAGGTGGGGGTTCATCTACATGATCCATAATAGTGGCCTTTTCAAGTGGAATTCATTCTATGGGGCTCTGCCTTTATGAAAGCTTTCAACATGCTAATGATTGAACAGCTCCTAGCTGCTCGATCTGAAAGCCAGACATAATGTCTCCAAAAAACTCATATTCCATTCGTCTACTCTCTAAATCTCCAAACTCAGTGTAGTACATTTTATATATATCCAATGCCTCAATGGTATTATGAGTAGTAGGTAATGAGTAGTAGGTAAGCAGGTAAGAATAGCAGGTAGAGTAGTTTAGTTGAAGTAATTAAACAAGAAATTGTTATAGACAAACTCAATTTAGTAATAACTGTATTTACTGAAATAGAGTCCCGACTTAACCTACACATACCTACCTAATACTAAGCTTTCTCTTCCGACTTCGCTCTTCCTTGAGTACTTCTGTGTTCTGTGTTCCAAGAAGATACCCCTTCACTTCAGCAAACATTCTCCCACTTCCTGTCTCCAACCCAACACAATTAGCCATGATGCACTATACCAAAAATGATAGCTTCTGGCTACTAGAGTCCATCAAAGTCGAACAAAGTACACAGGATTATTCATAAACAATGATTCAGTTGTTTTGATATTTAATGATGTCCGTTCGTAAAGATCAACCATCTAGGCCAGATGATCGACGTCATGGAATTCACACTAGCGGCCGCTAGGATTTCTCCAGCTTCTCGGTATCTGCCGCCATTTTTGTCCTCTTCATTCTACCATTGATACCTCTTGTGTGATTCTGACAAACAACTTATTTGAATGCTCTTCGCATATAGCACATAGGACAGATCTTTTCATTCTACAGAGTCAGAGTTAATGTGAATCATCGAGGCTTTAGATTATATTGCTTCATCTGTATATTCAACATCGTCCCTCCATATCCACTCGCATCCTAACCATGGCATCACAAGATCCGCCCCTCGATGAGATACAATGGAGAGATCCACAATGGCTTGCGCAGAATACTGGTCTTCATGAAAATACCGTTCTGCACTATTTTGCGCAATCCCCATTTTTTGATCGTGTCTCAAAAAATGCCATCCTTACTATTCAAGCTCAGATGAATCCAAACTTGATGTACCTACTTGGAACCCGTGCAGCATTCGAGGGGCGACTTAAATCTATGTCTGGACTGGAATTTATAGTTTCGCAAGAGCCTGCAGAGAAGACACCAGGTAGTGGTACCGGAGTATGGGTGATTAGGAAACAAACAAGAAGAAAAAGACCTCAAGAGGATGATGAAATTACAATCCACGCATCGTATTTTGTCGTGGGAGAGAATATTTATATGGCTCCTACTGCCGCTGATGTAGTAGGTAGTAGAATGGTATTTACAATTCTTAACCTAATATTAAACTTCTCTAATCGCAATACAGTTATCAACCTTCAACGCACTCACAAATGCTATTTCAAAAGTGTCCGAACTACCTAATTTCTCTCCCTCTCTGGGTCATACATATATGCCACCGGTTCCTCCACGGACAAAAGCCATTACATCCGCTTTCTCTCAAACTTCCAAAGAAAATACACCAATGCCTGATTCTCTCGCGACTGAAACCAAAAATTCTTCGAATAATTTCTCCAACAATGTCCTCGCAAATCATCTTTTAGAAGAAACCCTCAATATCACCCTCAAATATGGTGACGAATATATGGACGAAAATCCTATCACCGGAACTCCAGGTGATTTCCATTTCAGTACAACAGGTCGGAAGGAAAAAGAAAAGCTTATGGTACCACCAACATCAAAAGCAGCAGGCTTTGGTTTAAGTGGTAAACCTTCACTTCCTACACCATTGAAGACGGATCTGGGAATGCAAAAGAAAGGAAGTAAGGGAGAGAAGAGTCCTAGAACTCCTGGTTCAGGTAAACCAAAAAGAAGGAAGAGCAAGGTGATGAATGGTGGGGTGAGTCCTACATAGGATGAACAAAGGTTTCAAATACAAACCCGTTGTACAGTACATCACTTACATTCGATATTTTCACGGCGTTGCGGGGGATATACCAGTACCGAACATAGGTTACTAGAACCAGTGAAACTCGTATAATCACAATACAATAAATAATATCACTATACACATATCTCTCTCCCTTTTATCACTCACCCCCTACTAAAACAAAAGCAAAGCACCCACAACTACGACCCCACGTATCCTTCCGCCCAAACTAAAAATCTAGACATGCAACAAGGAGTTTCATATCCTTCTAATTAATGCACGTTACTGATCCACGAATCCACCACAGTGACGATGATTGAACGTAAATGCTTACAAAACGTGGCAGTGGGTGAGGCCCCAGTCCAGTTACCCTGTCTGGTCATTTTAGTACGGTGTTGTGGTGAGAAGCTAGGATGTGGTGGTTGGTATGTTGTGTTGGTGTTTTTTTTTTTTGTTTCTTTTCATGGATGAGATAGCCTTTCTTTTGTGCGTCGGGGGGGTTTGCATGATTGTATGATTGTATGATTGTATGATTGTGTGGGTAGGATGGTATGCTGAAGCGTGAGTAGTGAGTGAGTGAGTGGATGGATGGATTAGTGGTAGGGTTGATTTTGGTGTTGATTTTGGTGTTGGGGTTAATGTTAGGGTTTGTTAGGCTTGGTTTACAGAGTATGGAGTGCGGAGTAATTGGTAAGGCTTGAGGCTCGAGGTTTACAGTTGCAGTTGCAGTTGCAGTTGCACAGCTGATTAATCAATAAGGAGATGGGGTTTGAGTTTACAAGGTATTGAGTATACTCTGTTTTTGTTATAGTGGGAGATGTTTTATTTTGTATAAATGTTGGGGTTGTTTTGTTGATTTTTATTTGAGTTTATTGTTATGTGGTTTGCTGTCTAGATCATGTGGAAGTGCACTAGGCTCTCGAGGTAGTTTATAACTAGGTGTCAAGCAGGGACTTAAGTAATGATAATGCAATTCGTAACCAATAGTAGAGTATACTAAATGATTGATCTTGAGCACGAAGCTCTACAGTGAGGGAATCCCTCCTAGTTATATAGACCTTCGTGTTCTGGCTCTAGTGGCTCTAACTAGATTGATTAGAGCCGGTCACATGATAGCTCTGATCCTGTGATTAGTCATGTGATACGGAAATATGTTACTCGTCGTAACATTTATATTTATTTGTGTACTTTTATTCTTTAAGTTTTAATTTTGAGTCTTGACAAATTTATTTATATTTATATTATAAGATACTTATTCATGACTCGACACTCTTAAAAGATAAATCTTATACACTACTGTTTTGGATATAATATAATCTTATAATTATTTACTAGATATTGTTACGACAGGTAACAATTAGGTCACGGGATTAGTAATAACACGTGATGCGAGGACTCGAAGAGCTCGAAGGCTTGGCCTCTCGAGCCCTTCGATCGAGGAGAGCGAAAGGATCGAAGCTCGATCCCCTCGCTCCCTTCGAGCCATGAAGCATAAAGGTCTATATAATCAAGATGGATTTCCTCACTGTAGAGCTTCGTGCTCAAGATCAATCATTTAGTATACTCTACTATTGGTTACGAATTGCATTATCATTACTTAAGTCCCTGCTTGACACCTAGTTATAAACTACCTCAAGAGCCTAGAGCACTTCCACATGATCTAGACAGCAAACCTCGTAACAGATATATATTTATATCTATGATGTATATAAGATTCTATTATCTTATTGATTTATCAATAAGATACTACTCATTATATTAAGTATAAACAAAATCAATTCTAATATTAACAAGAAACTATATAAGCTATCCAGGCTGTATACATAAATAAACGTGCCATAGATATATACTCAACATCCCCCCTTCCCTACTTCTCTCCACCAGACATCTCCTGTCGACGATATCTCACTCTGCCCTCTAGATTTTCCCTCGCCGCCACATCCGACTCATTTTTCTCCTCATTCAAAGAAGCTCCATCTTTCTCTCCCCCAACTCCACCTATTACTCTCTCCTCCCTACTAACCATACTACCCCATCCACTTCCACTTCCCTCTCCATCCCCCCTCTCCTCCTCCCTCACATAATCCTTAACCTCCATCCACTCACCTAAGGGATATTGAATCCGTACCGGCCATTTATAACAAAGACCCCAATAAACCAAAAAACTCACAAAAAGCCCAATAGGATATGCGAAATAATAAGCTCTTGTGACGCCTAGGGGAGCTTTAACACCCATATTATTTAAAAAGCCGTAGAAATTTGGAATTATGCCGATGACATATGCGGCATAGGCACGCCAGTTCCAACCACCGGTATAGTGATATGCAGCATTTTTATCCGAGGTGTAGAGGTCTGGGATGCTGAGGAAACCGCGGGCGATGATAAAGTAATGACAGAGGAGGACACCGGTGATGGCTGAGAGGAAGATTTGGTAGGAGGCGAGGAAGGAAATGAAGATGACGGCGGATTTGAGGAGGTACCATGGTTGGATTACTATGGAAATGACGGCACAGATGAAGAAACCTGTGCGGATGGATATGTATTTTGGGACTGAAGTTGTTGTGTTAGCAACGGATGATTATATGTAGACTTTGCACCATGATGAGCATGACATTGACTTACAAAGAGCGGCAATATCATTTCCTGCTGGAATTGAGTTTTCAAAAATTGAAGAGAAAATTGCTGAATAAGCGAAGCAAGCAGCTATGAAAAAACATCCAGCTCGAGTAGGTGCATTGTATGTACGTTCAAGAATTCGATCGAGATATGTAAGTGGGGACCAGATGACTTCGCCAAAGAGGACTTGACTTGAGGAACCAACTAGATTACCGATGATTGCTACGATTAACTAGTGAGTGTGTCAGTATGAGGTATAATATGTGTTTGCGGAAAGACACGAACATTAGATATAGGAAATCCAACCAAGTTTCCCCAAATAACATCATTAGGTTTGCGAGCATAACGTTGGAAATCCGCCGCGTTGGAAGCAAATGTTGCACAATTAGCAGCACCTAGGAGTATAAATCGAACGATAAGCCATGTTCGTTCTGTGCCTTTAACTGTCCCTGGTTGACGAGCAACTGGTCCAATACCACCAGCCATGGTCAAAGTCCAGGCACACATAGCAACGGCGGAAATGATAAAGACGATAAGTTTTGCATATACAAGACCTTTCATCTGTTTCGCGTTAGTATTACCATTTTAACAAATAGCTGAATTGTACTAACCTTTGGCACAGGAATAATAAGGAAGCAACAGGTAAGAATCCAAAAGATTCCAAGTCCAAGCATACCACCAGAATCAAGAGCAGATCCTTCCCCCATGACATTTTTAAAATTGGCAACACGCGGACTCAAAGTGTGAAGCATGACATAGATACATTCACCTCCTTGAACCATATTGACACCATTCCAAACAATGGCCATCACAGCACGATTAAAGGTAGGCCACCATGCTCCAAAAACACCAAATGCGGCTCTGTTGAGAATAGGATAACCACTGAGTGTTTCGTTTATTGTCAGCAGATGAGGAGCAATGGAAATTTATAGTATAATGATGATCAAGGAGACAACTGGAGATATTACTCCGAATAGGAAAATGACACTGAAGCTTTTTGGATACAACAATTACTTAATCGAGACGGTCATCCAATTTGCATAAGATGGAAATTAAACTCACATATGATATACAGCTCCTGATCTACCATTGAATACAATGACAATAGCAATCAAACATTGACCACCAAAAGCACACAAAAGCGATTCCCACATACTCAATCCCAAAGCCTGAGCACTTGATGCAGCATACCATGTCGAAACCGTTGAAGCTATTTAATTCACGTTAGTACCATCAACAAATCCATATTTAAGCTCATGATAATATGTCCAACATACTTGCAGAAAACCAAAATGTAAGATAAGTCCAGACATTCCAAGTACGATCCGCCAATTTCAAAGGTCTAATATCATCATTATCTAACCAATTATCTTTCCCATGAAAATTTGCTGTGTCTCTTGCTTCAAAATGCGGATTTCGCAGCTTTTGGCGTAGGAGACCGAATAGATGACCGATCATTTTGAATGAGTACGCAACGAATGCGGTTGATTGATAAAAAAGCAAGACGGATGTTGTTATTGATGCTGATGTAGAAGAAACGGGGGAAAACAAGGAATAAAGAGTCTATCGGGTAGGAACGGTGAACGGAGAGATATGTCATTTGTAAGTAATATAGATTTCTCTAGATCGCATCTAGTAGATAGAAAAATGCACTACCCATCCAACCCCACGCTAAAGTCTATTCCCATCTTTTTGGTCCCAAAAGGTACCTGCACGAAATGATAAGGAAAAGATATAGATATGCACTGTAACCAAATATTCTCCCCAAAGCAGTGACTCGCAGCAAGGCGCAGAAATCCGGAGCAATAAGCAGCATGAAAATTGCGCAGTTTTCCGCTCTCTCAGATTAAATGTAACCAAGAGAACATCCTTATCTCTACACTCCATACAAGACTCGTGCAACCAAGAACTCAATCAAGCATTCCGACAATTAAAATACACGCTTGTGTACGCCAATGTCAAACTTGTCATCAGACTTATCAAGAACTTGTCATGCCAGGAATCATGCACGAGAAAACGAGGTTTTGACATTCTGGTACTATGTGAGATCTATGTATGCGAGTAGCCGTTGAATTGAAATGAAGGGATGTTGTGATACGGATGGATAGATACATTTGAAACGTTTGATGTTGTGTTTACGGAGGATGTATTGGATCAGTCGACGCACGTGATGAATTTTATTGAAGCTGTGATCTGGACTGTTGCAGGGATCATTGCACTCCACAAGTAAGGGATCCTTGTAGAGTCGTTTTAAGGTCTGTGCGACGAGAGGTCTTGGTTTGGCTTGAGAATTACGATGAACACGATAAGCTGAACATGAGCGATAAGAAATCAAAAGATAGTGGGATATTTAATTCTTCCTTATCAATAATATCTTGGATATCACTTGGCTAATAATATAATATGAGGATATAATTTTTCAACGAATGCCTAGATCTCTTATTAATATTAGATCTATTATTGGATATACATAGAACATAAATTCATCATTTAAATCGAATAATCCCTTGATCGGGACCCGCCGATTCACTGTTGTATATGACCACTTGGCGGGGTATAATCAGCCACCATTTACTAGGTAGCTACAGCTACAACTACTTCTAATCTACTTCACCATTTCTTTCGCCTTCAAAACCCAAGCATTTTGAACACTCCTATATTCCTTCTCTCCACCCTACCTACAAAAATCATCTTGCTTCATAATGTCCACTCCTAGCCCCACCCCCACAACAACCAAACTCGAGCTCCGAACCGCCTATGGTCCCGTCTATCGCGATGTACTCAACACACCACCTCGTCCCTGTACCGATACTGAAATCCCTATAATCGACCTCTCGAATATAGATTCTCCTAATCTGAGTGATCGACAAGCGTTAGCAGCAGAAGTACGAGCTGCGGCTGTAGGGACGGGATTTTTTTATGTGAAGAATCATGGGATTGAGGAGGAGGTTATTGCGAGGGCGAAGGAACAAGCCTTGAGGTGAGTTTGTGCTTTTGGGGGGTGAATGAGAGGGGCACAGAAGCGAGATGGAAGGTATAGGGAGGCTTTTATGGGGGATCTTTAAGGGTCCAGGGTTTCTGTTCGAGATACGCGGACGGGAGAAAGAGAGCTGGGTGGATGAATAGAAATGAATACCACCACTAATCCATGGTCCTAGTTTCTTCAAACAACCATATGAAGAAAAAGCCAAAATAGATAAAAGGCATTCCCGCTATTTCAACGGCTACATGGGATTAAAAAGTTCCAACATCAGCCCCGGAGAAAGTGTAGACGTCAAAGAATCCGTGCGTCCCCAAACCCTCATATCCCTTCCCCTCCCTCCTCACTAACAACCTTCAGATCGCCTGGCGCTACGAACCCGAAAACGACCCCGATCACCCACAAACTCTTTCCTCCATCCCCTCTGAAGTAAAACCCTTTATACGAGGTGAATCCTTCGTCTGGGAAGGAACATCGCACCTCCCCAATTTCAAAACCGACACACTCGCCTACTGGAAATCCTGTCTCACTCTCGCGCGCAAACTCGTGCGAGTCTTCGCACTAAGTCTCTCACTCCCTGAAGATTACTTCGATAGTCGAGTGACGTATCCCGGCGCCGATGGTCTCTACAATTACTATCCCCCCAGCACCGAAGAGGAGAAATCAAATAATAGTGTAGGATTAGGTAGTCATACCGATCTACAACTTTTTACATTATTATGGCAGGATATGATAGGAGGATTACAGGTATTAAATAAAGAAGGACAATGGATTATGGCTGTACCCATCGAGGGAACCATCGTAGTGAATATTGGAGATTTCATGATGAGACTTTGTAATGATATGTATAAGAGTACTGTGCACCGAGTTTATAACCGGGCTTCCGTGGAGCGAATATCCATGCCATTCTTTTTTGGTAAGTTTTTGTTTCCCATTCATTCTTCCTTCTTGAATATCTATGTATCTATGTATCTATCATATCATATCATAGACTAAAATACCGATAACAATACTAATCCACATACATCACAATACTAATCCACATACATCACACAGGACTTAATTTCAACTGTGTAGAAGGCGTAATATCTACATGCACCGATGAAAATAATCCACCCAAATATGAACCAATATCTTGTGGCGATTGTAAGACTTAAGTTTTTCTCTCCAGTTACACAATTCCATCCATTCATTCATTCATTCATCAAGAGAATCTCCCAACTAACAAAACTACAGGGTGCCAACTCCGCTTCAAATTGGAGAATGATGAGTTTAAAGAGAAGGCTGCACGGGCGCAGGCACCTAGTGCTGTTGTTGTGAAGGCTTAGGCTTGTATAGGTATCTAAGGTCTTATGATGGCGTGGACACTTCTGGATTAAATCCTCAGAAACAATATTTCGTTATTGTTTCTATAAAATTTTGGAAAGGAGTTTTGGAAATCACCTAAAGCTGGCAGAAAACACTGCTATATCTAAATTAATATATACTCATTGGCATTTTTAGAATAGGCAGATAGCGTATTTACTCATTGAATAGTTAGCATTTAGTCCCTATGTCCTTTTCGAACTCCAGCTGTGCCCTGCTACATGTCTGTTAAAGGGATCATGGATATCGTCACGTCCTAGATAATACGCCTTCCGTCAACATCCGTATAATTTTTGCATAGCAATTCCAGATATCATGTATGCAAAACCCCTAACTCAACATTATTGGCATGGCCCTTCTAAAAGTTGCAGAGATGACTCCACTAGCCTAACTTTTAACATTTTGAGGTACCCCCAGGATTTGGTGCATCCTCCAACATCAACTGGAGACATGTTTGCTTGTATCGATCGAGAGGTAGATAATCGCTTAGGAAGAAACTTAACTGGTAATTGAAACGTAGGGGGTACTCGCGCGAGTGGACACCCTCCATGGACTCTTGCGAAGGAATTTATTCAAGTGGTTGAAAACATGCGCTGCGTATCTGGAGCCATTTGGTCGATGTGGCGATATTGGGTTGGCTCTTTCTGCTGGTTACATTACTGCACCTTGCAAATACGCCTCATACAACCACCAATTATGCCACTGTACCCCTCTTTCTCCCCACGCATCTTTATCGAGAATCCCCTCGGAAGAAGAATACTCCTCCCTTGCCCACTGCATTACCCCTCCTCACAAAACCCCACCCACCAACTCCAACAAATCAAAATATTCCATTCTCTCCCCTTCTCTCCCCTTCCTCTCCCCATCTTCTCCTTCCCCATCCACCGCACCCACACTCTCCTTTCCCTTCTCCTCCTCCAACCCCAGCCCCAACAAAACCGTCCTCCTCTCCTCCGGATCCCTCCCCAAAATCATACTCCCAATCTGACTCGCATACAAATGAGCAATCCTCTCTCTCTTTTCCCCAGCCGCACCTAATAACGTACGAGGAGTTAAATGTTCAAGAGGCAGAATCATATTTGCGCCATTGGATATCGAGGTAGATGTGGAAGATGGGAGGGGAATTGCCGTGTCGAAGCTGGTGGGAGAGGCGCTGGTGAGAGGGATTTGTATCTATATTGGTGAGTGGGTGGGTTAGTGAGGAGAGTGAGTAGACAGTATAAGGATTGATATAAGGAAATCATAAAACTGATAAATAACCCATGAACAAAAGTGAAGAATAACAAACCCATTGACCCAACCTTCCTCCCTGAGAAATAGTAACTAAAATCCTATCCGCAAAATACATGCAGGAAACATCCGTAGGCACACCACTAATCATAGCAGAAGCAGTTTTCGAGCGAGCGGGAAACGGTGAGGGATAGACATCCGAGTTCGCCGGAAGATTTGTAAGAGGAGATGTGGTTGTTGTCATTTTTGGTTTTGTTGTTCAGGTATGAGATTGTTTGTGTAGAATTTGCTTTTGGTATTGGTGTGGATGGTTTTTGTTAGTTTGTCTGTTTTTGGAAATGAGGGGTTGGAGGTTCTGGAGGGGTATGTGAAATGTTGATGTTGAATGGACAGTGTCAGCCTTGCAGGAGCTTCGACTTCTCTGGTCCTGAATCCGAGGCCCAAGCTCCAGCCTTGTGGGGTGCTCGCTGCAGGTCAAGTGAGGTCACCGGGAGCAACTCAATTATTTATGGTCAGTGGTTGAGTATATTTAAAGAAATATTTCGTAAAGTCATATCATGAAAGCTATTATCGTTTTGCTACTTCCTATCTAATGTTATTATGACTATCTATTAAACCCCACAGCATCTCAAAGTAAAGATCTCTTCATCCCATCATTGCAACCTATAAAGCAAACATATGATATATGTACAAATGTGCAAAGTGTCCTGTCATAATTTAGAGCCTCAAACTGTTCAAATATCCCACAAAGTACATAATTTCGCAATTTTATCGGGACAAAAGTTTTCCCCGTCATCTCTTTACCGTAATCGTACAATACAAACGTAACATCCTTCGCATCCAGAGTTCCGCAATACTGAAATTGTGAGCCCCTTTACCAGCCACCATTTGGGCCAGTGTTGTTCCATCCACTGCTGCCAGAGCTGTTATCATAACCAGTATTTCCAGATTTGTTAGCCTTAACATTCTTTCCACCTTTACTGGCCTTACTAGCCTTGCGAATTCTACCAGTATAGCCACCGTTACCGCCATTCTCGCTAGGTTCAGGTGAGGCCCAACTCCCAGCAAGAGAAATAGCAGTAGGAGTTCTCGTATGGCGGGATTTGCGACCACCATCATAATCACCAATGTTGGAAAAGTTTGAATATCCGCCCTGGTCAATATTGTCCCAGTTTCTCAAAATCTCACTGCTTGTGGGTGTATGATCACGGAACTGGGGATTGCCTTCTTCTCCATCGTCATCTTGGTCTCCTCCCTCGCCAGAATTATGTCCATCCCCGCCCCATTGACTTCCTCGGTTGCTGGAGTTCTCTTTTCGGCCACCGTTGATCTGGTTGTTTTTCTTGTTGTTCCATCCCTTACCCTTGGCACTTTGAACTACGTTGTAATTTGTACTAGATTTCTTCCCCCATCCTTCATTATCATCTTGTTGGTTACCTTCATCATCTTCTTGGTCATTTTTGTAGGCAGTCCATTCTGGATCATCGTAGCCCTTAGGCCTTTGATTATTCTTTGGCTTGTTATTTTGTGGCTTCTTAGGGTTATTGTTGGATTTGCTGTTTTGATTCCCAGAACCTGCACGAAAGCCGGATTTTCCATTGTTTTGTTGATTACCCGAGCCTGCACAACCTCCAGAATTACCTTTGTTCTGTTTCTGATTCGAGTTTGCCCAGCCCCCTGCGTTGCTGTTATTTTGTTGCTCATTCGAATCTCCCCAACCTCCCGGAGTAGTATTATTCCTACCGCCCGAATCTCCTCCCCAACCACCGGAATTGTCATCGTTGTATTGAGCATTGGAGTTTGATTGGTCATTATTGTCGTTGTTACCCCGGCCGGAAGATTGATTGTTTGCGCCATCATTAGTGCCCTGGTTATCTCCACCCCAGCCTGAATTCTGGTTATTGTCATTGCCCCAACTTGGGTTCTGGTTGTTTGAGGTATCGTTGGAGTCTTGGTTATTTCCTCCCCAACCTGCGTTCTGATTGCTTGATTTGTCATTTTGGTTCTGTTTATTGTTGTTGCCCCAGCTCGAGTCTTGGTTGTTCGAGTTATTGTTCGAGTTCTGGTTGTTATCATTGCCCCAACCCGAATTCTGGTTATTCGAGTTATCATTTGACTCCTGATTATTGTCATTACCCCAGCCCCAATTCTGGTTGTCCGAATTGTCATTTGACTGGCCATTATCATTTCCCCAAGAGTCATTGTTCGGCGTGGCATTTGCATCCTCTTCCTTGGTATCATTCCCCCACCCCAAATTCCCACTTGTTTCATTGTTCGCACCCCAGCTGTTTGAGTTGCCAGACTGATCATTGTTATCTGCACCCCATCCATCACCTGAATTGTTGTTGGACTGGTTATTCTGGTTGCCTTGACCCTTTCCACCTTTCTTATTATTCTTTTGCTTGTTGGAAGTCTGTGTTTTGTTACTGCCTACAGACGCAACCCTCTGATTACTGTTCTGACCAGTGTTGCCCCAATCGTTCGAGTCTTGATTATTGTTTTGATCATTACCGCCCCAACCACCTGAACCCTGATTGTTATTCGTCTCGTCGTTATTATTCCAACCAGAGCCGGAATATTCTTTGTTATTTGCATCCTCAACCCAGCTACCCGGCATATCTGTATTCTGCGGAATGTTATTATTGTTGCTATTGCCTTGCTGCTGGCGCCGATTGTTGGAAGGATTCTGGTTGGAATTAATACTGGAGAAGTTGCGCTGCCCAGAGACATTCTGATTGGGAGTGTGTCTGACAGTATTGCTAGAGAAATCGCGGGGTAGTTTTGGTTGAGATTGCTGCTGATCATAAGATACCGGCCTCGACGGGTTAAAAATTCGAGGTGAGCCACCAAAGTGTGCTGAATCTGGAGCACAAGTACCAATTGGCACTTGAGCTGGCGTGAGCAGTGTCGCAAAAGGATTGCCATATACCCGACCATGGTAAACGCGCAGGACACCACTTTTCGTATCAAGAAATGCGTTTGGACGTGGATCAGAAGGATTTTCGATCACATCCTCCCGCAGTATAACTTCAGCTCTCATGTCTTGAAGAATACGTCTCTCCATTCTTCGACCTAAGTATCTCAATAAGCTTTGATTTTGATGATCGGATTGCCTCTCAAATTGATCTGACTCGTCTGAGCTATCTTGATTGTTTTGGCGGGTATTGTTTCTGGATTTTTGATAATTGTCACGTTGTTTCGCATTCATATCCCGCTGATTTTGGTTCCCTTCAAAATTCTGATTTTGTTTGACCTTTTGATTTCGTGGCTGTGGGATGCTGTTTTTATTGCTGGGTTGCTGCCTTTTCTTCAGTTGTTTATTTATAGGTTCAATTTCAACTTCCGTCTCATCATTGGAATCGCTTGAATCTTCCGTGCTGCTTTTATCTTTCATTTTCTCCCGCGCTCTGCATTGCGGGCATTCGCATGGTCGGGGCCCTGCTGATGCCTTTGGAGTATTCTTCTTCAATGCCGACTTAAGTTTTGGTGTTGGCTCTTGAAATTTTACTTTCTTATCAACCTCCTTTGCAGGTTGAGGTGTCTTGGGTTGTGGTTCTGGTTCTGGTTCCTTGACTTCCGGCTTCTCAATTTCTTTGGTTGTTAGTTTTGAAGGAGGCCCCTCTTCAGAAGAAACTGCGGAAGAGGTGTCAAAATCAGAAACCTCCACTTCGATTGCGAGACGCCGACGAATGCGTGGTTGGCTCACTGTGATAATATTGGACTTGGCTGTGGCAATAGATCGATATGCAGCCTTCGTTGGAGCCGGGCCAGCGACCCATTCAATCACACTTGCTGGGCGTTGCGGCATTATTGGAAGCCCGCCAACCACATGGGATCGAGCTTCGTGTACCTAAATAGTGTATCTGCCCTTCATCAGAAAACAGTCGCAGATGCTTGCACTCGCGAGAGGTCACTTGGGAGTAATGATATCGAAGGATTCAAATGCTATCTTATTTTAGTCCTGGGAACAAAAGGTGCATTCGCACTTCTATGAACAAGGACCTTACGCTGGATATGCTACTACGCGATTTGAGTACAAGTAAAGAATAGCCCAGTCTAGTTGAAGAAAAGCGCTGTAGCATCAAGTATTATATCGCGCATGGAAGGATAGGTAAATCATGACACGAAGGCGAAAACGCGTCAATGGAGTTCGGCGCTCAGAAACTTCGTTGGGAACGCTGAGAATTCGATATAGGAACTGCTCAGCACCGTAGGAAGTAAGGCGAGCAGAATATATCCGTAAAAGTTACTGTGAAAGGCCTGGATACTTTGATAAAGGAGTTTTGTGATTTTGTGAAATCAAGATTGAGGGTGAATCCTTCTAGTTTGCGTCGTCCATTGACACTGAGGAGTATAATGGCTGCGACAAGGAATGTAGGAAACATAAAAATAACATTATTAAAAATTAAAGAGTGTTGAATGTTGACTTTGAAGAAAGGTGTCTTTCCCACCTGGAAATCTAAGGTAAAGAAAATCCATTATCTGAGGTGGATGTTCAAAATCCTCATGTCTCTTCCATTTTGGGTATGTTGGGTTCTCTTAGCGCACCTTCCCATCTGAACTCCTAGCACCCCCTCCCAACTCCAAATGCCACCGTAGTAAAAGATGATCCATGAACCAAAATAAATAATCATTCCAAACTATTCACAAATGTTTAACATGTGAATTTTTGACCGCACTTAGTGCATTGGAACGGATACATAAAGTCGGGGTAATGGTTGAATTTAGGTCAAGAATTCACATGACCTTGAATTTGAGGTGGTCGGCTGTGGATATAGAATACAACCATAACCTCAATCTATGAGAGCTTTCAATCTGTGCTCTTGTGCTCTTGTGTCTATGATTTCAAAAATCGCTACCCCTTATTAAATAATCAAGTAAAGTTGATCCGATCTGAAACTCAACCAAGAAATTCTCCTATCATTAGAAAGTGGTAGATCTAGATTCTGTACTATGATGAATATCAACACGGAGTGTTTCAATATGGCCTGAAGGATATCCTATGGGTTACTGCAACTTTATAAAGGAACGAAAACTGTCGGCCGAACAGGAGACCCCTTAATCTTGACACCACATCTTGACCGCAGTCACGGGAAGGAATAGGGCCTTGCCTATTATCTTCGGCCTCCACAGGTGTGTAAAAATATTCCCAGTAGGTGCAAGAAACGATATTCTGCAATGTCAGTACGTTGGATCTGACAGGCTTGTCTTGGAAATCTTTCTTCGGAACTCCATAATGGTCGCTATCCTTTGGAACTGTGTCCGTTCCTTTTTTTTTCTGGCTGACGCCTCATAATTTAGCCTTGGCTTGTAGCTCATCTCTTCTCCACTCCTTATTGATGACAGTATTTCTCCAATAATTCCATATGCCCGCAAGCCCAGCTAGTGGTGGACACAATAGTAATAACCAGGCCCACCATCTAGGGCTTTTGCCTTGAATAGTTTCCATGACCTTTTGTAGCTCTATCTTCAGTTCATCCTTTCCCTCATCGTTCCAGACCACCAATCCACGCGACTCTCCCCTGGCTTGACATCTTCTTGCTTTTTCTCTCACGTCCCCTTGACTCTTCACCCTGTTCTCGGCATCTTCCTCTGTTAAATGTGCATCTCTGTCCCTTAACCTCTGCATTTGTATCTTTGGATCCCTTACCGCCACAACAAGGACTGTGCCACAAATCATATCGATTCCACTTTCAAATAATAATGGCACATCAAGAACGACAGCCCAACAACCCCTCAAATAGCATCCAAGCAGTTCTTTATACATCTCTCTCCTAACTGCGGGATGCACAATCCCATTCAGCACTGCCCTATCTCTTTTCCTTTCCTCAGTATCCCCGAACACTCTCCTACCCAGTGCGGGTCTATTCAACGGAGCGCCTTTTGTATTGTCATGATCGGGAGAAGGAGGCAGAAGAAGATCCGGAGTAGTTGATGAAAAATGCGCAACAATCTTTTGATAACCTGGTGTGCCTGGTTCTACAACTTTGCGCGCAAGTAAATCAGCATCGATAACTGGAAGGGAGTAAGGAGGTTGTGAAAGGATTGATGAAACAGTGGATTTTCCGGTCGCTATCGAGCCGGTGAGACCAATTAGCAACATGTCAATAATTTATGGTGGACGTTTTGATTGAAGTTTGGAATAGGAAGGAGTGACGTGAGGTCTCATGAAGTTGTTTTGTTGCGGGTAATGCCGAGGCTTCTTGAGTCGAGCTCAGACCACCATAGAAACAACAACACCACAATCACTCAACATCAGCCTCGTCTTGAATGAATACAGGCTGCTCCTATGTTATTATTTGAATGATCTATGTCTAGGTGCTCATGGTTAAAGGCCATCCCTCTGAAAATTTCATGGCTGAAGTTGAGAATGAAAGCTACCATTCAACCCTCGTTGAATATCACCGTCTCGAAGAGACACCAACTCAATTGCCGACGATGTAACAATCTCACCGTATGTTATTCCAAAATGGATTGGCATAGAAAATGAATATCCTCTGGCCAAAGAAAGTTTAACTTTATGCACTTTAATATATGTTGACTCCGTTGCTGGGTTGGAACTATCCTACCTGCTCGAGCCAACGCTTACACCAACAACTCACCCCAACATGACGGTCGATGGGGCTTCCCATTTGAACAGTTATTCATTTTTATACATTATATATCAACAAGATAAGCCATGATAGAGCGTCAGCAAGTCTCTTTCCAAGCTGAATTTACTGAGTTGTCAGAATCGCTTATTGTTGACTGCTTTGATGTGGGAAGACAGGAATTGAAAGCTTCTCCACCATGCTTTCTTTAATAGCGTCAAAGGTCATGCTGGTGGTTGTCTCGTTCTGGGAATTTGCTTCTGCGAAGAGAGGAGAAGCGTTCTTGATGTTGGTAGTCTTACCTACCTCAAGACGAAGATTGTCCTTTTATGCACCATGGAGTTAGACTATGGCAGAACATCGCTTACCATGAGTGTGGTGGCGGTCTATGCTTGACAAAAGTCTTTAGCACAACAGATTATTTTACGCTGAAGACATTGTTCTTATAGGTGTGAAGAGGGTTATCTTATTATTGATGCTACGGATCATGATTATATAGTAGGCCCACAATCATCGTACTTGCCATATTAGGCCTAACAACGCATGCCAATAGCCTCGGGGTGGTTTAGGAATCAGAGGAATATTTGCATACTTCGAGCTCTACACAAAATCAAAAGTGCTCGGAAGCAAATATCTCCACAGCAACTTAGTAAGGAACTAGTGCAGCTACTAGTCTTGTTTGGCCCTCTCTATCATTATGGCGGTTCAAAACTTAGATCCATTTTATCAGCGCTCACGTGAAAAATCTCTCTTATGAGCACCACCTTTAGAAACTGAGATATGTGGTTTTGCTTCAAAGATTTCTTCAGTTATGAGTTTTTCGTATCACAAATGCGCTCTATAAAGCTATGTGATCACTGTGGAAGAAAACAGAAATTACTCTACGTTCTATCCTAGAGTAAAAACATTCTTAACAGAACACACCCTGTCGGTCTTCTGTTTTCTATGAAAAGTATATATGGCGGAGACTCGGTCGTTGAAAATGATAGGCGGCAGGAAGTCCGCCATGAAGTAGTGTTCAATGCTGAGTAGTAGCCTGTATTATCTAGCCTAAATGGTAAACCTTAATCGATGCCACAACAACTGTTCTCAGGAATTAGCAATAAGAGATTGTGAAATTTGGTCCAAGTAGTCATGCTGACCAAAGTGTGTATCCAAGCCCATACTGGGTAATGTTTGTAAGTGAGCGCTGCTATGTGTTTTGAAATAAAGTGTTCCCAGAAATCGTCGTTGTCTAGCCGACCATTTCTCAAATCGAACAATTTCTTATTGGTCAATTCGAAAATATATAGAGATGATCGGCTTCTAATCAATGGTTAAGTCGTACAAATCGTACAATCGAAGAAAATTCATCTTTCGGCGGGGGGATTTTTCTGCATTAATGTTTTGCAAGCCACTAAGATTGAGAAATCAGAATGTACAATCGGCACAGAATTAGCTCAGAATACCAGAGCCCGAAAAGAAAAATCTCATTAGCCTCGAATTCTCCATATCCCGTGATCAAATTTACCTTGCTGGATGGACTACATGAACACTATAAAAGGCGAATCACACACGATACGTGTCGGCATACCTTCGACAACAAGTCCTATACTTAATTCATCCAAGTTCGAGAGTCATGATAGGATGATGGAGACTAGCTACTCAGTTTGATATAATCCAGCATGTTTTGAGTTACGCTAAGTGGATTTGAAAAGCCTTAACTAGTCATACTTATAGTCAGAATAAGAATTCGCACTTTTTTTTTTTCATTTACATTTGATGCCAAAATCTGTTTCCTCCTTCTCATCCATACAACCACAAACATTAACACTCCCGAATCCGATTCAATAAAATACAGCAACTTTACTTTCAACATGTCTCGCAAAAAACTTTCCAAACTTTGCCATGTACGCGTTAGAACGCAACAAAATCGAGCCTTCCGAACGTCGAGATCTCTCCGTCCATCCTACAACCAAATGCGCGGTACCTCCCACCCATCCACTCCTCGCGAACCAACACTTTTCGATCCTATCGAGAGTGACCAAAAAGCCTGTCGTCTCCGCGGTAACCAAACACGCACCGCTCCCGCCCGCACCCTCGTCACCGCTCCCGCCCACACCATCGTTCCTGGTCCCTCCTGCACCATCATCCGATCAACTCCTCGTTTCTCAGAACTTTTCCCTATATTGAATATCACACCTCATGAATTCCTTTGCGGGCCAATGTTCTCTATGTGGAGAATGTGGAGACACCCCCAACAAGAGGAGGATATCGACCAAATGTGCGAATATCTTTATAGGTCGGAACCGAAACTCCTTCCTACTCCTTGGAAGGTCGATGATCTTCTTGCGCATGTTATTGAAAATGATTGTAATTTTCATTGCAGTAGGGAGGAGAAAGAGGAGGAGATTGAGAAGTGGTTGGATGAGGTCGAGGAAGTGGATTTCGTGGGACGTGATTAGTTGCATGAGGGATGTTGATAATGGAAGGGGGGAGGGGGTATTGATGATGGAGGGTGACTTTTTTTTTTTTTTTTTTTTTTTTTGAGCAGAGTTCGACGATGGGAATGGTGCCATGGGTTGTGTATAACGACGTGACTTCCCATCTGTCATAACTTTTCATGGGAGAACGATGTATTTGATAATTTCGACATTTTGCGCGGGGTATTAGGAATAGATGGGATATTTTGTGAGGTATAGATCATATCAATCACGGGGTATATAAATTGATAAAAAATTTGGTATTTGGGGGTATTTTGTATAATGTAATCTTGTGTTTAGATAATTAGTAGTTATGTTACGGGTTTATAAATTGATATATTTGAATAATTTTACTATTTACTTCTATGAATTTTATAAGTATATCTTTAATCTTGTCGTTCAATTGTAAGATTATAATTTATGATTCTAAACTTGAAACATGACATATCGAGAACAAAACATCGTTTGAGTTTATACGGTGGATAACCTCTCTTTTTCTCTCTCTCCCCCGCTGTATAGTAAGTAGGAGCTGAATAAATTACTGGGATCAAACCTGTTTATATAAAATAAGATATGCAACGAATTTATTTAGAAAGATTGTGATTTGAATTGGAAGAACTATGTGTGATTATTAGGTATCTAGGTATGTAAGAACTTATATTAGCTGGGAGATAGAATGGTGGTTGATTTCTTAAGCTGCTAGATTAGTTTTTAGATTTGTAGATGGAGTACTGTGTGAGGGGGTATAATTGGGTATTGAATGATGGCCCGGAGGCCGCGCGGGGGCAGGGGGGGGAGTTAATGTGTTGGGGATTTTTGGATATTCGTGATGAGGGGAGGCTATAGTTTCCCTGGAGGGAAAGATGGGATATTAGATGAGGTGTTAAGTGGTATGGAAGGTTTTGGTTCAAGCATAAAATTGATTTGATAGGAGATAAATAGCAATTCAACGATCGATAACTCCCAAAATCTCCTTGGTATCTATCATTCTCTGCTATTGGATGTATTGACGACAACTTGATCTCTTACACCGTACTCATCTATTGTTTTCCCTGCCAATTGTAGACCAATCTAACCTTCAACACCTCACTTCCCTTCTTAACCACCACCCTCCTGGTATAATATCTCTTCCCGTCAATAATCGCAAACCCCCAAATCTGCATTGCGTTCCAACCCCTCTCCTCATTAACACCATAAGTCTGAACATGTCTTTCCCCATCGGGACCACTATTTTCCTCTTCACCCTCTAACCAATCCTCTTTCAAAAAAGCATCATCATCTACTTGTTCCAAATTACAAAATCTAGATTTTGCGGAAACATTGCCGAATAGATGATCTTCATGAGCTCGAGGAACCCAATCGAGTGTTCGATATTCAGATGTGCCTTTAATACCGCCCGTGGCAGTCTGGTCAATGTCGATGTGCGGGATATTGTTTTCGTCTATGTATTCTTTGACGTGGAGAGTTACGGTTGCGAGGGAGATTGCTTTGCGGCTCCACCAGCCTACTCCTTGGAGGGCGAGGACTGCGTCAGTGTCGTCAGAGAGAGTTTTGTTCTAAGGGTTGTTAGTGAATTAAGGATAGTAGATCAAAATTATGGATATGCTGGTGGGATTGATGGCAGCGACAGAAATAAAGTATGTGAGAAAGTCACATATATCTTACCATAACCCAGTCTCCACTTAGATCCTTCAAGGTAATTTCTGGTGGTGCGGACATTGTGTGGTGAGGTTTGTATTGAAATTTAGTGTTGGTTGACGTTGATGTTGATGTCAAGGTTGTTTGGGATCTCTAGGAGTATAATGCGGGGTAGCTGTATGAGAGGTGTATGTAACGTGGAGAAGGCAAGTTTGGCAATATGCTAGGAAAGAGAATATCAAAAGAGAAGAATGAAACGAAAGGAAATAAACTTTAATACTTATATCTCTCAATACTCAATGGCGCCATAATCTGTACCTGCAGAAAGTACTCCTGACGTGCCACAGATGCCAAAATCACAAGCATTAGTAACAACATTCTGTATATTCTCATCTCATCACCTCGGTACTTGGTGATGTAAATCATGAAGGAATCGGCTCACATGTGTTCTCGGCATCCATTGAGACGTACGGAGTAGGTTAATGAACCGTGCGAATGTTACCCTGGTAGAGCTTCATGGGAGGGATTTGCTATCTAACACGGTAAGAGGAGTTCCGATAATAAAGTTGAATGGTGGAGTAGTAATTGCTCCGAAATAGGAACTTTTTTTGTTGAGCAATAGTATCATAAAGGCTTTGAGAAATTTGGTTGTCATTCAATGTCATCTCCGACCACCCGCACCTTATGAAGGAGGTGAGTGTGCTTGGAGACAAGATGAGGGATGAATTCATGATCCAAAAGACTCGTTGCTCATACAGAAATATGTTACTAACGCCAATATTAGAGTGATCGTAGATTTATCAATATCTGACTTAAGTTTAGCCAATTTCCAACCAATCAAAAATAATTTAATCAGCAAACCTGGGGTTTGTGGATTTTCCGTGCTCCGATATCGATCTCAAGAAATAATTTCTATCTGGCTCATACTTGAAGCTGTGTTGTTGACTATTTGGGAGGTCACAATTGCTTTCATTTCTCTGTCTTTGCTTTGAAGAGAAGTACAGGTTAACTTTCATACCTGTCCTCTTATCCTCAAATTTTCAGCATCGACAAAGACAAAAGTTGAAGTAATTAATTTTACTTACAACATCCCTCAAACATGCTCTCACAATTGAGAACGAGGGCAAATGCCTCTCTTCTCACCTCAAGAAGAGCTTCACAATATGTGTAAGTATTTGCAAAGTCTTTTCCTTTCCAATTGACTAACTTTCTATCAAGACGCTCTTTATCTTCTACCTCATCTCTCCGCACATCATCGGATGACTCAGAACCAAAACTCAACAGAGTTTCATCTACTATCACACAACCAAAATCACAAGGTGCTTCGCAAGCAATGTTATATGCCACTGGAATGACCGAAGAAAGATTAAATAAAGCACAAGTTGGTATTTCCTCGGTATGGTGGTCAGGGAATCCTTGCAATATGCATTTATTGGAACTCAACCATAAAGTAAAGGAAGGAGTTGAAAGAGCTGGTTTAGTAGGATATCAATTCAACACCATTGGAGTTTCTGATGGTATTTCTATGGGTACAAAGGGTATGAGATATAGTCTTCAATCAAGAGATTTGATTGCAGATAGTATTGAAACTGTTATGGGTGGTCAATGGTATGATGCAAATATCTCAATTCCTGGATGCGACAAAAATATGCCCGGTGTTATGATGGCAATTGGACGAGTTAACAGACCATCTCTTATGGTTTATGGTGGTTCAATTAAACCAGGATGTGCCTCAACTCAAAATAATGCAGATATTGATATCGTTTCCGCATTCCAAGCCTATGGACAATTCATTACTGGAGAAATTACGGAAGAACAAAGATTCGATGTTATTCGTCATGCTTGCCCAGGTCAAGGTGCATGTGGTGGAATGTATACTGCAAACACAATGGCATCAGCAATTGAAATTATGGGAATGACCCTTCCTGGATCCTCCACCAACCCAGCAGATTCCAAGGCTAAATTACTCGAATGCTTCGCAGCCGGTGGTGCCATTAAGAATCTTCTTAAAGAGGACATCAGGCCTAGAGATATCATGACTAGACAAGCCTTCGAAAATGCTATGGTTCTTGTCACTATCACTGGAGGATCTACTAATGCTGTTCTTCATCTTATTGCTATGGCAGATGCTGTAGGAATTAGGCTCACGATCGATGACTTCCAAGCTGTTTCTGACCGAACACCTTTCCTCGCAGATCTCAAACCATCCGGTAAATACGTTTTCAATGACCTTTATAGTATCGGTGGTACTCCTGCTCTCATTAAACTCCTCATCAAAGAAGGTGTTATTGATGGATCAGGAATGACTGTAACTGGTAAAACTCTCGCTGAGAACGTCAAGGATGTTCCTGATTTCCCATCCGATCAAGAAATCATTCGTCCATTCTCAGCTCCTATTAAAGAAACCGGTCATATCCAAATTCTACGTGGCTCCCTCGCACCAGGTGGATCTGTCGGTAAGATTACCGGTAAAGAAGGATTACGATTTGTCGGAAAAGCGAAGGTTTATGATGCTGAAAATGATTTCATTGAAGCTCTCGAACGTGGTGAAATTAAGAAAGGAGAGAAGACTGTTGTAGTCATTCGTTATGAAGGACCAAAGGGTGGACCAGGTATGCCAGAGATGCTAAAACCATCTTCAGCAATTATGGGTGCAGGACTTGGAAAGGATGTCGCACTTATTACCGATGGACGTTTCAGTGGAGGATCTCATGGATTCTTGATTGGACATATTGTGCCTGAAGCACAAGTTGGAGGACCTATTGGATTGGTTAGAGATGGTGATAAGATTATTATTGATGCAGAGACCAGAGTGTTGGATTTGGAGGTTGAAGGTGGTGAGGAGGAATTAGAAAGGAGAAGAAAAGAGTTTGTTGCGCCTCCGTTGAAATATACCAAGGGTACATTAGCGAAATATTCGAGATTGGTGCAGGATGCTAGTCATGGATGTATTACCGATGGGGATATTGTTGAGGCATGAGAGATGAGATGATATGATAGGTAAATGGAAGAATGGATGATAACAGAGGATGAAAATAAATGTATATTTCAACTTCCGGTCTGAAGCGACAGGAGTAGAACCGGGAAACAAAATCGGTGTTTCTTCAATCTATGACTTATTTTTCCTTCTAATAATAGGAAGTCTAACTTCGAAAATCAATAATATGAATGAATATCTCTGAAATGAATTAAATTCTTGCTTTTTTGAACACTGCTTCTTGTGAGTATCGAAATGCGTTACCTTTTGGCTGTATAATAGCAGGGACATGTCGAATTGTAACAGACCACCAGACTTAGCAGATAATAGATAGATAACTCAATCTCTGTAATTAACCAAGCTAAATTATTGTGTTAATTCGAGAAAGTAATGATTTGCAGGGACCTGTAAAGATGATGGATGGTCTTGATGAGAAATTGTTCTCATCTGTAGCAAGGAAATCATCATGGTTTCGAAGATTCGGATTGCAAGAGCTCTCTTTAGACAGGTGTATGATTTTTGTCTGTGGTGGTATTCTATTTCCTCTAGAATATCTTTAGCTTGTTTTCTCCGCTATAAATGTAATATAATAGCTTCATATTTCCCTAGAAGGGTAGAGGATTCTGATGAGGTAGACCATGGGGATGTCTTACTTCTATGGAATATTAAAAAAAGTAAATTGTTCATTTTGGGATCTGTTGACCATGGTAAAAGCAAAGGAGATCGAATCAACGGATATAAGGGATAATATTGATGTTCTTCTTGATCTGGTAAATGATGATGATGTTGAAATGTTAGATATTCACGTTGATTACACCATTATACCTCAAATTTGCTTCGTATGAGCGTGTAAGACTTTGGTACATTAGGGGAATCTCAAGAAAATGCTATTGTTTGCGCCTAGATTCAAATTTCTGCAGAGATTGCTTTCATCTGTCCAGGATTTTTCTAGTGATCTTCGGTTCTGAGTACTGGACACTCCGAGCTTTACTCATGTGCAGGGTATTCTTTTAGCGGGAAGTTTCGGAGGGCTCAGCTTCAGGTTTGACACGGTTGACTTCCAAGAGCAACTTCTACTTCAAGGTTCAGTCTTTGATCAAACACAAGACATCTCGGAGCTATTTTACAACACTTGATCCTGTTCCAGGCCTCCGCTGTAACGATACTGTATTGGAGGCAGCGGCTGCCTAAGGTTTCGTCTGGTTGGTAGTTATGGGTTAAGGCTTTATCACTGGTATTCACTTGGAAGTGAAGTCGTTACTAGATCAAGTAGAATATAGGTAAACTAATTGATAATTAAGTTGAGCACGAAGCTCCTATACTATGAAAATAATGAATGTTTATATACTGGTCCTTTCCAGGAGTGTTACGTTGTAACATTATAAACTATTATCACGTGTTATAGGATCACATGGATAATCTTGTGAGGGAGCGAGGGAGCGAGGTTCGAATCTCGCTCCCCAGCTCCATCGCTCCAATGTTGGGATACGAAGGTCTACCTAATCAAGATGGATTCCCTTTGTATAGAGCTTCGTGCTCAAGATCAATCATTTAGTATACTCTACTATTAGTTACGAATTACATTGTCATTACTTAAGTCCCTGCTTGACGCCTAGTTATAAACCACCTCGAGAGCCTAGAGCACTTCCACGTGATCTAGACGGCAAACCTCGTAACATATTAGGGGTGGCCCAGAAAGGGGTACTAGACTTAGCCAATACTTTGCTTTTCCGGCGACAAATTGAAAAATCGACACGTGAAGAGTCGGTTATCAACAATTCATATTCTCAGATCTATAGAGTTGGATCAAACTGGATAAATGTTGGCTGACCAAGCTTCTCGACTATATCACAGATACTTCAGAGATACTAATTCTAGAGCCGGCTGGAGATATTTGGTTTTATAATGGCTTTAAGAACCATAGCCCTCGAACTTCAACGAGCCTTCATAACCGCGAATGAGAGTTTAAGCATCGGGTCAGCCTTACAATTTGGGGATATTGTAGCTGTTTTACATGGAATTGAAACACCTCATATTCCGAGGCCTGTCAACAACTCTATTGAGACGTAAACTCATTGACAGTGCTTACGCTTATGGAAGAATGTATGAAAAAGTGAAGAATATGCAGTTAGATAATCGTGATTTTCGTATTTAATGATGGTTCTTATTTAGCATTGAGCTTGGGAGAGGAATCACGACTCAATCATCGTGCTAAATGATTGATGTTTCTTTTCCCCTCCATAGGTGATCTCCTGATTACAATTGAGGAAATTGGTCAAGCCAGATGACTGAGGAGTGAAATTAAGGATAGATGCCAAGATCTGAAATTCAATCAGTGAATTAAACCAAGTGCTAATTCCTCAAAGGTTTTTAATCATGTTTCTGTTTACATAAAAGAGTTCTGAAGGTAATAGTAGGAATCATATAGATACATGTCCGCTGGAACAAGTCTATGCTTTGACCAACTACAAGATAGATGGGGGGAAACAGTACAAAGTATGTTTACAAACTTCCAAGATAACAGTGTCCAGCCACAGATTCATCAAATTCATCAAATTATCAAACATGAATTTGTAACAAAAATGATGACTTAGATAGGGGCTTCAATTCTAAAACAAAAGTCTCTCGATCCTTATTGGAATAACGGATAGAACAATATGAAACTTCATATTCATTTGGAAAGATTCTTCATATTATTCTTTGGAACCTTCCAAGCTTTCCAAAGGTATCTTGGTGAGATTGTATTACTTTTGATTGAATGGCTGAAATATTATTTAAGAAAATGATGAGACAAATGAACAAATATTTTTTCAATGGTATAAGAAGTCTTGATAGTTTTTGATGTTTTGATGTTGACTTTGATGTTTAATAAAAGTATCAAGACAGCACTAGAAATATACGTGGCTGAATCCCCACCAATCACCATCTTTCCCCGAATCTCAACATGAAATACAAAATCTTTCCCCAACCTCCGATTCATCAATCCCTTGGACTTCCCCTCTTTATTAGCCACAGCCCCAGGGACAACACCGGATCCATCCTTAAAGAAGAAGGTACGAAGCTGAGATCCCCGTATGCAATACCGAACCAATCACCATCGATTCCACGATAAGACATCTCCCCTTTAAAGATCGAGTGAAGATAAGAGGAAAGCACGCTTATATAATTTGTATTACCTCATTTCATAAATTCATACGCTCTGCAAGCCAACGTCGTAGTACATTAGAATTATACGAGAAGTAACACCTTCTAGATGTGGAATATGGTGGGGATATGATAGAGGAGAGACTGATTATTCAGCCTACATCAATCTGCATAGTTGGGTATGGATCATATAAAGATAGACGGTGTGGCAATTTTCAATGGGTTTTGGAGGAAAAAGGTTCGGAGAGAAGGACTCATCCATTGAATTGATTTGAAGTGGGAGCCGTCAATTGGATCTCTCGTCGTCAGTCAAGTAAGGTTGTATATACCTAGGTATGTAAGATTTATTTTATAATATCCACTTTGTTTCAATCCTAAATGTTCTAATAACAATACACACATTCACAAATTCCCTTTTCTTCAATTGGTGATCTCTCTGCTTGATCAAATGTTACACCAATGAGCCTCATCCTATTGCAGTAAAGGAGAAAGTATTTCATGAAAAATGGAAAGGAACGATGGAAATCAGAGATGATTCTAAATGAACGGTATCATTAGACTGACATCATATACAGCCAATCAAGTTGGTTTCTACCGTATTGGAAATTTGATGATCTATCAGGTTTCTATATCAACAAATCCTCGAGCATCACAAATCTACCAAAGTCCATATCAAGCAACATGGTTTCTAAAATCTATACTGGTTGTGCGATTCTCGCATTCTTTCAATGTGCTTTCTCTCATCAGCTATATCCTGATGGTTTTGGTGGAAAAATAAGCGTATGTTCTCTTTCACCTCCTCTCCACATGTCTGCCAGTCCCTTACACCCACATCACTCCAAAACTAACCCCTCGCAAATAGAGAACCACCATTCCCCGTCGAGAATTAGCACTATCAAAACGCGATAATATCGATCCCTCCCTCCTCTACCCAACTTACAATCTCAGCGTTCCGATTGATTATTTCCACAATGAATCTCGTTATGAACCTCACAGCAATGGAACATTTCCACTCCGCTATTGGTTCGACGCTACCTACTACAAACCTGGTGGACCAGTGATCGTCCTTCAATCAGGAGAAACCGATGCTACAGGTCGATTACCATTTTTACAAAATGGTCTTTTACATCAATTGGCTGTTGCGACGAATGGTATTGGTGTTGTGCTCGAACATCGTTACTATGGTGAAAGTATCCCAACCCCGGATTTCTCGACCAAGAATTTGAGATTCTTAACTACAGAACAAGCATTGATGGATGAGGTTTATTTTGCTAGGAATATTGTATTTCCAGGATTAGAAGATCAGAACCTTACAGCACCAAATGTGGCTTACATTGGTTATGGAGGTTCTTATGCTGGTGCTTTCAATGCTTTCTTGCGAAAGTTGTATCCAGATACTTTCTGGGGTAAGCTGCTTCCTTCCTTCTTCAATTCCGCAAATAGCAATGTGACTAACATGATTAGGTACAATTTCTTCCAGTGGTGTCGTAGAAGCCATCTATGATTACTGGACTTACTTTGAGCCTATTCGTGTTTTTGCCGATCAAAAATGTATTAAAAATACTCAACTCATCACCAACTCTATGGATAACATTGTCATTGGACAAGAAAACAACACGGCTTTAATCCAAGAACTCAAGACTGTTTGGGGACTTCCAAATGTTACTTATAGCAATGATTTCATGTCAGTAGTCATGTACGGAATGTGGGAATGGCAAAGTAAAAATTGGGATCCAGCAGTTGAAGGAACACCATATTTCGATTACTATTGTGGTAACGTTACTAGTAACAAGCTTCTCTGGCCAAGTTTGAATACCTCTACAACAGAGGTTCAGAAATTACTTACGAAAGGTGGTTATGTTTCTGAACTTAGTAACTTGACAATTCCATATCTTAATTGGATCGGTTGGTTGACTGGTAATGATTCCTCGCAATCTCTGACTATTTTACCTGCAAAACACTAACGTATCACAGATTACACCTCTGCAAACTTCGGCGATTGTTCTCCCAGCCAAGATTCTTGCTACTCAACCCACAACCTCACCTACTACGCACAAGACGACTCATCCCAATCTTGGCGTCTCTGGCCTTATCAATACTGTACCGAATGGGGCTACCTTCAAAACGGTGCTTCCGTTCCCGCAAACCAGCTTCCATTATTATCCCGCACCATCGATCTCCCCTACCTCTCCATTATCTGCGAAGCTTCTTTCAACATCACCACACCCCCAGCCGTAGAGAACATAAACAAGCACGGCGGTTTCAACCTCAGCTACCCACGTCTCGCATACATCGACGGTGAACAAGATGTTTGGCGTCCAGCAACCCCTCACGCATCACCTTTTAACACCACAGCTCATAACCGTACATCTTCTACCTCCCAACCATTCATCTTAATCGAAGGAGCAGTCCATCACTAGGATGAAAATGGAGTTTTCCCAAACGATACCACTCGTGACTTTCCTCCAAAACCTATTAAGCAAGTACAAAGTCAAGAAGTCAAGTTTGTGAAAAAGTGGATGGAGGAATGGAAGAGGGATTGTGAGAAGAAGGGAAGAGAACTTGTTTAAGTTTTTGATTTCGTCTAGAGTTGAGTCGGGTCTTGATTGATGACGTAAATGAGTATATGATAATTTGTATATGCATATGATTCTAGGCATGTAAATGCATTCTACGCATGGGGAGGGGGGGAGCAAGGAGCTTGCGAAAGCGGAATCAGTGAAGCTAGTGGGTATTTAATTAGGTAGATATATAATTTTATGATTATTTTTATTTTTGTTTTTTCTTCGACCATTTAGGTGTGTGGTAGTATGTCATACATGGCTTACCTACCTAGGTACTCGTACATTATATTTCTTCTGTCTAATTACCTAGGTATTTAAAATGTAAATCAATCAGCTATTGAAGTCAGTAAATCAGCCAAACTAAGCTCAGCTAAGCTAAATCACCTAAATCACCTAAATCACCTGATCTACCGAAAGGTAATTATATCTAAAATTATGTCAATCTAAACGAATAGAATGGGAGTCAGGTGAAAGAGGAGAGAAATTAAGATGGGAGAGGTATGGGAAGAAGTATAAAAAGAGAATTTGGGATGGAAGAGCTAGGAATGTAAGTTTAGATGTAAATTTAGTACCCTACTTTTGGACCACTCTGTTACAGTCAACATGTCCATATGAGCTTGGACCCTGTAGAAAAGCAAGTCGATTCCCATACAAAATTGTATGGCAATTGACTCATAGAGTCTCCCCACCTTCAGCAAGCACAGACATATATTCTGATTGAAATCACGTGAGGGATCTAGGGGATCTAGAGGATCTAGAGAGTTAAACTCTAGATCCAGTAGATCCAAGAGGTCCAAAGGAATACAGTAGAGTATGAAGTTCTATATAAAGGATATGTTTCCATTTGTAGAGCTTCGTGCTCAAGATCAATCATTTAGTATACTCTACTATTAGTTACGAATTGCACTACTGTTATTACTTTAAGTCCCTGCTTGACGCCTAGTTATAAACCACCTCGAGAGCCTAGAGCACTTCCACGTGATCTAGACGGCAAACCTCGTAACAATTATATAGTCAGAGTAGTTTCATAGTTTAGGAGCTTCGTGCTCAACTTAGTTATCAGTTAGTTTACTTACATTCTACTTGATCTGGTAACGAATTCACTTCCAAGTGAATACCAGTGATAAAGCCTTAACCTACAACTACCAACCAGATGAAACCTCAGGCAGCCGCTGCCCCCAGTACAGCATCGTTACACGAGCTATGCTATAGCTAACTGTATATATGATGATAGATTCCATAAACCAGTTATTGTGCAACTGTAACATCAATTGATTGTTACAAACAAAATTGATTCCCATCCATCCATCTGCAATGGCATCTTTTCTTGTTGGATTTGACCATTAATTCCCTGAGCCCGTATGTAATTGCATCAACCATAAAACCTCCAGGCACTTCCCACATCCCATGTTCTATCGGCTAAACCTGCGTCTCTTCCGCCTCCACTGAGGAAATTCTGCAAAATAACATGTAGTTTAAGCTCCAAGCTCAAGCCCAAAACAGATATCACAAGTCCTTTGATTCATTTGAGAAAGGATCCATAATTTTTATCGTTAATGTTGCCTTCATAAGTTGTTGGAACAAGACGGGTGAGAATCCCTTTACCTCACTTTCTTGCTCATGGAAAAGGCCAGGCCATCCGAAAGCTCGTAAAAGCTCGATACCACCAAATGAAATAGCAGCATCTGCCATCAATTCCCGCAAACGATCACCAGTCCTCGTCAAAGCAAACATGTCTTCGATGTAGCTCGCCTTGAAATAGTTCTTTCCATACTTTACCAACGCTGGTCGGAGTACATTATACACAGCATTGCTGATATTTCCCAGATCGTATTTGTCTGCAAATCTCAAGAAAGATATACAACGCTGAGCCGTATTCGTTCCGCAGTTGGAGATAGATAGGGTATAACTGATTTCGTGACGAAGTATATACTCCACAAGGACCTCAAAATCATCTGTCGAGTCCTCTGGTAAATTTGCTGTTTGCGTTTGACTTTCGATTAACCTCCCATTAAAGCACCGATCTAAAACTGGAGAGTAGTATGATAGCAGGTCTTTTGGTAGATCGAATAACTTTCTTTTTGGTCCAACAAATACCTTCACCCTCGGCCCCATAATCATCCTAGAGAAAAGCTGATTAGCTGATACAACATAAAGTTCGTACTCAATACTTACTGAAGCTACCCCGAGGGTGAACGTTTTGGAAGTGAATAAAGTTCTTGAGTCGCCCGGGCAAACTGGTGTCGTGGGTACCTTTCTGGGATGTTTCATTTCATCATCTAGTCTAAAGCTTTTGCCTCCATCATCCTTTGGAGGAATAGAATCATCGCTTGTTAAAGTTGCCGATGAATCTTGTAATGATGTTGAAGTTATGCGACGTTTTGAAACAGCTGGAAGAGGTGAGAATGCATTGAAAACCTTTCGTTTAGCTCCGAAGGGAGGCTGCTTTTCCATGGCTACTTAATCTGCATATCATACGTAGTCAGCTGTGAATCCTCAAAGCACTAACAAAAACTACTAGACCCCTTAAGAAGGCCTAGGATGAAATAAAAATTGATCGGAAGATGAAAAAAAAGCCAGAGACTTACATGGACCTAAAAAGACTTGGATGATGAGTTCAATGGACTAAAGAAGACTCCTTTGTGCAGAGGGGTGAAGCAGATAGAACTAAATGGTAAGAGAAATGTTGAAGTTCTGAGTGTTGAGAGGAATTGTAAGATTATAAGATTGAATGACAGGATTGGGTGACGAGGGTACAGTTGATCCTCGAAATTAATGGGAAGAAATTGACCGGAGTATATATCGTCTCTTCAAGTAGATATTTGTTGGAATAACGAAAATGAGGTGAAAACACACGATAAACCGAATGAAATCGATGGAATGAGAATAGACTCACTCACCATGAGATGGTGGATGAGGATCCAAGGATATTTGAAAAAGAATGAAAGAAAAAGAAAATCCCATGAGGTGAAGGTTAAGATGAAGATGAAGATGAAATTGCGCTAGTGATGTGTAGTCAGGAAGTGCAGAAGAGGGAAGGAACGACTGATCACCTTCCTGGTTGGAGACGGCACGTGAGCTCTCGATGATTGCGTCAAGTAACTATAGACACATGAAATTCTAATGGATGGTGATGTGATATCTGAGGCGATTATTATTAAGTGTAAGATGCTGATATCATTTCAAATGGCTTCCTCGATATGAAGCATTCTCATCTGGATTCTCATGTCTGTGAATCGAGCGAGGAAGGGTAGCTCGAGCTCCCGGCAGGAAATAGTATGAGACTGGAAATGGGTAAAAGATTCACCATGAATCGTTCTTAACTTTGCTCTCAACTAGTTAGATGATTGTATTCATGCCTCAACTAATGCTTTGAATGTTGGTCCTCGTCTTGACACTATTATCCTACAAGATGGAACGGTACAAATTGACTCGCCTTGATGGTATGGATATCTATATATTAGATTTCTTGATTGTGATGATGAAGCCGGTCTATAGTAGGCGGTGGTATTAGTCTAGACGTGAGATCTTACGAGTTAGTAAATAATATTACCAGAGTCTCACGCCCATATTTAAAGCCCTTGATGTCTATTATGTGTTTTTAACTTTTGGATAGCGAAACCTTAGCAGTCTGTAACAGTTGAATTCCATATAATACCATAACCCATCGACTTTCACAAGGGTCATGACTGGGTCGCAACTTTTGTCTGGTGGCTCCAAACCAATCGATAGCCATGTTATTTAATCTTCGAGTAAATAATCACAAAAAGAAATTGATAGACTTATAATATTTCGGTATAATGAAAACAATGTTTTAGAGCCTTCCAGCTCGAACACCTTCTGCTCATTTCCACCCTTTCTGTTGACCTCCTGGGATCTTGGCAGCATATGCATGTATATTGCATGATGCATATAAGGAGCAAACAAAACTCAACTTTTAATTCATTCTTTCCTTTTTGGTATACTGTTTGTTTGCTTTCAATATTTTGATTTCAAAGCACTTCAATTCCGAAGGCTGAAGACCGAACCTTATTCCTTCATTTTTTGAATATATACTCGCAGCTTAACTGCTTAGCTAGAGAATCAATCAATTCAATCTGATGCTCTTTCTGGTCTCAAGAAACCCAATACTTTCCATTGTTTCTTTTTGGCCCTCTCAAGTGAAAGGAGGGGCGAACAAATCTCCCAAATATTAGCGAGATATTGAATCAAAATCGTATGATCATTTAACATTATGAGGTAGAACAGTATAAAAAGATATGATATTTTATGATTGCATAAAATCGGAAAACTCCCAGGAGGATATTATTCCCAAGCTCTAAAAAGCCAACATCTTCTAAGTTCTAGACTTAAGCTGTCAAAAAGTGCAGCTACGACTACAAGAGAAAGGCTCGGGATTTTCACCCAAACCACCTCTTTGCACATCGCGAATTGTTTCCCTCACTGATAGCCTCCAGCCCAGCAACTTTTCTCCACACTTTTGATCTCCAACCAAATTTGGAAAATATTTAACCAGTGCAACCACCAAGTCTGACAGATCCAGCATACATCTCATAAGTATCAGCATTGTTAGCAGCCTGAGCAGCCGACAAAGCCTTAGCAGCAGTTGGGCCATAAGCGTAATCCAGAGTACCGTATAAATGAGTCATCTCGTGCAAGAGACTTCCAGCACGATCATAATCGAAATTAGCGCAAGTCGGGGAGTATTCAGCAAATCCCCAGTATCCATTGTTGGGGCAAGGAACAATGACGTTTGCACTGGGAACTGTGTAGAGTAATGCACTTCCATCAGAGCAATCTCCGTAAGTATCTGTGCAGGAGATCTTAGGGGATTTGGTTTGAACGTTCTTGACGTCGGTGTAAATGGCTCGAACGGCGGTTTCCTCAGAGGTGGACTTGAACCAGGTGGTGAAGTAATAGGCAGCGGTGCCAGCGGCGGTGTAAGCGTTAGTGGCGAGCGTGATGGCGTCCTTTACTGTGGTTTGAAGGGAGGTGGTTTGAGCAGCAGTGCAACCGCTGAAGGTTACAGCACGCTGTTGAATGCGAGACATAGGAGATGATTCAGCTCTGGAGATGAGATCACTTAGAGAAAAGGTTAGCATGTAGCACTCACTTTCAGGAGTGATAATACTTACGCTGAAACCTTGCTCTGGTCAGGTTTAATTGTCACAGTGTTGGAGATGACATCCTCGCAAAGACTAGTTTCGCTCAATAGAGATGGAGCAACTTCGCCGGTGACATATCTGAAACCTTGAACAGCAGTGATATCAACAGCCTCAAGACCTTCAAGGTTGTAGGTCTTGGCGGCATTCACAGAAGCGGTGACTGTTTCTCCAGGTTGAATGGTCTGGAACATTGAAGCATCAAGTCCGGCACGTTTGTAATTAACGTAGGTTCCCTTGAATTCAAGGTCCTTATCGGCTGTAAATTGTTAGTCATAATTCTAAATGTAACGTGCATCCAGATTTTCGGCGTACCTGTAGAAGCAACAAGATCCAAAGTTGCATGTTCACTCAAAACGGTGTTACCCTTGAAAACGGTAACAGCCTCAGCACCAGTGTTGGTAATGGCGACTTGAGCAACATGGTTGGTGGTACCGGCGATCTGAACTGAGAGTGGGCAACTGGAAGCAGCCATAGCTGCACCAGCGAGAGCGGCGACTGGGAGAATCTTGGAAACCATATTGAGATCTTTGAATTATTGAGTTGACTTGAGACTTGACTGGAAGAATGTAGTCAACGAAAGGAGAAGACGTAGAACTATATATATTGGTTTACCATCCACCGCCGATTGAAAACAATCTCCCAGAAGAGGCAGGTAAGCACAAGACTCATCTGTTTCATCAACTATATCTCTCCATTGCTGTGTTCTCGTGATGAAAAGTGGCTCCAAATTTAACAACATCCTCACGTATATCCACATCGGCCAGCCTCGCTCAATTGATAATAACGACGAAGAAGGTGAAAGCCAAGGCGGTTCAATGTAAGGTGTTGTGTTCATCTCTTGGCTTCAACAATCCTTCCCATATATAGAAACTCCATATGATCAAGATATCAGCTGGCGGCGCGGTCCGCGTCCTCTGTGTTTTGTTGGTTTATCTCAAATGCCGTCCCAAGTCACTTGACTGCATATAGACCTTGCCGCATTCGGCTGTAGTTTATTTCGTTTTTGCTCGAATTCCGTAAATATTGATTATTACGAAGCAAAAATTCTGCAAAATCATCCACTTTGTAAATTCTTCCAATCGTATACTTTGTCCAGCTCCCCAGGTTTAGATTATTTTAGAATCAACTGGTTAGACCAATATTCAATAATTAAGCGAGTTAAGAGTGTATCTGATAAATTCCTTGAAGAATGAAGTTATGACTGGTGAAAGTGTAGTTTTGCCGGAGTGTGCTAATGTCGGATATTATACCACATTAGGCAGGGAGAAATGTTGAAAGGGGGCTTGGCGAGATCTGATAAGCATCAAAACTACGCCAAGGCCAAGCGCCAAGCAAGTGCTTGAACATTTGGCAGAACATTCTGCTTATATAGGAAGGTAAAGATGGCGCTTTGTCCAGTATGTGCCAATGGTATCAATGTGATGAGGTCCGTCCAAGTGCCGACGGCCAAGCGTATGTTATCTCGCAATGTTATATGATCGGGAGAATGTATTCAAAAGTGGCAGCTCGGGGATTGTGGATTCGTGTCTGCGCTGTATCTTTGATCGGCATTCATGGACATGAACATGAACATGTACATGTACTCCGCGCACGGCGGAGATAGCATAGAGAAGTACTATCGTGACATTATCGTTTCGTTGACACACAAAATCGAGTGTATCTCGGAAGCCGATGATGAGGTGTTCTATGCTTGATGGCATTTCTTCCTATGATTCAATTTATCAATGTACGATAGAGTTTCGAAAGATAACAAGTGCCAATTACCAAATTGAATGAGCATAATTGTGTATATATACAAAGGCATGGCCGATGAGACAGAAAGATAAGAAAGATGGAGGAAGTAATCATGCATGGTGGTTAGAAATTGGAAACCTAATGACTAAGCAACCTTCTGATTATGTGGGGTAATTGACCCGTTGTCACTCGATCTGATGGATATTATTATTTACATTTATACAACTTGTATGATTTTCATTTCTTGTTAGCTTGCGTGCTTTTACTTCGCCCACATATGACTGAAGTGAGCTGAGCTGAACTGAACTGATATTCCACAAGAAGCCTCTGCGTTTTCAAGGTGACTTTGCGTGGTATTAGAGAGGCCGACATCATCGCGCATGGCTATTTATACATGGAATGGTTGATGATGTGAAATCAATCTTTGAGTTGGCCCAAAGTTTGGATGCCAAAAATGTATTCAAGTCTAGGAATACTCGGTCTCACATTGCGAATAGTGTTGGGTGAGTCTTCCGACAACCTTCGGCAAGTCTGCACCACCCCTCATGTCCTCTTCCTTTGGTGTCCTCTTTCATCTGAGTCATTCTTATCGCCGCCATCTAAAACAAATCGGCCTACAAAACCTGAGTGTGTGGCAACTATGATAGAAGCTTATCCCGCTGCTGTCGTCTGGAAAGAAATCAATCAAGATCCTTGTGAAAACCGAGAGTGCTCTCATTTCCGATGACATCTTTCTCCCTCGATAAATATTGCTCTAAACACTTCGGTCTGCCTCTGTAAAAGATAGATTTGGCCGGATAACATCAAAGCTTTTGCAGAGAGTATCATAGGGGAGATCCTTGCTCTCAGTGAGACAGGTGCGTTCTACTTTTACTATATACCTGCTCAGCGTCGTGATTCTGTGTCCCAAACAGAAGTGGAAGCATGAAAGCTCAGCTGGCATGGAGGTTGACATCAAAACTATTATAGGTATTTCTGCTTTATCCAGTTGCTGAGATTTACATTCGAAGGCGTGGATTTGCATCTACGATGGTAAAGTTAGATGACGGGATCTATTCCCTGACTCTTCCTCAAACCATGCGTAGTGTATGTGTTTTGACCTAAGCTTAATTCTACCGTTGTGGAACTACCTTTGCTCCCTTATTGTTAATGGTTTTAGGTAGTGGCGGATAGCAAAGATAAATGTGTTACAACGAGCGGCTGAAATCGTATGGCGTAACGAATGAGATGCAGTCTAGATCAGTTTGGAGTTTCCAGGCCGTCTCTACTACGAGGTATTTATCGGCGCTTATTTCTTCACGGCATTTCGGAAATTTTTCCTGATTGGTGGAATGAAGTCTCATATATCCTTCTCCGAGAAAGATGCTTAAATAAAAGGAGTAAGGGCAAAGTAATGACCGGAGAAATATTCTGGTAGAAAACCTGGGACCAAGGCCACACAATTCGAAGAGATTTCTTTGTTTTTTGACATAGGTACGGTGCGGTATGCCAGTACTCCCTAGGTACTCGATTCCCCATATCTATCTCAGTACTGGTAGGCGTTCCTTTTTCCTCAGACCTCGTTGAGTTCAAAGCTCATAACCGCAATCGAATGGTGGAGCACAAATCGACAATACAGATCCACAAAATCTTGGTACCCGCAAATGTATAGTACATCACTATCACATATCTACTATGCATATGCACTAACTATAGAGTGACAAAAAGTTCGTCTTACCATCGGCGGGTAATAAACCACACAAAATTTAGTTGACATTCGCGCTAATATCGCATCTGGACGTACGAACCCGACAGTTTGGTTCTGACCATGGATGGTTTATTACTACCAACTGTTGCCAAATGTTAGTACAATCATCGACATCAAATCAATGGCGATGAAATTTACAAATATGAAACGAGAAGTTTCTCGAGGACTGTTATATATTGCGCCTCTCCTCGGCCAGAAGTGTCCGTCCATTACAACATCATCTTCATTTACTTCATTCGAGATTTGCACCCAGTTCGAACCGGTTTTGAGGCTTCATATACACCATGCATCCTTCTAGGTTTCTCGAATTTGCAGCTTACCTTGGCTTGACTCATGGTGCTTGCAATACAAACGTCACAATGAACGGACTGGGCACAACTTCTGATGGACAATCTGCCATCAATCACCAAATTGCTCTTTTTTCATTTGGTGGATCATCGTGTGGTTAGTCTTACCACTTCTCCATATTCAAAAGAAACATCCTAACAGACCATGCAGATCCAAATACTACAGTTCTGAGTTCGTGCTCATCACCAATGCCTATTTCCTATCCATTGTACTAACCTTTATCTAGCTCAAGATATCTCATATAGCCACATCAACATCCGTAGTTCATCCAAATCAGATTGGTACAGCTACTATGGCTTTCCAACATTCGATCTGTCGGCACACTGCGATATTCAGAGTTCTGGCGTTCCCCTCCGCGAATTCGTCCAAATAGGTCACTTCACCTGGACATTAATTCCCGAACAAAAAATCACAAACATTATTTGCGAAACTACTCCTCATACCATGGTTAATTTCATTGGAAAGGAAAAAGACGGAACTCAGGTTTTCCGCACGGAAAAAGTAGTTGGGGGTGAGGAGCTTGGATTTAGATTTGGTAGGTATCTTTAATTCATTCTCTTAATGTTGTAGGCTGCACGATTCTAATATGAATAGACTCAGATTCTCCATCCACCATCCACCAACTAGAATCCACCTACCCATATTTCAGCTCTTGCAGAGTTTCAAATGGAAGTAATAAATTCTCATTCACGAAAACCGATCGTGGGATTTATACTATCAGTCCACCGCAACCTCGGTTGAAAATTTCGTGTCCGGATTTAGCTTCTTATCCGTGGAAGGGGACTTCGATGCCGAAGTTGTATGTGCAGAGTTCGTGATGATTATGGTTATGGGCTGGCTACCTTGGGATTTTGGAGTTTGGTCTGGGTTCGGCGAATAATGGAAGAAACTATATGATTAATATTTACGGAGGTATCGAGTGTATTTATATGGTAGTATTTTTGTGGTAGAGAAGAACTGAGATGAGATGAGGATATCAACTCACTCAGTGATTCTAAGATTACAATCAGATACAAAATTAAAGAACTATAATCAATAACTCTTCCCTCGTCTTCTTCCTAATATTAATATCCCCATCACACAAGCATACCACCCCATCATCAATCATCAATCATCAATCACCAATCCATTCCCCCATCTCAAACTCCTCGTCCCAACCCTAGGTCTAACAAATATCACAAATATTCCACAGCACTCCGCACTCCGCAAACCCAATTTCCATTTTTCCCCATCAACCCCACACATATACTCCGTCCTCCCTCTGTACAGAGTACATGAACTCATACTCCGTACTTTTTTTTTTTCAGTTGGCGCCTATGTACCTAGGTATCGTTACATCGTTAATTCTAGTACCTCTGTAAATCCACTTATATTTTACAACAACAGGGATCTGTGAATGGGTGGATGCGGTTTGCGGAACTTGGAAGGGTTCCTGGATCCTTACTAGTTGCTTATTGTTAGGGGGAGTCTAGACTAACAGGTAGCTATTAATTAGTTACCGAGGATATGAGCAGGGGTGAAGTGAGGTAAGGAAAGTAAGGTAGGGTAGCTAGGGTTAATATTAGGTGAGATTTATTGTGCCACCAGTGTTCATGATGGTGTGGTTATTTATACTCTGTATCATACATAACTGTTGGTTTTTCATATGGTTATTTTAAAAAAAAAATATTGTTATTTTGGTATTTTGACATAGAGAAATGCTAGGGTAGTGGTTGGTTGGTGGCTACTTGGTCATGAATAGAAATGCGGGGGTTCTTTGGTTTGTGATGGATTTGTATGTGATCACAGGTATCATCTGATATTCTGCTGATCCACTAGATATATGTTAGTGTTAGGAGCCGCATTTCGACGGCCTTGTAGGGCGATTTTACTTGTGATCGTCTATTCTTGCACGGAGTATGGTACGTATGAAATAAATTCACCGCATCCTATCCATCCTATCCCAATACTAATATCAGTTATATTTCTATCATCCCATCCACAACAGAAATAGTACCCTTTTTCCATGAAAACCATCTGGCCTCACACTGTAGATGATGTTATTCAACTCTCAGCTTTCTCCGTCTAAAGTACACTGCATGTACCCAACCCCTCCCGCTTTCACCCCACGAAACCAGTACATAACCATATATCAAAATCTAGTCTTCAGTGTCAACCTTAGATACGCCCACCTACATCTCAGCATTCCAAATCTGCGATCTCCAATCTCGCATAGAAAATACGGCGCAGAAATATAATACTCATATCCAATTCCATCAAATCACTCACCTTCTAGCACAATCAATATAGAAAAGTCCTCGTCGGGTGGAAATATTGCAAGATTTTATACTCTGTTTCCTAATAGTTTTCTAGCAAATAAGTAGATGCACTATATTATCTTAATATAAATATAAGCCTTTATGTGTGGAGCCTAGACCACAGGTCGAAGAATAGATATATTATAACTTGTCTGAATGTGAAGTTCCGTCAATGAAAACCTGCCGGCCTTCTAACCAAGGCGTTTCCAATTGCTAGTCTACCCTCTTCCAGACCCACAACCTCAGTCACCAAAGAAAGACGTAAAAGCTTGATACTCATATTCATTGCGTTAAGCTTCGTAATACCTTCACTTTTCACAAAGCAGAAGAGGAAGTTATCTAGCTATAAATCATACTGAGCAACTACACTACATGAAACGAATCCGTATTCAGCCATCAAAGCATAAGTTTTCGTTCCTGCAATACCAAGTGTAAAAGCCCTATTTCCAGATCAAGTGCCATCTCACCACCGATTCCCAAGTTTATTCAAACCCTTCATAACAATATTGTATATAAACTCGTAAAGACATGTGCATTTCATAACCCCAACTCCTCGCTATGCCTTTTGCTCTCCGTAGGCAAAATAAAATTCGTTTAAATCACACCTCTTGCATGAATTGATGAATACTACCGGGCAAGTTGATCACTGCTTGCTTCACATTCCTCAAAATCCAACTCCCATTTATCAACTTCTTGGAATTTCCTCGCCGCTTTCTTCAATTCCTTTCCTACTCTCTTTTCTAATTCCGAACTATTTTCACTTCGAGGCTCTTCAGGTGATGTTGTATCTTGGACAGGTGCCAAACTACCATCTTGATCAGCTTCATTTTCCTTATCCGATGTTGTAGTCGCCGGTTTCCTTCCATAAGTTCTTTTTCCTTTGCCTTTTGCGGTAGGTTTGGCTTTTTGGGAATGTTTTGAAGGTGGGGCAGATGCTTTGGGATTAGATCGAACAGATGCTTGATGACGAGTAGTTGGTGCGACGGTTATGGTTAGTTCGTCATCATGTTCACCAAGGCCAGTAACATCTACTTCACCATCGGATTCCACATCTAAAGCGGATCGATGGCGTTGACGGCGTCTTGGAAGTAGAGCTTGTAAAGCTGCGGTAGATAAGGTTGCAGGCTGAGGCGCGACCTTACGTGTAGGCCGTTTGGAGATGGACCGTGTTGGTATGTCGGGAGAATGTGTGAGTGAGGGTGGAGAAGATATAGGAGAGGATTGCAGTTCTGAATTTGCGACATGTGGTGGAGTCCGAGGTTGTATAATACGTCGAGGTCGGCCGCTTGCTTGATGTAGATTTAAAGTAAGTTGAGGAGGGGGTGGAGGTGATGGTAAAGATTGAGCAGGCGAGAGAGAAGAACTGCTACCACGTGGAGGTGCCATGGTTTCACTCATGGGCTCAGGTGTTGTGATGCGTTCAATTGATGGTAATGGCGAATCATTCGGTGAAGGCTCTCTGTCTAGTTCCGGTAAACTATTCTCTCCCTCTTCATCACTCTCCATTGGCGCAGTCGCAGGTACAGTATCTTCAGGATCCGAGTCGTTCACAGGCAATTTGGAAGGGCTCTGCTGTGCTTGCGAAGCCCCTTGTGAACGTGGAACTTGTACGTTGGATAGTTTTCGCTTTCTTGAACTCGAAGATGAAGGTACAGCTCTTCCCTTGGTAAAGTTTAAAGGTGTTGATTCATCTTCCGGCGCAAAATCATCCGAATCTGAATCCGAATCAAAGGTAGGTCTTGCTTGCTCTGGCTTTCGCGCCGTTCCCAATATACTAGGTTCCCGAGCTCTTCTTTTGAAGTTACCGAGGCGCAACACTGATCCAATTTCTGGTCTATCCCCGGCCACGCTACTTGGTCTCCTAGATCCGGCGCGTCCTCTAAATGTTCCTAATCCCAGCCCAGATGTATTACTCTTGCCAACACTTGTAAGACCGTTTTCCTCTGCCAAGTCCGAATCTATACTGCTCGATCGAGCTCGCGAGCCTTGCTGTCCTAAAATACTCGGCTCTCGTGCCCTTCTTCGAAAGTTTCCAATCGCAAGCACAGAATTGTCCATGGCCGATGTGCGTCTACCTCTTCTCCTTGCCTCAATCTCGGGACTACTAGATACTCGCATAGGATCACCATCCGATTCTACATTCGGCGCATTCTTCTGATTTGCAGTATTCGCAGCTTTTCTAGGGTTTGTATCCTCGATATCGCTCGCGGTATTACGACCACTAGTTCGTGTTGCAACGGCCTTTCCCTTGATTGACTTCTTAGCGCTCGCGGATCTATTACGGTCATCATCGCTAACATCATATAAATCATTGAAAGGAAGCGTCGCCGGTGCTGCCGCCAGTACAGGCTCTGTCGCGACTGGTTCCGTTGAATCTGTGACGCGTTTGGCAGGTGCAGGCGCAGAACGATTAACTTTTGTACGTTTTGGACGCGGCATTTTGTATAAATATTGACGGATTAATAACTAATATTTGATTCAGTATGTTTTGCAGCTTGTAGAAGTGATCTATCGCATTTTGTAGAGATTCTGGTTGTGAAGATAGAATGTTGTGTTGATAGTTGACCGCGTCAATGTCTGAGCTGTCGTAGTTTATTAATTTGTTAGCGGCAAAACGGAGTCATCGTGGTTCAAATCGGCGAAATCGAATTTCGTTACAACAACACACCAAAACCAAAACGAAAACCAAAATCAAACCAAAAATCGCTACATTTTAAATCACTGTTAATTCATTTCAACTTGCATCCAATTTCTTTCATTTCCTTTCAACTTTTACAAGCAAAGACGATCTCCATGATCTGACTGTGCCTTACATGCCATGCCTTGCGACAGAGTCGGTTCAATAGAGAATTATGACAGAATAGAGCTGGGTCAGCGCCCACTTACTTTTGGGGAGCTCCCTAGAGCGTTTGAAGCGTTTCCCTGAAAACAATCAGCATTTCAAAATACTTGAGGCTCTTTAAGCAATAAAGCGGATTCATTGATAGTTCCATGAATGAAGAGTTTGTACACGTTGTGTTGTGGCAGCACGATAGCCACAGTGTGGTGACCCTATCACCTATGAATATCACATTGTTCGAATTAAACCCTGAGAGTCTTGATAACTTTTCGCCCATCAAGACTAAATGTGGCACATATAGTTACATCGTAATCTTACCTCGGGACTGCCTAATTAGGAAGCACACAAAACAGAGGAAATGGCGACTTTGAGTACCTATTCGCGTCAACTTTCTAACTGCGATACTCATCTTTCTTCGGCGGCTATACTGCTCCCAGAAATGATGATGGTAGATAGTCGCTTTGCGCCTCATCAACGTGTAAAATTCTATCGACTTTTGATCGCAACGAATATGATAGTTGGGATGCAACTTACTCTAGTCGGTCTTGGCAACTTCCAAAGTAAAAGTTTGCGTAACGCGTTGTTCATTGGCCGGGGTTGAAAATCCTATTTTCCATATTCAATGTCCACATTGGTATTGAACATTGCTTTCTGAGAGCTACAACGGTACTCGGTCACCAAGAAATACATGGCAGATCTTAAAGCATGGAATCGTATGCCAAGCGAGGTAGGGTTGGGTGAGGCTGAAAAAGTAGTTCTGCCAATAGCAGGTTTTAGACAACAACGGTTACACGGCAACGTTGAAACGTTTGTGGCTGTAATAAACACTCGGCCCGTGCCGATGACACCACATCCAACTGGCTTGGGCAAGCAGGTTCACGGTTACTCCGGTCCTCCACCCGACTATGGCCTTCGGAACAACATATTGTGGAATTAAGTTCGTGAAGCCCGCTTAGAGATAACATGGATATAGATCATTATCCCCTTTTGGCTAAGCATTGGCATGTTGCTTCGTGCAAACACGTCGTTAACTATTACTTATTGAAGAATCGCGTGTTCTATCTATCGGATAGCCTCCCACTCTTATCGATTATATTTGTATCTACGGATTTCAAGTCGGCTCGCTGTCAGTGAGAAGAAGACTCTGATGATCTTAAACTGTTGATCATGCCTCACCGGCTTTAATATTTTTAGTATGATTGGGATCCTGGAAGATCACCACTCGCCAATATATGAATTGATAGTGTTAGGTGTTGAATTTATGACTTTGAGCTAGTGAGCTCATTGTTATTCGAAGCGATTGTACCCCACATCAGGCTGAAATGACTGGTAGGGTGCCAGGAAGTTACCCCTCCTTCATTACATTCTGGATCTATGTTCCGAAAAGGTCAAGATTTCCGCTCCTCATGATTTCCACCATACAAAATCATGAGCTGAAATATTTCACCTGGCGGCGATAATACCCCATCAATGTATAACTTCTCGAAATTCACTCCAATCATGAATACATATCGTCCAAGTCTGTCGTCATACTACATAATTTACCCGGCTGGACTCTACCCCTGAACAAGGCTGAATTTGTTTCTACTTTTGATCTTCAAAGAAGAGACACACCGCATCTTTGAAACATATCCGTGATGTTTCACAAAGTTATCTATGATGGTAAACTCATTGAGGCGTGGGATCGCGCCAACTCATCTGGCAGATGTAAGCCATGGGGGCCGTTGGGATATTGAAACATAAAAAGTCAACTACAATTGGAAGGCTTTTCTGTCTTTGGAGCTATATGTGTTCAATTGCGATCTTTAGGTTAACTCACAATCATTGATAATACCGGGCATCAGGATGTGTAAGTGAAAGCTGCTAAGCTACGTCGCTCCTTGACTGACATCTTCTTAGTGGGCGCTGATAATATTATCGACATTACATTTGGCGTTGTAAGCGTCATTTTGACAGTGATCAGTATTTACTTAACGTGCAGGCATCAAACATCTAGAGGTAAGACAATTCTAGCCATCTGGTCAACTCCGACCACATGCAGTGTCCTACATGACGGCCTCTTCAGGTTCCGTTTGACTAATCAGTTATAGAGCCTGATGTTGAGCACGGCACAGACTTTGAAGTCAAATCAATCACACCCGACCCTGAAACAGCTTCTATTCCTTTGTACCCAAATACGGGATCATTCCCAGTTGAATCAGACCACACGATCAAATCGGCTGCAAATTACCCACAATCAGACGATCTATCAACCGCGAATCACTATGACATATCCTCTGAAGCTTCGCCTACACAGCATCGAATTGCCAATTTACAAGCTTGGCCTAATTTTTCTTCTCGGGCTCCAAATATACAACATCAAATTCCTTCGCCGACTGTACAGTGGTGGCCTGATGCGCCTGAAATCATCACGACGTCAGAATCTCCGGCTTCTCATGCTCACTACCACCACTCACTTCAGTCTTTTCTTTTAAAGGAGCTTGAGTGATTTTTTTTTTTGGATCGAGTAGTTGTATCATATTAACGGCATAGTTCGCATTCAAATTTGTGTTGACTTGACTTGTGAGGATTTAAAACTTGCGCTGGCGCAGGAATTAGATTTGACAGTAACATGACATGGGGTTTTAGGTTTAATTTTCTTTTGTGATGTCTTTCTTTGGATTCTGGATTTTGGGGGTGTTCACAATAGATTTCCTTTTTATTCTTGGGATAAACGATCTGGGGAAAATAAGGGGCGTGGAGGGGGAGCAAAAATGAAAGGCAACATTTTGGTGGTGATGGCAATACTTCAGAAGATGTGTACAGGATATGTGTATAAAAAAAAATTGAAAGGGATGGGTTATTCAAATTTGAGCGAAATGGTTTCCAAATTTCAAGTGGCAGATGTGTTCTAGTGGATGGGTTTTGCTCAATGATCTGCTATGTCTTTTATAGCATGTATCCGATACTTCTTGCCGCAAGGGGTCTCTTCATCTATATGCCTATGCGTGTGGTTATGACTGACCCACTCTACCTGAGGATGTGAGCATGCATCGCATCTGCACCAAGACATCATTTTTATAGATCGGAGCGGGAACTTATGTATTGATATAGAGAGACAAACACCATTCCAAAGAACGGCCATGGTAAGACGTTACCTGAGCCTTTGAGGTGCGCTATAGGCGAAGCTACTCTATACGGTTGAGTTTCTCGTCATCTCGTAGGGCTTCACTCCAAAACCGCCGCTGCTACCGTCCGAATTATAGTGACTTATCACGAGATATGAAATATGGGGGAAAGATGAATGAGGAAGTGATAGTGGTGAGGTTACTATAAATCTATATAGTGAGTCTGCTTTGTGATTTTGTAATTGTACACTCCCCCTTTCCTTCCCCCACCCCCCCGCGCCTTCCCGGGAAACTTATATTTGCCTGGGGCTTTAAGGTTCAATCTTGTGCAACTAGGCAGTATAGAGCTAGGGTGTGATTTAAAGTTAATCGTGTGCCGAGACTAGGCTCCCGCTTAACCTCGTCATTAGCCGCCACACGCCTTCAACCTACGAGAGGTAAATGGGCTAGAGGTGTCGTGGTGGTGAGAAGTGAGTTAAGAAAGGAGCTAGTTCTAACCTACAATTGCATTTCATCCATACTAATAACGATCTCCACCACTACCAGCTGCACAATGCCTAGAGAGAAATGACTAACGAGCCCTACAAGCTATCAGTCGCAAATCCAAAGCTACCATTCTGCTAACTACTCCTAGCTACCACTCTACTACCAAATACCCCGCCACTACTTCTACCTCTATCCCCGGTGTCAAAGATTCATATTATCCAGCTTCGTATCTAAGTACGAGCTTATCAACCTCCGCGCAAGCTTTGAGCTGAAGCGCGTGTATGCAATACAGTTTTTTCAGCGCTAGTCTCTTCACTTTAAGCTTACTGCTAATTGGCCACCTAGATGTCCTCAATTATGAGTAGTTATTTTGGCTGGGAATTGTATGTGTTTCGTGTCATGATTATCAGACTACATCATGATTTGGAAATTTAGAAAGGTGATCTGATGATCTGACGTAACAAGGGGAACCGGAAGGTTGGAGATAGGACTGGGTGAAAGGTGGAGTATATATAGCCAAGACAATCTGAAGTAGAATCTACAGTTAGGTCATTTTGTGTTATTTTGATAGAGTGGAGTAGCGATTTTATAAAATGCTCGAAAATTTGTTTCTATAGTTGTTATATTATATAATTTATTTTTATCTAGCTATCTACTATTTTTAACATACTTTGACACCAATTGATACTATTAGATAATTATCTTATAGAACCTTTTATATATTAAAACAACTCTTCTCCAAAGATTAAATACCCTGAATAGGGTGTACATACCTATACCCAGCCCTGATTAGGGAAAAATGTGACTCGTGACATTCAATAGAATTAGTCAAAAGTCTTTACGGGATTGGACGCATCTACAATAACCCTTGAAATGTTTTGAGGAACTTTGGGGATTTTTTGTCCTGCATGTTGGTTGTGGAATCCTGGATCTGCATGCGATGTAAAGCCACATACTAATTGCTGACTGCAGCAGCTTGAAACCCAGAATCTTAAGTACCGATAATATCTCAATGGTTATAATCTTACGTTTCTTGAGTTAATTGAAATTCAACCATTGAAAACTTCGTATCCTTTACTCCAAATTGAACGGTTGCATATATCATTTCTTCACAAGACCCAACAATGAAGCAACCAAAACCCCACACCAATCATAACCACATCAACCCCCTAAGCTCCTCCTCCCCCAAAAACTCTCGAACGGGTCCCCGCACCTCTGCTCTAAACCTCTCAGAATGGGAAGAAAAGCGCTATATAATTTCAGCTCTCTATCTTCATTACACGCTCCAAGAAACCCGCAATATAATGAGTAAAAAATATGGATGTTTCCACTCGTGGGTTTTGTTTCCTGTCTCTAGTCTTCATGATAAGATTACAGTTATTCAAAGTTGCATTTTTCCTGACATTAACTTTTACTTGAATAAAGAGAAAAACTCTTCAAGGAAAAACTTAATGAATGGGGTTTATGTAAATACATGCCTATATCTACCGCGATATGGATATTGAATCATGAGAAATGGGTGAGGGATAGGGGGAATGCTGTTGTGTATGTATTTAGTGGGTTGAGGGTTAGTATGGGGGAGATACGGAGGAAGATTAGGAGGGCTAGGGTTAAGATTAGGATTGGGGAATGTGGGGGGTTTGGTATGTGTTTATATATCCTGTTCCAATAACTTACTATTAATTTAGGGAAATACTTACACTGGTTGTAGATCCTACAGCTCCTCCAAATCTCGAGTATATGATTACGGGAGCTGAAAATTGGGATTCTTCACAAGATAGAATTACGTATACTGCGTTTAATTCCTCATCTTGTGATGGAAGTGTTCATTCTGATGACAGTATCGATACTCTTGATAATTATATATCTTCCGAAGAATTCGAACCCCAGAGTCAGATTTGGACATCACCAAAACGATACAATCCTACCACTCCAAACGCAAACCTTGCACCCAAAACCTGGAACAACAAATGCGCCCAAGAAATCCTAGAAACCTACCACGAAGGAATAGACATCTGGCACCGCACACGGCATTCAGAGCCCTCAATCCAACACCTCGGAACACAAACTGCCTCCCTCAAATTCCACGAAGCATTATTCGGATTTAATTATTTACATTCACCTAATGATTTGAAAACAAGAGGAGCAGCTTATCATCTTGCGGAATGCTATGCGCATCTTGGTCAGAAGGAATATTTTATTGCGGTTCTGGATTGGTTGGGGAGGGAATTGGTCAGGTGTGGGAATAGGGCTGATGAGACTAATGCGCATATAGTAAAAGTTATGGAGCTTTTTCGTGTGGGTGGGACGCCGAGGGAAGCGGTGGGGTTGTTGTTTACTAGTTTGGGGGAATAGAGAGATGGTCTTTTTTTGTGTGTCTGTTTTGCGAATTTATGGATTTGTTGAGATTTTATTTGGGATTTATAAGTCCTTACAATACCAAATCATATGCTTCATCGCAAGCAGCCAGCTCTTCTACACAGATACCCAATAAACGAATTGCTCCATAAACATCTCGTAATATCTACACTTGATAGAAAGATCACTAAATAACTCTACCTCCAACACTATAGAGGACTTTAAGGAACATCTTGACGCGATCAAAACAACATTCTACAGATCGAAACAAAACTCTTCAGCTCGACTATCACTTACACTCTCTATGATGTATGATGTATATGTTGTCAGATACACCCATATTCTGGAAATAATCAGAATTTCATTTTGTGAGAATCAGTGACTCGTTAAAAATAAAAATGGGGTATGAATATCTTATATACGGTAAATGTTGCTGGTTAAAATGGTACCTACTATGAGACAATTATTATGAAGGATGGTAGATAATGGTATGATTTCTCAAAGTGATGTGTTCAATAATAACCCCGTCTAATTCCTCCCAAGAACAAAACTTCTAATTATAATCTTCAACGCCGGTACAAGAGATTGAATAAATTAAACCCAAATTAAAATTAAACTCTCTGAATAACCTCTCCATAGTATGCTAGTTAGATGGATTCGCCAAATTCCAACTCCAAACCTCAACATTAATCAGAATTTGGAAAGCAAAATTTCTCAAGACCATTGTAATCTTACCTTCTTTTACGCGTCAGATTTTGATTGGAGACCAATCATTTATTTTATTTCTCACTGCTTGATTATCTTCGTAATATTATGTTAGTATGAGGTAGGAAGACTATAAATAGCAAACAACAATGGAATTTCAGAGCGCCATCCATCGGCATGTCAGAATGGGATTTTATCTAGTTATTTTTCATGTGATTCAGATCCATTCAATCCTTAAACTTGAGCATAGCAAGCTGATAAATGCTACTAAAGTGAATTCATTGATCAGTTAACTGGAGTCAGTTCCGTAGCTCCACCACGTCGGGGGTGCCGAATCTGGCGCCTCGATGATCTATACTATACGATACAGAGCACTAGACCCTGTGGGATGACCCGCGCATTCTTTTGACCATATCTCATCCTCAGAACTTTCCGATGGGATGAATTCCAGGCTGTGATTATCACGTGATATATACAGTCATATGACGAATGCCACTTTCTCTTTATCGAGGCTGTTTCTCCCAATTGAGGCTTCTACTTGTTGAATTATCACTTGATATATACGCAGTAGACTTTTTGGTCATTTATGTACTTGCTTATTCTCGTCGGGCCATCGTCTTGGTTTTCATCTCTTGTCTTGCTCCTATACTTTTCTCGTATTTTTCGAAAGTATACTGCTCGTCTACTAAAAAGTTTTGAAAATATTCACTGATCGAATATTATGACACTAAACCATGTCGCAGACTTGAAATATTAATCTTGTGTGCGAGGCGTTATGTTGAATGTGAATGTCTAATACACCAGCAATACAGAAGAGCGGCACAATATTGAAAGATCAGTTGCCGCTAATGCCAAGCCTTTAGTGAGTAAGTATCACCGGAGAGCATCACTGAAATAAGGGCTTTAAGAAGGCTTCGATTTCTTCATGCCAAGATGTTGTGACACAGCGGCTCAAGCATGACTCTGTATGTCCGTGACATATTCACCGTTCTGCCTCATTTCGATTGCCTCACTCATTTGCGTCTGACGTTTGCGGCTGTGGACTTTATATATGCTATGCGAGCCCTAGTCTCAACCTTGAAAACATCAATAGGCTTATTTTGAGACACAAGGCGCTCCCCTAACAACATTGCGAATGCCTTGAGCAAACGAGGTGTCCAGAGACAAACAATCTATTCAGCACTCGCTGAGAAACATTAGAATAAGTAGGCATATCGAAACGTAGTCGGCCCAATCCTCTTGTGAAACCTAGCCGAGGGATATCAAAGCTTGAATGGACGAGGCCGCTGTTCAGGGCTTAGACACGGATTTTAGCAACTTGCAAACAGAGATTTCAGAAAATATTGAACACAAATCGTGGATATATTTAAATCTATCGGCAACTAGCTGATACATAATGTATTGGCGTGTACGACTGATTTGAAAAAATAAAGATAACGTGATGCATTTAATACTTGGCGTTTACCCTGAAGTAGTCATACTTATGTGTTCAGTGGGGCTATAAGATAAGACCTAGAAAATACTTAGAATACAAACGCATTCGTGATTAGAAATATCTGAAAATATGAAATGTAAGACTTATATTCTCGGGACGTCATCGTAATACGGCTGATGACCAGTATCACTCGGAGACGGGATACTTTCGGAGTTGTATGATTATTTTCTCGTAGACTCTGTTTCGGAACATTTTCCACTGAGCAAGGAAATAATTTAATAATATCCCGCGACCTCCCTCGAATATCCATGTTGACTTCTACCTCGTAGTGATTTAAAACGAGGAAAACATGGCCAGCATGCGAGTATTTTCGTCACGGCTACACAATGCATGGCCAACGCATTGTACCAATGAACCCGTGAACTACACATTTGATGAATACTTCTTTTTCAGGCAGCCTCGAGTTGATACTAGTTCTTGAGTATCCTTCATGACGGGGACATGATTGAGTGGTAGGGCTGCACAAATACGGATGCCAAACTTAGACACCGACGGATGATTGCATCATCTTTTGGACTCGCAATGAAAATAACAATATCTTGTATACCATCACAAGGCTAGGGGATCAATCATGTGTATCCCGGAAGACGTCTTATCGGTAATGCGGAAAATGTATTACCTAGTGATATATGAGTAATCCAGCGATGGAGGAGTTGTATGTATTGGTAACCTGATGTTACTTGAAACCTGGGTTTAAGATTTTCTCGAGCCTTTACCTTATGTCTTCTGCAGACGAAGGCGGTGAAAGGCCGATAATCATTCTTCCTGATGAGTGGTTCGCTCACTCGAGCGATAACGATAAAGAAATAGAATGGTTCATTCATGTTGAGAAATTCCTATGAGGGGATTCGGAGAATACATTGACCAATTGAGGCTGTGAGACCCAAAATTCGGTACGGACCTTTGCATAACCCGTACCGGTACAGTAATAAGTAACCTTATAGAAGCTATGCCGGTGTGTCAAACACCACCTGGGCAAACATAACAAAAAGGATACAAATGATGAACTCGACAATTTGTTCATGCATTACTACCTTATTACATTAATGCCCTATACTTCCTCACATCTGATACCGTAGGGCCATTTTCTTCACCTTGGCGCAGTAGAGTTTTCCTTTCCGAGGCTAACTTATGATCGAGGAATATTGCCTTGGAAAAGCTTATTTTCGGACAAACGATATCATTATGATCCTTTCCACGAGCATGACGATTGAAGGCCGGCTGCAATGATATGCCTTATTATTCGACAGTTTCAAACTACACCAGTACCTAACTAGGTAGCTAGATATGGATTGCATCAATTTTCTGCAAGGTTTTGGTTGATGCAGATAGAAAGAAGTTGAAGCAAACTTATTTACTGGTTTACCTCAAAATAGAATCGAGGCGGAGTATTTGACGAATCATGCTCTCTTAATTTATATGACTCCTTACCCAGGTACCAAGGAGAAACTTTTAACCTTCAATTTCATACATGAACGCTGCTCCACCCTCAAAAGTAAGATCTTACATGACCACCTACCTAGTACTTAACAACCCAGTTCGCTCTTTCCTGTCATTGAGTTTGGTCAAGAAAGTATATAGATCATTTTCAGAGGTGAATTACTTTTTCAATACTTACAACTCCGTTATGCCACCATAGACCGAACATACTAGGTAGCTCAAAAGTGAGCAAATTGACATCGATAAAACCAAGGATTATAACACTATAAGGACTAAGCATTTAATATGGGTCTCTTTAGTAGATCAAATAAGAAGAAATTACGGGCATCTCCACCTCGATATGGATATGAGTCTTCCATTGAATTACCAAGACAACCAAATCCTACGACCAGATCAAATTTGTATTATGTGGAAAAACGTCCTCATATATCGAATGGCTACAATCAAGGTCGACCAACACCACAAGGTTGGATAGTTGCTCAAATCGAACCAGCACCGTCGAGATATCAGCCACATACTACCATGGCGCCGCCTCCATTACCACCAAGAGCACAACGAAATGGTGTTGCGATGATGAATTTTCGATCGGTTACGAATTTATTCGCAGAGACATCAAGGAATGATCTACCATGCATGGCTGCCATTAATAATGGAGTCGCAATCATATCACAACAAACCATGCATCATTATCATCAAACGTCAGCTCTCTACGACACTTTATCTTCGAAATTATGCTCGGTTGTCACATCAATTGATGAGGAAAGATTCAGTGGGGATGATAGAGAACTTACGGTACCTCAGCATCATGATCAAGTTTTGCAAGAGGATAAGCAATTGGAGACGACCAGTCGAGACTTAATGCTACGGAGTAAAAAGTCAAAAGGCAATGTGAAGGATGGAAAGTCAGCTGAAACGACATACACAAATTACTTTTCAAAGGTTCATGATTATGCCAATTCAAGGTTACCGATGGATCTCAAGCCTATGAAATTGTAAGTTCTCCACGCTTTGGAGTTTAGAGTTTGAGCTAATATCTTATAGGTACACTAATACATACCCTCTCATATGTCTAGCAGCTCAATACTCTGAACAAGTCTATTCAAAACCTATCGGACAAGAAAAAGAAACGAGAGTTAATGCAGGAGGAAGGGCAGGAACTGTGATGAAAAGTGTGCCAATTGATGATAGGGATGTAATTGTGTTTGCGATTCGAGGAACAACACATTCATTTACGGATTGGGCTGTAAATGTTAAGACGAAACCCACTTCACCACAAGGCTTCTTGGTAAGATTAACTTCGTATGGTGAATTTGCTCAGTGACTAATCAAATTTTAGGACGACCCAGGAAACTTATGTCATTCTGGATTTTTAGGTGCTGCAAAAGAATGGATTAAACCAATAGCAGCTCGACTTCGAAATCTTCTTCAAGAAAATCCCAAACGTACACAATGTTCTTTACTAATCACTGGACATTCCGCTGGTGGAGCTATCGCTGCTCTATTATATTCACACATGCTTTCAACCAGTCGCGAAGCCAAATCAGAGCTCAATGTCCTCGCAGGATATTTCAAACGAATTCACTGTATCACATTTGGAGCTCCACCAATATCACTTTTACCATTACAAAAACCTAAGGATGCTTCTAAATCTATCTTCATGTCTTTTGTCAATGAAGGTGATCTTGTCGCCAGAGCAGATTTCGCTTACGTCAAATCTCTCCTCGATTTATATTCCACTCCCGCACCCGGAAAATCAGTCTTGCCCCCTTTAAAACTAGGAATCAAGCCCCAAAAATCCACAAATACATTTTCCTTGAAGAAGAAGGAGAGCGAGAAGAAGAAGAAGAAGCATTCAAAAACCGATCCGAATATTTCTCTAATAGGACCAATTTGGCACGTTCCAGAAGCAACGTTGAGTAATGCGGGAAGTATCGTTCTTCTACGTGGTGTAGATCGAGAGGGTAATCCGGAGGGTAGTAAGAGGATTCAGGATAGATTGGATGATGGGGTTATTGCGCAGATGATCTCGGATGAGTTGTTGAGGGGCGTGGTTTGGGGGGATCCGGTTAGTCATATGATGAGGCTTTATGCGAGGAGGGTGGAGGTTTTGGCTACTAATGCTGTTATGGGAAGGGTGTGAGATGTAGGGAGAAGGGGTTAGATGGGGTGGTTGAGATGAGATGAGGTGTGGTGTGATGGACTGGATTGGGTTCGGTTGGGTTGGTTTAGGCGTAGATGGTTTTATACCCCTTTCATTTACTCTGTGGATAGATTACAGATGCTTGGGTTTTACTGCGATGGGGTTGGAATATATATATATATATATATTTCTTTCACGTTCCTTTCTTTTCCGTGATCTTATATTTATTTTGTTAATTTTCTTTTTGTTTTTTATTTTTTATTTTATATATTTAGTATTTAATATTGGAATTTAAAGAAATATCAAATTTAATCTTATTTTTAAATTATTTCTTTCCCAGTGTGACCAAAAGGGTGTTTATAGACCAGCAATTGTATTTAGCTTAGAATCTACAGGTGAAGAGCACCTGTAGATGGGGATAGCTACTCTATATACACACAAATGAATGGCCTAGCCGCAATGGCTAGGCAAAAAGAAGTCACATTTATCCCTCCAATGATCTTACTTTACCGATAACCATTGATACCTAGTACTTGTCCGGATCTGATCCTCAGACCACCTAAATCGTATACTAATCCCGAGTAATCGTATCATGTGTGGACATGGTTAATGTACCTGAGGTTTCTTGTATAATAAGGGTGGGAAGAAAGCAGGGGTTTCTGTCACACCCAGATTTCTTTTAAAAAATTAAAAAATTAGTTTTTTTTTAAATAATTCTATAATTAATAAAATAAGTGAATATAATATAAAATATAAATTTTGAAAGTTTTTATTTTTATTAATTTTTATTAATTGAGATAATTATTAATAATTAATAATTGAATTATAAAATTAAAAATTTAAAAGTCTTTAAAATTTATAATTATATAAGAAATTAATTTGTATTTTATATTTCAAATTTCAGGAAATTATATAGATGAGTGAGAAAGTTTTTAATAGATGAAAATTGATAGTTTTGATGGAAAAGAGTTATTTAGAAGGGGGGTGGTTCGAGGGTTGGGTATTAGACTAGCATATCAGATATCAGCAAACACAACATCGAAGTAGCCAGTAGTACCAGACGATTTATTTTAAAACCTTTGGAAAGTGATTCAAACATCAGGGATATTTCCTGCTGTAATCATATCAATATGTAATTCGTGCTATGAATAAGTCGCAGCAACTCCCGCCTCGAGGCCGCAGAAAAACATCTGAGAACATACGCCGCCAACTGTTGGATTTGTTTTCCGCAGGTAAGACTTTCTTTTTCTTTTTGCTGGAGATAGTTTCTTAAGTTCTCTCAATACTTCTGCTACTTACTTATTAACAAGAAGTTCTTTGCAATTGAAAACTATAAATCTTTTCTACAACTAAATTGCTTGAACTTGCAATTCTCCGTATACGTATCATGGCAAACGTAACACTCAACGGTGTAGCTCTTATTACAGGGGTAATATCTATCAAATCTATCAAATCTATAATAACCGATTAATTACTAACACACTTACTCACAATAGGGAGCAGCAGGCATTGGCGAAGAAACCGGTTTTGCATTCGCCGAAGCAGGCGCATCAGGTGTTATTTTTGCGGACCTCGATATTGAGGGTGCTAAAGCCAGTGCAGAGAAGAGTAACCAATACGCTACTAATCCTCAATATCGAAGCTTGGCCGTGGAGGTAAATATTACCGAGCCAGAGAGTGTTCAGAAAATGGTCGATTTTACAGTCAAGGAGTTGGGTCGCGTGGATTATTTTGTTAATAGTGCTGGAGTAAGTGCATCGAAAACTATATTCGTGTGAATATACTAACTGATATTTGCATCTTAAAGGTTGGAGCAACATCGCTCGCCCCAGCATCCGATATCGATATTGATAATTTCGACAAAACACTCGCTGTGAATACTCGCGGAACAATGTTATGTCTCAGAGCTGTGACGAAAGCGATGATGGCACAGGAACCAAGAAAAATCAAGGGTCGTCATGGCGAAGAGCGTTCCTTGGGTCGGGGATCCATCGTGAATCTTGGTTCTGGATTATCGTATGCTGCAGGCCCCGGAATGGTGGCTTATGCGGCGTCGAAACACGCCGTGATGGGAATTACGAAAGTAGCTGGTGAGTTTTCATATTGAGTTTCTTGATCTCTTGAGTATAATTAGCGACTAATATATATCTTCGACAGCACTGGACAACGCAAAGTATGAAATTCGTGTGAATGCGCTTTGTCCCTCTTGGGTAAAGACTCCCATGTTAGAACGAAGTTTGGGTCGCTGGGCGGGACTTGAAAAAGTTATTCAGGCTGTCTCGCCAGCAAAGAGAGCCGCGACCCCAGAAGAAGTAGCTAATGTTGCTGTCTTTCTTTGCAGTCCGTCGGCTACTTATGTCAATGGGACGGGCTTGTTGATTGATGCTGGGATGATGGTTACTGCGCATGCAACTTAGGAAATGCTTCGTTGCTGATAGTAAATTAGGATTGTATATACTATCTGCGTATTAGAGTTAGAAGAAGTAATTATGAGAATTAGAAAGTACTTATTAGCAAATATGAGAACTTGGATATTACAGTACTTGATCTGAATTTGAAAAAATGATGAATTAAAGAGAATTTCATTATGTTCTTAGATTGTTGTTGAAAATGAGAAATGGGTATTAAAGATGAATGAGGGCCTTCAGTGGGATGCCGTTAGTATATAATAAGACTGTGTAACATAACTATAGAACTCTATTAAATAACTCTATTAAATATAGAGGTTGAAATATCTTGAACTCGCTTTACCGTATTATACAAACTATATCAAAAGAATCATAACAAACAAAACCTCAAACCACCTCCAATTTTAAATTTAAATCTTTAAAAAAAAAATAAAGATATTAATATTTATGACTTTTAAATTTTATTAAAATATTTTAATTTGAAAATTTGTTAAAAAATCAATAATCTATATAATAATAACAAATTTATCAAAAAGCCCAATTTATATTTTAATAAAATTCTTTTATAATCTCATTGTATTTTTTTTTCTAATTAAGAATATTTAATTAAGTCTCTTAATCTCTATTAAACTATCCCAGTAACAATCTCAGAAGAATCCGAGGAAGTACCAACTTTCAAATCCTCTCCAGTATCAATTTTCGCTGTAACGACAGTTGATACTAACTCCTTCCCACTAGTATATTTCTCTTTCCTCGCTTTCCCATCTTCCGCACCCTTTTCCTTCCCTCAGCATCCTCATCCTCCCCACCATCCTCCCCACCATCCTCCACGTCACCCTCAATCGCCATATCCTTCTCCCTCTCCTTCTCCTTCTCCTTCTCCTTCTCCTTCTCCTTCTCCTTCTCCTTCTCCTTCTCCTTCTCCTTCTCCTTCTCCTTCTCCTTCTCCTTCTCCTTCTCCTTCTCCTTCTCCTTCTCCTTCTCCTTCTCCTTCTCCTTCTCCTTCTCCTTCTCCTTCTCCTTCTCCTTCTCCTTCTCCTTCTCCTTCTCCTCTCCCTCCCCCTCCAACCAACCACCATCCCCACCCTCCCCCCAAACCCTCAAAACCACCCCCTCATCCTTACAATAAACCCTCAACCCCACAATACAAACCGCATTCCACGGTTCTACCTCCTCCTCATCCCCATTTCCATCCCCATCCCCATCCTCATCCTCATACTTTTCCCTTGCTAATCTCAGCTCATTCGGTGGATTTCGTGGTTTAAGACTTGGATCTTCATCGCTGTACATATCGTAATTGGATATTGGACTTGCGCTTGATTCGCCTTCGGATGTGATATATGGTCCTGGTGCTAGTCTTGGCGGAGGTTCTCGACTGGGGTTTGCTAGATTGTGGGAATTTCTGTGATGGGTATTGGGATTTGGAGGTGGAGGTGGAGGTGGTGATCCATGATGATGTTCTGGATTCACTGTGTATGGTGAATGAGGAGATGAACCGTTACTTTTTGGAGTTATAGGAGTTGCTTGAGATTCGTTAGAAGATGGTGTTAAATCTTCGGTTTGAACTGCTTTATCCCTTTCATTTGTAATTTCCGTGTGTGTAACATTGTTCGTTGATTCCTCCAGGTGTTCTTCAGTTTGTATTGATTTATCATGTTTCTCGACTTGAACTTCTGGAATGTCTTCCGTTTGAACACCTTGATCCTTTGGTCCTTGTTCTCTTTTCTTTTTTGCATCTTCAGCATCCTTTACTTCCTTACTTTCACGCTTCTCTCTGTTCTTTTTCTCTTGCTTCCTTACTATCTCTCGAGTGTTATGTCTTTTCTCCCAAAGAACTTTCCGTTGAGCAATCCTTGACTCTCGAGCTTTTGCCTTATCTCGAGCTTTTCTGAGTTTATTTTTTGCTTCCATATGAGCTAATCCTTTACTATGAGCCAAATCATAAGCGGTTCCGACTTGAGCCAATTTTTCATTATCTTCCCTTCGACGTAATTCTCCTCTCACGACATCTTCAACACTTGGACGACTTTTGTCCCTTTCTGCTATAACCATCATGAATACTGAATAAGTTCCAGCGGGAAGACTCTTCAATTCAGTAACCACACTTCTGCTCATAAGATAATTCCCATGGCTTCGTACAATGTAATCTTCTTCATCAGGAGAATTGATGTCATGGAGACGGAACTGTAATCTGAAGGTGTATTGACCACGTAGACCTATAAAATACCTATCGTCAAGTTGACTCATGACTAGTACTATTGGTGATTCCTTTTTGAGTACTATCATGAATTTTTGTTCGAATTCGGATCTCCAAGGAACTTCTACGCTGATCCACTCCTGAGTCAATCGCCAATCAGGACTATCCATGAATAACCGTGTGCGATCGAAGTGTTGATATTTCCGTAATAAATCCTGATATGAAATCCAGAATACACTATCATTTCCAAATTGATGATTAAGCTCTATCTGAGCTTCAGGAGTAAATTCCTTACTTCCATCTGACCATGGACCTTCCCAGTTACCTTTTTTCACTTTTCCCCAAGGATTTCTTTAGATGTTGTCAGTGATGCCTCTCGAGGTTACGTAAAGAAACAAACCGTAGTTTAAGAAGACGCTCGCCCGTAGATAACTCTCTAGCCTCCATAATAACATATGCGTGACCTTCAGATATCCCATCCCTGTTACCATAACCATAATCGAGAAGACCTGTAGAACAACCAAAAATGAATTCTTTATTGACATTGAGAATCTCATTATGCCAAAACTCGTCAGTATCAAGAATATCCGAAGTGAGAAGTTCCGTAGTTACACCTCCAGTTATATCTTCAACTCCCTCTCTATGAAATGTTAGTTAATACATAAGATGATGAGGGTAGACTTACCCTATCCATCCTCCACTCAAAGAATGATAATCCCCATGTGCTTTAGCATATGCCTTTTCGAGAAGTGGAAGCCATGTTTGGTTTGGATCTTTACAATGAGCGAAGAATAATGATTGAGATCCTGTTTGATATGTTTTTCGATATTCTTTCTCAACGTCCTCACGATCGGTCTGTTCGAGAAGATGTCTATGAACTGAGGGTGAATCCCAATCTGGTGATTTGAGGTAAAGCTTATCATCGATAATCGATATGATCCATTCACCATCTATTTTGAGTCAGCAAATGATACTTTATGACTGATATGACAACTTACCACGATGAAACACAAAGCCATATATCCCGATCTCTGTACATTGTTAAATTTCGTCTCAAAATCAAAGTTTCGGTACTGACTAGTGTCCCATTCTACGCATATTCTTCGAATCCCCTCTTTTGTATTTGCTAATGCTGTTAAGCTTGCCATCAACCAACAATCACCAAGATTTCCTTGTCTAACATCCGAAGGGGAAATTTTATCCTCCAAAAATGTAGGCCTATCAAATATTTCGTGGACTCTTTTCACAGCCCTGGGCCCGGAAGACGAGGGATTTGAGAGGGCATGTTTGCAAACTTCAAATCTGGTTTCCGCAAGTGTATTCAAGCAATTTCCTTTTTCCCATTTCAAATCCCAATCAATATCGAAACTTGGGTCGCGATATCGCATATTAACTCTCCTACATTCCTTAACAAGTTTCCTAACCTTTGCCCTACATTCTTGAACAGCTCGTTCGAAGTCTTCCGAAACAAGTTGGTTCTGCGGACCAGGTGGAGGAACAATAACAGTCTTCGCAGATGTGCCTCTTGAAAAAGGTGCTGCATTTGGTAAAACCTTTGTAGCTTTACTAAATTTCGATACGGAGAATCGAGACCAAAGTTTATCGATGGTATCTTGAGGGGCTACATATTTCTTTTTCTTCTTTGAATTGTTCTTGTTCCCCTGAAAAGGTGGAGGGGGAGGAGGTGGTCCTGGTCGGCGCCGTCTTCTACTATTATCGGAATCGCTTGAAGAAGTTGAAGACATGATGCTATGACTGATGCCTGTCTGTGAAGGTAGATAGGAAAGAAAATAGATAAATCAAGAATCGTCAGAAACGATCAAATACCTTTTGACAATGGACTTTGGATGATCTGAATCACCATAACTTTGCAGCCTTCCCGTCTCATTTTCAATAAGCTTATAGAGTAGGCAGACACTGCCCCCAAAGGATCTCTTACTGTCGCCTCCACCTAAGAAAAGCTCCTGTCGAACCATTTGTTCGGAAGAAAAGACGTGCATAAGTCTGCAGCCGATAAGGTCGCACAAGACTCTTATTGAGTATTTCGTTGCTTGCTTATTTTTAATCATGGGTACTTTTTCAGCCGCAAGACTTGGAATAGAAAGAATATCCATTCAACTGTTGATTTCGATAGAATTGCCCCGCGATAGGACGATACATGATTATGGACATGTTATGCATATGTCAAGCACCGTGGTGGTTTAAAGTTGATGATGGTTGGTCCATGTGAGTTACATGAATTATTTGAACTCGAAGGGTTGTGGATTGTGGTGTGCACAGACCTTAAGGTTACCTTACTCCGTACACTAGAATATCGGGTTTGGTGCTTTACTTTAACCTTGGCCATTGATCTATTCCATGTATAACTCCCGTCACCATTGTCATTTTACTATCAGCACTTCATGCATATGCGACTACTTGGAAATGAGGCTACCATGAGAGTAAATGGTCTTATTGGAAGTGGAAGTGGAATGAAATATCAACACAATCATCCCATGAGCCTGACTTCGTGTCGTGTCTTTTCCGTCTGTGGCATCTCTTTACTCTTAACCTTATAATCAATTCTAAGCACACTGGGAGCAGCTTCAAAAGACCTTTTGGATAGAGAAGTAATGATTGAATGACCCACGATAAGTCTCAAACAACCACTGAGCCAAAGATTTTTCAGATTCCCATTATCACTCCCAATTGGCTGGCCTCTATGCTATCTTCAAATGATATATCAAATGCAAATCATCCGGATTCGGCCTCATAGATTGTGTGCATATATATTGTTTTTGTGGAAGGTGATATCAAGATGGAGATGGATAGCGGTGAGTGCTCATAAGGCTGATATTTTGATAGTTGATGCCGTTGTGTTCTTGGTGCAGTCTCAGATACTACTCTATGTGGATAAGAAATCAATCTCCATTGTTTAAAGTCCATAATCTTATATGCAGTCCTCTTCATTTGTATACTCCGTAGACCAATATCCAAACCGACCGGAGAATATCCCTATACCTCGCGCCCCCTATTATTCAATAGCTAACCAATAGCTAAATATTCATGCAGGTGTTGTGTTTAAAATAGGATAATATTAACATCTTACAATAAATTGACTAGCACCACACCTACTAACGGTTATCATGCAGTACTCGCTCAACCTGCCATGCAAAGAGTCAATAACAATAACATCATGATATCTCACCAATTAGAATGACTTCAAAAAGGAAGTACAGTAAACGGTAAGCAACCTCTCGTCAAAACATTGGAACCCCAAATTCGGTATTTCGGTTTAATATAGAAGCATATAAGGTCATCATGGTGGGGGGACAAGTAATGATTGTTGAACCCCCTCAAATGTTTACATACTTCACATAAGCACAACTACGGAGCATACAGACTTGGAACTGGACATTGTCTTCTTAACTTCATATCATGACTTCATATTTGATCAATCATTATTTCTTCAAATACAATAAAATGGGTCAAAGTATTTCTACTCCCGTACCCATACCCATTACCCAACTAATCCATTTGGCATCATGTTACCTCATCCCACTTCCTATCCGTCCGTCCCTTCGTTCATGAAACGCCCGATCCCGGACTTGTTCTATCCATAATTATCTTAGTATGGTGAATCCACCGCGGGGTACAGATTTACAGGTTGGCAAGTTGTTATTATGAGAAGCTCTCGTTGATTTGATTATCAATGAATTGTGATGTACTGGCTCAACCATCGAATTCGATTCGTCCACCATGCTAGGGCAAGAATGCAGGAATGCAGGAATGCAAGAATGCAAGAATTGATGGATTCTTGCATCGTACGTGCTTTCAAGTCCTGCAAGCAACCTGTGACTGGGGTAGTTAGTACGGAGTACCTATTCAAACTTGATGAACCAAAGAATCAAGTCCACCAGTCTTCTCATATGTCCCCACAATTCAAAAAGTTACTCCGCAATACTTTCTGCCTGCATTCTTCCTACTTATAATACTTCATTCCTCAGAACCTTACGTGGTTCATTCATTGTTCTTTTTTCTTTCTAGTTACTTGTTTGTAGATTTGACAATTCCATTGATACTTCTGTTACTTCCAACCATCCATCCATTTTTGAAAGAATATCACAAATTATCCTTTACTTCACCATGGAGCCAACAAATGGTCATCATGTACCAGACAAGCCAAAGTATATTGACTTCCCTTACTTAGAACATGGCACTGTTATAGATGGAAAGTTGGCCTTGAATCGATGGTCTCATACAATCACAAAAGGTCATGATTTTCCAGGAGCCCAGGTAAGAATATATACATATCAACAAAAGATTACATATACTGACTCTGCGATTAGGCAATGCTCTACGCAGCAGGAGTACCAAATCGAGAAATGATGAAGTCTGCACCTCACGTGGGTATATCTTCTGTATGGTGGGAAGGAAATCCATGCAAGTATGTTCTCTATCTACTATCTACCACGAAGACGATAATGAAATGATCTGACACAGGAATGTAGTATGCATCGTAAGTAACACAAGATAAGGAGATCTTTCCAGACCTACGATTAACCAATGTATGTAGTACACGACCTCGGAAAGCTTGTCAAGGAATCTGTACAAAAACAGGGTATGCTTGGATGGCAATTTAATACCGTAGGAGTTAGTGATGCAATTACTATGGGTGGAGAAGGTTTGTAGCACGTTCTAATCTTCAAGTGGGATTATTATTAACAAGTATAGGCATGAGATTTTCTTTACAAACTCGAGAGATTATAGCGGATTCTATTGAAACTGTTACATGTGCTCAACATCATGATGCAAATATCTCAATTCCAGGTTGTGATAAAAATATGCCAGGTGTAAGTAAGATTGATGTTTAACGTGTGGTAGACATAAGTTCAATGTCTATTTCGACACATATGATACTGTTATTGACATTGAAATAGGTCATCATGGCTGCTGCACGTCACAATAGACCATTTCTTATGATTTATGGAGGTCAGTTTATAGGTTACTAGACGTTTCAGAAGTCTAATCCTCTTCAGGTTCAATCAAAAAAGGTTATTCCAAATTGATGAAAAAGGAAATTAATATCAGCAGTTGTTATGAAGCAAGGTAAGCAGATATGTATCCGTATCCCTCCAATGGAAATTTAACATGGTGTTGGTATCTAGTGGTGCATTTACATACAAGAAACTTCATGCTGCAGTTGAGGGTGCAACACCAAGTGATGTCATGGTAAGATCACGACAAATTATAAGTCTTGATCTTTGGTTAATGAAGCTATAGGAAGATTACGAACAAAACGCTTGCCCTGGTGCCGGTGCTTGCGGGGGAATGTACACAGCAAATACTATGTCTACCGCAATCGAATCTATGGGATTATGTCTTCCAGGATCATCATCCAATCCAGCCGATTCGCCAGCTAAGATGAGAGAATGTGTAAAAGCAGCAGAAACAATCAAAATTTGCATGGAGAAAAACATTCGACCACGAGACTTGTTAACAAAGGAATCATTTGAGAATGCTTTGGTAATCACTATGGCGCTTGGTGGAAGTACTAACGCTACACTACACTTCCTGGCCATGGCCGGTACAGCCGAAGTACCCCTTACCATCGACGATATCCAGCGAGTAAGCGATAAGATTCCATTCTTAGCAGATTTACAACCTTCAGGGAGATTCTGCATGGAAGATCTCTACGATATTGGAGGAACCCCCGCCGTCATCAAACTTCTCATCGCAGCCGGATTAATGAATGGTGATATTCCCACCGTCACAGGAAAGACCTTGAGGGAAAATGTTGAAAGTTGGCCATCTTTACCACAAGAACAAACTCTCATCAGACCTTTAAGTAATCCCATCAAACAAACTGGACATTTACAAATTCTTCGGGGAAATCTTTCGCCTGGTGGTGCAGTGGCGAAGATTACAGGGAAAGAAGGTTTGGTGTTTACAGGAAAAGCTATGGTTTTCGACAAAGAACATGAACTTGATCATGCATTAAACAAGGGCGAGATTCCCCATGGAGAAAATCTAGTCTTGATCGTGAGATATGAGGGACCTAAAGGAGGCCCGTAAGTACGCCCTAAAACATGTCAAAATCTAGACATGTTACATCTTATCTTGCAAAGTTTTAAAATCTAACTTCATTACAGCGGTATGCCGGAACAATTAAAAGCCAGCGCAGCAATTATGGGCGCCGGTCTCAAGAATGTGGCTCTTGTAACTGATGGACGATATTCAGGCGCTAGTCACGGATTTATCGTAGGACAGTACGTATTCCCCCATCTTCCATCTTCCATCTCCCATCTACTACCCCATCACCCTAAAACATCTCAACACCCCTCCTACTCCACTCCCACTCAACCCAACTCAACTAACACCTCCTTCCCTCCCAGCGTCGTCCCCGAAGCCGCAGTCGGCGGCCCCATCGCCGTTGTCAAAAACGGCGACATAGTAACTATATCCGCCGAAACCAACACGTTGAGTATGGATGTATCAGATGAGGAAATTGCAGAGAGACTTAAGGCGTGGAAGGCACCGAAGAGTGCGGTTAATAGGGGGGTTTTGGCTAAGTATGCTCGTTTGGTGGGGGATGCTTCGCATGGGGCTATGACGGATTTGTTTTAGGGGTTGCGGGAAGGGGGGATGGAGTGGGTGGAGTGGGTAGAGGGTTGGGATTTAGGGTTGAGGATTTAGGTGGTAGGTATTAGGTATTAGGTAGATGAGGGATTTGTTTGTGGTTGAGGAGGGGGATTTAGATTTCGTATTTTGTTCTATTTTTTTGAGATTATACATTTTGAGAAGTTCTGGAAGATCTCAGTTTCTATTAGGAGAGTCCCAGTGATATAGAGATTTCTATAAGCAATTAGCCCTACTGCAGTATTCCACGCCTAACCCTTCACTATCCCATCCCCTCCCCCCTCACAATATCCCAGCCCAAAATTCCCATCTCCACAAACCCACTCATCTTTCATCTCTCATTATCGTCCAATAGGTAGTAAAGCCGCAGCAACACTTCCCACCCCTCTCTCCGTCGCCAACAAATTAAACTGCGCAGCCGCATTCCTCGTATCAGCCACTTCAATCCGTATACCCAATCCATTTATAAAAGCGCGGGTTTTAGGGGAAATGGGTCGCATTTCTTTGCCTAGGCCGAGAATGAGGAGATCTATTAGAGGAAGGTAGGTATGTTAGTGATTGTGTTGATTGATTTGAAAGAAGACTGCTGTAGCCTTCCATTCCAGAGAAGAGAAGGGAAGAGCAGAAAAGGAAAGAAAAAAAAGGAAAGGAAATAAACCCACCAGGTCTAGGCCAAACACACCCCAAAACACCCCAAACCTCATCCGCGCAATCAAACTGCCCCTTCTTATTAACCAATTCCCTCTCCTTCTCCCTCTCTTCCTCCCCATAAACCCAAGGTCTCCACCCAAACGCCTCACCCCCTACAAGCAAAACCCCACTCCCACCCCTCCACTTCCCCTCTACAAACTTCCCATCTCCTCCTATCTTCACCCCGCTATTCAAATGAAACCCATCGCTTAAACATGCGTCGATACTCGTGCTTGGTGAGGGTGTATTCCCTAATACATCTAACATGCTGAAATCCGTCTGTGTTGTTTCTGAGGAGAGGGGTCCACGATCATGGGTTGTAGGGGGGTGGGAATATGTGTGCGAGGTATGTTGGGGGGATTGTTGTGTTGGGAGTTTGGAGATGGAGATGGGTGTTTTGTGGGAGGAGGGGAGTTTTTCGGAATAGCGACGTGAGTGGGAGATGTTGATTTGGGGGGATTGTGTTGAGGGATGCGCTTGGTATGTAGGCCTGGAGTTTAGACTCTTTCCCTTTTGCGAAGTATATCGTAGACTGGTATTTATACAATGGGTTGAGAAAGATGACCGCGGGGAAAGAATCGAATTTGCGATTTCGTGGATGGAGGGACGGGCACGGAGGAGTGAGGTGTGCCGGAGATGAGACATGGTGAGTTTTTATTTTCCTTTTTTTGTAAATGGTGGGTTTTGGCGATTGAGGACGATATCTAGTGTATAAGGGTGTTGATGTTATGTTCGTGGGATGTGTCTTTTTTTTTGTTATGGGGTTGTCATTGGGATGAATAGGCTGAGATGAAGCTTTGATTGAGCTTTGGAAAATTGTCGAATTAGAATGTTGTGAACGTCATCATGAGCTTTGTTATTGCCGAAATTCACCCGCTTTAACCTCAAGATTATGAAAGCTGTATTAAGCTAATTATCTATTAATCAGAACTTGATAACTTTGTACTTTCAATTTAAACAATTATTATCATAACAACTTAAAATATAAATGTTTAAAATGTAAAGAGTTTGAATCTAAAATATTAATAAAAAAAAAACAATTTAAATAATTTTAAATATTAAGATGTTACGAGGTTTGCCGTCTAGATCACGTGGAAGTGCTCTAGGCTCTCGAGGTGGTTTATAACTAGGCGTCAAGCAGGGACTTAAAGTAATGACAATAATGCAATTCGTAACTAATAGTAGAGTATACTAAATGATTGATCTTGAGCACGAAGCTCTATACAAAGGAAATCCATCTTGATTATATAGTCCTTCGTGCCTATGGTTAACTAGGAATCGTCGTTCCTGGTTGTTCCTAGGAACGTTCGTTCCTCACCGTTCCATCACATGTTTTATGGTCATGTGACATACTAATCGTTTTGGACGTAACATAAGACCTTTTAATAAAAAACTCTTTATTATTTGTTATTTATTTTATAGAACTTTCCTAGATTATATAACGAGACCTTAATAGGCGGACTATTGCTTTGATAAATTATTTCTATATGGTTTAAATTTATTATTTTCCTCTGTCAACTCTACAATCTAAATCTATATAAACTCTCAACTCAGCTCTCTGAATATTATTGTAACGATGCTGTACTGGAGGCAGCGGCTGCCTAAGGTTTCGTCTGGTTGGTAGTTGTGGGTTAAGGCTTTATCACTGGTCTTCACTTGGAAGTGAAGTCGTTACTAGATCAAGTAGAATGTAGGTAAACTAATTGATAACTAAGTTGAGCACGAAGCTCCTATACTAAGAAACTATTCTAACTATATACTCGTCGTTTCCTTAAGTGCTAGCTATGCTAGCTGGCTAGCATAGCTAGCATGTCACGTGATCTCCTATTGGCCTCAGGACACTAATCCTGGGACAATTCGTCTCCTGGGATAATATAACTCCTAGGATAATTGTCCTGGGACAAATATTATCCTAGGACGTTTATCCTAGAACGAATAATGTCCTAGGACACTTGTCCTAAGCCATCACGGTTGCCTAAATGGTTTGTCCTAGGATGATTATTATCCTGGGACACATTTTATCCTAGGACACTTGTCCTAGGATTCCTTATCGATAAGGACCCCCTCGGCAACAGCGGCCCAAACCGCCGTACTTGCTTTTATTGTGCTATAATAATCGTGATTCGTGACAATTATATTAAAAACTCAAAATAAGATATTATATCGTATTTAAAAGCTGTCTTTAGACAAATACAAAATAATAATGAACAATACTCGAGTGAAAAAACTCTATCCGAGATGATAGATTAGAACCAGTAAAGGCTCTTGAAATCATTATATTATTAATTATATTCTGCTCTGTTCTACTCTTCTCCCTCTTCTCTATATAAATACAACATCGGTATAAATATGATTCATTTCAACAACTTAAGCTGCACAAAACCTCTATTCCATGTTACACACTCATGATGACAATGGATCTAAAACACCATGACGATATTGTCTAACATCTACAGTAACATCTAAAATATGTATGTCTCAGGCGCTGTATAGGTTCGTGTGACGATTGTTTCTTGGTTTGAGGTGTGAGGTGTGATTAGATTTAGATTTATATGACCCTGAGAATCTGGGTATAGGAGTTAGAATCTAGAATCTAGAAATTAGAACTTGAAAGTGTGATGGTGGTGATTTGGTGAGTTTTATGTAGGGGGTAGGGATAGATGTGAGATCTTATTGTGTTATTGGATGTTATGTTAGAAAGATAGGGAGATGGGAATTAGATTGTATGGATCGAGGTTTTGTCTTTAGTATAGGTTGGGTTGAAAATTCTGTTTGGAGATGATGATTGGGATGTTAGATGGGGAATAGATACCTAGTAGATGAATGAATATACGAATGTAAATGGGAATGATTGAAGAATTGGTGATTGGATTTCGGAGGGTAAAGGAATTCATTGGGGACATATAATAAATAAACTCAGCTAGAGCCTAGATCAAGGCTATATCTTCGATTTGAACATTCTCGAGTTTTTAGTCGATTATATATTGGGATATCACCGCAGTTGTAAAAATTGTAACGTTTCACGGACATATAAGTGACTGAATTCTGGGACCAAATTTTCACGAGCCTTTATAACCTTATAGAAATAGAAGAAAAGTTTTATAGATATCCAATAAAACAACTCCGGGAAATTGAAATTCTTATCTTCCAATCCAACATCCTAGAATTATCTTCTAATGTTTTTAGGAGACATTATAGATATATAAATTGGAACATCTCAGCAAATGAAATATATAAGATACAGCAAAAAAGATTACAATATTAATTCCAGATTCCCAAGAGCTTTCAAAAAGCAACCCAGAACGTTCCTATAAATATTCCACAAACAAAGTCCAATAGACGCTGAATAGTGTACTGAAAAATAAAATGAGGTATATACAATATTGAGTGTTCAAGACTTAGGTAAAGAGACATTCCTGATGACTTCTCCCGAGATTCAAAAACTAATTAAAACCTCGTCTGACTCGTAATGGTGGTAGGTAGTAATTGACTTTGGAACAAAGTCCGCTTCCGACAAAAATCAACTTTCGATGCAATCCAAGATTTATCTGCTTCAGATACTACTGCAGCTAACAGTGTAGTGACATTGTGGCCGGTCTACTCCTCATTTCCGCGATTCTAGACCTAGAGGCTATGGTTAAGGAAATTGTAGAATACTCAAGAATAATAAACGTATGTATTCTTCTGAGGAACACCCATGATGGTCCCAGACTGGGCGATTCTTCTTAGACATACTGAGTAAATGCAATATATACATAAATGAAGCTAAATGCTACGCTGGTGTAATTCCTCCGCATATCCAACTGCACGCCATTGTATCTTGACTCGGAGAAAACCCACTTATGTAGATTATATGTAAGCAATATACGTACAAAGATCGATCTTTCCCCCCTAGGGATTTGAAGATCTGAAACCAGAAATGTAAGATATATAATATGTAATGATAAGGTTACTCCCGTGAGCTTGTTATTTGGTAAGAAGTCATCTTTGTACTCCAGTTTTTGATTCTAGATGGTCTCGATTCGATTTTATATCAATGGAGGGAGGTACTAAGAATAACCTAGACGATGTCATCTCCCGCAAAGGTTGAGAGGTTCGATTTCGTCATCTTGTGGATCTTGTACCATGAGATTCGTGTAAGTGGTCTGATTTTTGGGAAGTTTGAAAGGGTGGATGAGAGGACGAGTCAGACAGATTCTTGAGGCGGTATAATACCTTCTGGTCGATGTATAAAAAGTAGTCTGGTGGACGTTGAACTGCAAGCTTAATAAATTAGGTTTTGTAAATTGTAACCATTCATTCTTCTGCAACTGAATATATTAATTCTTTTAATGTTTTCGTTGTGTGACCAATAATGATATAATGTATGCATTTGTTGCCCAGATTGATTTATTGAAAAGACAACCTTACAATAAAATAAATGAAGAAAATGGAAACTTTTTGATTCGTTGATCAGTCAAAAACCTATTTAGCCAGAATATACTAACTTCTTTTTCGATATGTACTCTATTTTACCGGCAGATTGGCCTTGTGGTTTGATAGGTCCCAAGGGATTTGTTGAACCATGGGGTCGTTTCGGTAGGATACATGTACCGGGGCTGGTTTACCTTTTTAGTGTTGTTCATGCGTGATTCCATCTCCATTTTTATTACACAACATGATGGACTCGATGTCATGTATCCCTTGGTAGGGGTTGGTGGTATGTATGGGTATGAGAATGGTGTCGACGACGGTAGACTGAGAGAGAGAAGAAAATCAATAGGTTTTAGTTGAGGAAATAGCTCCAAGAGCTATACATGTATCAAGATGTTGTTGCATGTATCTGAGGAGGTTAGGTAGGCAGAGGTAGTTAATTGTAAATCCATCAACCGGGTTGGCGGCAGCATTCCTGTTTGATATGTCGTACAGTGAGTATTTCCGCCTCGTACGACATCATCATTCATACTCGGTACCTACGAGTAGTTTGGATGAGCGAAGAAAGTTTCCGTCTCTGTGTGGAGTAGTGGTAGTTATAGTTATGGTTGTACAGAGTACTGAACTGCGGAGACTTTTCTTCACATCATATGTAATGTCCCACGATTTTAATATATCAATCAATACCTAGGTACCGAGGCGTGAAATGGTATATCACAGGGGATAGACAATACCAATTGGGAGGCGGTTCAAGGATCTGATGCATGGAGGGGAAAAGAAGGCGAATAAGGCGAAAAAGAAGGCAAAACGGAAGACGAATGATGACAAGGATTGGAAGAATTAAGGGTCCAACCAGTAAGGTTAAAAGAAGTAAGTATCTTGACCCCATATAGACTATTGGCAACATCATATTGAGGATAGGTCAATTATATCCAGTATCCATTATATTCACCGCCGTCCACCGCCATATCATAATTTGGTGATAGTGTTGCTTGTGTAGCTGGTGCCGCCGATACTATTGATTTATTCCATGGGTGATGGATGGCTGATGGCGGTGGGTTCACCAAATGATTGATAGAATGAAGTCTGAACTAACAAGGAATTGATTGCTGACGTTGTTGTGTCATGGTGCCATGATATTGGTGATTGTGCTTGGAATCACGGAATTGAACCCAAATGAAACGGCACACACAAACAGATTTTCTGTGCAACATTGAATTTTTTTCCGATCAGAGTATTATTTCTGGAGGTTTGAACACAAATCATACAATGATCGATTATTGTTGACTTATTTGTTGAATTCTAGAAATATCTACCTACCACGTAATATTACCTACTTGTACCTGCTTGACTAACTCTTACCTGATACCTGATACAGTAAGTAGTCCATTAAACCGTTTGTTGGGGAAAACATCGTCATTTTTGTATGTTTTTTCATTTACATAATAATTTCCCGATAGCTTGTAACATCAAAGATTCGATAATATTGAGTCTTCCCTTCTTTATCATTTAACTTTAACCAGGTCACTTACTTATTACTCCCTTACTTTGTCATCGATTATATAGATCCGATCATAAGCCTTCCCGAACTAAATACTTCCTTTTCCCCCTTCTACTTTTCTGTCTCTTTTGAGCTTCACCAACTCGCAGTTTGACTTTTCAATTCTTTCATCAAGCTGTCATCCATCCTATTCCATACAGTCAGGACACCCTTTCCACCTTCCAATCCCCAACCTTCCTAACCACGCCTCCTACTGGACTGGCTGGATGATCTGTTCTGGAACCGCCCAATGCTCAATTCGACACCGTTTACCTTCACCAACAAAGCCAAATCTGTTGCATAGACAACAAATCCTCCTTCCTTCATCCTCCCATAGACCAACCATCCTTTTCTCTATAAAACGTCTGCGACCACAACAACCCAAGTCTACACCGTTCCACAATCGATATCTTCACTCCTTTTACTTAAATTCCCCGATAAACGGTCAAGCACAGAAACCTGTCTTCCTATCAACTTTCGCACAGACCTTGGACCCATATTCATTATTCATTGGACCGAAATCTAACAAGATCCGACTAGGCGGGGTTAAACCACATCATTACGGCCATTCACCCTTCGCGGATCATCACAAGAAGTTGAGACTTCGAAATATCGCCTCTTTTTCTTCACAATCCTTAAACTCTCCTTCATTCCCGTCAAGGTCGTCTTTGACACTCACTCAAAATATGTCCAATTTACCTCAACCAAAGAGCTCAATAGCTCCCGACAGTCCTTTGAGAGAGCAGAGAGTGCATCATAGACTCGTCGAGAGACTCACCGATCGACTCGAAACCCCAAGTTTAGATGATCGTTCTTATCGAGTTATCAAGCTTCCCAATCAATTAGAGGTTTTGCTTGTTCATGATGCTGAAACAGACAAAGCCTCTGCAGCTATGGACGTTAATGTGGGGAATTTCAGTGATCCTGAAGATTTCCCTGGTATGGCGCATGCTGTAGAGGTAAAAATGACTTATTCCCCATGCTTACAGAAATTCTGCTGACATATATTTTCTTTTTAGCATCTACTTTTCATGGGAACTAAAAAGGTATTGTATACCCTTTGTATAGAAATCTGGCGCACTTTCGCACATCTCCCGGCTTAATCACAAATACTAACAATTGGAGTAGTATCCTGTAGAAAATGCATATTCACAATACCTTTCTTCACATTCGGGAAGTTCCAATGCGTATACCGGTGCCACATCTACAAATTATTACTTTGAAGTTGCTGCGAAATCAGGGGAGGATGGAGCTTCAGGAGATTCAAACCTCTCGCCTTTGTATGGTGCTCTGGATCGATTCGCTCAATTCTTCATAGATCCTCTATTTCTCGATTCGACTTTGGACAGAGAATTGAAAGCTGTGGATTCAGAGAACAAGAAGAATTTACAAAGTGATCAATGGAGATTGCATCAATTGGATAAATCATTATCGAACCCAAAGCATCCTTATTGCCACTTTTCCACGGGAAATTTAGAGGTTTTGAAGATACAACCAGAATCGCGGGGAATAAATGTGCGAGAAAAGTTTATGGAATTTCATGAAAAACATTATTCTGCGAATCGCATGAAGCTTGTCATATTGGGAAGAGAACCATTGGATAAACTGGAATCATGGGCGGCTGATCTTTTTGCCGGTGTACGAAATAAGGATTTGCCACAAAATCGATGGGAGGATGAGCGACCTTATGGTCCAGAACAACTTTCCACTCAATGTTTCGCGAAACCTGTTATGGATTCTCGAACTTTGGACATTTCCATCCCCTTCATTGATGAAGAATTACTATTCGAATCACAACCTAGCCGATATTTGACACATCTTATTGGACATGAAGGACCAGGTAGTATCATGGCTTATATAAAGTCAAAGGGATGGGCAAATGCTTTAAGTGCAGGTCAGTTGAATTCAATGAAGAAGAGCTCATCATGCGAATCTCGGTTCCTTTCACGGATTTCAAGTTTATACTAATTCTTGTAGGTGTTTATCCAATATGTCCTGGGACGCCTGGTTTGTTCAGTTGCCAAATACGCTTGACAGAAGATGGTCTCAAGAATTACAAGGAAGTCGTGAAAGTCTTCTTTCAGTATATCGCACTGCTCAAAGATGCACCACCTCAAGAATGGATATTCAATGAGCAGAAAGGTTTAGCTGATGTTGATTTCAAATTCAAGCAAAAAACTCCAGCTAGTAGATTCACCAGCAAAATCAGTGCCGTCATGCAAACACCATTGCCCAGAGAATGGCTGCTCAGTGGCCACAGCAGACTTCGAAAGTTTGATGCAGGAAAAATATCTGCTGGACTTGATTGCTTAAGGGCTGATAATTTCCGCATGCAAATCTCTTCACAAACCTTCCCCGGTGGTTGGGATTCAAAAGAAAAATGGTATGGCACAGAGTACAAATACGAGAAGATTCCGGCGGATTTCTTGGAAGAGATAAAGAAGGCTGCTTCTAGCAAGAAAGGAGAACGCTTCCCAGAGTTACATTTACCTCACGTAAATCAATTTATCCCAACCAAACTCGAGGTTGAAAAGAAGGAAGTTCAAACACCTGCCATTTCCCCCAAGTTGATCAGAAATGATGACGCGGTAAGGACATGGTTTAAGAAAGGTCAGTGAAATATTCTTGCTGTGGTGGGATTAATTGCTAACTCGTTACTAGATGATACTTTCTGGGTTCCAAAAGCAAATCTATTCATTCAATGCAGAAATCCATTACCAATGGCAACGGCAGAAAACTCTCTCAAAGCAAGAATGTACACCGATTTGGTTTACGACGCATTAGAGGATTACGCCTATGATGCTGAGCTTGCCGGACTCGAATACTCTGTATCTAGTCATTCAATGGGTTTGGAAATTAGCGTTTCCGGATATAATGACAAGCTCTCAGTTCTTTTGGAGAAGGTATTGACTACCATGAGAGATCTTGAGATCAAACAGGACCGATTCGAGATTATCAAGGAGAGGTTGACAAGGGGTCTAAAGAACTGGGACTTTCAACAACCTTACAATCAAGTCGGTGATTACATGAGATGGCTCAGTAGTGAGAAAGGCTACATAAATGAGCAATACCTAGCCGAATTGCCACATCTTACTGCGGCCGATATTCAACAGTTCTACCCACATCTATTAAGACAGATGCACATTGAAACTTTTGTACATGGAAACCTGTACAAGGAGGATGCTTTGAAATTGGCCGATTTGACAGAAAGCATATTGAAGCCAAGAGTATTGCCTCAAACTCAATGGCCAATTGGTAGATCTTTAGTCTTTCCACCTGGAGCTAACTTCGTCTACCACAAGACTCTTAAAGATCCGGCCAATGTCAATCACTGTATAGAATACGTTCTATCTATCGGAGATAAGGCAATTCGTCCTCAACGAGCCAAGACCCTTCTTCTCGATCAAATGACTCATGAACCTGCATTTGATCAATTACGAACCAAAGAACAGCTAGGATATGTTGTATTCAGTGGATGTTCAACAACAACTACCACCATCGCTTACAGATTCATCATTCAAAGTGAAAAGACTCCACAATATCTTGAGGAACGAATTGATTCTTTCTTGGTTGGATATTCAGAAATTCTTAAGAATATGTCAGATTCTGAATTTGAGGGTCACAAGAGAAGTTTAATCACCAAGAGATTGGAGAAGTTGAAGAATTTGGATCAAGAATCAAATCGTATCTGGTCTCATATTGATTATGAGTACTTTGACTTTGAACTTGGTAAGTCATATCCTGTATTGTATTGAGTTGATAAACTAACATGTTGAAAGTCCATCATGATGCTGCAAACGTCAAAGCACTCACCAAAGAAGACATGATACAATTCTATGATCAATTCATCTTGCCATCTTCTCCACTTCGATCAAAACTCGCAATTCACCTCATTGCTCAAGGAACCTCTTTACCAGAAGAGAAACCAGAAGAGCAAAGTGTTCTTGCAATTAATAAAGATCGTAAAGATGCTGAGGATGGAGAAGCTATTGTGGTTAAGGTTGAAGGTAATGGTACTAAGCCATATGTCATTACAGATGTACGACAATTCAAGAGTATGTTGCAAGTCACCGCGGGACCACAACCGGTCAAGCATATTAGTGAGTTTGAGGATTTGGATTCAAAACTATAAATACGAAAAAGAGAGAAAATGGGCATAGATTATCAAACCGCATTCTGGCGGATGTACTAAGAGCACAATAGATGTGCTTACTTAGTTGGGCTTAAATACTGGATTGGACCGGACTGGAATTGCATGGCTGGGAGTTGTATTGAATTGAAAATCATCATGGGGATAGGTCGAGATGCTAGATAGAATGGGTTGGTCTGCTCTGGTCTGGTCTTTGATCTTCGGGTCTTTTGGTCTAGTAGATGGATATCCGCGAGATTTTTAAATGAATGCGAGAAGTTAGATGATTTTTTCGATTTTTTTGCTTGTATGTGAATGTGAATGTTTATTTTTTATTTTTTAATTTCTATTTTATTAAGTATTTATAAAATAATTTTTATAAGAATATTATATTACAAGATCCTAATTATAATTATAATTATAATAAAAGAAAAACAAATTCTCTTTACTTGGAAATATATATAATATTAATTTCATAATCATAAATGTTACGAGGTTTGCCGTCTAGATCACGCGGAAGTGCTCTAGGCTCTCGAGGTGGTTTATAACTAGGCGTTGTTACGACGGCTTCTGGCCTCGTATCATATGACCATGTACGAAGTCATGTGATCCCTTCGATCCCTTTACCGAAGGGATCGAAGGGACCGAAGGAACGATAGGCATGAAAGTCTATATAATCAAGATGGATTTCTTTTGTATAGAGCTTCGTGCTCAAGATCAATCATTTAGTATACTCTACTATTAGTTACGAATTGCATTATTGTCATTACTTTAAGTCCCTGCTCGACGCCTAGTTATAAACCACCTCGAGAGCCTAGAGCACTTCCACGTGATCTAGACGGCAAACCTCGTAACACGTACTTACAAATACTAATGATATTGATGTTTCTTGCGCCTTTTTATATCTCTTGTCTCTTGTCTCTTATCTCTTATCTCTTGTTTCTACTATTCTATGTATGATTGAGGTGGATATGTTATTCCTGTGCTTTATATATTATTTTTTTATTCTATATATTTAAATACTTTTTTTATAGTGAATATCACATAGATTTTGTGTAAATATCATGAAATTACTTAACTCGAACCCTAAAGCGTGAGTAAGTATTTTTCTTCATTAAAGTAGAAAGATCTCAAGATCTATATATGAGTACATTCTAATGTGATTGTGGTAGTGGACTAATACATACAAAGGCACATTGTTTCTTATTGTCAGCATTGTCAGTATTGTTAACTTCTAGATATAAATAAACATACTTCTTTGTATGGCTACTCTTTGTTGACTTGAACTTATAATTGTATAATAATTTGATACTCTTACTACTGCTAAATCTCTATTTTCTCGGCCGTTGCCTTTAATATAAAATTGAATTAATTGTAGAAAAGATTTTTGAAGCTAAAAGTCGATATAAATTCTAAATCATCAAAATAGAGAATAAAATGACTGACTCTCAAGGAATACTATTTTTTAAGAAACGAGATTCAATAAATCTTTTTCTTTACAAATTCTAAATCTCAACTCTAAGGTCATGATCCATCTAATATTATAAAGCTATAATTACTACTTACTATCTACTCTCCAAATCCTCTTCATCCAATTAAACTGTAATATCAACCTCACAAAACATATCCAACCCAGCACTGACCTCCTCCCTATAATCCACCCGCCCTATCACCAATAACATTACCCCTCTACTATAGCTTCATCCCAATTCTATTCATTTCTCTATAACCAATTTGAATATAATAGAATAAAAGCACTGTACAAATTAACACTAACCTATATTATATCTTCAACCGGTGACCTTTTCAACATGTGATATTCGCATAAATAAACATACTTGAGATTTCCCCACTACTGTGACCAACCTTTTTTGATAAATAAGAATATTTCTACAATATAGTCGGCATCAATATCAACATCAAGGTAGATTGATGATCAACATGAATCCTCCACCTCCTCCTCCACCAGGCGGACAGTGCTTACCAGTTACTCTCCCTTCTGGTATGCTTTCCGCTGATCATATTTACCGCTGGGTCAATGATACTGTCGAACCCCATGATTCCTCCACTGGAGTTCCCAACGTCTTGATAAATAATTCTTCAACTCCCAAGAGTCAAAAATAAATTGAACGAACAGTGGATGGCAAAGTCCCATCAGTGGATTATCCTCACTCAGCCTTAGGAAGTGGAAGTGGTATGCTTATTACTGGTTTCGGCCAGCAAGATATGCAGGCGGGAACAGGTTTAGATAGTAAGATAACACTCCCAAAAGTATATACAGAACATGCTAACGTACCAGGAAATAATCAGCGGGCAAACGGAACGACTTCCAATGTCCTCGCAATTCAAAAACCAGCTATTAACTACAACATGTCAGGAAACGACACGAATGTCCCTACAGCTCGCCGATGCCAAAATTCGGGGATGAATTTTAACTTAAGAAATAATAGTTATCGAAGCATTTATGATGTAAATGGCCATGCAAATTATCCATCAAATCAGATCGCATTTCAATATGGTAAGACGAACTACTCCTAAACTTTTAGAGTTCTCTAACATTGACATATAGGTAACAGCCAGTATCTCAACGGCATGATGCCTATGGATAATAGCCCATTCGGATCCCAAAATAACAATACACAAGCTTATGGTCATTCAACATTTCCGTTTGAGCGTAATATGACTACATGTATGATGAGTGTTATGGGCAATAGTTCGGGAGGTATGAATACACGAGGATTGGCAGGTAACAACCATTACAACAACATAACTCCTTTCCGCTTGCAGTCAAGCCAACACGCACCTTTTGCTTCAGGTGAACAAAACCATGCACTCTATCATGGCAATGTTCAAGCAGGCTTGGTTCCAGGTTCAGCTGCACGACTGATCAGTAAGAGAACCAGTAAGAGAACTACTATTTGCACTTGGCAAAGTTGTACTAATACTTTCACAGATAATAACCAATACACGAGTAGCGTTTCTGGGCCTCGTCAATTGAATAAAGAACATGGCTATGACATGAGCGATGTTGCGATGGCAAAGGTCCCGAATGTGCAAAGTATCAACGGACATCTAGATGCATCCACATTCAGAGCGCAACACACAGTCAGATACTATGGAGACGAAATGGCAGTCAATTTTTATAATAGTATGGCAACAGCTCAACATATTGTCAGAAATCATGGACATTATATGCCGGTCAATGGTCATCGCGACGCAACTTCTCAGCATCTGACTGGTGCCAATCAAGCCCATAAACTTTTCAATGTACCTAGCGACATAGCAGCAATTCAATGTAGCATGCACTATGACCAAGGTCATATGCCTGCTACACATTACAACCAGAAGGGTGTCCCATACCCCAACCCAATCAGTAAGTTAGGACTATTCCCGCACTAACGGGGTGATCTAACATTATCGCAGATACTAGTCACTACCAATCTAATATGATTCCCAGCCCCACCGTAATGCCTTCATTCCCATTGAATGGCAACGTGGTGCCCCCCACGACCCGTGCATACAATGGAGTTCCTTTCGACCTTGGTGCAACCATTCCTCGATACGATAGGACTTCGCAACCAGATTTAGGGAACACCTTTGCTGACAATGTTCATCAGTTTGGGGTAGATGTTCGGACTTTCGACGCGGGCAGTAAGTTGGGCCCTATCTTACTCGAAGAGTTTGAGGTCTTCTGCATATTCCACTATTTTCCCCAAGAAATCCAGGACATGATTTTTGAATGTATGTTTCCTGGTCCTCGAACAGAGCATCTAGGACTCCTTGTACACGAAAGCTATGGAAGACGTCAAGAATATAGAGTTGAGTTACCGATAACCTTGTTCATCTATCAGAGAAGTCGTTATATCACCTTTCTGAGGTATGTCATCATTGAGAGGCCAAAGCAAATCCAAAATGCTAGAAAGATATATGGTTTCCATGTTACCAAGATGCGTGGAGCGGGGAATATCACTCAACCAAGACTTCTATGCATTGGTCCACATGACACTCTTGCCATCTCGGAAGATATACCCAAATGGGCGTTGAAACAAACTCTTGAGTGGTTGCAATATCTTGACTTGAAGATTCCAGGAGGTTTGAAGAGCATCAAACATTTGGAATTACGAGATAGTCATACTAAGAGTACTAATTTCCTCGACGATGCTGTTGCGCTCTCAAACGTTGTCGGTTTCTTAGATTTTACCCCATTGCTTCCATCAATCTTTACCAATGGCATTTTGGACAAAATCAGCAGTCTTCAAAAGCTGACGTTGACAAATGTTGAAAAAAATGGCAAAAACCGCCACGCTTTTAATGAAGAAAGGGTATTCTTGTGGTATATGATTGCAGATTATCTTGATAAGACGACAGGGCTCGGGGAGAAAAGGTTCGTGGAAACAGAAAACATTGAGATTAAGAGGTTCAAAAGAGTGCAAGGCAGGAAACTGGGCTCGGGTAAACAGATGATTTATTTCTACTATTTGTCTACTATTTGACTGAGCATCTCCCTGTTTTTAATTTCTAAGATAGAGAGCCATATCTCAGGCCCGCATTTATGGATTAAATGGAAGGATATATGGAAATAACGGATCTGAATCTAGCGAGGAATTACTCGGATACAAGTATTTTAGGCATTTCTTTTAAGAAATAAAATCTCCGTAAATACTTTATGCTCGTGCCCTACTGTGTTTAACGACAGTGAGAACTTTGTGACTATAAAATTTCTAGACGTTCCTACCACAACAAGCCTTCCAGGAGTTCTCTACGAAAAGACCATATTCGAACCTCAATCCGCCATCATGCCACCCGGTGATCGGTGGCAGACAGCTCATTCTAGTATGTTTAATGGCGGCTTTGGTGGAAAAAGAGATACCTCATCTGACTCTAAAAGAGTTGGTAAGACAGTGCAGTATACCCATTTATTGAGTTTCTGCAGAATGTTCTAATAAACAGGAAATAAGCAACAAGAAACCGCGACATCGTCTGATAACTTCGCAGGCGCACCTCATCCTTCGATGGACACCATGGGCGACGCAGATGACTACTATCTCGCTGACTATGCAAAAACTTTCAGCTTCCAGTCATCTCATCCCCCAAGCCATCACAATTACTTGCCTCGTAGTAGCCGTAGATTCGACCCCACTAATTATCAGACACATATCCAAGCAAGTCAAGACTTAGCTGCAAGTACAGGTGCAACTTTTCTTGTTAAGAAATTGAGCACTACTCTCACCGTCACAAATAGAGTACTAACCATCTCGCAGGTGACAACGAATTTTCGGTTTTCACTACGACCAAATTCACCGAGTTAGAGATATCTCAGGCCTACTTCCCCGGGGATGGCTTGGACCAGGCCAGTAATGTCAACGATGGTGTTGCGAGAATCTAACCCTCGAGTATGCAGACTACCAATGTATATCATAAATCATCAACTCAAACCGACCCTTAATTCAAAATGATGTAGATCACATGCTAGTCAACCCTCGAGCCCTTACTGCATCCGTTGAAGGTATCATTGGGGACTATACAGGCCATATACAAGTCAATGTTTCTCCTAACATATCAACCAAACCAAAAGTCGGCCGCAGTCGAGACAATATGGCTGTCACTGTACCATCCGAAAAACCTCAAGATAGGTATCATGAGTCTTATAATTGACAAGCTCATTTGTCCACTTCAGTCCATGGGTTTTCAAAACAATAGAAGCCCGTTGGCTGAGTTGTAATGTCTTACAACTTGCAATATATCCTAATATTTATCCAGTTACCACGTCAGACCCATTCAGAATGTTTGTCCATCCCCGTTCAGAGCAAACTTTCAGCTCAGCGCTTGCTAAAAATGCGAGTTATGGTCATATTGGAGCTTTCCCAAACTCTAGCGCGACATGCCAACATTTGTTTGCAACTTTGCAGCGAAGTCGAAGAAATATGTCTGCGTTCGAAGACATTCATCAATTACAAAAAGAACATCCCTCCACCTTTCGATCCAGGCTACCCTCTTGAGTGCGGTACCAAACCATGGAGGCTCAAGAACCCAAGGGTTATGGACACGGCCAAGAGCAAAATATGGTTCTTGTACTTACGAAGCACAATGGCGCAAAAGATTTAGGTAACTTTGTCGCGGATAAGAAGTCATCTGCTCCTGTGTGTGCTAAAGCTTCAATTTCATGGATATACATACTACACCAAGGTACTGATGGAAAGTTATATGAGCACAATGCCTTATGTCTTGCTAAACTTGAGCCAGACATCACTTGATGAAGGCAATCTGGTGTGATGTGCCATATTATCTACTCACATACCATATCTGCAGCCCATACTTCCAATAATGCAGAGACACCATACACATGGATATGCACTAGCATATTCCTGTTCATCTCCCAGTAGCATATACAAGAAATGTTTATGAAACAAGTCAAGTACATAAATAAAGGGAACCGCCACTATACACTCGGATCAGACTTTTCTCTCCTCTTCTTCCCCCTTCTCTTCATATCTTAAATCACATCGTTGATTCCCCGGATGAGGAAGTCCTCGTCCTGATATATATGCCCAAACCTTTATCTGCAATCGCCTTTATATCCCTCTGCGAAGTTGTTCTTGAAGCTTTTGGGTATCTCTTTCGATATATGAGATTAGGTGTATCGTGGCCTTGTAAAATCAAATATAATTAGAACTCACAGCTCCAAAGCCTCAAAGCCTTTGATCCTTCAATCCATAAGATGAAAGCTCTTCAAGCAAACCAACAAACAAACCCTTTCCAACCTGAAAGAAATTAGAAGTTCATCTGCAAGCAAGTCATATCTTTTGATATTAAATATCCATGCGACAGCGAAATAGCAAACAGTTTATCCCAAAAGGTCTAAGTTTGTAAAAGTTAAGTCTTAATTCTGTACATGTATGTTTTAAAGAGGAGAGATTGGGAATAAGGAACAAGGAAAGTCACCCAAGATCGCTGTATCTGTGGAATGAAAAGCTGACCTCCGAAGAACATGCAGGTCGTCTGGATCAGGAGAGCCTTAGGCAAGTTCTTCCAACCCAACATGATCCAAGACCTCTATAATCTTTGCTACCCTCTGCTTTGTTACATACACCACCAGTCTTTCGCAAATTCCTCGGACCATAATCCACAAAAATGCTTTGATTTCACAAAATACCAAACCCAGATCCGGCAATCATGATTGCTGCATAAGGATACACAGGAATATGTAATCTTATATCTAAACTTCATCTAGTTACCTTTAACAGTACCTACATCTCAATCCTCCAGTGCTAGAAATTGTTCAGTTTAGCGTTCCTTAAAAACTCAGACCAGCAAATTACGCGAGCTTCAGATGCTCCCCTTACACCCTCATCTATCTACTCCATCTTTTATATTCCCCATTTGTCCTACATTATATCCACGTCAAACTTAGATGATTTTATGGGAGGTGTAAGATGTGGGATTTGAAAAGGCGTAGAGAGAGTTATAGGGGAAGGAAAGATAACGAAACGAAATGAGACGAAAGAAAGGGGGAAGATGGTACAGAATGGGGGAGATGACGAAATAAGGGAGGCAATACTAGTAGCAGGAGCAGTAACAGGAGCAATAGCGAAACAAATGAGGAGAGAAAATAAATGAAGAACTAAATCGCGCAACAATATTGAATACCAGATATCGAATACAAGCCCCGATCCATATATCGCTAATCCAACACTAAAGGTCCATCCATACCATTCAAAATAAATCACAACATGTCAACCGCGAGAAATATCATGAAAAATCATAATGAATTCATTTCAAACTTCGTGTTAAAATTCCAACTCTACCGGGTATCTACCAGCTTCTGAATTTTCGCATTCTTATGCCATGCATGCCAATATACTCCAAAGTCATGCGAGATCATATCATGTTCTTCATAGGCGATCTTTTGCCCCTGACTAATGGTCGGTCGTATCTCATATGCCATAGGTCCTCTGTCCTTCTTCATCTCTTGCTATCCATTTTCCATGCAAATCATTTCTTTCCCCTGTATGTTCCCTTTTCAGTGCAAACCATCCCGGTATCATGCACATCCGTGTATCTCCAATGTGTCATTTCCTTCCACAATCAAACTTCTATAGTATGTGATGTTCTACGTGAGCTTCGGTACCACTAGCTTTCACAACTCCATCTGCATTTTGTGCTGGCATAGCGATTGGTTTTCCTTCTTTTTTCGAAGTTAAAGCTACCAATTCCCTTAACATCAAATCTCTCGTATCTCTTGCTAAATCTTCGACATCTGCCGAGGTAAGGTGTTTGGTCTCGATAGGTTTTAGTACTACATTATTCCAAAATTAGCCTCGTCCCTATACCTCTGATTCTCTTTAACCCTAACAAACAAATCGAATAGGAAAAGAACACACCTCGAACTGGTATCCTCCCCGATGTAAATCTCCAACTTTGCACATGCAAAACATCACTATAACAAGCGACTACAACAGGTACAATCGGAACCCCAGCTTGAACTGCTAAATGAAAAGCTCCCTTCTTGAAAGGTAATAATGTCGGATCCTTTGCATAACTTCTCGTTCCTTCGGGAAAAATATAAACGCTCTGTTTCTCCTCTTTAATTTCCGTCGCTGCCCCCGCCATCGCCTGTCGTGCATCTTTCGCATTGCCCCGGTCAATAAATACCGTGCCACTCAAACTCATAAACCATCCTAGAAATGGCACATTCTTCAAACTCTTTTTTGCGGTGACAGAACAATATCGAGGGAATATACATCCTAACATGAGCACATCAAGTTCGGTTTGATGGTTACCTATAAAGACTGCGGGGCGTGTCGTACCGAGATAATTGTTGGGATCTTCGACGACAAATGTTACACCGGTTGTAAACCACATTGCCCATTTGTAAGCGCGAGCGGCGGCCCATTGTGATATGCGGTAATTCCCTACGAGCCGTAGGATAATGCATACGAAGACGCCATAACAAGCACAGAAGACGAGTGAAATATAACCAGCGAGGAGGCGAGCGAAAAAACCGGCGATGGGAAGAATAGGAGAAAGCATGTAGAGAGATAAAGTGAGGACGGTGTAAATGATTGAAAGGTTTGTAGCGTAAGAGAGAAGAGCGAACATCTTGAGGATATATTGAAGTAGTTGTAGTTGGGAGCTTTAACTTGTTTGACTACTCCGTGTGGTAAGCTTCACAGTCTAGTGAATTAAATCCCTTGATGATTGGTTGAATGGTTGATTGATTATTCAAATGACCCTCTCAAGGAGGGAAGTAGAGTGACATAAGATAATCAGCCAATGTAATTTCGTACAACAAGTCGAGAGATGGAGGGGAAAGCGAAGGATAAAATAAGTTGAAGCTTCACTCTAACCTTGGGAAGTTTTGGCGCAAGAAATTGGTTGAGGATTAATTTTCATTGGTTTGTATAATTGGAATTTGATTGGTCAAACTAATAAATAAGGTTGTTCGGGTGACCTCACTAAAAAGTTTTCTGGGTAAAATGGAATTGCAGGGTTTGTATCGGTAATCGGATGGAGGTTATCATTTCTTGGCATCATTGGAATGTTCAATCGGACCTGAATGAGTCAAATGAAGTTTATATAAAAAAAACATGTGAAAGATATATTCTTCTATTCCTAAAATCTTCATAATTTCCAGATTAAGTCTTTCTTTCTTTCATAATCTCAATATGGCAAATCATCCGCCATTCACAGTAACCGTAGGAGTTTTAGCTCTCCAAGGTGCTTTCAATGAACATATTCAACTCCTCCGTGCAGCCCGTCAAATTCTCGCCACCAAAACCAAAACCACACATGATCTCGATGTAAAATACAACTTCATAGAAGTAAGAAATGAAATCGAGCTTAATTCATGTGATGCACTTATTATACCTGGTGGAGAAAGTACCGCCATTTCACTTGTTGCTCAAAGATCAGGTCTTCTTGAACCTTTGAGAGATTTCGTTAAGTGAGTCATCCACATGATTTTTTATCCTCTTCCCCTCTTCCCCTCTTCCCAATAGAGCATTTGTCTTTCACCTACTTGTTTAAAATCTTATCCTAACAATACATCCAGACTTCATCGCTATCCTACTTGGGGAACTTGTGCTGGTCTAATCCTTCTCTCTGAATCCGCCAACCGTACCAAAGCAGGAGGCCAAGAATTAATCGGAGGTCTCGATGTTCGAGTCAACCGTAATCACTTTGGTCGACAAGTAGAATCTTTCTCGGCTGATTTAGATCTACCATTTCTTTCCTCTGTCACCCTAAGCCCTTCTTCCCCTTCATCAGAAAAGGAACCCAAGGAGAAAACCGCCCCTTTCCAAGCAATATTCATCCGAGCCCCGGTCGTGGAAAAACTCCTCCCCCACCTCCCCGGACCTCAAATCTCTGAATCTAAACTGGAATCCACAGTCATCGCACCCTCTCGACCTATCGACAAAAACAACATCCCCAATCCCGACTCTATCCTCTCTGCACCAGTAGAAATCCTCGCTACCCTCCCCGGCCGCACTGCATCAATCCCCGACCCTCAAATCCAAGAAAAGCTTAACAGTGAAGCCGGTGATATAGTAGCTGTCCGTCAAGCAAATGTATTTGGAACTTCTTTTCATCCAGAGTTAACGGGCGATGCGAGGATTCATGCGTGGTGGTTAGAGCAAGTCATTGAGGATGTGGTTAAGAGACGAGAGTTAAAATCATCATCATGATTGCCATTTAAGGGAAATGGCATTGTAATATATTAAAAAGATAATCCTACTCGATAGAAATAGATTCAAAATTTATATGTTCATACATTATTGGGGACAAGCCCCCAAACCCCCATAGCTCGCTACGCTCGAAACGTTGAAGATTGGATAGACATACATTTTCAATCCAATTAGTCCGCCTCTACGGCAGTGGCCCCCGGGGGCCAGTGGAGCGTCATTTAATTCATCATGACATCGAAAATCATCGAAATGTTAAAGTGTGACATACAAACAACATTCAATCTGCTCAAACCCTTACCCTTCCAAATCAGCTCCTCACCCCAAACACAAACACCCAGAGCCTAACACCACCACACCCCCAACAACAAACAACAAGAATCTCAGCCTCTAAGAACAAACCCACAAATAACACATTATACATCATGCACCATCTCTCATTATAATTATACCCATAACCATAACCATTCTCCCCGGAAAATAGCACAGAAATCCAGAATCAAATTTCAAAAACATAGCTTGCTTCGTTCGTTCATCCTAGATTACAGCACCGTTATTCATCATATACATACATATATACATATACTTGAAAAACAAATTTGGTAAGCAATTCATAATAGAAATACGAGAGTAGTGTAGATGGAAATGGGTTGTGCGCAGGTTGGTTGTGGTCAGATATTTAGCATGGATGCGAGGAAATGAGTATGAAGAAGACGAAAATGAAGAATAACTACTCTGTAGAAATTAAAGAGCTAAATTTGAGGGTTGGGAAGAAAGACCTGATACCTATCGTTTCACCACCTCTGCCCAGATCAAAAAATTTTCAGATATGAAATCGGGAGAAATAAAAAAGAAATCCAATAATCCAATCTCCAACTATATATCCAAATCCAAACCCCTCCATTCCAACTCCTTAACATCACTCATCGACCTCGAAATCAACCCCTCCCACCCATCTCTCCTAACCCATCCTCTCCACTCATCCAATCGTCTCCAATGAGGAAAATCCCCATTACTCATCGGCCAAGCCCATATTCCCAGAACAAACATCTCAAACAACTTCGCATCCGATATCCCACCCTCATGAGACGGAATAGACTCCCAATCGCGATTGTAGATTTGTTGATCAGTAGTACTTACCAATAATTGAAATCTCTCTAGCTTCAACAAGTCTCGTAGCTTAAACAGAATGCTTTTGAAAGATATACAACCTTTAGGCCTATTGCGAGGAATAAGGAAAAAGTTGTGTCCTAGGGATAAGGATTTCAGTGTATCTTTGTGATGGGATATGAATGAATAAAAAGACGCATCGAAACTTTTTATCTTTGAAAGACGCAGGTTTCCGAGATGTGGAAATGTGTTTGTGTAAAATGTATCTTGATTTATCAGTTCCGTTGTATCATTTGGAAATCGAAACGAATTATTCCAACTGATATCTAAAGAGCGGAGAAATTGCATGGATCCTATGAATGTACTCATAGATTTAGTAAGCTGAGTCGTATGGTCGTGAGTTGTGTTATTGCTTAGAGGATTAATACCAATGCGGAGATTCTGAATTTTTGATGTAAAGATTTGCAAATCATGGAGGAAATTAGTATGGATCCCGAAAGAAGACTCAGGTATATTCTCATCACCATGCAAAACTTGATTAACGAAAAGATCGACCGGAAAAGAATCTAATACTAATTGTTGAAGAGGTTGTTGAATTTGTCGTGCTGCAAGTAAAATGCTAAGATGGCGAATACTAGATCGTGTAGGAAATGTAGTATCGTAAGAGTCGTAAAGTGCGTCTGGTTCGAAATTCCATCTTCTTATCAGCCGCTTCCATGCTAAAGAAAAATTGATTTCGGATTTCGAGAATGGACATTCGGTTGCAGTGGCTGTAATGAATTTGACGGCGGGAAGTCGTGAAAGAGAATGAGATAGCATGACGGGATCACAATGCTTCATTCTATTCTGAACAATTTGTTCAAATAAAGTATTCACTCTCTCCTCATTCTTGAACATGCTCTCGATCTTGGTATACTTGTTCACATTCTGAACTTCATGATCGAATTCTAGCATATCTAAATCTCCAACATATATCTTAACGTGTTTGATAACTTTCGCTAACCATGGTAAACCGGCAATGCATCGTAATCGAGTCATGTCATCAAGATGTGGTCGAATAGAAAACACGCCTTGCTCGACATAATTTCCAGTACAAACATTGAAAAGACCAGTGACAGATACGCCGCCCCACGCTCTTGATGTAAGACGGAGGTTGATGACATCTTTTGCGGCAAGGAAACCAATAACTCGGGCTTTCAGTTCAATGGGTAGTTCGGAGAAAGCGTTCAAGGCCTTCGAATTCAGCATGTTAATAGATGAATCTATTAGCGCCGTCATTATTGATAACCTTGATGATCGATAAGAAGGGAGTTATTGGCAAGAGAAGCTTAGTAGCTATTGTGTGATGCGATTCAATGCATATATCTCCGCATTATATGGGTTGTTGGTATTATTATAATAGATTTTGTCTAGATACATGCCAACAAAGTAACCAACACTGTGGCCAGAATTACCGATGAGGTCGAGATACTGTGACAATAGACACCCAGACAGGCACCATAAGCGCTCGCTAGTGCGCTCTTGGGAAATGAATAGACCTCGATCTAGAACTTTTTAAGAATTCCTATCATTATTAACTTCACACCACGAGCCTTAAGTGACTTCTGAGCCGGGAACTTGGAATTCATGCCTATGGTGGACTATACTCGACTTATTCTATGCCCCACGGAGAGCCATCGTTTGCTGCATGCACTACTTGGCATGAAGGTCGAAGATCCGGCTAGACCAACTCTGCAATGACCATTGAATGACCCATACGTCTGAAACAATGCGCTCGCTTGAGCCGTGAAAGAACAATCGATTTAGTAGTCGTGGTCCATTCTAATGGCCGAGTAACTTATTGCTAGAATGGGCCTTAGAGATCGATGCCATCCTGAGTACGGAGTACGGATCCGGAATCACCAGCCCGCCGACAACACTTCGTGGGCGGATCTTTTCTGAAAGAAAAATGTAAAAACGCCAAAATAATTGGGTTTAGATACTTGATATATCATTTGATTATTGTTACAACGCATTTCAAAACATAGCGAGCAGTCACTGGAGCTGATCGTGGGACCCAGGAGAGTTCTGAGTGATCCTACATATCTGGAAGCAGAGCGGGAGAGATAGGATGAAGTAAGGAAGATAAGAATAGTTTTATACCAGTTAAAGAAAAAGAAGAAGTGAAGAGAATCTGCAGGGCTGAATACTTCAATCCTGCTTTGTCTGTGATATCTCCCTTCAAAACTCACTTCCACCGACCAGAATTTACTTACATATAATCAAGCTAGCAAATGCTCTAGTACAAACACTCACACATTTTGGCAATGTGATAGAATGAATTTATCACTCTATCACCAATATCTGTCCCCGTCTGCTCACATGCAGGGGCCCAGAGATCTTCATACACAGAGCACGTCTTCTGATGAACAGGCAGTAACATATTTGAGGAGCGCCATATTGGATTGAATCTGCACCTTCTGTTTCAATATTGAATTGTTATTCCAATATTAAAGAGTTCCATGAGATGTCCCGGCCTGAGTGCTATGAAGGCCACATGTGCTCGAAAAATTATGATCCATAGCAATTCTTCTTGCAAGTCCGAAACTACCAAGGAAACAAGACGTTATATGCGAGGAGATCCTTTAGAAACGGCGATTCTCATCTGGATTATGAACATTGGCCTCTCTTCTGAGCCATGAACGCTTTTTCTAAGTCAATGCCTTCCTAGTAATCGTCAGTTTCCATTGTGAGCGAGAACATTAGTACCATCATCATTCATCGTTTTTAGAATTTAGACCCAATATCTGGAGGATGAGCACATTTCGAGATGTCTTCATATACTATCTGCGACGTACCTCGCGTCTGATTTCTCTTCTCCACTGGCTGATGTGTGATTTACCCCATCTAGCTACAGGTCCGGAAATCAATCCCGGTGAGCTTGCGAAGCCGGATCACAACATAGCTCAGCGCGTAAAACTTTGAGAGAGAAAAAAATTAAATGTCGAAAGCTTTACCATGCAACTCGCGATACATGCTTTATGATTGGGTGCATATGAGAAATTCAGAGATGATTTTAGCAGATTAATACATACCTACCTACATGTAAGGTAATGAATTGGTTTGCGGTCGCGCTCGCAACTAAAATGAGTAAAAATCACGGATTTACGCGTTCGCGAGCTTTTGACCCCTCCTTTGTTTCTTGTCTACACAAAAAGAATGCGCTTCTATATTTGTCTCATAACTTCTTCGTGATATTTACTATTGAATTCTTATCGAGAATTCTTTAGTCACCCTAGCCCATATTCTTTTCACTCTTATTATTAAAACAAAGCTGTTGTAGTGCTTTTACTCCCTCGTTTGCGGTTCATCTTCTTTCAATACTTGCACTGCAGCGTTCAATCCTCGACAAATTTCAAGTAGCACGCGCACTTAAGAAAAGATATCTAGAGATTTATGTAAGTAAGGGTAGGATTTCTGGTTTAACTCCAGGTAACTCTTCGAGCAAGGGATGACTTCTAACTGTTTATCTTTAGTACAGTTTCGCACTCACATACCCATCTCAGCTAAATAAACCAAAAGTCAAGACCCTCGTTGCAATTTCTCAATCGCAAATAAAACTGCATAAACAAAAGCAAAATGCGCTCATCATCCCGCGGTCCCGAGACCCCAACTCCTGCCTCCAGGGAGAGCAAACCTGAGCCGGGCACTGGCAATGACATTGGCGCCAATAGCGATAAGCCTAAGACAATCCCCATCAAAGTCGTCGATCAGCAGGGCACCGAAATTACCTTCAAGATCAAGCGCAACAAGCCTTTACAAAAGATTATAGATGCCTATTGTAGCCATAAGGAAATCAGGGACCAGAAGATGGTGAGGTTTACTTTTGATGGGGATAGGGTTCAGACAAATGATACAGCGGATAGTTTGGAGATGGATGAGGAAGGCCGTATTGATGTTTTCTTTGAGCAGCAAGGAGGCGGTCTTGATAATTAATAAGAATTAGATGGGACTTGACAGGTAAGTTGGTTCATTGAAGCACAATGCTGGATATAGTGCTTATATTTTATTTGTTATAGGATATACCCAAGACTTGAGGGCTCAGCGGAGTTCGAGACGCAAGGCACACGGCGCCAAAAAAGAAATGGAGTTTGGGACGCTTTAAAAGGACGCTTCAGAAGCATGGTGGTGTAATTATTGGGCTGGGTTCCATTGGTACGTTTCTCATAATGCAACAAAGGCGGAGATAATGGGCCATACTTTCCGCGTAACGGCGTAGACACATCTAAGTGTGTGTTTTCCATAATGCCTAAATGACTCACCTACAAGATTTCTATCAAATATCCAATTCTCTTGCGGAAGAGATTCAATGCGCATTGTAAAGCGCAACGTGGTGGCAAAGTCCTTTCTCATGTTCCAATACATATCACACATCAAAGAGTCCGCCTACGTGACCTCAAATCACTGTCAGAGCACTAACTAGAGGGAATCAACTTAGCGTGCATTTCCGTAGCTGCACTGACATTCTTTTGGCAATTCCAACACATTTCTCACACTTCTTCAATTTTTCCCCTCATATTCTTCATCATAATGAAACCCACACAAAGTATACTGACGACGATTGCGATCACAGGAGACACTGGAACAGCTAAACATCTGAGAATTTGCCTCGTGTTATCACAAATATCTCGATTATAACAGTCGGGATTGGGTTATCTTGAGATTTCAATATGAGTTGCGGGAGTGATATGAGAACTGGTTTAGACTTTGGAGAAAGCGAAGCCGTCACCGTTGTAATCGAGATTATCCAAGATGTTTGCAGAATTTCTGCACAATTGCTGTAGAGTAGAAGCAGATAAGCAAAAGCAAACAGGTCCAAGTCTGTACACGTCCTTACCGCGAAGTCACGTGTAGCGCTTGCCCATTTGGTTTAGCACCTCGGATTATCGTCACATCACGGCATTTGTAACTATTTCTCATCCATATCTTGTTCCATTCTCGTATTGACGTTTAAGCATTTAGGGTTGATTGTCAAGATATCATCAATACCACTTATTCCAAAGAAGCAGACAAATTCCTTTTTCACGTCTAAATTTAGAAATCTTTCTCCAGACACTCAATAATCCTTTCAATATTCCTATGTCTTTAAATTGGCATTCGGATTGATCTGGATAGTAGGCGATGGTGACGAACATTCGTTGATCAAACCTCTACATTATTTCAAGGTAGAGGCACTTTTGAACGGATTCTTATAACGAATTCCCTGCCAACTACTTTACCCAACAACGAAGCTGGAGAGTGTTGCAAGTGTTGGGGGAATGCGAATCACCCCGCCAGTGCCAAAGTCTAAGTCACTTCCCGATTTCCGAAGTATCCACGAACTGTGCAAATGATTGACTCGCATACTTTCAGCTATCAGAAACATTTATATTACGGTCCCGCCTTTGCCAAGCTCGACGTCGATCCAGTCGTAAGATGAATCAGACCGTGTCAAAACATAGCTTTTGCTCCACATGATGTCTAGGATTTTGAAGCTATCGTGAACTGGAGGATTCGCTTCACTCCCAGTGAGCTCCTTAAACAGGGGCATTTGGACCTATTTTGATTTACTGGTGCCTGATCTGAGATCATCAATAATTCGGGTCCCTTGGTCATTTCAAGGCAAATGTTTTACTTACATAGCCCTGACTATATCAGATAATGTTACAGCCAAGTAGTCGGGGTCTTACTCCGTACCTTACTTGATGACTGGCTGGCCGTTGTGGATTCTACATGCTTGCGGGGTTATTAGCAAAGGAAGTCAAGAGAGTGTCGATTTTACAAATTGTTCTCACATGAAAAAGAAGCCTCAAATTTGCTGATAATGTTGGAAATATGCTTCTAGTCGATAGAAAGAAGGGAAATGCGGTGAGTCCAAAAGCTGGGGATGGCTTGGACGGCAAGTGCCTTGCGCCTTATGATGCGAAAACATTAGCGAGAATGGGTGAGAAGCAAAACCTTGAATTTCACTTATTGGTTATATTTCTCATTTTTGTTATTGTGGTATAGGGAAGTATGTCATGGCATATCTTAATTCTGGGTTTTATCCGTTGTTGGGATATGATACATTACCCATTTCCAGCGAAATAATCGGTTTACATGGATGACGATTTACCAAATGATGCATAACAGAATCTTTGGTAAGTCTGAACCAATCGCTACAGCTGAAACATTTGTTCAATGGCTGACTTTCATGCCAAGCATGGGATTATGGAGATAAAAATATCTCTGTGGTGTTTAAGCCAAGATGCTGAAACTTATAATAAACATCAAAAAGGAATTTCAATCTTTTCTATAGGTCTGTTATATCATTTCCAAACGAGAAAGTAAGCCACGTTATGTTCATTGGTTCATCCAACGAAGCTCCAGATCCTTCACCCTATTTCGACGACATCTCACGTGGCTTACCAGCATTGCCAATCTTTCTTACGCCAACACTAACCATTTTCATCACGTCAACCGATGCTGAGCATTTCATGCACTGAATGTACATTCAGCCCTAGTATCCGATTGTACATCCCGTAATACATAAAAAATGTCGAATTCCCACGAGGAAATGAAAATTCAAGCCAAACCATGTAATAAGGAAGCTTAAGCGAAGACATGCAGAAAACGGATGAAGCATTGAGAAAAACCGCGAGGTCGAGGACGCCGACGGCATGTTTGCAGTGCCAGAAAAGAAAGCAAAAATGTAGTAGAGAGCAACCGTGTAGGCATTGTTCGAGGAGATATCCGCCAGTGGATTGCATCTATACTTTTGAAGGGTAAGGGTTTTATCAGTTTCTTTGTGAAAATATACTAATATGACACTGCTTGAAGGAGGCACAAAATGGTACCACCTGTTTTCCCGAACAGATTATCTGTACCCGACGAGACTCCGGAATATTTCTACACAGAAGTAAAACCCTCGGTCAATCAACTTCCTTATGCGCCTCCTCGTCAAGGGTTTTTGGGCACGGCGCAGAGTTATGCATATCATCAAAAACCGGAACGGAATTTAGGGCGGGAGAATATGAGCTGTGTGGAAAGTTTCGCCTCTACAAGCTCGGAATTTTCCACATCAAAACATCCATACCACCTAAGCTCTGTAACATCTTCTAGTACCACATCATACACCGGACTTGAACTGGATACAAATGAATCGGATTCTCAGCAAGCACCGCAAGTCCCGATGAATGCGCCGAACGAAGTGCCAGATTACAATTGTATGGATGGACTCCATATAGAAGGAGAAAGCTGGAATCAGGCTTCCAATCTAGATTCAAACACAGGAATGAACAACTTCCAGGATTTCAATCAATCATATTTTGTCCCCATTTCGACCCAAACTGAAAATTACCAATCACTTGATATCCAAGGATCTCCGACATTTCATCTGGCTACTGAAAATAATGGGTTGTCGAGTTTTGAGGTCCCAGATCTTTCGTTTTCGCCCGAAACGCCTAACGATCAGAATCGAGGTTATGAAGCAACGGATGATTATTTCTTCTACTAGCCGCAGAGAAGAAGGGAATCAGGAGCTTTGGTACTTGCTCCAGAGTTTGGACTCTTCATGACTGTGCTGGCAGTGAGTGACATGGCAACTTAACTTCGATTGGGTTAATTGAAAGGGAATGATGTATTGAGATAATATCGACGGTGGATACGAAACGCTAATTTCCACTCGGTTTTCCCCTTTCATCCAAACTCCTCAATACCAATATCTTGGGCCGAGATTTGGCCCGGAGCTTGTCGGCATAAAGGCTTGGAGTATGTCCGTGATTGGCATTCTTGACATCCTCAATGGTAGGGGAACTCAATGTTTGCATCTGGTGTCATTCGGATGCTTGATTAAGTATGTAGGTTATCCTCAGGGCAGGCTTCAAAGGCAAACCTTTTTAGCAAACTGCTTGCAGCGACTTCGACACGCTGGATGCCACATATTCGATTTTCGCTATCCCCAAACTCACTTGCTTGTCGATTTCTATGCTTACTGCCGGCATCACAGTTCAATCCTCCGCATCTCCATCCTCCAGTTGCATTATGCCTTTAGCGCGAACCTGAGACGAGTGATAAAGATATCTACACCATTCGGCCGCCAATGAGTTTTTGCAATTATTTCGATCGATTCATTTTTGCGTTAGCGATTATTAGATTATTGTTAGCATTTTTCTAAAGAGCGGCCAAATAAAAAAGAGTTCGGGGCAGGGACCCAAGACGGAAACTTGGACTAGGAAGGGATATTTGTTCAAGAATATCCTTTCTTTTCAGTGTACACTTAGTTTGATAGACTGGAATATTGGGTCTTCAATTCTTAAATATGATAGAGCCGTTCGTGGGATTTATATCTATGTGAGAAGTACATGTTATGGTATCTATTCTAACCGTTAATAGATCTCCTTTCTCGTAATCTTATATCTAATCTTTCATTATTAGAAACTTCTTCCTTATCCGTCCATACCTTTCTCTCCCTCTCCCCCTCCCTCTCCCAATCCGCCCCTAAACGAAATGAGAATCAGGATATAATCTCCATATAAACCTCCGCACCACCCACTTATCGATTTTTTTCGTCCTCCTTTATAGTTTACACGAGATTTTGATTGATATTGGTATTGGTGTTTGGTATATATGCTATTGCGGATTAATGGGATATTGCTGTTTGGAATTAAGTTGGTTTGGAATTGGATTTAGACCGTGGGGTGGGGAGACTGGGGATACATAGGCGGAGTTTGCGAATTCGGGGGAAAGCGTGTTTTCAGCGAGTGAGGGGGTGGAGGGAGGGTGGAGGGACGGTGATCTGTATGTTAGAATTAGGCGATGAATAGGATGGAAGAGAGATGGTGGCGTGGAGAGGGTATAGCGTTGTAGTTCTGGTATTACAGTACTTGAGATATATAATTTGGGGCAGAATTAAAGGATCATTATAGGAATAGAACTTTTCAAGGAGGTTTTATATATATTACAAATTTTATTGTTGAGAATTGGTGCTCTTGTGAGGAAATATGGGATTTAATGGATGGACAGATGGATGAATAGATGTTGGGTTTCTTGAGACTAGAAAGAGCATCAGATTGAATTGATTGATTCTCTAGCTAAGCAGTTAAGCTGCGAGCATATATTCAAAAAATGAAGGAATAGGTTGGGTATCCGGCCTTCGGAATTAAAGTGCTTTGAAATCAAAATATTGAAAGCAAACAAACAGTATACCAAAAAGGAAAGAATGAATTAAAAGTTGAGTTTTGTTTGCTCCTTATATGCATATGCACTATATATGCATATGCTGCCAAGATCCCAGGAGGTCAACAATAGACTTCCATTTGCAGCTTGTATTCTAGAATGACATGATCAAAAGATTCTTTTATTCTATTTATCTTAGTTGTTAATGTCTGTTAATGAGTCCTATCTAAATTTCTACCTAGAGAGTAATAAATATAAATTAGCTATTGTATATATTGTTCTTCTACTTCCTTCGATTCATTTTCCCCCGAAAGTGTGTTTTCGCTAGAGGTTGTCTTATTATACTGTATAATCGTTTATATATCACACATCACACCCTCTGCTAGAAAAATGCAAGTACACAAGCATGTCAGCATTCACATCTCATATTTTGAAACGGACAAAATTCGTCCGAGGATATCACTCCCTCCCCCCCCCCTCTCTCTCTCGGAGATGAGATAAGATGATATCACCATCTCGACCCACCACCCCCTAGAATATTAGACAAGAACATAACTCCTGCTGCAAATTCCGAAGGTCGATAAGAGTGAAGTCTTCTTCATCTTCTCACCTCATACAAATGAAAGCGATGATAATAAATTTCAGCCCAAATCTCATCTTTTCATCTACCCGAATATCCTCCTCATCATGAGTTTTAAAGATGAAACTTTCACCCTGCAGGATTTTTTGACTGTGAATGATGAGACTTTTAGGAAGGGTTTCCGGATTAGAAATTAGTAGATATAATCTTACAACAAAAGTTACTAAACTTGAGGGAGTTGGAAGTTTTTGCTAGGTTGCGGGCAGAAGTAAAGTTTGTTGGAGTGACGGTGTTATTCTTCTGTGTTCGCTAGTATGGAAGAAGGATAATGGTGGTGGGGAGGATGGGTGAGAAGTTGAAGTGAAGTTTGACATTGGGAGCAGATCATGAAGTCAAAATTCATCACAACCTTCTGATGTCTTCTATGAACCTGAAGTTGCTGTTTCCATCAATAGAGATATACAGCGATGAGGGAGTAGAAAGGAAGCTTTGAGTTTAGGAGGAAAGTTGGATTTGGGGAGTATCCCAAGATCTATATTTTGTGAATGTAAGATTACAGCAACACTTCTCAAGAATAGATAATTAGTGAAGAAGTGTACTGGCTGAAGGTGTAGTGAAGCTTCGTGGAGTGAAGTGTATATTTAGAATTGTCGATGAGTGGAAGCAATCGAATCAATCTTGATGATGTTAATCAACTTCAAAATTGTTCTTTTCATGAAAGCAAATTCAGAAGATTCAAAAGATCAAAATGGAGCCTCTCCTTTTTCTATAGATCGTGCCTCAAAATCTCAGGTATCTTGAGATCTAAAAATCATAGACATGCAGCAAAACTTTCTGATACAGGAACATAGATAGGAGATAGTAGATAACGATAGCAAGCAATTTATGAACTATGTGAGATCAGACGACAGGAGCAGCAATAAAATCAAACTCCATTTCGATGCTCTTGAAGAATTTCAAAGTTGGTTTCCTCATCAATAACAATTTAGGAGGCAAGAACGGAATTTTCATTCTGAATGTAGGAGCTGAGTTTGAGGGTATTTTGAGATATATATTTCTCAGATATGCAACAAAACTTTTTGTGTGGTATCCATTGTCTATGAGTGGAGGGAGATAAGGTCGATGGAAGATAAAGATGTGGTAAGATTGTGAGGCATGTTTGTAGTGAAGTTTTGACTGAAAGATAAGAAAGGGGCATGGAGCTGAGAGGAAAGATGAGTGAAAGAAGTTGCTGGTGCCTCAAGAATCCTCGGTGTGAGCAATAAATATGTGCTTGTTGTTTGTGGGATTTAAAACCCACTGATAAATCTTGAACCTCAAGTTGAAGGATGGAATAGCATTCTGAAGCTGTAAGCAGTTTAGTTTGATCCCATGGCTTGACGGTCCTATGGCTTCGTGAAGTTGGTGTAATGCTATTAGAATATGACCATAGTTCCAAGGCTCGAGGTTTATTCACCCAACGATCGACTCAATTTTCATATGAAGAATTCCCTCCATCAACCACGGGCGATTGTCCAAGACAAATCATTTCGATAGGGCTGTGGCATTATTGGGAGGATAATCAAATTCCGTAACGTGTACTCTTTTCCAATGATCCTCACAAATACGAGGCATTTCCCGATGCCTATAATCCCCAAACAATGACTCAAATTTTTGAAGCTTTCAAGTTGCCTTGAATCATGTCGACGAAACTTCGATACTCACGTCCGGAATCATAAGTAGCATTTAAATGAAACCTTCCAATATCGCGTACATGAAAGTGTAGCAGAGAAAGAGTGGGGGTCCTTGTATTTGCCTAAGGATCGTGAATGCGCATGCTAGGTAAGTGAGCAATAGTTCTCAGCTTGTGGGTTCGAAGAGAACGACACATATAACTTCCTAGTTGCTAAGTTAAATCAAACTCCGAAGTCGTGCTGTACTAGCTAGAAAGCCTGAAAGCATTTGCCCAAGGTAAGGATCCTCGTAGATTTCATATCGTCATGGATAGGCCCATAAGTCCAACCTTGAAGTGAATGATCCGGCAAAGCGATATATGCGCTTTGGTGTCGATACTTCCAGGCTGAAGAAACACTTCAAGTGGATTTCATCCAGTATGTTTCTCGAATTGAGAAAGAAGTAGAGCCTGACGCATATAGCACTCTAGTATAAAGGTGTGCAGCGATCCCGAAGTAGACGCCTTGTTAGGTGTCTGTCTTCTGTCCTTTTGCAGTTCAACAGTCTACAAGATATGCTAAATCCTTTCCGAATGGAATGTGGCGGGAAGTGACGGTTCTTGTCAACAAATAATGTAGTTGAGGAGTAGAATAAATTTTTTCCAATGCTTGTAGATTATTGGAGCTGTTTCGCCAGGAAATTCACCGCCGGACAATCCTTACCAGCAGATTCACGGACTCGATTCGTAGCTTGAAATGCGCCATGGAGATTACCATTATTTAAACATTGCTTTTGATATTGACGTCATCACCCACGGATCGAGTTTAAAAATTCCACTTCTCCATATGTCCATCTCATGCACATGGATTTGACATGTAGGTGCGGGAAGTTAATCATGTATGTGTGCTTCGCAAAGTCCGCAGAAAATCGGTGTGTAAAGGGGCTTTATAACTCTATTCTCAAACGGTTCCGAGATGCCAGCTACAGCCCAAGCTTGGCATGTGAGGGGAAGCTCCCAACACAAGAGCACGGAAGCAACAGAATGATTTTAATTGATAATTCAACCGGTAGAAGAGGGGTAAGTCCGTGAGTCTAGGGATGAAGACTCTGACCTTGCAATGCGTTCCGATATGACGGATCAAGAAGGATCGTTGGTTGGGGAGATGTGGAGCTCCATAAGCCAACAAATGGCCATGGAGATGTTTGTTCATGATGAATGTTGGAACTTTCGTTGGTGAATCCCTTACTTGTGTTCTTGTGCTGTATTACATAATCATGATACATTATGCGAACTTTTCTTCTCCAACAGCTTGCTCTTACACACGATCACCAACTTCGACAACGTCTATTCTGCAGCTTAACTTGGGCTTCAAATAATTCGGAACTATGATGCATTGCACAATGCGATGTTCAATTTTTGTTTTCTCATCAGTCATTGTTTTACGTGTCATCCTGATCGCGTTTTCTCAATCACCCAACAGACTTAGTTTCGCAAACACAGTCTTTGCCAGCAGTACCTGCGCAGCACGCGCAGACACACTCACAACATTCACTTCAGGCTGAATATTAGATTTCGTACCTGGTGTAGTGTGCGAGTGACCACTACACTGGGCTTTACATTCACCAGTGGTTGGCTGCGCGGAAATGACTTGATCTCCCGTTCATCTCTTCGTCCCTCTCTTGCGGGGCCGATCTGCTTTAACTTCGGAATACGCAAATTACTAAGAATTTGTACTTCCAATTGAAAGCAGTAAGAAGTACTGTCAAATCTTCAACTCTACAATTCTCCTCCGTCGAGCTGTTGTTGGATGAAGTTAACGATGTTTAATTACACATCATGTACGACAATCAATCATCTTGATCAATTAATTTACGCATGCTTCGGTCAAGCGACCACATTGTAGTTTATCTCCGAGTACATGAATACACAAGTAACCTCACGCGGAGATTGTCATTTTTTCAACAATTCTCAACCCCAGCTATTGCCCCATACCCCACAAGTAGCGGGTAGTGAATTTAAGGCTCGGCAGATGTCCCGAATCCCGAGTTTCAGCTTTATTGTTCAATTATTTTCGCCATATTTGTGCTAACCACTAAGAAGCCTCGGTAAGCAAAGGCAGTTGATATAGATCCTAGCAACATTGCGGATCATTTCCTTTATAAATGATAGACTTCCTGAATCATGAACTTGCTTGCTCCACATCAGTTGGCGCACATTTTAGCCTCCCAAGCAAACTTGTGCAGCTCATGAAAGCCACGTTCTAATGATCCCGCGATCTTGTTAGATAGACGGTGACTGCATTACAACGTATGTTAGTGGTATGCAAAGCCCTATATCTGTTTAACTTCACGTAATTGTGTTCATTATTGATCTAGGTTGTTTATTATTTGGTATTGATTAATAATATACATGCATCCTTATAAATCTTTTTGACGTTGTTCTGGCTCATCATCTTGCGTGATTCGCGAATCAACCCTTGCCACAGGCCTTCGCTAGTTAAGATTTAGCGCAATACTAGGGTCAAGGAATATGTTTTGCATCCCGCATACGCGCTGGGATGCGATCAGGATCTCACCAAGGGCTTGGTCGCAATATGATCACGGATAATACAATATTTTGCACCAATATGAATTTGGGTTCAATCTCTTTCGCCTTGTGATGAGAAGCCAAGGGAGATGTTTCCACATAGTGCTTCTTTCATAAGTTCGGGCCTTTTTGACAATGCTCAACGACACCCATGTTATAACGTGAGCTAGACCCCCAAGTGAATCTACTTAAATTACATATGGCACGCATGTCCCTTCTTAGCGTTGTGAATATACATTCATCTCATGTTGTCGTCTATTTCAGTTTGACACCGCTCCTTTGATCTATCGTCCGCACAACCTTCAACCCCTCATCGGGGCATATCATTCACATGTTCTTGGAACCCCCCCCCTTTAAAAGCATCATTCACATATTCTTGCAACCCTCATGTAAAATTATCATTCATTTCCTTGTTAATACCCCTTCTTTGAGACCCTACTAGCCTCCTGCTTGCTTCTACAAAGAGCCCTTTCTTCCCCCTCACCATCTCCTTTACAATCACATACTCCATAGTTTTTTCAATCTTCCTTCATCCATACAACTAGTTTTTCTCCTAAGCCTCCCTCTGCATTGAAATACTTTCAAGTAATAATTATTCTCTGAGGAGCACCATCATGAAGACTTCTCTTTTTGCAGCAGTGTTAGGCACTGCTGTTAATTTTGTCTCTGGATCTACCTTTAGTCCAGTTAGACCTCCGGCAATACCTCTAGCTGGTATGTATTACAGTCTTTTTATCCTGGTAATGTTCTAACTTCAAGCAGTCAAATCACCATACATGAATACATGGTTGGAGTCCGGAAGTGTTGGTGCCAGTGGAGGTATTCTACCAGGTTATTGGCCGTAAGTTCTCTTTCGGTTGGTATAAAAACCCGAACTAACATCTGTGCAGTCGTTTCTGGGCGTAAGTTAAAATTCTTGGAAAACCCAAAGGAGTTTGTTTTTTAATGAAGTGAATAGCGGACCTCAACCTGATGGCTCGGTTGCTGGAAGTGCTGGCTCCGTAACAGCTTGGGCTGGCCTCATCAAAGTGTAAGTGCTTCCAGACTTTTTGTGATCCATTCATGGTAGAATTTTGTCCTGTTGTTGAACAAAAAGGATCTTATTAAAACTTCTGTAGGGACGGCACAACTTACACTTGGATGGGGGCTGCGGGGGTCAATGGAGTTGTACCACCAAGTGTTACTCAAGACCATATGGAGTATACTTCATCCAGGTCCACATTTTTAATGACTGTGGCCGGAAAAGTTTCAATGAATGTGACTTTTCTATCCCCACTCACACCAGATGATATTCGACGACAATCAGTTATTGGTACATATCTTTATGTTTCCGTAAAATCATTGGATGGTGCTTCTCATGCTGTTGAGTTGTATTGTGATACATCTGCTGGTAAGTTTATTCTCAGCTGGGATAAAGAAAATTGCTCATAGTAAGACAGAATGGACATCTATCCACAATACTGATGCCGTTCAATGGAAGTGAGTTTTTTACATCTCGGCTTCATTTTCGGAGTTCTTCATACTAACTCCTATACAGTTACACCGTCAACAATGGCATTGGTACCCACAGAAGTTGGAGACAAAATCAGAGTGAATTCAACGCAGATTATGCAGATGATCAAGCTCATTGGGGATACTGGCTTTGGTCCACCAAAGCTGTCAATGGAATGTCATTCCAATCAGGACAGGATGTTGTCGTTCGTGGAAATTTCCTTAATAATGGTTCTCTTCCGAACACCCAAGATACAGCCTACAGGACTATTCAGGATGCCTGGCCAGTATTCGCATTTGCCAATAATCTTGGAAACGTTGGAAGTACTCCAGTTGAAACCCTTTACACAATTGTTCATGCTCAGAAAAATGCGATCCTCTTCCTTGGAGATGGTGGATTGAGACCTGTTCCATCTTTATGGACGAGCTATTGGAACTCGGATCTATCTTTGGTATTTAAATAATCCATTTCCTCCTTAACCATGCTAATTCTTTTAGGTATCCGATTTCTATAATGACTGGGTCAACAAATGGGGTGTCTGGGATCATAAATTTGCCGTTGATTCTCTTGCGGCCGGTGGTCAAGACTACTTAACCATTACATCCCTTTCGGCTCGTCAAGCTTTCGGAGCTGTTCAACTTTGCGGGACTCCAGATAAACCATACTACTTTCTTAAAGAAATCAGCTCCGATGGTAATACTCAAACCGTTGATGTCATCTTCCCCGCCATGCCTATCTTTTTATACTCAAACCCTGTTCTTCTGAAGTATATGCTTGATCCTCTGTTTGAGAACCAAGAAGCCGGTCACTTCCCTCAACAATATTCCATTCATGACTTAGGTGCTAATTATCCCCGTGCCGTTGGACACCCAACTGGAGATGGAGGTATTTTTCTTCTAGGATGTTAATATATACACGCTAACCATAGCTAGAACCAATGCCTCTTGAAGAATGTGGAAATATGATTATCATGACTCTCGCCTACTCTCAACATACTTCCGACACAGCATACCTGACTCAACATTACCCATTGCTCAAGCAATGGACTAGTTTCCTCGTCGCGGAAGCTCTTATTCCAGCAAATCAACTCTCCACCGATGATTTCCAAGGTACACTCGCAAATCAAACTAATCTTGCTCTTAAGGGCATCATTGCTATTGAAGCCATGTCGCGGATTGCAAATCTCACTGGAAACTCCGCTGATGCATTAAACTATACAAATATTGCACACGATTACCTCACGAAGTGGGAAACACTTGCCATTGTCCCAGCAACTGCATCCGTTCCAGCACATACCAAACTAGCGTATCAAGATTCAACTGGACATGGTCTTCTGTACAACCTTTACGCAGATACGCTTTTGAAACTCGACTTTGTCCCAAAACGCATCTATGACATGCAGAGCGAATATTATCCAACCATTGCCAATGCTTATGGTGTTCAACTTGACTCCAGAAATGTTTGCACGAAATGTAAGTCTCCATTTAAATATCTTCCCATTGAACACTGCAGCTAATAACGATATTTCCTTACAGCCGACTGGGAAATGTGGGCAGCAGCTATCGCGTCTCCCTCTACAAAATCCATGTTCATCTCCAAGCTCGCAACATGGATTGGCGTAACCCCAACTGACCGCGCCTTCACCGATCTTTACAATACTCAAACTGCAGAGTAAGTTCTCACCAATATTCACTACTCCTCTCAAGCACAACATATTGACACAATCACAGTTGGTGGTCTGGCCCCTTCATCGCTCGTCCAGTCGTTGGTGGCCATTTCGCTCTTCTAGCTATTGATGGTTCGCCATCTACTCTCCCCAAGAGAGAAATTGATTGCGAAGCCAGATGTAGTCTTACCTGTGACGCAAAATGTAACACAGAAGATGGAAGCGTGGCAGTCAAATTCAAGGCATAGATGACAGGAAAACCCACTATGATGCAGATGCATGGGGTGACGGCGGTATAGTGCTTAATTATGGGGTTTTGGTGATACTTTTATTTGCGTTTGGTGTTTCGCGGGATTTTTTTGATACCTACCTCTTTACCTTACCGTACGTATCTCTTTGTGAAAGATTTTAAACTCCACTCATCTTTGATTCTATTTATTTCTGTCTTCTCATCGAGCTCGAGGCGAAATCAATTGAATGGAATATAGAGAGAGGTATTGGGTTACTGGCTTCAGATGTACATAATTTTTAAGTAATTAATGGCATACATTTTTCAATCACGACATTACATTATATTGCATTGCATTGCATTGCAGTGCGTTGCAAACTTTTCCTTTATAGGTTACATTTCAATGAATGTTGCGTCTACATGGTCACACTAACTCAACCGTTTTTTATTTTCTCCTTCGTGTAAGGTTATCTATCGTGAGGGGTACTATGAAATAGTATAAGAAAAAAAAAAAAAAAAGAAATAAAATTAATATAATGATTTAGTATCAAATGAATGAATCAATGAATCATTTGATATCACAACTGAGTCAAACATAAACATAAACAGAACTCATGATATGATATGGTTAACGAGTAAGGTTATGTCACATGTCATGTGTCATATGACCAATGACGTTAGAGTTTGTCGGTACACTGAATTTGAAATGGTACTATTAGTTGGGTATTCTAACTTGATTTGATTGGACTTGAGTCGGTGTTAATCTCAGAATGAGAAATGTGAGTTATTATAAGATTACATTTGGCCTTGTGGATTATTACTGCTATTTTAGTAAGATTACTTGATTGCAATGACGTTATGATGGGATAGATATATAAAATCGTCCAGATAAGATTAATGATATCGAAAGAAGTTGCAATTATTAAGATGAAGAAAACTAGTTGTGGTATTTAATATTCTATTCTATAAATTTCTGTAGGTTTTATATGCAAATTTTGAAATAATACTCTACTTGTAAATTCTCAAAATCATACTCTAATTTACTCTTGATCATCGAAACTCTCTCGCTCACACTCAAGGCTCACCCTACCTACCAATCCTTGCCACACAATTACACTTCCTCATCAAAATCCTTCCTCAACAACAAGTCCCCATTCAAAATCCTACCCATATGCGTATCATTGAAACTCTGCCCCTTCCGTCTCAACGCAAAAACCTTTCGTAAAAACCCCACCGGACTTTCCACAAACGGACATACCTCCTCCATTATGGGATCAAAAGCCGCACGACTAGAAACCGGAACAAAATTATCACATGCAATCTCGATATCACCTTCAGGTGAATAATGACAAAGTCCAAGAAATTGACAGAGACAAATATATTCATCGAAGCTGCGAAGATATAGTTGTCCTGCGAAAAGATTGAGCTGCGTGATTGATGATGGGATGGTCCATGATGATGATATTGGCGGAATGGTGTGGATATCTAGGTTTTCGAATGATCGTAGAGAGAGACTTAGACGTGGAGAGTAAATGCTCAGGGTGACGTTTTTATATTCTTCAATAAAGGGACGTAGTTTTTGAACTTCGAAAGGACTGAAAACCACGCAACAAGTTTCATTTTTCTGCTTAAATGTTACAATCCAGTGAACAGGGCGTAAGAAAAAATCCTTTTCGTCGAATTTGGACATTTCAACAGTTTTTGCATAGTCTGATGTGATCCAGAGATTTTCGGGCCATTTGCAATCATCCAAAAGTTTCTTCGCGGAAGTATATCTGAACAGATCAAAAGCAGGGATGAAGCCACGGTCAGCGGTATTCCTAAGCCTCATGGTACCTGTCATAACTAATTTTTCAACGTCAGGGTGTAAATGATGTGCACTAGCGAGAACATGAGGAGCATGCTCTGGCTGTACCTCATTTTCCCTTTCTGGCTGTAACTCACGCTCTTGTTCCTCGTGAAAGCTGGCACCTGCAAAAGAGGTTGAGTTGAAGTCGATACATTTCTGCCGAATATCTGCGAGCTCCTTGTTATATCGCTTTCCTGTGTTGGGTATTCTTCTACCCAGCCAATGCTCGTCTGCTTCCTCTTTCCCAAGCCCGTATCTCTCTTCCAAAGTTTGTGATTCCGGTTCTTGTATAGACTCGGGAATGATACCGGGATTTTCACTTAATATCGCAAGTCGTTCATAATGACGCTTTCCTTGAATGGCCCAAGGGACAACACATTTTCGAATGTGATCTAATGTGTTTTTGATACACCACAAAAGTACATCCCTGACTTCGATTTCATGAGACACAGTCCTCTTTGCACATTCTAAAATCTTTCGTCGTATATCTATCGGCGCACAGAATACTACGGATTGGCCCTTTCCCAACTTTCTCATTCTCATACATGCTATAAGATTGTCAGTGAGATTCCCAGCTATAGCTTCAAATAATAACTTACCTTGTGCAAGTCTATCCTTATTTAAATCCGGGCCAAGTGTGACGAGGGCACGATAATCGACTGGTAATTTTAGATCCGTCCCTCTCGTGTGAGCTTCGTCAAGATAGATGACACATCTGTCCATCTGCTTGGCAAACGATGAGACAGAGAGTGACTCCATTGCACCATCACGGTTCAGAACACAAAGTTCATCTGAAGGATCAAAAAACACCGCGCCTTGTACTTCAGTTGCTGGAAGTTGTGACAACCATCGACTTGCAACTTCCTCATTCCGTAGTTCCAACACCTGTGCACCCACATCGAGGATAACTCTAACTGCAGGTTTCGACGTAATTGCCAATTTGATAAGAACTTCTGCACTGAATTCTTCGTCCGTGATGGTAGAATCGAATTGATTTTCAGGACGCAACAAGCATGCGAGAACCTCCGCATTCGTTGAAAGTTGTTCCAGCAGATCTCGCTGCTGTATAGAGAGCGGCAGAATATATTTGCTGTCATTGGTTCCGCTGAAACCAGTAACTGGATGTTTTTTAGTGCGGGCAATGTCCCATCCCGATGAAGAAAGCTTCTTCGGAAATTCCTTCATTTGCTTGGGAAAAACCAGATGGTTAAGATAAAAATCCGTCATTTCTTTGGAACGACGCAAATGCAAATAAATATTTTCATGCCATTGGTGAAAGTCGCTGAGATTGACCCCATTTAAGTGCTTGAATCTCTCTTTAACATCGGAGCAATTCTTCATCCACCTCTCGTATTCTCCATGGCTGTTGTCCGATTTCAAAAGCTCTCGGAAGCATTCCATTGCCTGACTTTCCGATAGCCCTTTATAGTAATAAGCAAGGCAAGTCATAATGATGGACGTTTCCGGGTGGCTGAACTCGGAGCGAGCTGCAGGAACATCTTTCCCGTGGTATGGGACTGACAGAGACGAACGCTTCAAATCCAGCCCAAAATTTACCCGCCATCTCTTCTGCGAAAAGACAAAGTGTAGAATCCCATGTGCAAAAAGACCTCTAAGAAGTAACAGACCCTTCTTGATGGGTTCAGTAGCAAATGCCGAATTCTGCAGGCCCTTTAAATCTTTTTCATTTACTTTCGGATCTGTGATAAACCGATAAAGAAGATCTCTGTCCCTTTTAGTGAAGTGGAAAAGAGATAATCCGGGAAGCCCTTGATCACAGATACATCGCGCCGTCCTCTTGAGAAGGATATCACTAGCTGTAGGCCGCAAAACTCGGAACCGCGCAAAGGAACCATTGCCAGGCAACTTTTCCAACTCGAGATCACGTTGATATTCCTGATCAAGATCTTGAACTTTGGAATTTAATATCTCCAATACTCGTTGAATCAAGATCCAACGGTCGGGAGCAAAGTCGATAGGCTTTTGCCGACCAACAGTATAAATCAATTCAAATCGCACGTTGAGTATTTCGTCACTCTCATCTAGGATATCCCGAGAATTTTGAAGCAGCCATTCTTGGGTATCATTGATAATCTTACCAGCTTTAGCATCTTTATCCCCGGAAAGCGCCATGTCGAGGCCCATCAATTCGAATGACAATAGATGCTCTGGCTGCACAAGAAGTACGCCACCACAATCCATGCAACTTTTGTATATTTTTCGCAGCTGCTTTGCCTCCTCAACACTTATTTGAAGTGCACGTGAGATAGGGAGGAAGAAGATGCGCCTATTAATCATACCACCAAGCTTTCTTACTAGCAGTTCCATCATCTGTTTAGATAATGCGCGAAGAACTACGACACGACAAAGCTTTTTCTTGTCTGCCAGCGCACATGCCACGATTGGAACAATGACTGAAGATTTACCAAGCCCCATGTTCAATTGCATTACTGAGTTTGCGCCTGATGATGGTTCAATCATTTCTTTGCTGATATTAGCCTGTTCCTGGCGTATCAAAATTCCATTTTCCAATTCAAGGAGCAGCCAATCCGGGTGTAAAATTGGATCCCAACCTTCGTGTCCCGGATTGCAGAGCTCTGTGTTGACTTCTGCTTGATTATCAGAACAAGCTACCATACGCTCCGCACGCTGTAAGGCGGTCATAGCGAGACCAAAACATACGATTGCACGTTTCCATTGCAATGAAAGCTCGATTGAGTGAGATTCCGCGATAAGAGAAAGAATGGTAATTTTGGACAGACGAGGCAGCATTGTCGTACTCTCAGTTGGCCCAAAAGCACTGACTGAAGACAGTAGTTGCTCTAAAATTCTGTGGTACATTCTTTGTACCAGTAGCCGACATTGGTTTAAATAAGTTGCAAGAATGTGGCTTGAGAAAGGAGCTAATTGAACACATGGCATTTGGCTCAAAGCATTGAGACTTTGTCGTAAATGATTGCAGTATTGTGCCTCAAAATTACCAGAAGTGGACTGAGAAAGCTCGAATAAGAGCTCTGATACCTTTCTATGATCATTCTCATTCCTAGAAAATTTGGATTTTGTTGTAAGTGATTTGAACTGAGATAATGGAATGATGTCAAAGAATAATGGCGGCGTGTTTTTCAAAAGGTTTTTGAGTGCAACATATGTTAATTTTGGGCTATAGCTGCTTTTGGGCTTCGTATAATCATTCCATGGTTTACTTGAGTGCTCAAGTAGACATATTGTATCAAGTACTATTTGTACTTGCTTAATGAACCTTCTGAACTCGTAATTTCGAAACCAAGCCGAAAAAAAAATCTGAGCAACTGCAGTCGCCTCGATGACATCTATGTATGCACAGAAGTTCGAATCTGTCGAAGTAATGAGCCTCTCCGTTGGCCATTGTGTAATAAGAGACCTAACTCCCGTTCGAATGGCGCGTTCTTGGCACTCATCGTACATCTGTCTCCGGCGAATGTTGGCTTGATATCCAGTCTCAGACTCGCGCCTAACAAGTTCGCTTGCCGGAGTGTCCGCGTAACTCCTAATTCTAGAAGCGACGGCATCGGCCACGCTGTGCTCATTTGGCTCGAAACCCTCTGAAAGAATAAAGTACTGATATTTCGGAATTTGTATCCGGCGAAAAGCGGGGTTAGTGGCAAATGCAAGAAGTGTGTGAACAAGCTCTTCATCTGCTTTTTGCGAGAAGACTATTGTTGACAAGAAAATCATGACCTTATACTTGTCCTGACTTTCGTTGCAGGCTGACAGCTTTTGATATATCGCGAACCAATGATCAGGCAGAAATTCCGAGGGTGCATCTAACCATTTTTCGTCATAACCAAGAATATCCACCGTGTCTGTAGAAGGCCCGATGATGCAACCGGGTAGCGATTCCATTATTCTTTGTAAATCCTTGGAAACTTTAAGATTCCGTGGCCAAGAATCAACCAGTGCTGCAATATTATGAATATCAGCTCGTCGTTTTGCTTCACGGTTCCCGTCACGAGAGCTGTATTCTTTATCCTGGTTGGCAGTAAACTTCTCTGCTCCAAAACCATCCACACGATAGACGGCATTTCTAATTGCGGCCATATCAATCAAGCCAGCGTCACTGCGGCTATCTGGTTCTGGAATCTCTGTTTGCCTAATCAGCTCATCCTGAAACGGTATCAAAGATTTTGCATATGCAAAAATGCTTTCGACCTTTGTGCTAAATCCTTCATGTTGAGAAAGTGTCGGTAATGCTGACCATGAAGCATTTTGCATGGACTGTTTATGTTTTGGATAGTAAACCAGTTTTAGAGACAAGTCCCTCAATTTGAGAAGCAATTCTATCTCGCTAGAGGAAAGAGTATAGAATGACAATACAGCCGCAGAAGACAACCCTTCTAGGGCTTCTTCTGTACCAGTCCTTCCAGTAAGAGTATCAGGAAGAACGTCGGAGGTTAACGCGTGCAGGTACAGCCTGAATAGGCGAGCCCTGAGGCTCCCATTATCAATCAGCCGACCAAGTTGAGCATCGATTTTGTAGTCATGATAAGTACAGTAACTATTAGATTCTATGCTGATGTTCACCCTGACATGGCCATTATGCGGTGTAAAGAGAATTTCTCCATCGGGAATGATGATGATTCGCTTTGATTTGTCATTGCTGCATAGCACAAGTTTATTGACCAAGCCAGTGAAAGTGCCAATAGTTTGATTTTCGTCCACGAACATTCCACGAAATTGTTTCGACTCCAATTTTGAGCTCCCCAGGATTTGGTAGAAGTCAAGGTTAAAGCGTGAAAGGCGTATCTCCAATCTCTCATCGCATCGATTGTGTATCATGGTAATATGTTTCAAATCCTCCAATGGTTGTAAGATATCCGATATTGCAATAGCTGATGGACTCCGAATATCGATGACCGTCATCAATCCATTGGACAAATAGAATTGTTGCTTCGGAGAGACTGTAATCTGCCACCCGTTCTTCGGAGAAATCCAAGGCTCTTTGATTGGTCTCAATTGCACCACTCCAGATATGTCATTGCGCATGAAAATGTAGTTCTCTATGAAAGGATTCGTGAAATCGTTTGTTAAGGCAGATTTAGGAATAACTTCAAAACATTCGTCCTTTCTGCGAGTTCGTACAATTAATTCGTTGCCTATCATGTTGAAGTGAACCTAAAGTTGTGAGCATTTATTTGAGATATATTCAGTGGTATAATGTATCTGGATAATCATACCTCTTGGTTGCACACGGCTTTCCTAGTCTCAAAATTCATACCGGGCATAGTCGATGGAATGACATCCAACATTTTCTGTATAAAAAGGTTAGTCCAACAAATAGCTCGGTGATCAAGTTAAATTCATGAAATCATTACTAACCTGTCCAAAGAGCCGCTTATATGTGTCGTGAGCCTCGTAGTTGCGAGGTAGACGAGCTAGAGGGAATCCATTGATGAGTAACTCCCCAGTCAAAACGTTGAATTCAACAGAGACAGACACTTGACAATCAGTCTCTGCTGTTTTTGTTCTCAGCCATCGTTCGTTTGGAGTTTCAAGCGCTGTCCAGTCGATCCCCGCTTCGTAACTTGACCAGAGCAATTGAATAGCTATGTTGATCCCTTTCGCCTCACAGACAATAATATCGCGCAAAATTCGCTCGGCACGATGAGCTATCCTATCAAAGCGCCTCAAGCACATCTGAGTAACAATTCTAAGACGAGCGGCAGATGCAGGGCACCTATCCTGAACTGTAATCATACTTTCGACGAAAATTGCCTGGGTTTCGACGGACTTTAGCATGATTTCCAGATGGTGCATGTCAACGTCAAAAGTGCCGTTACACGTCAATGCCAAATCAAGGGCAAGAATTTCGATCGATTCGAGTTCAGTTTCTTCTTGGCAATTATGGAGAGTGTTGATAACATCTCTGGTCCACGCGATGGTAATAAACTGAATACGTAGAAGTAGTTGAAGACAGCGTTCTTGGACAATCTCATGAGAAGAGACGCTAAGCAGTCGAGTGGTAAGCATTGCGACGATTCGAAGGGCTCCTCCACCTTGCCAATTAGACTCCACGCTCGAAACTATTTTATCCAATGCCATTAAGAGATGGGTTCCAAAATCTACATCATCAAGATCTCGGTGTGAATCTCGAACTTGCTGTAAACAAACCGCAGAACCCGCCTGCCAAGCAGTCTGCGCAAGTAGTTGAAACATTTCCCCGCGGTTGAAGTCCAATACTCGGGATTCAACTTCACGCAAAATGTTCATCCATTGGAGATGGCATCCAGATCTAAGAGATGCTATCTGGTAATATTCGTGTAAGGTCAGTGTACTGGGACAATCTATTTGTCTAGCAAGAACACGGTTGGTAGTATGCTCTGTGCTTTCCAAAAAGCCTTGTAAATTTGCGAGCGCTGGAGTGAACTGTATGGTGCATAATCTTCGAATATCGAGACGTGATAAAAAACTGGCTTTGATTTCGGCTTGCGAAAATTCACGATGATCTATAACCTGGAAATTCAGCCCACTGGGCGTCAAAATGTTTTCTGTTGTAGCTAAAAAGATATTCCTTTCTTTATAATGAGAAACAATGAATGGTTTAGTCTGAGAGCCAAGTCGAATCCTTCCGTGGCTATTTTGGACATAACGTTTCAAGGCACTTTTTTCAAAATAATAGAATGTGACATTCCCTTCTCCTTTCGACATTGGCGAAAATATATCGACCAGAAGACTGTAAGTTCTATCACGCCAAGTTGAAATGATCTTCGGCACGTTAAGTTCGAACACTATCGATTTTATCTCTGATTCAGACGTCGGGAGGGGCCACTCATGTACGGCGACTGTGACTTGTTGGGCACGTGCTTTAGCAAGGCATTTTTGGCAATTTTTAAACTTATGACCCATTTCTCTACGGCGATTTGCTCCTTTACCGCGAGTGATCTCCCTTAGATCGCAGACAGATAATTTATCGGCTTCTTTCCAAGCCTCGAAAGCCCGGAGTTTGGTTTCCAGCTCTGCCCTTTTTTCGTTGCGTTCAGCTACGGCGTCAGCTATAATTTTATCCCGTAGGCGCCGGTGCTGAGTTGACTGATCAAAATAACGGACGGAAAAACTATTCGAGGTATTGATCTTCGAGAAAATACACGGCATATTCGCGAGTGAAGCAGCATTCCTATCAGTAATATATTTCTCAATGGATGCTAATCTCTTCATTTGCGGCTTTGTCGGCAATAGAAGGGGTGCGAATAAATCCGGAGTGAATCCGCATCGATAGTTCTTAAGCAGAGGTTCCTGAGATGTTGCACATTTGTCTAATGCAATCCACAAATCTAACAACGTTAACAACTTTATGGATTGATCTTCAGGAATATCCTTATAGACTTTGTCAGATGTCTCCTGATATATGGATATGAGATTTGCCAAAGCATTGAACTCGAGTTCAGATGTTTGGTACCACATTAGCCAAGTAGGAAGATGGTCCGTCACCCAAATTTCTATGTCTGCCAGGAACAAACGGCCATCTTTATTTTTTAAGCTTAAACCGGTAGACAAACTATCAGTAGTTGGGGTATCAACAATTGAAATTTCCATGCTCGTTTGAACCATCCGCATAGAACATTGAGGTGCAAGGGATTTGTGTTTCAGTGTAGATTGGTCTCTCCTTGAAAAATTGGTAATATAAGGTCCCAGGAACTGTATGCTGAGCTCTGTGTCTTGTTCTGGTCTCAGGACAGAAATGTCGGGACGCAATGGTGTTGAAAGCACGGGAATACTCTTTTTCAAGTAGGATGACGAATGCAATAACACTTGATGGACTTGAGATCGTAGCTCAGAGTCAATAACTGAGTCGAGTTTGAGTAAACGCCTCTGTATCTTCATCGACATGATAAACACAATTTCTCTAGACTTGGGAACCTGCAGTGAGCGTTTCAAAATCTGACACATGAAAAAGATCATGAAAGATTTATATTGGAGATGAGATGTTTTATTGCCCTTTCCTTCCATGAGGCCAATTTGTAGACAGACTCGGAGAAAAAGGTAGTGAGGTGAGCGTCGCCATGGTTCTAGACAATCTTTCCATTGGACTACGTCACGAGTACGTTTTTGAATACGCTGAACAACAACACGGCGCCCGACAGCGTGCAAACATTCAGTCAGCATACTGGTAACGAGTGTCGGGTCAATGGTGTCTCTAATTTCAGGTTCAGCGGTGCCTTGTTTAGTTGTATGCGGGTGAACAATGATGGGTGTCTCTCGCACTAAACTTTCGATACAATGAAGGAGTACTTCCTTGAATGCTCGTTCTTTAACACGACTTTGAGGAACGGCCACTGCTGGACCTGGAAAGTATCTTCGTAGTCGCCCAGTCGTTGTCATTAGGTCCTCATTCTTTGGCGATAACTCGAAAGTCTCAAAGGAGTATTCGGCTGAAAATCGCCGGATAATTATGCCAGCAGTCTGCTTTTCAATGTGCATAGCACAAATATCTGTAAGTCGTTAGTAAAGTAGATCCAATGTAGGGAGACATTTCACCTTGAGTTTTCATTGTTTCGAGGTTTTTGATCACTTTTGAAGTCGGCGTATTAGTGTCATCTTCTCCAGCTAACATGCCATTTACCATCTCGATGACCCGCTTGAATTGTGAATTTTGGTGAGATGAAAAAGCATCGTGGAAGTTCTGAAGTTCTTCTCGAAGAATTTGAGTTAAGACTGCATCGTGCTCTGTTCGGCCATCTTCCTGGTTGGGTAATTTTGGAGGGAGAAAAACATGATGGAAGATGTATTTCAAAGAGGATTTGGAAGCCATGTTGCAATCGAGTCTCCTGGAGATCATTTGAATGAGGAGTTAGAGAAAATCTCTTGGGAGATGCTGAAGAGGAGATTGCTTTCTTAATTGCTTTGGTTCTGAAACATGCACTACTATTTCCCTCTGATGAAATCACTGTCCTCCAGAACCTACGAGATGCTTCAAGCCCGACCTTTTAAAGAAGCAAGCATGATAAAACATGCAAATCCTTATCCAAAGATATCCTTGAAAATCTTTTGTTAAGACGGACGCTGCACGTTTCCGTTATTGTTTTGCTCAAGAATGAATCATGAATTTCAGTTTTGCGTTTATTATCGGGTATATAATACCTCACTTGAGTGATGATCCAGGTAGATAGCTCCCATACGATTGTGGGATACCACAGGTAGCTAGGAAAAAGAGGTTTGGAAAGTTGTTTGTTTGTGAAGGAGGAAAGACAAACGCACACAAATCCCCAGTAAGCAAGTAAGCATTAAAATTGAAAAAGAAAATACCCTCACCACCCCTATATTGTGCCATTGGAGAATAAATTGAGGAGATACCTATTTCATCTAAAATACCTGCATATTACCGTTTCTCTTACGCGCCAGGCAGAAGTCTAGACAAGGATACTTTTGAAGGCTTTTAAGTGGTTAAATTTCAAGCCCAACCTTCACATCACCGGTCCTTTCAGATAAGAGGCTCTACTGGGGAGAAGTGGGCTTCCCGTCATGACCAAAATGCTTTTTGATTGGTCACCAGTGAGAAGTGACTTGGCTACACGAATACCCATCACCAAGTTTTATTCCCGAAATCAAACAACGGGAAAGCCTTGTAATACTTGTATGATAAAGATATTATAAATGACATGGGATAAACAGAACGATTCGTTCCTCTGCGTTGAGGGTAGCATTTGAGGTTTGCTTGGGGTGAAGTTGCATTAGTGTGGTGTCATGCACCAGTCTTAATTAGGATTAGAGCAAAATCGACGCGCGGGCCAGCATAGAATATGTCATCAACATCCATCTCATTCAATAACTCAATTCAGATCTGACAAACAAACAAAAGATTTCTCGGGCACGTATGGTCATGGAATACTTGGGTGTATCCCAACTCGTTTTGCAAATCCGCTGTTTTCATACTAACCTAAAGATTCCGCAAAACGGAATCAATCAGCTAACCTTATGTGAGGAAAGAACAAAAGCGCAAACATGGCAGCTACAGCTCGACCATAAGCCCTTGTTGCGAATACTATCGACAGAAATTTGGGCCTTTCAATAAATAAAACTCACAATTGGTCGCTGAAAAGAAGTGTTTGCATGGTAGTATCGCTTGCCTTTGATGTCGGATCACGATGCCAATGGTTGGAAGATTTGGAGCCTCTATGGTTCCTCAACCTTCGGAGATATTAGACAACTATTGTTAAAAGGATGAGACGCCAAACTAATTTATTATATTGAAGAAACGGAGACTACACATGAAAATTGCTGGGCTGGAATGTTTTTTTGCAGGTAAAATTCCGTTGGGTTCACGCGACGTGATGGCAGGGAGATTCATACTTGTTCATATCATACGCTTTTATGGTATTGTATGATTAGATATTACCCTCCGAGACGTAAAATTGAGAGCGCCTTGGGTACAAAAATATACGATAGATTTTTGGAACTCAATAAATGTTCCTATTGCATTCGACGGCAGATTGCATTTGCTCAAGGTAAATACCAATGGCCAACACATTCGTCGGGGCGAGCAGACGTCAAATGGCTTGGCACCAGGTAAGGTCTCATATTCCAAGCCCCAACATTCTTCACATCCGTTGATATGTACGCCAAATTTTACAAGTATAAGTCTTTCTCATGCTCTCGTTCCTTTCTTCTACATACACGCGTCTCGTCTGATTTACAACTAACGGCACTATTTTCAATATGAAGACTGCAAGCTCGTTGATTCTTCTGGCCTTCGCCAGAGGTATCTGGGGGGATTGTACCAATGACCAATGTGCCGAAGCTATTACATCAATTGGCGAAATCAACGTCGGTCTCCAAATCCGTTCACTAGATTGTGCTAGATTTCTAGCGACGACTGTCACGCCTAATGCTTCGTTCGTCAAACCCTAACCCCATTCATCTTCTTTGCTAATTGAGGTAGGATTGCTTTGATCACCACAAGTGCTAATATGGAAAATTATCCATATCCTCCTGCCACAAGGACGAACGGACCCGGCCCAATCCCCACTTACGCATCAGCATGTACCGATGCCGGCGCCTACTCATCTGCCTGTACGTGTGCATCCGTCACAGCATCTACAGTAGTCGCTCCAACTCCAACTACATATCTCTACGATAAACTACCTCTCTGTGCCAACCCAGCCACATGTGCACAAGGATACAGTAATGCTGCTTGTGGAAATGGTGCTGGTATCTGTATTCCTGGCGGTGGAGATGATGGTGCTGGATTCTGTGTCGCTGCAGGCGTTTGTGGTGACAACTGCGTTAATAATTCCGATTGTGCCAGTGGGATTTGTTTGAGAGATGCGTGCTGCGGGAACTCTTGTTATAATCCAACTGTCCAACTTGTCACCACATGGGCTCCTTCTCGTAAGCTCACCAAGAAAGACCTTGGTAATATGGCTTCAATTTTTGAGAAGCTGAACCAATTGAAAGGGAAGGTGCTGAATTCTGGGAAGGAGTTGAACTCGGGAAACATGTTCAACTCGGGAAATATGTTCAACTCGGGGAAAAATTCCGGCTCCTCGAAGAACAAAATCTTGGGTACTTATCTTCCCGAAAACCATCAACCCACAAGCTTCTTCAAAGGAAAACATTGGTATTAAGATGGAATCGTGTGGATTGTTCGGATTGTTGTGATGTTGAAAAAGTATTAGATCGGACACGGTGGGAGTTGTTTATGGATCATGGTCTCTTTCAGTCGAATTTATATGGAAATTTCAGGTTGCTTGGTCTATCGGTTTCCATTTAGGTACTTCACATATATCAATGCGTCGTTTATTATCTTCTATTACCAGACTTTTTAAATCTATAGTACCAGAAAATACGAAATATATTTGTTTGCACGCATTGAAGTAAATCCTAATCTCGAGTTCCTAAGTGAAGACAATAGTATCACCATCAGAATGACATGATGAGTTATCCTAGTCTCAGCCTACCACGTCGTACGTACGTCAGTACCCTGTAAACATCGAGCAAAGGACTGCCATGCCGCGAAGCACATTGCCGAAATAGTAACTGCAACCAGTGCTTACTCAACTTAAGTATCCGAAAAGTTCCCGAGCTTGGGGGCGGAAATCAAGATACAAATATCGTGACACGCACAGCACAGCACATCAGATCTTACTCCCTTATCTATCTCTTTCCAAGCCAAAGCCATACTAAGCAAACAAATCCCCACCAAACTCCCACATCCTTCCATTCTTCCCGAATAAAAAAAAATAATGACAACCTTCATGAATTTCCTCTCCTCTCCCCTCTCCCCAACCATCAACCACTCCGTCCCCTATATCCTCACAAACTGGACACTTTCATACCTCATCCTCGCCCCTCGTCACTGGAAACAATATTACGGCTTCGATCACAATGAGTCTCCGCGTTATGATATTGAACAATATGGAGAACGAATGGTTTTAGAGGGGAAACTTACAAGGAGGCAATTGGATCGTGTGAAGAGGGTGCAGAGTGCGCAGAGTAATAGTATTGAGCATTTTGGGGTTTTTGTTGGATGTATTGTAAGATCTTGAGTTTACTTTTCTTATCTATTTGTTTGTATCCTTTTGTTGTGTTTATTTATCGATTTTCTTTTTTTTTGGAGCGGTGAAGGTGTAAGGATGGATAATGCATATGATGAATGGATCTAATAGAAATATATACATAGCTCCTAGCTCAACAAGCAGGTTTACCAGTTCAAATTATTAATAAATTTGGATTTTATTATAATTTGGCGAGGATAGGTTATGGATTTGCGTATACGTTTTTGGAGACGAGAAATTTGAGTGTGTTGAGGTCGGCGTTTTGGTGGTGGGGTAATGTTAGTTGTATTGGGATTTTGTTGGAGGCAGGTTGGGCGCTTAATGAGGGGGTGTGAGGCGGGTGAGAAAGAGGGAAGGGGGTGGTGGTTAGAGTGAGGGGGGAAGGAGTGATGGGATGGGATGGGATGGGATGTGAGGGTGGGTTGGTTTGAGGAATTTGAAATGTGGAATGTAGAATGGGGTAAGGGGTTTGATAGATGAGTATAGAAAAAAAAGGGGATGGGTAAAATCTGAGATGGCTGTGGTATGGGATGGGAAGTGAGGATTCATGCGAGTAGACGTGTGAGTCGTGTTAATTATTGCATATATATCTAGAAGTTCCTAAATAGAATAATCTCCACTCCTTATATCTCTAGCGCTCTGTGTACGATTGACCAAGAAGATGACCAAGAAGCAATACTCAATTCTTCCTACCATTGTATTAACAAAGCAGAATAACCTAAATATATAATATCAAAAAAGAGATAGAAAGATTGAGTAATTACTTAATTTTTCATCTGTTTCCAAACACGAAGTTGGGATTTAAGCACCTCTCATCATCTAAAACTTAAATTCTGCATTCAAAGTTTTGTTGCACATCTGATCTCTATAAGTGCCTTATTTCAACAATGCAAAACAAATCCACAGAGTAATTATGCAGAAATTCTTTGGTACAACATTGCCAGTGAAAGTGGCTTGTGGCTTCATCTATTAGAGACTAGCGCTTTCTTATCAACCTTCTCGGTCTGGGAACTTCATTGTCGCACTACGACATAACCTATGTTCTCACGAAATCGTTAAATTGCTTCACCACGGATGAGAGATGCAGAGCAATTACCTAGGAGGTCAATGGAATTATATTATTATCTCGCCAAAACCATCTGTTAATGAGGCAATTATTATGGTGAATAATGTACAAACTGCTCGCGGAGCTAACTATAAGTTTACAGGAATCATCTCACTCTCATAACTTCCTCTGTCCACCTTTTAGTGTGGAAATTTCTCAGGAATTGTATGAACCAATTCCTCTCGATGCCTTCTTGATCCACTTCTCAACGACCTTGAAATATTCGACATTATTCTTCTCCAGAAATCCGAAATGAGCATTGCCATGAACGCCGGCATCAGCCATCTTGATCCAATCGGCTTTTACTCCAACTTGGTTGAGATAATTGATTACACAATGCTCATACGTAATGTGAGGAGAGGCTTCACCGGTGAATGCGACATATGGGACCTTGGCTATATTGGGGAGAGTATGGATGGTGTAGTTTTGGGCGGTACTACTTTGTTGTATGCACGATCTTCTCTCCGGGGTGTCTTCACCAACCGTCTCGGTAATGAGCTCGGTGGAACTGGAAATAGGAGGATCATAATTGAGATTGGCAACGGTCAAACCAAATGGACGAGCAACTGTTCTTCCGACAGAAGATGTTTGGTTCCCGGTATATGATTCGAAGGGAATATTTCCTGGTTCGAGATTCACATTACCAAGCACCAAATATGGACATTCATCTGAAATCACAATTGGATGAATTGCGCCGATAGAATGAGAGATCAGGAATGAGGGACCAATGAGCTGAAGAAGTTCACAACCAGCTGCGCGCATGGATATTTCTTGTCGAGTGTTGTTGTTGGTCAAAGGCATAAATCCACTTTCGAAAGCATCAAATATAGGATCTCCACGAAGTCCAGTCCCGGGCCATTGAGTATGCAGTTGACTTTGCGGGTAGGAGTTTGCGATTTGTGGGGCAGTGAAACCAACCTATGGAAATCGTAAGCGTCATTCATGGTAGCACCAATGAAAGATAGAACAAGAATAGTACCTCACTAATATTTGCAGTTGATCCAATTCTCAAAGGATACCCTACTAAATCTTCTTGAGTTCCACGTCCTACACTTGTCTGATCGACGATGTATACTTGATATCCATGATCCAAGAACATCGATGCAAATCCTTTACGATTGTCAGGTGTATTGAGCCATGTCTAGACCTGGTCAGTCGATGCTAGTTTTTTTGGAATTGAGAAATGTGACTTACCGCGCCAGACACTCCTCCACCATGAAATAAGACCAAAGGATAAGGCTTTTTGATACCCCTATGAGGCGTCAATTTCTCAACATACATTTGATCATATGTCAACAATCCAATGGCAGCATTTACATAACGCCCCCCAACCCAGAAGACATCGCGTTTGTAGGACGACTCCTTCGATTCACATTGAGGCTTGATTCCATTGATCCCGGTACAATCCAGCTCATCTGAATAATGAGCTGAAGAGACCGTTGCAAGGCCAATAATCACTGACCAAAGGAAAAACATCTCGAGAACGGAAAGAGTGGGTGAGATGAAAATCGATTGTGAACCCAAAAGAAAAGACAGATTTTCAAGAAAGGTTCACGCCACTGCATGGTAAATTAAATGACAAGAAACCGACTGAAGTCTAATTTCGCCCCGCACTTGTGTCTACAGAGTATGTAATCTTACCAAATTTGCTGCATTGCTAGGCCCCATTGTTATCGGATATTGTGGATCTGGTTGATCATGTCCCATTTCGAAAAACCCACAGGTTAACCCACCTTTGAGAGGCGGAGAAAATTGTGTTACCTACATGTGCGATTAAGGGGAAATCATGATATCAGGTGAAAAAAGTGCCTGGCGAATGCTAGCCAGATGCTAGAAATTTGTGTGTAAGGATTATGCTTCGAGAAACTGCCACTTTGACCATCATATGCCCAAGCTCATTTCTGGAAGCTTTCTGAGAATTCGCTCGAAGCCGTTGAGATAACTGAAAAAGCAAGTGCTTTGGGGCTTTTTTATCAAAGGCAAGGTCCTGCTATATATCTCAGTGTTCGTAACTCAGATGAAGCACCAAGATATATATAAATAAATGTCAAACTTCAATACCTCGAAATCTGGGCAGACGAAACAGACTCTGTATGAAAAGAAGCTTACAACAGGACTAAAATGTTAGTGGCTTGGTTGAGCCCCGGAGAAGAACGAGACCAATGAATTAGTATGGAAGTTCTGGACGGATTTGTAAATCATGTCGGGACTTGCTAGTAGTAATCCCGAGGCAATACTCATCCATGACGTTTTCCCAAGGATACCCATGGTGTCGAGAAGTCTGGCTCGGTTGCACAATTAGTTCATTGTTCAAGGCGAGGTGAATAATTCATACGGGAGAATTATTTAGAGAAGCAATAAACTAGCTGTCTCCTTCCCGATTTGAAAGGATCTTCCTTAGAGTTGGTGCAAAAGCCAAGCGAGAGATAGCTAGCCCCAAGTTTCAAGAAATGGGATTGATAAAGTAGCAACTGTATTTCTTGCGCGTACATGTGAGCAACTTGTTAGTGTAGGTGTCTGGAAATGACTTAAAGCTCGCTTCCACTTCGAACAAAATGGATAATTCCACTAGGTCAAACGATGTCATTTCAATCATTCAAAGGCCCTTACTGAGGCTTAGTCGTTGGAGATAGCTAGTTTATTGCTTCTGATAATGACTACCAGTATTTTTTTATGAAAAAATTTGATAAAAGCTTCAACCTTGGGTGCTAAATCGTATGATGGTAATACATCGTTCGCAGCATGTTCCCACCCAGATTTCTCGGATCAACAAATTGCTTCAAGGTTATGAAAGCAATTGTGGATTAAAATCTACTTTAGTCGTGAATCATGGATTTTCGTATCCATAGATCGCACGAGTTTCTGGGTCGCTTTCCCATAAAAGTTTAATATATCAATCTATCTCGAGCTTATCCAACCCCGAAACTTCCCTCAAACTCTATTGATATCCAAAGATTTTAAGGCTTACAGCTATTAACCTTGAATCATTAGCAAATTGGGCTCCGTTGCTTGAATGATCAACACGCAGGATGGAAAATCCGGGAGATTTCACAGGAAATTTCATACGCCAGTAAGGCTGAGAGCAAAATAATGGATCTCCCAAGCTACACCGCAGGAGATACTTGCAAATCAGCTTCAGGAGAAGGAACGTTCAGCAAATTTTGTTGTTGTTCCAGAAAAACATTTCTTGCACGTTGCTTGGAACGAGGAACGGTCCGGTGGGGAGAGTAGGATGGCGCCAATTTGTTTTCGTGGTACTAATTGAATATTGGTAAGAAGGCCAAGTAAAAACGGACCGGTACTCAGAATACTCGTACCATATTTGCACGGCCTACGTAGTCTGTGTCCTGCGTCCATCGGAGCATGAAACTTTAAATTACACAGTATGGTCGCTTATATGTGTATGGGGACGCCTGTTGCAGTGTTGCTATATAGAATTGGGAAGTTGTCGGCAAAATGTCATGGAAGTAGTGATGTGATTTGGGTGGATATATGTTACACGGGGGTATCCAGACTTATAAAGGAATTCGGGAGTATCCCTCCGTTATTTTCCTTGCGATTGCTTTTATGCTCTACACCCATACCTTTCCCTAATTGGCATCCCGCAGAGAAACCAGAACGTTTAAATTTCTCTGAAGACTTGGTAATGTGAAAATGCAATAGCGGGAGAGTTGTAGGGATCGAGTGATTCGGCACTTAAGGGGATTGACTGATCTAAAGGCCAACCGTCCTTGAAAATTATCTCCCTTAAAAGAACCATGCTTGGAATGCCTTCAATTTCATGGATGGCCCTTCGAAGTCTTGGACGGACATTACCTATTTTTACCGATTCTCTAATTTCACATGTATTTCTCTACCGTGTATTCGGGTACGATGGGAATTTACTGCGATTTTCCTGATGGATCATTCCCCGGGATGTTTCATATCTTATATTTATGGTTTGTCAATCTGAACTCTATCAACAGGACACGAAAATTTTCTATGTATTTATGTCTCCTCAAGATTCTTTTCCACTTTTCAACCTGGTCGTGATTGTTGCTCCGTCACAAAGATTTGCATGTAAGAATTGCTGAACCATTCAATGCAATCCTTAAAGCCACGTTTCCCCGCGATATTCCACTCTTTTTCCCCAGGAGTCTCGATAAATACCAGGGGCGTTCATTGTTGCTGCTGCTTGATTTTACTGATCGACCGGAGGAAGTGGACACGTTATCTCAAGTACGAATGAGCTTTAGACTTCCATTTACCTCATCATGTCTTCGATTTTATCATCATCAACCATCATCTCCTCAGCCACGGCAACCTTTCCAACCGCCATCCCCACAGGTACCATATCCGCACTCATTGGTCACCCTCCCAATACCACCAATGACTACTACATAGTCGCATACCTCAACAATGCCTTTGGCCGAAAAATCTCTCCAATGAAGGGAATTACAATCCCCCCTTTATCACCACCAGATTATGTCTTCGAGTCCCGCTCCACCTCACTCCTAATCGCCATGTCCGTATCCATTTTCTTCATGTTCAGCTTCACAGTCCTCCGTCTACTTATCCGTCTCCTAAATCGCGGTTTAGTACTAGGTCTCGACGATCTCTTTATAGTTCCCGGCGTGATCCTCGCTATGACTTGGCCCATATTACAGATCCTAGCAGTCGTATATGGAGGCGCCGGAAAACATATTTGGGATGTCACGTATGAGGAATATGGATATTTTAAAAGATATACGAATTTATCCAAGACGTTCTTTTTCGTGTCCGCAGGAGTTGTGAAAATTTCGATTTGTCTTTTTAATCGCAGACTTACTGCTATGACGACGAGACGTTGGTTGTGGTTTAATAATGCCTTTTTGGTGGTTCTGGTTGTTTTTATCTTGGTGTCCCTCTTCTGGACTATCTTTTCGTGTAATCCTGTATGGGGCGGTTGGGATGCTATAAGATTAGGAAGAGAAGGGGTTGTGGCTAAGTGTTTTCCGGTCAGTACTTTAGGGTCGGTTCTCAGTACGGTTCATGTAGTTACGGATTTTGGACTTCTGGCTGTCCCGCTCATTGTACTGTGGAAAGTGAAGATGGGTTGGAGGACAAGAGGGAGATTGTATGTTGTTTTTGCTGTGGGGGGAGCTAGTATGATTGGGAGTATTTTGAGACAGATTAAGCAGGCGGAATTGGAATCGGATGTATTGTGTAAGTTTGTTGTTTTGTATATCTTCATTCTGAGGTTTTGGGCGGGGCTATATTTTCATTCTCCTGTCGCATTTCCATAAACTAACATACTCCAGGGTCCTTCAAATCTCTAGTAGATTGGACACTAGTCGATCTGACTCTTGGCGTGATCGCCGCCTCCCTCCCCGTCCTCTCAGCCATCATCCCAGCAAAATGGAAATCAATGCATACCTCCTCCTCCTACAAGTTTCCCTCCAACCACCGCTCGCATCCTCTATCCAATGCAGAAAATTTCCCACGCTCGAAATTTACAGGGAAAAATGGAAGAGATATAATGGGTGGTCGCAGTGGAAGAAACAAAGGAATTAAAAGTACACCGAGCGGTACTTTTGGAGAAAGCGAGGAAAATATCGTAAGGACGGATGTTATTGAGTTGAGTTATCGGAGTAAAGTTGATGTGGATCAGAAAAATGATGAAGAAGGAGAAGAAGAGAATGTGGGGAAGGAAGAGGGGAATGGGGAAGGGAGTTCGGTGGGGAGTTCGGTGGGGAAGATTAAGAGGAGTTTTTCGAGGAAGAGGAATAGAGGGGATTCGGTGGAGAGGGGCTTGGATAAAGATAGTGATGCATGGGGAGTATGTCATAAGTGAATAGTAGGGATGAGCATATGCGGATTATGGAGGGAGGGTGGGTAGTTTATGATAACAGTATGGGGGATTAATAGGAGTTTGAAAAATGGGTCTGGCGTGGTACTTTGATGGGTTTGAAAGGGATATTTGGTGAATATTCGAAATCACCTGGAGTTTTATGGATGGGTAAATTAGCGCTGGTGGAATATACCAAATCTCATTTGTGCTGGGGACATTGTACAAAGTGCTAAGCTACATACGGTCAGGGTGGATGTTTATATATTGGGCTGGAAAATACCTATGTTATGATGTAAATGACTTGTAAATAATAACAGAAAAATATTTTAGGCAGGACAGTACGTCCGTCTCCGAAGAAATATGAATCGTTTATCACTTTTTTTTTCTCGTATGGTGATGTTTGTGCCTGTGAGCGTTAAGATGAGAAGAAAGCCATGGGTATTTAGTGTAAAATCATTCATCGGAGTAATGTATGCATGAAGTAGTACTTCAAAACTCCGACACAACATCATCAGCCATAAACCCATTATCCACCCCCTAAATCACTATCATTCCAGTATGATATAAGACGCGATAATCGGTCCTCTCAAATCCAACTAAGCATAAAAAGAAAAGAAAACTATGCAATCAAATGCTCCAATGACCTTTAATGAATTCACTATTCCTCGTGTATATATGCCAAGCCTCTTAAAATCTTTTGTTGCATATCTGTTGTAGTGCTTGAAGCCTATAACAGATTCTCATAGTCCCTGTAGCTTCTGTGGTCCGGATGGTCTGTGGCCAGGTACCGAGTATTTGGAATCTTATGGAATGTATGGTATTAAGGAGGAGGATATGCATATATACTACTCAAGGGAGAGCTAATCAAGCCGGCTACCCCTTGCGTACGCGAGCTTCCGGTAGGTATCATTGGTATGGAATGAAGGTAATTAATTATGCTTGAACATGGTGACTTTGAGGAATTGAATTTATTCGTATAGGTAGGTTGATTGATTGATTAAATTAACGTCTACACTGAGTCTATGACTATCTAAGACGGCTAGGAGCTTTGTAGGCTTCTAACAATAGTAAATGGAGAGTGGCTGGCCTTATTCGACCGTAGCTAATACAGGTTGGGGAGATTGAAAGCCTCAATCTTCTAATGTTTGAATGGGGGAAGTGAAAACTAATACTAGGGAACCAAGCCCGCCTTACAGATACTCTCGTATTCAAGTAAGAGGAATAACAAATGAAATGTAATGAAATTTGACATTGGGGTGATTGCCCAAATTGACCAAATTGACCAAATTGACCAAGTTGACCAAATTGACCAAATTGACCAAATTGACCAAATTGACCAAGTTGACCAAATTGACCAAATTGACCAAAATGACCAAATTGACCAAATTGACCAAATTGACCAAATTGGCCATAATTGATCAATTCAATCACAATCTTCCGGTCCACCCCCTTCTTCTCCGCCTTCTTCCTCTTCTTCTTCATGCATTCTATTGAGATGCCATGATCTGGTGGCTATTCTCGTCGCCTCGATAAATTCGAGGGTCTTGATGATTCCTGCTTTAGTATGAAGCAGATATTTCATGGTAGGTCGGACTGTGGGGTTATCCTTATTGAGGGTTTTCCTTGCCATTTTATATAAAGGACAACTGAGCAGAAGATGATCAGGAGATTCCTTTCCCCCACATCTACAATTGTCATTAGAGGAGATACCGAATCGTTTCAAATAAGATTTGAAGTATCCGTGTCCAATTTTGAGTTGGAACAGAGCACAGATTGTGCTTCTTTTGATGTTTCCTGGAATTCTGATTTTTGAGCTGATCTTCCAGGGGTAGTTTCTTGAATATGTTGACGATGGTTGATGAAAGTTGTTAGTGTTAAGGATGGTTATCCAGTTCTCTGATTTCATTCTTTTTATATCCATTCCAATGGAGGCATAACTGGTTTCGTGAGATGAGGATGGTATTTTGGTCGCCTCTTTTGCAAGAGAATCAGCTAGCTCATTTCCTTGTACAGATGTATGTCCAGGGACCCAATTGAGAGAGATTTCGGCTCCTTTATTTTGAATAGCTTCCGCAGCTTTTATAGCTTTGATTTGACATGATTGACCAGGTAAATCGGAGGGGGTTTTCAACCGGAATAATCCTGCTTGATTATCTGAGTATATCTTGAACTTGTTTCCTGGTTGGGCTATTGAATTTGCGTATTCGATCGCTTTAACAACTCCTAGGAGCTCCCCATTATAAACAAGCTGATTCACACCTATATTGATAGTCTCTTGATGAGAAATTCGGCCATTTGGTAAGATAACCGCTATCCCGATTCCAATCCCTATTCCCTCTAAAGTGGATGAGGCATCGGTGTATATTGTAATGGTATTTTTGCACCTATATTTGAAAGCCAGATTGTGAATCATCGCAGCTTCTTCTTTTCCTAATTTGCTGATATTGACTTTATATGGAACTTCTTTCTTCCAAGGAGGAAAGTAGAAATGATGGATTCCTTCCAAAGTGAGAGGATCGAAGTCTTTCTGAATTGAATTTTTGATCTTTTCGAGTTGAGTAGGTTTTAATTGCTTTCTTTGAGGGGTTGCAACTACATCTTGATTCTCCTTTTCTGTAGCCAGCTTTGTAGCTATTAAATTGACAGGATGAGAAGGGGAGATTTTCAATAATCTGAAGGCGTATTGTTTGATTCCAGCATTTAGCCTTACTTCTGGAGGGCACAATGCGGCTTCTATTTCCATTGGTTTTATTGGTGAGGTTTTGAATATTCCTAGGATTTTTCGAAAAGCGAGGTTTTGCAAGGATTGAAGGATTTTCTTGAATTGGTTTTGCCCTTTCCACCATAAAATTGAACCGTAGTCAGCTATACTGGTGACACATGCCATATAGAGCTGTCTCATTGCCTTGGGACTAAGGCCTTTTTCAGAATTAGCAAGTCTAGCCATTCGGTAGAATGAGGTTTTAGCCTGGGTAGCTCGGATTGTGACATGTTGTTTGAAACTGAGGCCAGGGTCGAACTATATGCCTAGTCATCTGACTAGTGTTGAGGGTTGAATTATCTCCTCGTTCGGAAGCTTGATTGAGGCTGTCTTCGTATCTTTGGATGTAGAGAAGTGTATTAGTTCCGTCTTCGCTAGATCAAATTGAATAGCATTTTCTTTGCCCAGAGCATATATCTGTTTAGTTGCTCTTTCGAGGGAGATGATGTTCTTTTTCCAGGATGTTGAAAATGTTGTTAAAGCTATATCATCTATATATGAGAGATATTTGATCGAATTTGCTGAGAATAGATCTCGAATATAAATTAAGAAGAGGATTGGCGAAATAGGGCTGCCTTGGGGGATCCCGGTATTGATTGGTTTGAAGGTTTCAATTTGGCCATCGAATGAGAGCTTGAGTAGCCTTTCCTTCAAAAAAGATGAGATCCAGGCGATTAGGCTGGTTGGGAGGTTTAGGTTCTTGCAGATATCTAATAATTTGTTCATAGATACATGATCAAAGGCGCCTTTAACATCCAGGAAGAGAGTTGAGGTTTTCTTCTTGGATCTTGAATTTCTTTCGATTTCGGTAGTGAGTAAGATTGCTGTATCGATGGCTGATTTCTTTTGTCTTCCACCCATTTGAGAGTAATGAAGTAATTGCGTAGTCTCCGCTAAGTAGCTAAGCCTTTAAGCCAGAATTCTTTCACTTATCTTGCCAAGGCAATTTAGTAGGGCGATAACTCTATAAGCTTTTGGGGCCGAATAGTCTGGTTTTGAAGGTTTCTTGAGTATCGCTCCAGTGGCTTGTTTCCAGCAAGAAGGATGGTAACCAAGGTTGATAAGATGACTGAAGAGGGTGAAGAATGCTTTTGGTATTGCTTTGTACGCTTGAATAATGATATCTTGAGTGATCCCATCGGGGCCAGGGGTCTTTCCTTTGATTTTTGCAGAGCACGCGTTTAGGAGTTCGCTCTCTATAAGATCAGGCCATTCCCATTTCTTAGATTGTTTATAGCTTTCCCAATTGGGCGATGGGGTGAATGGAGGAGGAGGAAATAGGGTCGATCTAAATGCAGAGCATTTTCCCTCGAAAGAATTTTCTAGTTTAGAGGGATTGGATCGAATATTCGGGATTCGTTCGGTTTGTATATCTTTTGTGTATGACATTGCCTTGAATATGGATTGGGTATCCTCTTTTTCAAGGAACTCATTCCAATAGTTTTTCTTTGCTGTTTTAATAGCTTGGAAGTAATGATTCCTGGCTGACTGGTAGATTTTCTTGAACATATCGTCTTCCGGGTAAAGCTTGGCGTTCTCAAATGCATTAGAGAGTCGTTTTCGAAGGGCTTTCAGCTCTGGGGACCACCAGGGTTTAGCTCTTTTTGTGGACTTGATTCTCGGTATACTGGTTTCAGCCGAATAAGTGATTATTCGGGTGAATTCTTTTGCAGCTTCATCCAATACTTGTATGTATTGGCTCTTGTCGAGAAGGGAATCAAGAGAGTTGGATTCTGAGGTAGCGATATTAAGGTATTCACTCGAATTTAAGGTGGTTGATATCGATATTTTCGATTTGAGGGTATTCGCGAATTTTTCCCAATCCGCAAGTTTTGTGTTGAATCTTGCTGGCTGAGCTATATTCGTTGTACGGGATAAAGTGCCCTTTACTTCAAAGAGAATGCTTAAGTGGTCTGATCCAAGATCAGGGAGGACTTGCCAATCAGTGATATAGGGAGATACTGAATCTGTGGCTAAAGTAAGGTCTAAGACACTTGGATTTGTCATATTTATTGGGTTTCTTGAGACCAGAAAGAGCATCAGATTGAATTGATTGATTCTCTAGCTAAGCAGTTAAGCTGCGAGTATATATTCAAAAAAATGAAGGAATAAGGTTAGGTATTCAGCCTTCGGAATTAAAAGTGCTTTAAAATCAAAATATTGAAAGCAAACAAACAGTATACCAAAAAGGAAAGAATGAATTAAAAGTTGAGTTTTGTTTGCTCCTTATATGCATCATGCAATATATATGCATATGCTGCCAAGATCCCAGGAGGTCAACAAATATCTACTTCATACGAAAACAGGACTCACCAAAACTCTCGAATTTATCGAAGCCACGCGGATAGCCACTAGATCATGGCATCTCAATAGAATAGAGGAAGAGATAGGAGAACAAGATGAAAAAGAAAGGGTAACCTAAAGAGCCAAAGGGTTAGAATAGCCCCTTTACAACCCATATTACCAACTTTGCAAATTTGCAAAGCTAAATTATCACCCACCCAAACATTAAAAACCATCCATTATCCTCAATCTGGCCGATTCTTCTGGTCAATTCAGCCAATACCTGATCACCTTGGTCAATATGGTCGATTTATTTGGTCAATTTGGTTGATTTGGTCAATTCATCTGGTCAATTTGGTCAATTCATTTGGTCAATCTGATCAATTCGGTCTATCCATCTGGTCAATTCATTCTCAATCGTGAGGTTTTACCACCCCAATTTGAATTTTACTTATTTCATTTGTCATTTTCCTTATTATATACGAAGAGTATCTGTAAGGCGGGCATGGTTCCCTAGGATTAGTTTTCACTTCCCCCATTCAAACATTAGAAGATTGAGGCTCTCAATCTCCCCAACCTGTATTAGCTACCGTCGAATAGGGCCAGCTACCCTCCATTTATTATTGTTAGAGGCCTACAAAGCTCCTAGCCGTCTTAGATAGTCATAGACTCAGTGTAAACGTTAATTTAATCAATCAATCGATCTATGAATTTACTTGTTACTAACTTCAGATGAAGGCTTTGATCAAACCTCAAATGTCGAAAATACTCGATTTTACGATAGGGGTTATATTGCTTGGGACACCACATAGGGGCACTGATAATATTACCTCAAGCGAACTTCTGCAAAGAATTATCCGCGCTGGTACTGCAGGAGAAGCATCCTCATTAATCGCATTAGAAGCTAATAACGAAATGGTATTGGATGCAGTACAAGGGTTTTCAATAGTGGCTCATGAAAAGAATATTCCAGTACATTGCTTTTTTGAACAAAAAAGCTCCAAGGTATCCAAGATGTTCGGAGATGATTATAAGGATTTTATTGTGGATGAAGAGTCGGCTATCTTAGATGGCTTTGAACGATATGGCCTGCCACTCGATCACTATCAACTCAATAAGTTTTCCGATCCTAAGGATGGAAATTGGAGAGAACTTTCTGATGTCATCACCAATCTTTGTGATAATGCACAACAAGAACTAGCTAATCGCAAGAGTGGGAATGGGAATAGAAATGGATATGAAAATAACAGTCGTGATGAAGGAGCTAGCTTTTCAGGCCATTTTTCTACTAATGGTGGGAAGCAATTTATTGGGGGTAATTTCAATTCGGGTGGTGGATCAATAACTTTTTAGTTACTTTGAATCTCTTTCACGTGACAAACCGCCTCTGCGTTCAGCCCCGGACGTAAAAACAACAATGACAATCTACGCAGTAAAAGCGTCTATTCCACCCGAGGACGCAATAAACAGTTCGAGTAACTTGGAAGCTTTCGAGTTCAATTACTTCAAGTATATTTATCACAATGCCCGATCCACTTGATAGTGTTACCGCTAGAATCGTTACTAGAATCGAAGCTTTACTCCACCTTGGTAGCACAGTCCATCAATATCTAAGTAATATCAAAGACCCAATCACAGATCACAACAATATCATCAACGAGATCAACTCTATATATGAAATCCTTTCTACTTTACAAGCTAATATACAAAACAATTCAATCAATAATGAAGATTGGTCGACAATTTTTCAAAGACTTGAAGACTCCGATGGCCCATTAAACCTCTTAAAGACAGCACTCCAGGAATTAACTACGAAATTCGAGGATACAGCTTCTACCATAGATGTTAGGGTCCTTCCATGGGATTTCAAGCAGAATGAAGCAGAGGAACTCTTCCGATTTGTTACAAAGCAGAGATCCTTACTATCTTTGGCTTTGAGGAATAACTATGTTGCACCTCCGACGGATATCCACGATAACACACTCCCTATTCGAGATGATATCGAGGTAAGGTCTACTCCCCAAATGATATATGTAGGCTAATATCTTATATAACCAGAATACAAACCTTTATAAACGATATTACACAAATCATGATTCAACTTTCAACTCGCAGTATCAAGATGATAACTCCCGATATCTACCTGAAACACAGTCTAAACGACAGAGAATTAATCGACAAGGAAATTTTACAAACGCAGGCGGATCACAATTCATTGCATCAACCCTCAATTCTGGGGGGGGGCCTATTAATATCAATACTCACACCCCAGAAAACCGCTGCCTAATCGACCTACGAACCACTGATCCACGATTGGACAAGAGACGTATCGAAGAGACTAAAGGAGGACTACTCGATAATGTATATAATTGGATTTTCGATAATAGTGATTTTCAACAATGGCTCTCCAACCAAGATAATCGTCTACTTTGGATCAAAGGAGATCCTGGCAAGGGCAAGACCATGTTGCTCTGTGGTATAATAAATAAGCTGCAGAGATCGGATGAGACTGCCTTAGCCTATTTCTTTTGCCAAGGCACTGATGCACGCATTAATAGTGCTATAGCTGTTCTACGTGGCCTTATCTATATGCTCCTAGATCGGCAGCCTGCCCTTCTCTCGCATTTACAAAAGAGATATGAGAAGGCAGGGGAACAGTTGTTCAAAGATGCTAATACCTTTATAGCACTCTCTGAGATTTTGAAGGATATCTTGCATGATAAGAATTTGAAGCCGACGATCTTGATTATTGATGCACTTGACGAATGCCAAAAAGACCTGCCACAATTACTTCGCCTAATTGTTTCGGGCTTATCCATTTATTCTCGTGTTAAGTGGCTTATCTCTAGTCGGAACTGGCCCGAAATCGAAGAGCAGTTACAACATGCCGAGCAGGGAACCCGGCTCAGTCTTGAGTTGAATGCGGAATCAGTATCTGCTGCTGTCAGGTGGTATATCCGAGAGAAGGTGAAATATCTTGCGAGAACAAAAAAATACACAAAGGAGACAAAGGATACTATCGAACGTTATTTCCTAGAACATGCAAATGGAACTTTTCTTTGGGTGGCTTTAGTTTGTCAAAATCTTGAAAAAGCTCGATTATTCACGAATTCAAAGCTACAAGATTACCCTTCCGAACTTGACCCTTTATATAATCGTATGATGAAACAGATAGTAGATATGGAAGATATCGATGCGGCTCAGATATGCCTTCAGATCCTGGCTATTGTAGTAATAGCATATCGGCCTCTTACGCTTGACGAACTAATGTCCCTGATGGAGATGAATAATGAGATTCCGCTAGAGGAAATAATACAACTTTGTGGTTCCTTTTTGGTTTCTCGTAACAGGAGTGTATTCTTTGTTCATCAATCAGCACAGGATTTCCTTTCTAAAAAGGTTGCTAAAACAATATTTCCAGATGGAATTGGGAAAGTTCATAACAAAGTACTTCTAAATTCGATAACAGTTATGAGCAAAACTCTAAAACGCGATGTATACGGTTTGGGGTATCCCGGCTTTCCTATTGATAAAGTCAAACAACCCGATCCCGATGTATTAGTTTCTATACGGTATTCCTGTATTTACTGGATTAACCATTTAAGAGATGGAGATCCTGAACAAAACAGAGAACACATTCAAGATAACGGCAATATTTATGAATTCCTCAAAAATCATTTGCTACATTGGCTGGAGGTTATGAGCTTGATGGAGAAAACTTCAGAGAGCATCAACGCAATAAGTTCTTTAGAGTCTTATATTCCAGTGTGTCAATACTATTTGGTAGTTCTTTTAGGAATTCAGCTAATAGATAATAAAGACTAACAAGGGTTCTGAACTCTATACTTTCATACATGATGCCAAGCGCTTCGTCCTTTATAACCGAGTAGGAATTGAACAAGCTCCTCTTCAAATCTATTGCTCAGCCCTTTTCTTTGCTCCAGAGAATAGTATTATTCGAAAAACATTTCAAAAATGTATCCCGAGTTGGATTTATAAAATATCAAGGACACGATCAAATTGGAGTGCCGCCCTCCAAACGCTCGAGGGTCATTCGAATTCGGTTTACTCAGTTGCCTTTTCACCAGATGGCACAAAAGTAGCTTCCAGCTCTTATGATCAGACGATCCGGCTCTGGGATACGACCACAGGCGAATCGCTTCAAACGCTCGAGGGTCATTCGAATTCGGTTACTTCAGTTGCCTTCTCACCAGATGGTACAAAAGTAGCTTCTGGCTCACACGATAAAACAATCCGGCTCTGGGATACAATCACAGGCGAATCGCTTCAAACGCTCGAGGGTCATTCGAATTGGGTTAGCTCAGTTGCCTTCTCACCAGATGGTACAAAAGTAGCTTCTGGCTCACACGATAAAACAATCCGGCTCTGGGATACGACCACGGGCGAATCGCTTCAAACGCTCGAGGGTCATTCGAATTGGGTTAGCTCAGTTGCCTTCTCACCAGATGGCACAAAAGTAGCTTCCGGCTCTATCGATCAGACGATCCGGCTCTGGGATACGACCACGGGCGAATCGCTTCAAACGCTCGAGGGTCATTCGAATTGGGTTAGCTCAGTTGCCTTCTCACCAGATGGCACAAAAGTAGCTTCCGGCTCTATCGATCAGACGATCCGGCTCTGGGATACGACCACGGGCGAATCGCTTCAAACGCTCGAGGGTCATTCGAATTGGGTTAGCTCAGTTGCCTTCTCACCAGATGGTACAAAAGTAGCTTCTGGCTCTTATGATCAGACAATCCGGCTCTGGGATACAATCACAGGCGAATCGCTTCAAACGCTCGAGGGTCATTCGCGTTCGGTTGGCTCAGTTGCCTTCTCACCAGATGGTACAAAAGTAGCTTCCGGCTCACGCGATGAAACAATCCGGCTCTGGGATACAATCACAGGCGAATCGCTTCAATCTCTCAAAAATCATTCGGGTTTAGAGGCATCCTCAGCCTTTGAACGGTACTTTATATCAAATCATTGGATAGCTGAAAGATCAGATGAAGAAGTGCGAAATATTTTTTGGTTACCTCCAGACTATCGACCAACTAGTACATATTTTTGTAACGGAGTTATAGTCATGGCATTTTCCACCGGTGGCATTTTTCTTCTGAAATTTGAGTATGAAAATTTCATATCGTCCAAGTAAAGATCAGTTTCAATATATCCATTACTGATTATATTATTTGTATCTTTAATATAGTATCTATTTGCCACCTTGATTCCAGTATGTTCTAGTGTAGTGATGTGGTAGTTTTATTGGTACAAAGAAATATAAAGAAATATTTTATTTGATGCACCTTCGAGCTAGTCATTATTAGAATTAAAGGTCTGAAAGCATAAAGAGAAAGATGTAAATTCGATTCTGTTCCCAGCTTTATATCATATACTGTATATATATATATATAGAGTTTATCTCTGATTATGGTAGAATGCTATGATTTTAGAATACTGTTATTCTAATCATTTTATTAAAAGTCAATATTAGTTTCATAATGATTAATCATATTGAATGAATTACTAGCCTTGTTAAAATATTTGCTTAACCTTTGTTTAACAATAGTAGTGAAAAATATATCGATTCTATTACTTAAAATTTAAAACTAATGAAAGAGAAGAGAGAGAAATCTATATATAATATACTTCGAATAGATCTTGAGTTTGATGGATACAATAAAAAGTTCCAGAAGATTGGTGTATGAATTTCCAATATAATTACTTTTTGGGTTTTGTCGAGTATTGCATCTGAATCGCCATTATAGTCCAGTGCGGAAGTGCATTATGGATCTTCTCTCAAAAGCAACCGTGTTTTATCCTGATTATCGTTTAATATTCCTCCCGATTCCTATAGAATATGTTTCCTCTTAATTTGTGCCGTTTCTAAGCGTTCTTTGGAATGTAAAATATTGTAAGGAATGAAAGTTTTTGTGGAAGTCAATTCATTAGATATCAACATTCAATGCTTGGGAAAGAATGGGAAGATAAAGAAGCTCTAGGATATGTTGCAGCTGAAACTCGAGATTATATGTTGTGTCATGCCCAATTCTGGTACGTTTAAGGAAACATCTGAAAGGCCATTCTTGATATTCGGCAATTGGTAACACCGGACTGGAGGAACTTCAAGAAGTTGGTGAATAAAAGTGAAGGTTGTTTAAGGAGCTCTACTTGATATCCTATCATAGACTGGTATATCAACTACTACACCAATAAGTCCAGAATAGTAAGGCTTCGACTTCGACGATAGACTCATCGTATAAAGATTGTAGTCGGAGAGCTGATTGCTCCAAACACAACCATTATATGACTATACCCAAACCGTAAGATTCGTGACTTGATCGGTAGGCACTTTAGCACTGGGAGTATAATGAACAGTAATTTTTATAACGAAAACAAGCATTGACACCGGTTTACATCATTCCGGATCAATGTCAAAGAGACAATCTATGTTGACGTGCTGTATAATTAAAGAAATGCATAGCACTACCTAAAAATGCTGAACATCCTTGATAAGGACAGTGAAATCCCTCATCAGCGGTACGAGATTGAAGGTGCTGAGTTTTGATATGTCGATTAAGACTATCAATACGAAGGTATTTGTACTCTCGTTTCTCTGGCCTTGCTTCATTATCATTCCATTTGCAGAAGGCACAAAATAATGTAGAGACCTTGGAAAGGTTATGAGATCTTGTTGTTATATCAGCAATTAGAGATGTCGAATCTGTGTCTTCTGATAAGGTTTGGGAGTTGATATGTTTTCGAGGCCGTCCTTTGGATTTCGATGCTCGATATTGGTGAGGGGATTCTTGGCGTTTGTAAAGTTGGATCAAGTTTTGAACAAGCTCGATCCGCTTTTGAATGATCTAATCCTCTGTAAGGCTTGTATGTGGTTCGAAGAGCAATCTGGCTATAGTAGCTTGCTCCTCAAGCTCGTACTCAATTGTTGAAGGGGTGAGGATATCGGCGGGAAGAATTCCTTGCAATTGTCGATCGACCTCGATAGTATGAACAGTCTTGTGAAACTCCTTGATAGTTTTAGCCAGCAACTGTTTGCTTTTTTGGTTCTTCAAATTATTGATTTCGGTCTGTATTTCTTGATGTTTTCTATACCATCTCGTTTCCGCAGCTGCTCTGATAGTGGGATAACTGCGTGACTTGATGTTCAGAACAGACTCTTTACGCTTCTGAATAAGTTGAAGAATTTCGGGATCTTGGCTAATCTCAAACTTCTGCGCATCGGTCAGGTCTGAAGGGGCCCGTTCGTGACGAGATAGTCGGCCAACAGCTCGAATTAGATCTTCTCGTCGTGTAGATCCAAGGTAAATAGCTTGACAATCTGTGTCAATGAATGCTTGCATATAATATCGTTCATAAACATCTCCCCGATGGCCCATGATCTGCCGGCGTTCTTCTGGTGTAACCGACTCTATATCGACAATTAGCTGAATTTCGACAGGAAGTCTCAAGAGCAAGAGAAAAGTGTGGTCTGAAAATTTGGACATAAGGAAAAGAACTTGATAAGAATAAGGGATAGAATAAATGGGAAAGATTAAGAGAATTTTGTATGAAAAACCTACCATTCAACCTCTTCCCAGAAGCTCGCCGCAAATGATAGAATTCTAGTCTCTTCTCATACCCACAGGTTCGACCAAGACGGATGAAATGTTGTCGATGTTTCGAATATTCTAGACATTTAATCTTTGAAATGCGGATACCATTAGCAGTATTATTCACATCCCGGAAGACAGGACGCTCAGCCCATTTTCACGATGGTTTGATCCAGTAGCGAAGAAATGATATTGGGTGGATGCAGCTAATAATGTAGTATTGGATGTGAATGGAAATACTGCTTGGGACTCTATTCAGTCATGGCTATAGTTGTGAGGTAGGTGAAGTTGGAAGGCTGGAAGATTGAAAAATTGGGATTATGTGAAGGAGTCTTTTGGAGTAGGTTTGAAGTTTTCTACTTGGTTTTTATTATTTACTTGTTTTATATATCAACTTGTTTAGTACTATGATAAAAGGAAATGACGGAACAATTAGCAGGAGTATGCATAAAGCAAACTTGTAATGAAAGAACAGAAAGAACTGAAGCTACTTTGAAAACTATATACACCTCCTGTTTCTTCTATTTCTCTTAATAAATTTCCATACTCTCTTAGTCATATAACTAGATCAAGCTCGTAACATCACGCAAATATTTTACTCATCATACTTAACTCTTTGCAATGGATTTGAATGAAGACGTACCTTACATTCCACCCCCATTCCATTGTCAACCAGCACGTCCCCACTCATCGCCTCCATCTCTATCACCAACACCACCATTAGTATTGTATTCAGATCAGTTTATTATTGAATCAGATCCTAGCGAAACTCATGGTCCTTTGGTGCGATAATTTACTTTTGTTATTCAATCAAAATAAATGCTAACATATTTAGGAACTTCGTACGAATCACAGATTGGTTGTCGCAACTATCCCTGAACGAATTCATCCACAATGGACTGTTTACCGACTTAAGATCAAAAAACCATCTATCCTCGATTATATTCCAATCCCATTTATTCGATCTATATTTGAAAAAAATTTCAACTTCTATCCATGTCTCAAAAGTTCCCATCCTGAATGGTTTCTACCACCCACAGTCATCCTCAAAAAATGCAAGCCTGATTGGGATGATGAGTTTGAGGTTGAAAAACGCATCTACCGTCGCCTTCAACCTCTTCAAGGAAGATTCATACCCTATTTCTATGGAGAAGCTATATATGATGGATCGCCTGCTTTGGTCCTATCAGAAATTATTGGCCGAAGATTACTCGATATCATAGTGGAACATGAGAGGACGCAGAATTTGAGAGAAAACTAGAAGAAATTTATACAGTATTAACTAGTTACGGAGTAATTCATAGGGATACAAAGTTGGATAATGCTATGGATGTTGGAGATCGAATAATGGTTATTGATTTGGAGCAAGCTATAATCGATGAAACAGAATTTGCTAGAAGTACTAACAGAGGAAATGCGAGGGGCTTACTGCGTGACCTTCAATTGAATCGTCAATACGAAGATGAGGCAAGGCGAAGGGAAGAGAAGAGATTGAAAGAAAAGGCGGAGGCAAAGGCAAAAAAAAGAAGGTGTAGTAGGAAAATCCTAATTTATCACTTATCTAATGTATTGTTAGGCTTTGGGAGCTGAGACATTCAAATCAACGTGGAGAGGAATAAAATGGGCTTGGATTGGGATAGGAAGAGAAGATTTGAATGCTTTCTTTGTTGGCTGAGTAGGCAAGCCTGGGTAGTTGAGCACCAAGTTGAGTAGAGATTGCAATAAAAGGGATGATCAAGCAGGAAGAATAGGTTGTGGTAGAGGTTGACATCGTATTCATTCATGTTATACAATTTAAAAATTCCCCCCCAATTAGAAATTCCATTAAAAAGTTGCTTTTATGTTGTGATCACCTTTTGAGTTTTGTAGAATACTGTATCTGAATCGCTGCTTGAGTCCTGTGTGGGAGGGCGTCATGAATTTCCTCCCAAGAACAACCGTCCTTTTTCATCCTTACTATCGTCTCATGCTCATCTGCCTCCCACCTAACGCGCTTCCCTTTAGGTCCTGCTGGGCGTACTTCGGAATATAGAATACTGCAAGAGCTCTGGATCTGCGCAAATGTATCAGCACCTAATGCTTCTGCAATAACAAACAGATGCAGATGCTCCGGTACATATTGCAATTGGAACTCGAGAGTGTGTGTGGTATCGTTCCCAATTATAGTACGTTTTAGAAAACCTTGAAACGGCCATTCTCGATACTCGGTAGTGGTTGCCGGCTCTGCACATATGGGTTCACAGGGGATAGTGAATAGCAGTGATTACCATCGCTAATCGCTGGTGAATGCCCACCAAAGTTCGATGTGGAGGAGTCGATCATGGTAAATGGAGCAGTGGAGGATGGACCGATGATAAAACGTAGTCAAGGATGACCTTCTGCATCATTATGTCAGGATGAGGTTTGCTCGTTGTCGATAGGAAGTGACCGAGTTCTTCGCTGTTTTGCAGATCGTGTATTGTCGTCACTCTCATTATCTTTATCAATCTCAGTTTCGGATAGATGTCGCCGCTTTCTGCATCCTTGTTGTTCATTATTTCCCCCCTTGTTTATCGATCCTACAGCTATATCTCCGTGCTGCTGAAGGAATTATAGTGAAGATCCATGCTCAAGCTCTTCAGGGTCATTGTAGCTGGAATCACTCTGATCTTGATCGCGAATAATCAAAGGATGCAATAGCTCGATTAAGTAATCCACAAAAGGAAAATAGGAGCCACCCATTGAGAAATTCTCTTGCTCATCTGAATTTGATTTATTGTCTTCCAGCATTAGAGTATCTATATATAGTCAGGAGATTGCTTTATTATCGTAATCAAGAGTATCCATACCTTGAGTATTATAACCCTTTTGTAATCCTTCTATCAAGGTCTCCTGGTACAAACGAGGATCAAGGACTGTCTCAATTGATGAAGAATCGTCATCATATATTCTTGGCGAAGCTATCTTATCCTCCCAAATTTTGTTTTCCAAGCTTGAATCCTCTCCTGTATTCACTTGTGATATGCTACATAATATAGGGAGATCGATATTGTAGTCATTATCGATAACGTTTTCTGTATCATTTGTTACGTAGTAACAGTCAACCTGTCCATATGAGCTCAGACCCCGTGGAAAAGCAAACCGATTCGCATACAAAATTGTATGGTAATCGGTTCGTAGAGTATCCCCACCTTCAGCAAGCACAGACATATGTTCTGATTGAAATCACGTGATGGATCTAAGGGATCTAGATAATTAAACTCTAGATCCAGTAGATCCAAGGGATCCAAAAGAATACAGTAGAATATGAAGTTCTATATAAGGGATAGGTTTTCATTTGTAGAGCTTCGTGCTCAAGATCAATCATTTAGTATACTCTACTATTAGTTACGAATAGCATATCATTATTGTTACTTAAGTCCCTGCTTGACGCCTAGTTATAAACCAGAGCACTTCCACGTGATCTAGACGGCAAACCTCGTAACAGGTTGAGGGTGGGTTAAAATTTTTAGATTTTGTATCTACACCAAGTTCTTGGAGTCTATTCCCAGCTAGCGCAAGTGCCTAGGACATTCAATCAAAAAACATCTCTCCTTAGCAAAATACACCATGACGAAAGAATCAAGATCTCTTTACCCAAAATCGAACTATCTTTCCGTCCATCAAAATATCTACATTTAGTCTGAGAGTATAAAAACAACGCGTTCATCCCAATAGGACAATCATGAATCTTGATTGATGCCAAGTAAAATGATCTTGCACTAACACTACTAACGAACGTTAGATGTTGATTTAGCTCAAACAAGTGCCGAAATAAGTCATGTAGTTAAGTTCTTTCCTTAGCTTTCTTCTTCGGATATGGACGAATGTATCTTTTGCTCCAACTTCCTTGTTGTTCCGTCTTGATAGATAGAGCTTTCCTTGCTGACTCTTTCCAGTGCAGGCAGAAAGTATAAAATAAATTCTTGTATAGGTTTAGAAAGGAAAGGAAGGAAATCTAAAGAAATGTGAAATAAGTAATTTAATCGGTACAATCAATTATTTTTTTATCTATTTATTTTTCTAGCACAAGATCTACAGAGAAAATCATCAATAAGCCATCAAAATCTTCGCTTATGTTCGCTTGATCTCGTACTCCTTGCTACATCGAATAAAAATTGTCAAATACTATACCCATTCAGAACCTAGAGGGTTCTTCCTATCCTTCCCCGCGTTATTTAAGCTTCGACAGAGAAAGGAGTAGTTCATACTTTCTAACCATTCAAGTACATAGTTCTTTCCTCGCTAGACACAGTACATACGTAGTAAAAACCACCCACATAATCCTCTTCTTCACTTGAAAGTTTCACACACCTTTCCCATCCAGCATTCCCACATTCTTACCCAGCGTCAAGATGCTTCTTTAAATTCCATTGGAATTTTCCAGCTCATTATATCATTACCGTTTCATCCCATACCATATCATATCATATCCCCATAAATCAATAAACCAGCAAACTCATCTTCAAAACCCCACCAGCGAATCCATAACCATCCAGTGTAAAAATGAGTCAATTACTCGGGTTCTCACAGCCCGAACAAGCAAGAATATCACAACTATCTTTCACCACTGCACGAGAAAATTCAACACCCAATAATCCTTCTACACCCAGAGCTTCAAATCTCAATTCCATTTCTGTTCCTATCCAGGAACAGGAGGAAATACCTAATCATGACGAAGATTTCCCTCCTAGAAATCCAATGCGTCCTTCTCCTGCCAGACACGTATCCTATTTCTCCGAAGACTTCACCGAAGAATCAACCCTCCAATCATCTACCCAATATTCCGCATCTTCAACTGCAGGAAATCCCAACAACAACAACAAACATCCCTACAATAACCGCCATGGCACCGAAGACATCGAAGGACAATTTAAAAAAATCGAAGAATCAAACTACACCACCGGCACCAACACAGCATCCCAAAAGCCCCCAGGATCTACCTCCGAAATCCACTTCCGCTCCATGAACTGGGTGCAATGTTCCGCACTTATGATCGCCGAAACTATCTCCCTCGGAATCCTCGCGCTGCCCTCCGTCCTCGCAACTATCGGTCTCATCCCCGGTATCCTCCTCATTCTCATCATGGGAATCCTAGCCTGGTATTCCGGATACGTGATGCATCAATTTCGACAAGCATATCCCAGTATCCATAGTTGGGCCGATTGCTGCGAGATATTATTGACGCCGCTAGGATGGGGACGAGTTGGGCATGAGATTGCGGGGGCGGCGCAGATTTTGTTTTTGTTATTTTTAATGGGGAGTCATATATTAACGTGGATTATTTGTTTGCGTACGTTGACGGGAGGGGGGGTGTGTAATATTGTGTGGGGAGTGGTGGGGATGGGGATTTTTTGGATATTGGATTTGCCGAGAACGTGTAAGGGGATGAGTTGGATGAGTGTTGTTTGTGAGTTTTTTTTTCTTTTTCTCTTTCTTTCTGGTTCTGGTGAATCTTGCGACTTGCTTGTCTTGATATTCTAGAAATCGAACTCAATCAAAATAAACCAAAAAAAACTAACCCCTCTCCCCAACTCCAGCATTCGCAAGCATCACCACCGCCGTCCTAATAACAATGATAAGCGTCAGAATCCGCGCTCCCCCCACAAAAACCTACACTCTCTGGCCCCGCGCCCAACTCACCCTCCGCGAAGCCTTCCTAAGCATAACCAACATCGTCTTCGCCTACGCCGGACACATCGCCTTCTTCACCTTCATATCCGAACTACGGACGCCTAACGATTTTCCCAAAGCACTCGCTACACTCCAAATTGTCGAGATAACGCTGTATCTCGTGACTGCAATTGTGATATACGTGTATGCAGGCTCGGGGGTTACATCACCTGCTCTCGGGTCTGCGGGACCGTTGGTGTCGAAAATAGCGTTTGGGATTGCTATTCCGACGAGGATGGATTGCGGGGGTGATTTTTGGGCATGTGGCTTCGAAGTTTGTGTTTAATAAGATTTTTAGCGGGGATTTTCGTATGATGAATATGCGGACGAAGGGGAGTACGTTGGCTTGGATGGGGATTACGTTTGCTCTTTGGGTGGTGGCGTGGGTGATTGCGGAGAGTATTCCGGTTTTTAATGAGTTATTGGGATTGGTTAGTAGTTTGTTTGCGAGTTGGTTTACGTATGGGCTTGCGGGGGTTATGTGGTTGTTTGTGCATAAGGGGAGATGGAATGAGGGGTGGTGGATGAGAGGGCTGTTTTTGTGTAATGTTGGGTTGGTGAGTGTTGGGGCGGTTGTTTGTGGGATGGGACTTTGGGCTAGTGGGGTGGGGATTGGAGAGGGAGCGAGGGGGGGGAGGAGTTGGAGTTGTGGGGGAGACTAGGGGAAGGGGAGTATGAGATAGGAGGGTTTGGTCTGGTGATTGATGATGGGAGAGAGATGTTTAATGTTTAATTTGGTATCTAATGAGTCTCTTCCTCTAGCGTTTTCTTCTTTTCCGAAGGTTAGCAAGCGGAAAAGCGTCTCTGGTTTCATAATGTATGAGAATTCAATTTTACCAGCGTATAGAGCCTAGTATCTATAGTCTAGGAATAGAAGAATAAAAGCAGGGCTTTTACTTGTGGTGGAAAGAAAATTAGAATAAATTCTTTAAATCATGACCTTTTTGCCAGTCAATATTTAAGTGAAGAACAAGAGGATATGCATTTATAAGGAAAAGGAGAAGGAAAGTGTTTCGATAGGTTAATCTGCGAGTAGTTATAAAGTTTCCAGGTAGATGCTAAACAAATGGGTGATATTTGATTGACTTTAATATTTTGAATGACTTGAAAGCACAAAACTTAATGAGATGAAGGAAGAATTAAATACACAAGTATATATTTATTGTAATTAATGGAATATTAATCAGATAGAAAAGTACATATGTATCAATTCATATAAAGTCAAAGATATTTATTTCTACAGGAAAATGGATGTATATAAAGTTATCATAGTGAAATGATGAGGAATGAGAACAGATGGAAATAGATTGAGATGCTTTTGATACTCCTTTGACTACGGTATACTTCTAGGTCACCACCTGCGATATAGCGATCTAGATGGGATTCTTGAGCATCATCCGCCATTCCTCCAAGCAGGATATAATTCCCATCAAAGGACACAATATTAAATATAGATGAAAGGCCTCCATGAGGATTGCTTCCCTATCTGATATCTATGAACCGTTGCAAATTTAATTTCTTACCGAGAAGGAATGTTGATGTTGTTCCCGTTTCGCAGGGAGTGGCTTGATGAATGATTTCCAGTACCTTCCCATATTGCATCATTGAAGTACAAAATTATGGGGAATTTCCCATATAGCATCCGATGTCCCGAAAGTGAGAAAGAGTTATTAAGGCTTTGCCGGTTGCTATGATAGGTACAGTTTTTAATTCTGCACGTAATAACGCTTGTATTTTCCGAATTTGGGATTATCCTAACATAACTATATGTCCTGGTCATGTAATCCATGACTCTTCACCACACATCACATCATCTCCGACACAATAAATACATAGTTGATATATTCAAAGATGTAACATGAAACTTTTCCAAGACGGGAGGAAAGGAACGGATACTACCCCGCTATCCTATCATAACATCCCAATGCGGGGTTCACATCTTCACCTGCTGATAAAGAGGAAATGAGTGATTACTTTTCATTTCTCATTTCTATTTAATATGGTCAGATATGATAATCGTAGAAGAAGTCAAAGCTAATAACCGTGCTTGAATTGAGATTTAGATCTCCATTTATGATATCATATGGTATCTGAGGACCAGGAACACGGTGGAAGAAATGAGCGAATGGTACAATCTTACACATCCCCTCCCTCACTGAAGATGTGAGTCCACGGCAGACATGTGAAATTCTCCAAACTCGGGACTTCTGAATGTATCGGTAGTTATGATAATGTAGCAGTCAAAGCTAAAAAGGATTTCCCAACGGAATCGTCGTAAGACTTACATGAAGCACAGTAATGTAAATCGCTTGAAGTAGGTAATCATCCATCGGTCTTTAGATTAGTCTTAGGCTTATAATTTAATCAAAGCCTACAACACATACAGCATCGCATGTATTAATTCCAATTCAATATTTGAATGTACAGAGTATGTATGTACATACATACACAGAGCGAATAAATTTCCTCCACGATGCATCAAGGAATAATTTTTTCTATGAAAAAATGAATGGATGGCTCAACAGTTCAAGCAAACGGATTACCATAGGATAAGAGTGATGAAGCAACGAAAAATAAGGGAAAGGAAAAGAAGATGCAGTTAAAATCCTCTGTGTGACTCCCCGCAATTGGATGTGTACTTCATCCGATACATGCTCGGCTGGCGGAAAACTGCAGACTCTTGCAGAATTGGAATCGTAGGTAAGGTATTCCGCAGGTGGTATGCTTTTCAATAATGGATCGTCAGCCCGAGACAAACACGAAGAGAAATATTGGATTCCTTAAAAATCTTTTAGATGAAAATGTATGTGTCTCTGAAAATAATACGATATATTGGAATGCTTTTGGTATGGATGAACTGATTGCTAAGAATATCTCCTTAGAGAGGCATAAAAAATGTAGTTTATTCCGGAATTACTAGGGGGCTGAGTTCTGAATGGCCGCCACAATGCTTTGCCACACTTTTGGAATTTACAAGACCAAACCCACCCACATTTCAATTACAATAATAACAATAACAATAATAATAATACGAAAAGAGTCTTGTAAAAGGAAAGAACCAGATTGGTCTAGACAAACCCATGTTACTAAAATGCTCAGCTTCATCGCCACTCTTCATTGGTGCGTGCTCAGATACGATGTTAGCAAAAAAGGTTCCGTGCTGTGACTATCTCGCCTGTGCTGTGATGAATCAGGTACAGGAATGTCGTTATTATTGGTTTATGGATCATCAAGTCCAAACCAACCCATGAAAAGAAGCACATGAATAATGCATAGCATTGCATCCTTGGCCCACTAGCTGAGAAATTGACTAGTAGCGGTGCCCTACCAGTCAGTCAGTCAGTACCTTACCAATACCTACCAGTACCTTAACGGTACCTGCTTTTTGAACAAACTTGAAGATTCGTCGTCCTCTCCATTTTCTTGCATTTTTCGTGTTTTATACGTGTGTGTGTATGTATGTCGATCGATATATCCAACCGCTAAACATTGGCGCTTACTACGCTGACTTGTTATCTGCTCAAGTAGATAGATATAAAACAAGATGGGTGAAGTACGTGTTTTGTAAAAGTGTGAATAGAAGAACCTAGGTACTCTTCCTACCTACCAAAAGATATAACAAATATGAATGGTCAAATAGGAATAAACTTGCATGGTACCTGAATGAGGGACATAAAAGACCAACCAATGAAGCCGACCAATAAATGGGATGATGATGGAAATCTGTAGAAATAGCTTTGAAACCTGAAACAACAGTTCGGACGATTCAGACAATTCAGACAATTCAGACAATTCAGACAATTCAGACAATTCAGACCCAAGTAAGCAACACCTACTAGGTAATTAGTTGCCTCTGCAGCGAATAATCCTTCGGTGATTTCTAGGGTCAAGAGACGAATAAAAATACGATGCGGAGTGTTCTGTCGGTAATACCGTCCGTATTTTTTATTCGGATGGATATCATTCGAAATGTTTTGCCTTCTTGGTGGCTTCTTGGACGTCAATCCTACCGTTTCTATTTGTACTCTCTACATTGCGGGTACATTGTATCTTACTAGGTACCTAGGTTGGTAGCTATACGAGTAAGTAGAAATACAATGAGGATGATGTTAGTGGTCGGTAATTTTAATTACGAGATTCTTGCCATGTCCTCCTGCCTTTTGTTTTCATAAATCATCAGTTATGTGATAATTTCTTTCTTTTGTTTGGTGATGATCAAAAATCATCATAAAATAAAAAGGTCATATTTCTGAATCAGAAGAGGGGCAGAAAAAATAAAACTTGGCAGAATTTGGGCGGTGACTACTTTTTTTCTATTTTCATGTTGCATGAAATGCACGTTTGTGGCTCAGTGTGGAACCACAAAATCATCGAACCCATCAGGGCGGCTTCAGCTGATGTTTTTCTTATTCTTGATTCGTTCCCCTTTTTTGATTCAATCTTTGAATCTACTAACCATATTTGAATTGATTGCCGAATCTATACGAATCATGGCCTTTTTTCTACTCTCCAATCTATGGGTATCGCTTGCAATTTTCCTCTCTCCCCTCGAATCACTAACTCTTTTCATGTTAAGTGCTACACCGGAGAATTATCCGTAGAATGTCTTAGCGCCTTAGGGAAGTTTGGCCCGCACTGAAAGACCATGTACGGAGTACTTTATTTAGTGGAACACATAACCTATCCCGGAAGTAAGGAATGTGATTTGCCTTACTGGTTCATCAAAAGTGGCTTGCGATAGAAAGCTTCGTACTTAGGAGTTCCACATTCCCAATTGGACGGAATCCATGTTCGAGCTAAGGTGCCATGGATCTTGTACCTAGACGTTGCAGCTTCATGGGACGGGAAGGTATCTGTATATAAGTTCATGATGATTTCCAACGTGCTTTCACTATCACATCTATCTCATCAACCTTTCATTCCTTCAAGGTTCATTTGCTAGACGCGGCACGCTCTTGACGAGTTCTCTCATTCATTATTCATATCAATTATCAAATTCATTTTCATATCCATCATCACATTCACATTCATATTTACCTACATCTACATCAATATGTTTACCCTTCCTTTGATTTTAGTCGCCGGCGGCTTATCCACTCTCTCTATCGGAGCTCCTCTTCCTGGAAATACAGAAAGAGACTCATTCATTCATTCTATTCAAGAGCGTGCAGCAAATTCATACACGGTATTTTCCGGTGATGGAGATACCAATGTAGGATGGCCTACACAAAGTGAATGGATTTCAAGCTTTGATGATATGTATGTATATATTAATTACCCCTCATTTCAAATTACTAACAATCCTCCAGGTTCGACATGCAAAATAGTGTATTGAAAGCATCATGCACTCAATTCGGTGAAGCCAACAATTCCGATGACGAGATCTCAGATCTCAAATCTGCCATCTCAGAAGTTGCTAGTACTACCGGCATTGATAGTCGTTTTATCCTTGCCATAGTAATGCAAGAATCTAACGGTTGTGTCCGCGCTCCAACTACCGTTTACTCCATCGCCAACCCAGGTCTCATGCAATCTCACGAGGGATCCGGATCATGTAATTCAGGAAGCTCTGTTCAAAATCCTTGTCCCAAGAGTGAAATGGTTCAAATGATTACTGATGGTACAGCTGGTACAGCATCAGGTGATGGACTCAAACAATGTATTGCCGAAACAGGAGTTACAGATGTTAGCATGTATTACAAAGCCGCCAGAATTTACAACTCCGGCTCTATTGCCTCGGGTGGAAATCTCGGGGATGGTGTCGCTACTCATTGTTATGCTACTGATGTTGCAAATCGTCTCACAGGATGGTATTCGGGAACTAGTTCTTGCAATTCAGCTACTATTGGTTCACTTACAGGTTCAGCTGCTTCTCCTGGTTCCAGTGCTATTAGTTCGGAAATAGCTAGTGCCAGTTCAGTTATTAGCTCTTTTGTCTCTTCGGTAGCTTCTGAAGTTACTTCGGCTTATTCGGTACCAACTGCCATCTCGGTCAGACCTTTCTTCACATCAGTTGTTTCAGCTGCTTCATCAGCTGCTGCATCCAATACCGGTGGTATATTCGCACAAGTCGGTGCTTCTTCGTCTAGTTCATCCGCAGAACCAACCTCGGTATCATCAGCTGTGTCTGTCCCAACAGCTGCTTCCTCGTCTATCGCAAAACCAACCTCGGTATCATCAGCTGTGTCCGTCCCAACAGCTGCTTCTTCATCCATCGCGAAACCAACTTCCGCATCATCATCTACATCCACCTCCATCGCCTCTATAATCCCCACCCCCACCCTCCCCGCAACCATCCCAACCACCACCTCCTCCCTCCCAACCACAACCACACTCACCTACCCCTCCGCCTCGTCCTCCCCCTCTTCCTCAAACACAAACACAACCTACACCCCCGGCACCAGCTGCAGCACCCCAGGCCAATGGAACTGCATCGACGGAACCTCCTTCCAACAATGCGCATCAGGAGTTTGGTCCAGCATCGGAGGGCTCGCCGCAGGAACAGCATGTAAAGTCGGAGAAGGGAAATTAATTGATATTTTCGCTATGGATGATAGTGAAACTAAACATAAGAGATATGTGGGTGGTGAGAAGAGAGGTTTGAAACATGCGCATTTGCATGGTTTGAAGAGGGGGGTGAGGAGTTTTTGAGGGGTTGGAGAGGGGTTTAGTTTAGTTTAGTTTAGCTTTGGATTGGATTTTTTGGGGGCTGGGGGAAAAGGGGAATAGGGATAGGAATAGGAATTGGAAATGGAGTTTATTTCTTTATTTTTTACAAGATTTTTACCCTTTGGGTTTTTGCGGGGTGATTCGTCTTTAATGTTCCTTCTTCTTCTTCTTAAGTGGATAGTTTGGGGATTTGGAAATTAGCATAGCAAAGCTTTCCCAGGCAGAGCTGGACAGAATGGACAGGAAAGGAAAAAAGGAAGAAAAGGAAGAAAAGGAAGAAACCTGGTGTTTTTTTCTTGATATGAATTTATGAATGAATATATGAATGAATATATGAACGTAGGCAGGGGGGGTGGGGGTATTGTGTATTGTATTACAGTTTATTACAGTGTAGATGTAGATGTAGATACAAATGCAAAGATGAAAATATAAATGAAAACATAAATGAAAACATAAATATATATACAAGTATACAAATGTAAGACAAGAGGGGAGAAAGAAGAGAGAAAGAAGAGAAAAAGAGGAGAGGAAGGGAGGAAAATGGGAAAGTGTATAGTAAAGTATAATAGAAGTATAATAGAAGTATAAGTAGAAGTATAAGATTTATATAATCTCTGATACAAGATCATTTATTAGTGACTTTTTGAGATTATTTGAGATTATTTGAGATTTTTTGAGATTTTTTGTTTGTTTATTTAGGATATAAGAGATATGAAGTGTGACCAAAAGGGTGTTTATAGACCAGCAATTGTATTTAACTTAGAATCTACAGGTGAAGAGCACCTGTAGATGGGGATAGCTACTCTATATATGCACAAATGAATGGCCTAGCCGCAATAGCTAGGCAAAAAGAAGTCATATTTATCCCTCCAATGATCTTACTTTACCGATAACCATTGATACCTAGTACTTGTCCGGATCTGATCCTCAGGTCACCTAAATCGTATACTAATCCCGAGTAATCGTATCATGTGTGGACATGGTTAAGGTACCTGAGGTTTCTTATATAATAAGAGTGGGAGGAAAGCAGGGGTTTCCGTCACATTCAACAATTAATGAATCGAATCAATGAAAATTTTAATTATAAAATCATTATATAATTATAAATAAATTCTGAAAATTTCAGATTTTTCACAATTTTATTGATTGAGATATTAATAATTGCAATTTTGATTTTCAATTTGTATAGGATTTATATACAAATTTGGAAATATTGAAAATCTTTAATAACTTTTTAATAAAAATTGTTAAAAATAAATTATAAATTTTTTTAAGAATATATACAATATAATTGATTATTTAGATTAATTTATTTTGAAAAATAATTAGTAATTAAGCTTTTTGTCACGATTCATTAATTCACGTGACCTCGAGGACCTTGAGGACCTTTTGGACCTTAGGGTCCCAAGGGTCCTCAAAAGATGATATAGGGTATATAAACATTCATTTAGTCTCGTAGTTAAGGAGCTTCGTGCTCAACTTAGTTATCAATTAGTTTACCTACATTCTACTTGATCTAGTAACGACTTCACTTCCAAGTGAATACCAGTGATAAAGCCTTAACCCACAACTACCAACCAGACGAAACCTCAGGCAGCCGCTGCCTCCAGTACATCATCGTTACAAGAGCAAGGGAATGTTGAGGAGGGGAAATCAAGATTAAAAAGGGAAAGGGAAAGGGAAAGGGAAAGGGAAATTTATAAGATTTCAGAGTAATTCAGATTTAGAAAAAATTGTTATGGTGGTATAGTTGATAATGTATTATTAACTAGAACTTATAAACAGAGACATTGAGACATGAGACTTGATAGATTTATATAAATAGAGATATACAACTGAACTTATAGAATCGATATAGAAATATAGAAAATGAGTGTACAAACTCATTTATAAATTGGCTTTTCTATTAAATGAAGAGTAAAATTGATACAAGATATACAAAACCAAAATCTCCTTAATCATAACTATTTTAAGTAAACCAATAACCTATCCCAATACGACAACTATCGAATAAGAATATCTAAACCGTAATTTCAACAAAGATAATAACATATATATATCCAAGTACATAAACCGAGAAATATCACATTAGACAAAAGATCGATATTGGTTCTCGTATTCCAACCTCTTTCCAAAATAACCATCATACATTACTCCAGCCCAAAAAAAAAAACTCCACATCTTCTCAGTGGCACCAAAAGGATTGTCCGTTACGAAATTACCGATCAACCGAGAGAGATAAAATTAGACGACCAATATAGCAAGCAACAAGGTCAAGTGAATCAAGTTCAAGTATGAAAAGTCTAGGCTATCAGTCATCAAAAACCTCCATCACCATCTCGTCATACACACACAGCACTCGCCACCATCATCTTATCCCAAGAGTTCCGGATACGAGGTTCGTTTTCTTGTATTCTTCTAGGATATTCCCTCTATCTAATATATATCGATTCTGCACTGCCACAGAGCTAGATGTCCAGTCTAAGGACTAAAACACGTGATATTCCAAATCAACAAGAATGGTAGATCTTAGAATCTAGACGGACTGAGCTCAGCCTTGCGGAGTATCCTGAAGCTTGTAATGTTTCGTTTTGTCATGGCTGAGATGAATCATCGATGATTTAGATGCGGGCTATGAATTTCGCCGCCTCGGATAGTTTTGTATTGCGTGTTCCGTATTCCGAGATGCATGTGATGTTGAGTTTGGCTTTAATCATACTGGATCCAGAACCTCGGATGACTTTGAGGTGTCAGAAACATAGAGTTCTATTTATGGTTAATAATGGTTTAGAAAGAAGTACGTGTATGCACGTAATTCCCCTAAACGAACCTCTCGAATTTCAAGACTTTAAGACCGAGAAGTTCATAAATGATGTGATGAAAACTAGAAACTATAGCGACTTGACTAAAGCTGCAAAGGACGGCCCTTTCATTTGAATTCAAATTGCACAATCATGTACGAGCCATCGCTAAATGTCGTGCATTGTAGTATGGGGTTACCAAAATCATCTGCATATGCTCCCCATGTACACGAACTACCAACTCACCATCACTTCTCAGATGCCACTTGTCATATTTGAGAACATTTTCACTCGTATAACAAACGCCTACCCACTTACCTCGGAATATCCCTTATCTTCATCTATTCTTTCACTTGGCAATTCAATCTGAATATTGGCCAAGCCCATACAGCAATATGTGTAACGTATGACAAACTCACAGACTGAGTTTGTCTACCCAGCCCTATGAATGAATCAATTAATCCCCGCAATTCGAAAAGCAAAATAGCCAACCTCAATATTGCGTTGTGCACATCAGAGTATCTTCTCCCCCTTCCTCATACCGCTTTCCCCACAATATTGGAAACTATCATATTGTGCACGAACGTATTATGAAGATCCTGGAGAAATCACTTGCTCACGCCAGGTCCAGTTAATGAACCACAATTTTGAGTGCATATTTTAATTCCGACAATAAGTGAGTGCATTTCTGCAGGTGAGTGAGTTTCACAGGAACTATTTGCAAAATTAAGAGGTTTAACTTCGAAGATCGAAAGAGAATTGAGGTTTAGCATTTCTTAAAAACCTGAAGGCTGAGGATCATCAAAGATGATTCCAAGATACCAGTCGTCGTCATTGTCCACTTGGTCGGCTCAGGCGGAATTGGAAGTAAAAGGAAGGACTTTTGCCCGAACTAACGAGAAATAGTCAGGTATGAAGATCTAAAAGGTCTAGAATGATGAATCGTATAGCATCGGCATAATTATCGCCTGTGTAGATTTTAATTCAATAAAAAGGATCTAAAAGCGGAAACTCTGATCGATTAATGAGACTATAAAATTCTGAAACAAGGATATAAACAACCAATTGGAGTAACACACTCCAAACACATGTATGATCAACAATCTTTTTGTTGCTCTACGGGGTAAAAGATTTTTTTTTTCTGATCGGTCAGAAAGAAACTGTGGAGTTGAGTACGAATCTGGTAATCCGGATAAATCGCGGTCATTGTGTAGCAAACCAATGAATGCTTTGTATGATTAAGTGACTCGAGTACCCCCACGAAATATCATTCATCGATCAAATAATAATTGTGCCCAGAATTATGCCCAAGCTTCGGAATATGGAATATGGAGACAGAAAAACGTTGTTGGGGAAAGGAAACTTCGGTGCCTTGATCATATCGTGGAACGTGGACCATTTATATATAAACTAGGTAGACAGAGATACGGAGATATGCCATACGGTGATATGAAACGGAGATAGGTAAACTTTCTTGAAGAAAAGGATGCTCGTAAGTGCAATGCAAGCAGTGTTGTTGATTTCCAATAAAAATGTGAAGTTTTCGATGGGGATCCAAATATCATGAGTCGACTAGGTCAATCTTGCTACCAAAAGAGGAAGGACAAAAAGGACATGACAATCATTCGACGACGACACGTACGGGGTAAGAGTACAACGGTTCTGTACGCTGTATAGTGTACGCAGTGTGTATCGACTAAGGATGACGGAAGTGGCTGTAGCTTTCTATATCATCGTGCCTGCATTATTTTTTAGACTTCTTGGTCTTTTGCTGATTCCGAATGGTTGTGATGGCACAGATTGAGGGGAACCTTGAGGATCAAACCCCAGTCCAAAACTATGGATAAAGTCACCGGAACAGCGATAGCAAAGTATGAAAGTGGAGATGGATAGAGGACTGACTCACTCAGAGGACGAGGATGTTGATCTTGAATAATGCAATCAAGAAAAGTGCTGCATATGCAGTGACGGTAAAAGTATGGAGACCTCAGGGTGCATTGAGAAGTGGAGACGGAGAGTATTTAGCTAGTACCGGTAGGTTTTATTTGGTGATACCCTACCTACAGAGTAGTATAATTAACAATGTTCTGTTGAGACATTTCAAGTTACGAAGATCAAATCCTTCGACTGGATTGGTATCAAAAGGCTGGAAGGATTCGGAAGAGAAAGAAAGAAAGGGTTCAACGCCTCCATGGGCCCGATAGCTAGAGTAAGAGGTGAAAAGTGCTTGGTTGGACCTGTTACAATCTCGACGGACTTTAAGGAGTGGGGAAAGGATTAAAGGATCTCTCCTCCGTAGTACCACCCACCAGTGCTTGTACTTCTCTCGCTTTCCAATAACGAAGCTTTATCACTTGGGTAAGCCGCGAAAGCATTTGAGGAAAGCCGAAGAACCCTTAAAGTGGAGAGATTTACTTTTTGGAGTGGGGTTTATTGTCTTACCTCTTACGGGCTTACAGTCCAGCGGGTACGAGATATTCTAGAATCTCACCCAGAATCGACAGAGTATTGAGATTATCCAGTCAGATCTTAACAAACAGGCACAACTTGTGGAACATTCAAAAACTACTCACAAGTCTAGAATAGTGAAAAACTCGTACAATGAACAACGTCGCAATTCATGGCAGAGCAAGCATCTAGCATACGCAATGGTATACGACATTATGCTTGTACTTTTAATGTGTTGTAACAAGAGGGCGAAAGGCAAAAAAGCTAAAAGTCAAGAAGGTCCAAACTGATCGATAGAACTGATGGAGATAGAAAGTTGTCAGTTACCCCGATGACGGCAAGATGATGGATTATGCAGGTTAGATCGAGGTTTTGAAACTAACTCGATGTCAAAGAATGAGCTTGATGTTGCAATTTGAAGTAGAATTGATATAATAGCCAAGTAAGAAGACGGGTCCTTTGACATCCTCCATGATTACCTGTGCGAAGTATAAGCATTGTCTCTGAAGTGCACCATCTAACGTTTAAATGATATCATCTCATCATCAAAAAAAGACAATTCACTGCGAAAGTTACAACATCACTTAACATCAATCTAACATCTACCTCACATCTACATAGGTACATCTTTCAAAGCCTGAATCACGGAATCCTACAGTTCCAGTTGTCAAGCTTATACGGTTCTTCCGGAACGGAAATCAGAGTAACCATGCACACGCCATCAATTGCACTTTAGCGGTCAAGAAAACTAGACTTGTCTGAAGAAACGTATCGTATCCTCACAGAACCTTAATCAGCAGTGCAATCAAGATAAAACGTTTGTGCGTACTGCATAGTGGATTGGGATTGAGAATAGATGGAAAGCTAGAGCAGTACAAGCCATCGAGCATCAAGCCAGCCAGCAAATAGTATGCTATAGACTACTAGCATAGACTACTAGTATACAGTTCTACACGTCGAGCCATCATCACCGATTACCATACAATCTTGACGCACATCATACCTGACTAGACCATATCATACCATAGCATTGTTACACAACAAGGAATGTCGAATAGTTTCCATCTACTCGGAAAAGCTTGACTGACTGACGGACGGCTTGTTCTTTGAATTATTTTATCTTTTAAAGAAAGAAAGAAAGAGTCGTATTGAATTCTGTTATCTATTATCCATTATCTATTATTACAGATAGAAAGAGTCATCCATTATTCTTCTTCTCCTGATTCAAAACTTTAGACAAACCCTCCTTTTTTCCCTTTTTGACTACCGAGACCAAGTTCACAAGGCTCAACAAAGAGATCCAAAGATCATCCAAGACTTACCAGAACCATACGGAATCCTTTCCCCTTGTTACAAGAACTCCGCAAATAGGTCACCCACAATCAATTGATAGTTTCCGGTTCATTCAGTTGATCGATAAGATCTTCCCTTCCCAACAATCCAACCAATAATCCTTCAAGGGTCTCTGAAAACTATTCAAGCTACCTGCGTAGTCAAACCAACAATCCCATTGGGTGGCCAGCGTTTACGAGGGCATACCCAAAATATACAATTAGAACAGAAGCACGCAATATCTTTCCACAATAATAATTTTCTTTTTTTCCTCTTTTCTCAAACTCTTTACATTATTTATTCAATATCTCTCCTGGATTTTACTCTACTTTGCTTCATTTTCGAATATCCATCCTCCTCCGTCGTCGGAAGTAAAAGTTGATTAATCATATCAAACCCCCATTCCCATTTCCACCGGAATAATCCCACACAATATATTCTCACATATTGGCCAATAATTCCTGTTTGCAAGCATCGCAACTTAAAATATTATTCGATCACCGCTACATCTAGCTGCATGCTTCTTTATATGGAGTACCGAGCCTAGATTGATTGTACTTTCCTATCAACATTTTTCTCACATCCCACTCTTCCGATTTCGCCCTTAATTTCACACGGGGGAGTCATAGGCACATACCGATATTATCCCCTTATCAGGACGGATTACATACATATTAGTAGTGCACCCTCCCGTTACAACAAAATATAATATCTTTCCAAATCGCCAATCGAAATAAAATAAAAGAAATTTAAATCCTTGATTTTATTTCTGATCATTCCTCATATCATCATCGATCTCATACATCCTCTTCAACCTTACTCACCTGGACCGATTTAATCCACCATCACGAGAAACATTCACAAGACCGAGATCGACCGGGGAAGACAATAGACAATCTATTTCAAGAACTATTCACGAGATAAAGGGATACCAAGACACATTTCTACATTCACAGTATACGTGAGAAGTTATTCTACGAGTTTCATCATTTTCGATTTCCTATAAATTTCAAGGATTGTCTCAATACAACCAAAGGAAGAACTCAACTTCCTCAACGCCATAATGGCACACTCAACAAGACCGTCCGCTTCTCGAACGCACACTGCACCGGCACTTGCTCTATCCCCCAAGACAAGTTCAGAGAAGAACACAGATAAGAAGGCACATCATGTACGCAGAAAGTCAGGAAAGGATTATGCTGTAGTCGCAGAGAAGAAACCTAGTCGCCCGACAACTTTACATAGAAGGGTAACACCACAAGTTATTACAAAAGCTGGCAGAAGTAAGGAAAGAGAAAGTCAATACTTGGAAAAAGATAATGGAGAGAGTTTCCCACAATTCTGGTAAGTTTATTTGTTAAATGATGATCATGACGACTCCCTGGATTGGAAAACGCGGGGTGCATATTGGTGGCTTAAAACTGACGAATTACTATAGTATGACTTGCGAAAAGCAATTTACCCCAGCAAATAATACTTTTCTCTACTGTTCTGAAGAGTGAGGATCCCCATTATTTCCGGATTGTATTGCGGAAATCACTAACAAGATTAATAGCTGTCGTCTTCATGATCAAGCCCCTACATATACTTCTCGATCGAACCCATATGCGACAGCCCCAAGCTCTCCACCTTTGACCCCTTTCATGTCAAGCGCAGCTTTACACTTTCCAGAAGAACCTCGAGATATCGTACCTCGACTTTCCCCCACACAATCTCGACCTCGATCATACTTCAACTCCTCACCATACCCCACCGATTTCTCATCCGCCTACCACGCACCATCCGCATCCCTCCCCGCATCTCACTTTTACAACCCATCACAAGCCGACACACATTCCTCAAATGCATTAGAGAGCCTAAGAGAACTAGCCACCGCACTCCCTCGACTACAACCCCAAGAACCCGAATCTCCACCAACCACCACACTCTCGAGGACTTCCTCTCAAGTATGGAACTACATGCCTTTTACGAGCAGAACCACCACACCCACTCCCCTCGCGACACCCGGAAACTCATACTCCAACAGCGGTACCAGCTACCCTGCCCGTCGCAGTCGAGAAGATTTATATGCATCTGGGAACGGTCAAACATTTACCAGCACGGGCGGTATGGGTATGGATCGACCATTACCACCACGAAGTGGTCCAGGTGGATACGGACATCGACCTAGGAGTATCGATCTCGTTACACCATACACTGGTGTATAAATCGAGAGGAAAAATCTCTAGCGGAGCACATATCAAACATTTTTTATTATTTTTTATTTTTTTATAGATAATGGAACGCAAGGCGAGTATTGCGTTCTTGTGATATATAGATTACAGCATGAAGCAAAGAAAAATGGGACGGGAATATTGATTTGGGTTGGGATTCGTTTTCTATACGTGCGTGCATCACAGATACGTATGTAGCGGGCTGGGCAATAGTGAAGGAAGGAAAGGAAGGACTAGGAGTTAATTTTTGGGGGGTTTTAAAAGATTGGAGGAGATGCTTGATGCATTATGGTTATGAGTATAGGATGGGAGGGATGGGATACATGATTTGTGGATTTTGAGAGTATGTCATGGCTCTGTATCGTTTCAGTTAGTTAATAGATATCTATATATTATATGTTACTATGCAAATATTTGGTTTGTGTATCGGATTTCGTGAGATGGTGTTGGTAGGATACTGTTGAGAGAATAGTGAATTTCTGAGGTGGTTAAAGTTTGAGAAGTTTAAGATTATTAGATTATATTATATATTTATTGAGAGATAATAATTTTATTTTTTAATAATAGATATCTAATATAAATCAGATATAAACATAGTAATATAATAAAAATATTATTTTAAATAATTAAGTGGAATAAATTAATTTTGAAAAGATTCTAAATCAAATATACTAAAAGTCTTAAGGCCTGTATTAAACTTTTTATTAGATTTTCTAAAAAGTTATTTTAGACCAATCAAGTCACTCTGATCGCAACTCACTTAAGCGAGTTTCCTGTTTCTTCTAACCTACATCTTCTAGCACATAACCAATCGAGTGTTTAAATGTCCACAAACTACAAACCCTCAAACTGCCTCCCAAGCTCTTCCAAAATATCACAAATTTTCTCTGGTACTGACAAATTCGGGCTACGTCCAGTATCTACATCTCTAACGATCCATTCCACTCCCGTTCCCTTAATCACCAAATCTTGAATCTCAAGCGAATACCTATATCCCTAAGTGTACGGACAAAAGCGACTCTGTCTTTGAAATCCTCCGAGTTCCAAGAGGCGCGTGGACAGGGACTATGCCATGAAGCATAGCTGGGACATAATGTAGACATTACGATTGCATCTTGGAATTCTTTTGGGGTTACGTCGTTGTATAATGGCGGAGCGGGATCTTCACAGGTGAGGATACCGGATTCTTTCTAGGTAGGTTGTTAGGATTATATGAGTTAAAATGAAATGAAGTGAAATGGGGAAGAGAAGGGAGAATGGTAATAAGATTTCTTATTACTTACATTTGGAGAAATATGAGGTGGAAGTTTTCCACAAAGAGCAGTAACAATATCTCCTCCATCTCCACCTTTAATCAAAAGCGACGCGATATAAATCTGTCACAAAACAGAAGTCTTCTTACCAGCAGCAACACGTTCTTTCTCACCCAAACCCAAAGCTGCTGCACTACCTGGAACACCACTAATTACATGATTTGGACAGTTAGTACTGCTCTGTGTAACAATATATATATATATATCAAAAAAAAAAAGGAGTGAGGGAGAGATTTGAAATTTCTCACCTATAGGAATGCATTATCAAAATCACATCGTGCTCTTCAATATCCAGAATTGGGAGAATCATTTTTTCGCGCACATATTCTGCATTTTCTTGCACAGTGACGTTTTTATTGCTTCCTGTACTAGGGAGTATGGCAGAGTAAACAGGATGACCGTGTGTAAGCAGGAGATGGAGAAGATAGCCATAGTGAGCGGGACTTTGAGAGGCGCCTGGGATGAGAACGAAGACTGTTTTGGAAGTGGGTCGAGGCATGTTTTTAAGTAGGTTGGTGGATGTTTGTGGATAATTAGATGGGTTGGGAGATTGATGGTGAGGGAAAAGGAGGTTTGAGAGGATATAGAACTTCTCTTTTAAATTTATCTTTTGGATATACTATGGTCTTTGGGCCGGGAAATATTGTATGTACTGTGCCTCGATTGATATCAGGTTGCAAGACCAATCGAAATTCTGAACTAGATGTCTGATACATGGAGATGTTGGGTGATGACAATGAATTCGAAACGTAAAATAGATTTTTTAGTAATTAGATGAACCAAGTAATCGTTAAATGATGATACTAACAACTCCCAACCCAACACCAATACTCCATTATTTATGACGCCGCATCATTGCATACAAAGGGAACAATGGACGCTTACTATATATTGCAACCACTCCGACGGCACAGTTAGCCACCCCGTTCGTGCATGTTTTCGTTGTTGGTGGCGTAGAATATGTTTGATAACAATCTTACATAGTTAATTTGCAGCCTGTTCGGGCATTGAGCATGAACAAACAATGATCGCAGGCTCTGTCTAGGAAGATTATTGTGAGTGAAGTTCTAGTGAATGTTATATCGAAGATGTTGAAAGAAATTTTGTTTATAGTGTAGTTAAGTAATTACCGAGTGGTTCTATAAGGAGAACTTATTCTCTTGAGTGCCAAAATGGGCTCCATCGCTTAACAGAGGTCTTATTGACCATTCAAGACATTAGAATTTCTGAAGTTTTATTTAAAATTTGTTTTCAATCTAATATATAAATTTGATTTGATATTATTTTAAACTTCAAATAAATATAATATAAGAATATATGTGACCAAAAGGGTGTTTATAGACCAGCAATCGTATTTAACTTAGAATCTACAGGTGAAGAGCACCTGTAGATGGGGATAGCTACTCTATATATACACAAATGAATGGCCTAGCCGCAATGGCTAGGCAAAAAGAAGTCATATTTATCCCTCCAATGATCTTACTTTACCGATAACCATTGATACCTAGTACTTGTCCGGATCTGATCCTCAGGTCACCTAAATCGTATACTAATCCCGAGTAATCGTATCATGTGTGGACATGGTTAATGTACCTGAGGTTTCTTATATAATAAGGGTGGGAGGAAAGCAGGGATTTCCGTCACACAAATTTCAAAATTTCAAAATTTCATTTTATTAAATTTATATAATCTTATAAAATATAAATTTTTTTTATAGATATTTTTGATTAAAATTGTATAAATTTTCTTTTTAAATTTTAATCTATGGAGGAACTTATAAAATTAATCATTTAGTCATTTAATAAATTAAGATATTTGAGATTGTAATGTTGAGGCTGAGTGGTCTGTTTGAGGTGTTGGTTTTGGTGTATTGGATTACTGAGGGAGGGATATGAGAAGATATAGAGAGAGGGGGAGGTACAGATATATAAATGTGGATTGACGAATGGTAAATGAAGGAATGAATGGTAGATATAGAGTATTAGGTAAACAGATTCATCTCACTTATTTTACGTTCTTGTAAGTTACTCAACAGAAACACGTGCAGTCGTGATCTTGAGCTGTTAAACGCGCGATTGAAATAGTGGGGTAAAATTTATATAGACAAGCTTGATCTCGAATTTGAAGCGTGAAACAGCTTTGCACTTCAACCTGTTGAGTGAAGCATATTAAGGTTTAGTCTGATATTTTAAAGGCGTGTATAAGAGTTCTCACTCTACCTTGAACGTCTAGATCTCTAGAGAGATTTGGAAGAAGGGAAAACTTTTGCCAGGATACAAGATACACGTAATGGAGGATTTCAAAACGAATGATGGGGTTACGATCAAATATATTGATACGGATCCTGAGAATGTGGGTGGTAAGGAATGCTTGATTCTTGTGAGTGCTTTTTTTCTTTCCTTCTGCTTTAGGGGTGCCTGCCTTGGTGCATGATAGATTAACAAATCTTTCTTCATGACCACCTGATTGAAGTGGTTAAGAGAGGAAGACTTGGACTAAAAAAACACACAGCTGCATGGTTTTACGGGCTCATCTGCCGTCTGGCAACGCAATATCCCTGCTTTGTCACAAAAATACCGAGTTCTTGTACCAGATCTCAGAGGCCACGGGGGGAGCGGAAAACCAAAGCATGGGTATCATGTGAGTCGACTCGCAATGGATTTGCATGAACTGACGCAACAAATCATCAAATCATCTCCCATCAACCCAAACGCCACGCGATCAGAAAAGAAATTCCTTGCTATCGGTGGTAGTCTTGGATGTGCAATTTTATGGAGTTATGCGGAACTTTTCACGACGGCATTATTCAAGAAAATGATCTTTGTAGATCAAAGTCCTTTGCAAAATTCTACGTTGGATGGTTGGGATAGTCGGTTTTGTAATCGTGGGATGAATAATCCATGGGCGATTGCTTCTCTTCAGAAGACTCTTGAGTTGGCACCAGATGTTGCACATCGTGGGACTATTGCCGCTTGTTTGGGTTATCGGTATGAACCTCAGACAGGGAGTATGATGACGCAGAAGGAAATGGACGAGGATGAGGCATTCTTTTTAGGAGAAGCACTTAAGGGGGATGGAAGATGGTTGGGAAAATTGATGGAAGATCATACTTCTAAGGATTGGAGAGATGGTATTCGTGCTACTTTTGGGCCGGATAGTGGGAGTCAGACAGAGGTTTTAGTGGTGGGGAGTACTATGAGCGGATGTTTTCCTGCCGAAGGAGTCATGAAGATTGTGGAGTTTATTAATGGAGAAGAGGGGAAGAGTGATGAAAAGTCCACGCAAGGAAAGGCTAGAGGGGTAGTAGTTGATCGGGGTGGCCATTGGTGTTATTGGGAGGATCCTCACGGGTTCAATGAACTTGTTCTGGGGTTTTTGGAGGGGAATTGATGGTTGAGAGGATGTATGTGCGAGCAGTGAGCATGGCAAAAATGAATGAGCATAAAGGATTTAGCGGACTACAACTTTAATCAATTGAATGTCCTTACTACAGTTGAACTTCTTTAATCTAAGTCAATAATTGAAAGACTGACTTTAGATATCTAGTAAATACTCAGCATGTCTCTCCCCAACTTCTCTACTCCCACCTCTAGGGAACTTGAGATTGAGTCTCATCATTAAGTTGTACCTAGCATCTATCTAGACACATTTCTCCTCTTAAATAAATTATACAATTATTTCAATATTTGATTTTAATAGAGTCTCGATAATAATCATAAAAAGAATGATATTTCTTAACTATTTAAAATTTAATATATATTTTATTATATGATGGTGGAGAGCTAGATAAGAGATATAGAGATGAAAATACATTTAATCGAATCCGAAAATCCGAATAAGGAGGATATCCAAATGAAAATAAATATAGGTATAAACTCAAGTTGCTGCGCATATGCAAATATCAACTTCAATATTACGTACCCAACACGTGATGCTCCACAACTTTCTTCTAACCTCTCACCTCCTTTTCTTCCTCGCCGCCAAGCCCAGCACAGCATATCCTAAACGCATTCCAACAAAATGCTCCTTTACGCTTTTGCACTGATACCCCTCTACGTTCTCGTAGTGGCGCCTCTCTCACAGATGATTTTCAAACGTCCATCTACCCGCAATGAACCTCTCAATTTAAACTCCACATTTATCGCTAGTGATGAACCGCTCTATTGTCCTGAAGATAGCTATAAGACGTATATCATTAGTCGAGAACCGCTTATGATATATATTGAGGGGTTTCTCAAAGCGAATGAGAGTAAACATTTAGTTGATATTAGGTGTGTTGTATTTACCTTAGATGGAAAGGAGAAGAAAACTGACGGGATAGTGAACCGATTTATGCGCCTTCTACTATTTCTCATGGTCAGGAAACTACAATTGATACTTCGGTTCGTCATTCGGAAGTAGCGTTGCTAGAGAGAGATGAGGTGGTTAGGTGTATTGAGCATAGAGCGAGAGCGTTTCAGGGGTGGAGGGGTGAGATGGGGATTGAGAAGTTGAGGACGCAGAGGTACGGGGTTGGAGGACATTATGGGATGCATTTGTAAGTTTACGAGGATCAATTGTGATGTTCATTTTTGCTGTTCATATGATCAGCACTGTGAGTATAAGTGCTAATAAATGGATATAGTGATTGGAGTGGAGGAAAACGTGGCGTAGACCGAATAAGTACATTCATGGTCTACGTCGATGTATCCTCCGATATTGAAGGTGGAGGAACAGAATTTCCTCGTGTAATAGGACCAAAAGGAGGTAGATGGGAGGAATTTCTTGATACTACCGAAGCATTAGATCCAAGAAGTGGAAAAAATGTAACGGTAGAAGGAGTAACATTTAAACCGATCAAAGGAAATGCAATCTTCTGGGAGAATATTGATAGAGATGGGAGAGGTTACGAGGAAACATGGCATGCTGGTTTACCGGTAAAGAGAGGATCGAAAGTGGGTTTAAATATTTGGAGTTATGGGAGGACTTTAAGATGACGTTGAGGAGGGAATAATTGAGGAGATGCTTGGATACTATTTTGGGGTATAAAAGGGAAATGAGGCGAAGTGAATATATTAGTACGTATGGATGTAAAATTATCCACTATGAATCTATGACTCAACTTCAAATGAATATTAGGTTACCGCAGCAAAGAATCCAATACAGCCGAGAATAAAATTTCACATGAAGGGATTGCCTTGATATTTCCCTTTCAAAGCTTCGGTTTATGACTCTATTCAGTTTTCGGGAACTTTCTAGGTACTTGCAAATAAGTTTCAGAATTTCGTCTATTGGCAATACAAATTGATTGCAACTAGATCTTTGTAACTACAATTACCTACCTATACACAGACAATCTTTTCGAGTATTTCGAGGGTATCAATTTATCTTCTACTTTTATTGTTGCTAGACGGAGCAAACAACAACAACGCATACACATCCATACATCTATTTTGTTGTCAGCATCGATCTCACAAAGAAATTTGCAATAATTGCAAGCTCCCTACTAGACCTAAGTCTGACGTCTACCTCTACGTTCAATAATATCACATCTCTACTAGGTACATACACAACGACTCACCAACCCCAAAAATGGCAGCCAACTCCCCCGCACATTCCAACCTCGTAACACTGCACA